TAATTTTTTTTTACAGATGCTTTGGTCGTTTGCTCAATACACTAAACCTTCTCCGGGGGATTGTTACGCTTGGTTCCGGCCTACCCAACCGAAACCCACCCCCCCCCCCCCCCCCCCCCCCCCAAATTTTTCCAGGTTTGGATTCCGGCCGAGAACAATATAACAATATAATATTGCATACAAATGTTAAAGTGTTAGTATAGAAGCCTCCAAGACTGGGAGGTTATAGCATCTGAAATTGGAGTTCCAGCTGTGTCCGCCTCTCGCGTATATTACATGAGCACAGCCGACAGGGGGCTATACCTATCTTGTCATCCTCTTCAGCAAATCTTTAGGAGGGGTTCTTCGCGCGATAACCAACATGATCGAATATTACGCGCTAGCTTTGCAGCAACGATAGTTCACTTCAACGGCGATGGCAGTGTCAAGGGTATCTCGGTTGTTGCAGCTATTTCGGGCTGTCCTTCAGAAGTTTATTGACGGCTGCACCGGAGCTGAGCGCAACGAGCTAGAAAAACTACAAGAGGCGTTAGTGTCTGTGAGGTCTAAGCTGAGGCAACTCATTCCTACAGATGACGTGGCGAAACATAAAAGAGTCGCAAAACTGGACGGTGTTGGGCCAGCAGTAGAAGAAGCGCTCAGGGGCTTAGAGGGTCTGGCCAAACCCACTACCGAGGTGCGTTTCTTTGGGGAAAAGATTCGCCTTGCCGATGATGCTCGCGCTCAATGCTCACATGCTTATCCAGGCTTTTGGGGCCGCTCAACACCCAAAACTTGAAGCCCTGAGGAATCTCAATCCGGGCAGTTTCGATTACACCAATGTGTTCCACCTTCAAGCTCCGAACTTCGATGGCCTCGTAGCATCGAGCATCAGCGGGGTTAACAGCTTGGACCAATTCTTGAAGAGATTCGTGATCATAGAGTTGCCAGGTTCCCGACCCGATGCAAAGAAGTATCTGGCGGAAAATCCCGAGCTAAATCCCTTTTATCGCCGGGACAAAATGAATGATCTCTTTAGTGCGGTTGACCAATATTGGCAGAGTTGCACCAGATTACCATGTGAAGGTCAACATCATCCAGTCCTGTTTCTGCGACCACCTGAGCTCCCGGACTTGTTACTGGACTGCCTGTTCAGCCTTAAGGAGGTAGAAGAGCCTCCGTGGGGGGAGTGTAGGATTAGGTGGCTAGAGCGAAGGTACATGACACCCTTAAACCTCGGAGCAGTCAGAAGGATCACGGAACTAAAATTATATAGGAAAAACGTAACCCGGAAATTCGTCAAGGAACTTGAATCACGAGCTGGGCGATGCTCTCGAATGCAGGCTCAACGATTGATTCTCAACTTCGCCGAGGCCATGGAGGCACAGTCCGATTGCATAGGGAAGCTTGGTTCGGAAGTGCTGGATCAAAAACAGCGGCCCAGCTTTGAATTGGCGACGCTGGTGAGCCTAGGCGATATTCTTGCGCAGTCCGCAGAGGCACCAGTGTTGAACGAGGAAACAAAAATACTGCTGGCTTTCGCACTTGCGTTCGGGGTTCTTGCTTGGTCCGGATCCTACTGGCTTCCAACACAGCTAATTAAAGATCGTATTTATTTCTTTCAGGACAAAGAAAAGTTGTACCTCGAGCCTGTTATCTCGCCTCCATCTGGGAATGAACATCTACTTATGGGGACAGAAGTTGACGACGACCCATACCGTCTAGCGCTCGGCGTCATCCTCGCGGAGCTATGGGAAGAAGAGGGATGGGAAGCGAGCCTCGAAGACAACACTGATAATCAGGCCGTGGCTTCGGTAATGCAAGACGCGGATACCATGGTTTCCCAAACCCGAAGCACCTTTCAAAACATCGAGTGGAACAACAACGAGTTTTATGAGTACGCCGTTGGCACATGTCTTGACGTGATAGAGAGTGTTGGGAATTCCGCCCCGTTGATTCACGACGATAAATACCAGGACTTTCTCTTGGAAAATGTGTTCGAGCCATTGCTTCAACAAGTCCTGGCAATACCAGCCTGCGATCCCTTGAAGTTAGCAAAAGCATTGAAGACGAAGACAATGCCACCCATTGAAAGGGTATCCCAACCCACGATCCAGCTCACGGACTGCAGACATACAGAGCTCAAGTGAGTATATGCACAACAAAGTAATGTCGTGTCCTCATTAACATATCTATAGTGATGCGAAGGTGAGACATGCATTGGGGTTCCTAGGTGAATTTAGACCGATTGTCCAGCAGTTCTGCTTAGATAAGGAGAATGAGAAGTATTTTTCGGCTCTTGGCGATCGGCAGAAAGTGAAGATAGCCATACTAGACACCGGGTTAGACCCTTTGCACGGCCAATTCGCGCCCAAGCTGGCTGAAATAGGCTTCAAAAACTTTGAGGACAACTGCTGCAATGATGACAGCACGAATTGTATTGACCACAGACATTGCAAAGATGAGGACGGGCATGGGACGTTTATTGCTGGCATTATCGACAGAGTCTGGGATATTTCTGAGTTGTATGTTGGGAAAGTCGCAAGCAAGCGCGAAACAGCTCGAGATTACACACAATTTGTCAACAGCGTTGCTAAGGTACGGTCACTGTTACCTAGCGCTCTCCTTTTGTGAACTGACGTCGAAGGCAGGGCATATTCTGGGCATGTGACCGGTGGGAAGTTGACATTATCAACCTCTCACTAGGCTTTCCGGTATACAAGGAAGCGTTACGCCCTATCCGAGACGCGCTTGATCATGCTGCTAGTAAGCGAGTCCTCGTGTTCTCCGCGTCTCACAACTTTGGCAACAGTAGAAGTGCTCCGTGGCCAGCCAGTGAACCTGGTCTTACAATCCCTGTCACGGCCGCCGATATGACTGGAAAGCTAGCGACATTCGCGCGACAACCACAGTCATCGGGCGAGAATGTTATGGCCTTGGGCGAATGTCTCGAGTCGAGCTATGCGCTTCCGGGATCCCAAAAAGTCCATTACGAGTCAAGACGCCTGAATGCGACTTCATTCGCCACGCCAATAGTAGCATGCATGGCTGCTGTTGTAATCTATGTCTTGGACAACGTCAATTATCCATATGAACAGGAGGGTGCTTCGAAGGGGCTCAGAACTGTCAAAGTTATGAAAGAAGTGTTGTTTGACACGTTTGGTAGACCTGAGGACGTGGGCTTACACTATCTTAGACCAAGCTTCTCTGAGAAGAGAGCCAAGCGCTCGTGGCAACTCGGAGAGAATATCAGGTTTATAGTGAGGAAAGAGATGAAACATGAATGATGGATCAGCCCAAAAAGGAATGAAAACACTAGTCACTAAATTGATTGAGACCAAGTCGGTAAATCGGTCACAGAGAATCCACGCTACCCAATCTTGGGGGACCAATATTTCCAGGCTTTAGAGCCTATATGTCTTATTATTGACTAACTGTGATGAAAGAATGGTGTAGGCGTACGAGCAATTGGATGTGCGCCACCTATTTCTGAACGATCAATTGGCAACTCTTGTCGGACACCTCATCATAACCTTTCACTGCCCCCTCGGTTGGCGATGAATCTACAAGGAGCTTAAAGGACTGTTCATCTCCTTCGTTGTGGCTATAAAAGTAGCCGCGAAGTGTAGTTGCTCCCATTTCACCCACCGTGTTAGTTCGCAGCTTGGTCAACTCATATCCACAGACGACCGGCCCCTCCGAGTAGTAGAATACACGAACAGCGCGGCCCGTTTGGAACATGACAGTGCCATCTCCAGCGCCTCCTACGTTTAGCTGACCTTCCAGCTCATGTTGGGTGAGTTTAGAGTCGGTGACAATCACACCCCAGCCCAGTTTGATGCCAGTGATCAGCCAAGCCGTGTTCGTACTGTTGTCGTTGAAGTGGTTTACCACGAAGCTCTTCGTGCTCAAGCCTTGCAGCAACTCCTCCGTGACCTCTAGGTAGCTGCCAACCATCTTTTGGCAGGAGAGGAATTTGCCCTTCTCACTCTTCCAGGCGCCCGCCAACCCACCTCCGAGAGGGAGCAAGCTGGCGAAAGAGGAATTCACGCCGATTTTCCCCTCTGAGTTCACGTTGATCTCGATCGAGAACTTCACGGGGTCGACTTCCTTTTTCTCATAGTCTCTCTCCCCTAGGATGTAGAAGGGATTGCTTAATGGGTCAGGGTTGGAGAGCAGACTGCCTAGTTGAACAGCGTCAACCGGGCAGTTGGGCTTAGGCACAAGTCTGTAAGTAGCCATTTGTTGAGATTCGCAAGTTATTTGGCCGCGCCTCAAGGGTTGATTGGATTATATATGATAGAGACGCCGTTAATCAGATTCAACTCTCAACAAAACTATTATTCACAAGTATTATCGAAACCAATTTGGCGTGAATACATAGGGTAATCTTGGTAAATACGCAGTTTACTTGACCGTCTAACAATCTGAGCTCAGCAGCTGAACTGCGGCAGCCAGGCTGTGTATACACAGCCGAGGGCAAGTGCTTTTGCTTTTGCCTATACAAACCGCCACCAACCAGCTGTAAAGCGAGGTAGCTACAGACCCAATTGCTTCTGCTTGCTTATGCCAAGACAGCCGCTTACCCCGCTCTTATTTTCTGCTGTCGATCCCTGGCTATGGTTGAGGCTATGATGGTGACCTATCTTAGCAGAGACTAAACTGCGGGGTTCAACACCGTGGAAGATGGTGTTGTAGGGTGTTAAGGATCTGATAATATTTAATATTTAGGTTCAAATGTAGGAAGAATAGGAAGTATCAGTAGGCTATAGAATCTGAGTTGAAACGAAGTATAGTGTAGCACACAACCCTGTCTTCCATAGACAATGCCTATGTCCTCATTCTAGCGGTCTCCAACAGCCTAGGTTAGCTGCCTTTCCCTGGCCATCAGCACTATAGAGCACATCTAGTACGGAGTCCGAGAGGGCTCACTGTCCAAAAACCAAAGAAGGTAGGTTCAACGATTTTGCGTCGTCGGGTTAGGTGAGGCCTTTTGTCTCAAGATTGTAAAGAATGACCGGATTTGATTGATGTAGCGTTTGGGCAATGGCTGTCTCATTTGGAGGACGTATGTTTCTAAACCGCCGCATAAAATATTCCAATCGATTGTTAGTCCTCCAAAGTAGACATCAATCTCTTTAGAATTCATACTGCGCCGCCATTCTCGCTTCAACCAAGGACGCTCGAATAGTGCTCGTATTGCGGCATTTTCTTGAGCTGGCCTCCCTTTTAGGTGCATCGCATTGGCTGCGAGTGCTGCTTGGATGGTGCGTATGGGATTTTTAGAAGTCCACCAGAACTCGATTCCCTCGTCGTGCTCCAGAGTTTGATCGTTGAATTTATGAACCGTATCAAAGGCGACTTGGATATTGCTGGCTAATTCGCCATCGCATTCTCCGTTCTCGTCTGTCTCCTTCGCGTCGGGGCCAAGTCACACTATAGTGCGCCGTGCCTCTTCGTAAATCGCCGACATACGCATCACCTATCGGTCAATCAGTAGGTGCAGGACAAGGTATCACAATAGATCCTTTACCTGTTCCCTCCTATCATCGGAATCTTCCTGGTTTATGCATAAGGCATCCACCCAAAGAATCCGTGGCTTATCCTTGTACTGTAGGCGATCGGGTATAACGGCCAAGTTCTTGGTAATCGAGAGGCTGCCAACATCCTCCCATTCTAGGGGATTAAAGGTACTGGTAAAATCTGTCTCAGATAACCATACGGCTACGTTGATTGATATCGGTGATAATGATGGCGTACTATGACGCCTTTGAACTCCAACACTAGCTTTACTCTCGTTGTCTCCCCAAACATACGACAATGCCTCAAACTTCGCGTACTCGTTCAAGTTGACTTGTTCGAGTCCTGCCTTGACGAAGAACTCGGGGATCCGTTCCAGATCGGGATCGATGATATCGAAGCCTTGGACGGCGTCTGGTTCGTCTCTTCAGAGGAGAGCTCCTGCAGTCGATCGAGAATCAAATGTTGAACGTGGACGAATCGCGCTGCATCATCAGATCGCCAACCCCGTCGTTTTTGGCCCTTGGCAAGGAATTCTTCATTGATGGGAAGCATATCGTCACGGATCTTCTCCTCGACGAAGCCCAATATCCGGCCGGGTTTGTATAGCAGAACTAATGTCGCAAATACGATGCTATAATCCTCGCATATCTGCGAAATGTAGCTTTCTATCTGCTCTGGTCGGAGGTATGACATCGATTTGCTGATCTCCTGCCTGACATTCGAAGGGTTGACTATGTCCATGAGACTAGTTTCCTGCCTGCTAAGCATGTTTCTGATCCGCAGTACAAGGCTATTGGCTGGGAACTCGATTCTCATTGCCTCGCCCAGTCTGTGTAGCGAGTCAATCAGATGTCGGCCTTTTTGTAGGTCATCCCATCCCGGGCTCAATGGCCGATCGTTACCGAGTGGATCTGGAAGAATGCGTTCAAGACGTCCCATCTTGTTTATGAATAGAGACAAGAGAGAATGGTCATCGGTCGTAGAGAACCTGTCCACGAGAGACTCTTCAAAGATCCCGTTCACAGAAAGCCATAACTTGAACCTAGTGGCAAGCGTGCGACTGAGAGCCTCGTACTCCCCGTCATTGTAGGATAGCAGTAAGAGTGCGCATTCAATAAGGCCAGCTTTCCTTCGAATCTCTTCGATTGTTGCATTAGCTGATATTTCCCTCCCGGCAGAATGAGTTTGGAATTTTTCATCAATAGCCGCTGCCGCCGGAAGTAACTGGGACTCAGGACTACGATGCCACTGCTCAGAAACCATATCTTGAGACGAGCTCATGATATGAGCATTCGCAGCTCCAGTTCTTGGTCCTTCATGGTCTTGACGTGGGACCTTGTTCATACCCAATATACCAGATGTTTCGCTTGGCTGATCTATAGAAGTCTGAGTAAAATCGTCGCTTCGTGACACAAGCTCATCTTCATCCCACGAATCCACGACAGAGCTAGCTGTGGAAGTGCGTATATATCTTATGGATTCAAGTTCGTCATGCAAAACCTCAGCAGAGCTTGGAGCGAGTGCCTGCCTAGGTTCTGTGGGATCACGAATATTTAACGAGCTGTCAAAGGCTCCATCACTGACAAGATATTGGAAACACCTCTGCAAAGGGAGTGTCACCTTCTCGAGCATTTGCCGTCTCCAATTACCTGCCACTCCGGTGCCATTATCAGTCATTGACATCATCCTGCAGCCAACCAAGCACCACTCTATAGCATCGGAATATTCCTGTCCGGCCTCTTCATTTACATCTTCGCGCCATTTCAGCGCGGCAATCAGGTCAAACGCGGCGTCGGTCTCGGGATCATCCGAAGAAGGAAACCGCGACCTCGCAGGACAGGATTTGATAGTCATATTGAAGCAGAGCTCCAACAGCATGATTCCTAGCCTGTTCATGTCCAAAATGAGTTGCCTGCGTGAAGATGTTTCAGAGGCTGGTACCTCGACAAAGCGTCGTGTAATGAAAGGGCGGTTAAGAAGAAAGATATCAGGGTGTTTGGCATCAGCAGGAATAAATATGGAATCTGTACTCCAGAGACTCTCCAAAGTCTCTGGGAACCAGGGTGTGTCTCCTAGCTGTATAAAGGACGACGATATTGTCACTGCAAGGTAGTAGCGCTGCCGACGAGTCAACCTTGTGACACCCTCTCCCATGAGTTCAGAGAGGCGCTTGCGTGCTGCGATGGGCGGTCCGCCACGGCAAATATCAAACTCGTCAGAATACTGGCCACCATCCGGATCTCTCAAGTATCCAATGCTCGAAATGTCAGGACTGTTGCTCAGAGCGGCGCAAAGATTATCGATCGGCCGGTTTTCGAATAACATGCTGGAGTTGATGTCTATCTGATTCTTTGCTAAAGAAGTATGGGCGAACCTGACAGTGAGCTTCCGTTTCGATCCTGGCGCCCGTTCTGGTTCTGCCTCCCCCTCCCATTGCGATGATACTCGGCTAGGAGGCTCTCTAGGCTCCTGCCCGATCTTGGTGATGACTGGTAATGTATACCATACCGGTGCAGCATTTCTTATGGTGTGTGTTGATAGAACTAATCGGACTTCTTGGTCCGAACCGCTCAACCTCGGTCGCAATTCCAAGTGAGCCAAATGCCGGTCTGGACAATCACATTTCCAAGCTGTCAATAATGCTTTGTAAAGCGTGTCGGCATGGCGCCAGAAGTCCAAGAGAGCAGCCTCTACGGACCTGACCCTTAATTTGGCGGTAGGATGCGAAATCGAAACACTATCATTCTTAGGGATGAGCTTCTCTAGGATTCGGTTGCATTCCTCTACATCCTTAAACGCGTTCGTGCGCACGCGCTTGCGCAGGGCGAACCTGGCACGGAGGATTTGGTGTTTGATGTTGCTAGGCTCACTTATGCCTCTTTTAGCCACTTCTAGTTCTTTGGTCAACTGATCCAGTGCCGAGAAGAGCAGAGAGATGGTCTTCAAGTATGTGCTGTAAGAGTCTTTGAGTCTCTCTTCTAGTGCCCCTGCGAGGTGAGGATCGCTCCAAATGTCCCCACCTGGCGAAGCCATCAGCTGGTGCATCTCGTCATCGTTAACGACAGGAGCAAGTAGCAATTCCATGTTCTTCGAAAATAGCAATTGATGGTATTTGAGCTCATTCATGCCCTTTCGCCACTCGAGCCGTAATTTACCCTGAGCGGCCTCTCGATATAGTTCAAGTGCAGAGATGGCGAGGGGAAAAGAGGCCAGGGCGAGGCCACAAACTTCGATGCCAGCCATTATATGAGGGTGACAATCTGTTTCCCAAATACATTCTGATGGCTGTGATTGTCGAGAGGACACGACGTTGAGAAGATAAACAATGAGTCTGGCAAATATGCACCGGATTCCCTGACGCTTTCGATTGGCCGCCGAGATGAGGGGCAAACGAGCAGCCCGACATACCCAGCCCCAACCAACCCTGCCTTCGGGGCTGAAAATTGTCCCGGTTACAATCCAATCCCTAAGTCCCCAAGCATATTTCCTATACCGCGAGCGTAGAGAATCCGACGAGAATTGAAGTTCGGACGTATACGCTTCAGTGTGATCATCTTTCACGGCGCCCACTCTATTCTATTCCCTGAGGCAGGAGGGCTGCTTGCGATGGCCAGCCAATCCATATCAGCGGAATCTATAGCGGAACAATCGATAACCGTCGAGCAGGGATTCTTGGCTCTCAGGTCTCAGCTGCCAAGCAAGCACCATTCCATGCAACCATCTACTGTGCAAGATTCGCACGATAGATTCCGGCTCTGGGCCGTCAATGTAGGGGCTGGACCATCGTTTTCTCGCCGCTCCCTCTTACATCGCCTTTCCTCCGTCGCCCCCGAGCTTCTAGGAGATGTGTGTGACTTGCTAAGGGACATCGCGGAAGCTATAGAGAATCGTAAAGTATACTATTGTCTCGGCGCTATTCTATTTACTGACGGTCTTCAGTGCTCGATATTACGTCTGGTAACCAGGAGGATACGGCCTCGACCGCGCCGCCCGTGGTGCCAGAGCTCACGCTTACTGATTCATTGGATCAGACTGACGTGCTTGAATCCGATTCCACCGATGATCAAGCTACCACCCAGCTTGACATTGCAAATGAATGCATCAGTAGTTTATTTCGGCTCACAGCCTTAGTAAGGAAGCCAACAGCTGGCCAGGATCGATTTCCCAAACCTCCAAGTCATGAGGATCCATTCAGCGACCACTTTGACATCATTCACGTACAGGAACGATACCCAAAATTGAGACGGCTAGAAACAAGATGGCTGTGCGAGCGCTTTGGACGTGCTAACACGAAACGTCGCCAGTTCTTCCGGCACGCAAGAGAACGCCGAGATCGCCTCCATAACCCAACACCCGAAGTACCTCGGACTCCAGCTCCGGACCCTATGGGAGGTACCACTTCAGAATCTCTACAGCCAGTCTTGAAAGATTCCATTGAAAAGTCAATGCAGACCACGACTAAGGCCATTCCCGTGATCCTACACCAGATCAAGGGAGCTCTGGACGCCCCACACAGATATGCCAATTCTCGTAGAACTGACAATGGAAGGCTGCTCGTCCCCAACCTTATGGACATCAAGAAGAACAGGGACTCCGAGTTTGAGTGTCCTTTCTGCTGGGTCGTTTGCAACTTTGACACGCAGCGAGCTTGGAAGCATCATGTATTCGCGGATCTCAAACCTTACGTGTGTTGTCTTGGAGAGGGCGAATGCGACGATCTGCTTTTTCATAACCGCTCGTCGTGGTTCGATCACGAGCTCTATTGCCATCGTCGGCAGTGGGTCTGCATTCTGTGCGAAGCAGGTCCGTTTGAGACGCCTGGGATATTCGAGCATCATATAAAATCTACACACGGCGACCTACCACTTGATACGGACGGGTTGGAAGCTGTAAAGGACGCCAGTAAACGAGGTGTTGACGAAATCTCGGCTGCTGAATGTCCATTCTGTGATGAGTGGCACGACACGTTGAAACACAACCCCATACGGAAAAGCTACGACGATCCTTCAATTCAACTCGACAATCCCGTTCTCGTCAATCTGAACACGTTTAGAAGGCATGTCGCCCATCACATGGAGCAGCTTGCGCTTTTCGCCCTCCCACGAGGCCTCGGGAACGACAGGGATGAGGACGAAAGCAACTCGACTATCTTGGCTGGAAGAAGCATCGAGGATTTGTCCTGGGACTCAGATCCAGCAATCGAAGATTCTAAAGAGGAACATGCGAGTATAGTTTCGGATCCAATGGATATAGACGAAACAGAGGGCCGAGATAATGTTAAGGGCAAAGGCATAGCCCCCGTCCCAGACTAGAGGCACATTTCATCTAAGAACAGAGTCACCAGAGTTTCTTGCCAACTATGCAGGGAAGAATTCTCTCGCACTGACCACTTGTATCAGCACCTAAGGGCATTTCATAAGATCCCCACTGATTCGTTTAATACACTACCCCTGAGAAATGTAAAAAAAAACGTTTCCATAGAAGCTTACAATATTAGGAATTCGGTTCAAGAGCTTATACTGATTTATTATACAGGTTATAGCAATGCAGTCCACCCTATAATTGTTAGGCTTCCATTTTGCTATCGGTATATTGACTTTACCGGTCTACTATATTAACGGAAATGGAATTATTAAGCTGTTGGGTTTGATTTTAACATGCTTTGGAACCGTTTTCTTTTTGGGCGCGTCGTTGGGGTGGTTACGATTAAGAAGTGGTTCGTATTAAGTTCTAGCCGTAGCACCATCCTTAAAGCTAGCTTTAGCAGCAATCTTTTCAATCAGTGCGATGGTGCGAGATTTGTCTTCGAAAGGCCATTTAACAGCGCGGAATCCTCCCCGAGGAAGTGGTTGTGGGTTCGGCCGCAGAGTGCACCAGAACTAGAGGTGGTGTTAAATACCGATCCAAATAGCTGCTGCCCAGCACTGAAATACGAAATGCCACACTAAGAACAGGGCCAGGATTCCTTAGTAGTTTTAGCCATCGTCGGTAGCGATGCAGATCTCGTCGAGATCAAGACACCTGCGTTTCTCATGGTCTTTAGACTTCAAAGATTCAATCAACCGACCTAGGGAGGCAAGGTATCTGAAGGTCCATCGTTCAGTCGATCAATGCAGCATCGGGATTCCCTCGGTAAAGATGCCAACAAGGTCTCCATCACTTATGTTGCATCGCTCTTTCTATACATGAGCCCGAGATATGTACTGCTGGGGATGCGAAGAAGTGAAAGTGAGGTTAGGAGTAGAAAACGACGAGTCGATCAATAGTTAAAACATCGTGAGGAAAGAAGCGGTGTAGAAAAACGCGGTTGGAGCTATCCACGGGGTCACGCGTATAAGGGTTCTAGGGCAACATGCAAGCAATTGGCTTACGTATCCTAGGGATGTTAGCCAGTAGAGTTATTAAACGACAGGGACTAGCTTCATAGAATAGAATGAGGTTAATTAATAATAGCTAAATCAACGTGACTGACAGGAGGAAATGAACGATTAAAAATGAGATGCCTCCCATCTTATAGGGCGAATTCTACCACCCTGTTTCCCTATTTACCCTAAATCCTTCATTAATCAATTGTAGATATCAGGGGTGTCGAAAGGATACCGCGTTTCATTAATATGCTGGAGAAAACGATTCAACAGGATGCAGGATGATCCGCGTGAGTAGAAGGCATAACCGTGTTTCTCACCTTTGAGACTAAGAGAAAAGATTCTGTATAGTACGACCGGCTTATAAGGCAGACCAAGAAGCCATCTCGACGGTTTTCCTAAGGTCGACTCTCTCAAGGGTGGCTTCCGCCAACGATTTCAAGATATTTTGGATATCCTCTTTGAAACTGGCCGTTGTAAGTTTGACCTCGGGCAATATCTTCATATCTAGAACCTTTGTCCTAGAGCATGACATATGAACAACATGACACGTATTCCCGCACATAGAGACCATGGTAAGCTATTCACGACAAATCTGTTAGTGCGGTATAATGTATCTCGAGAAGAGGTGTCCTTACTTTGAAATCGTCCTTATTGGGATGGGAATCAAGATGACGGATCGTACACAACACCAGATATATCTCAAGGACATTAAGAAACTTGGGTACATGTTCAAGTTGACTGGATAGCAGGAGAATACGATGGCCCCCCTCCTTTTCGAGAACTGATGATACTGCCCAGTCTTTATCCAGGGCTGCCTTTTTGCCATGCTGTACTGCCCATTCGTTCCACTGGACCAAGTTATTGTAATATTCGGATTGACTCCTAGAAATTATTGGTACACAACCGATACTCTAGGAAGATGGCCGGCAAAGCTTACTGATGAAGTTCATAGCCGTCTGCTTCCCAAACGCTTTCGATCACCTGTAATAACAAGGCGGAAATCGAGATGGCCTGCGAATAACACAGGTTGCCATCTTGAGCGGGATTGAACTCTGATATTGTGTTCTTCCACACCTCCGTCCCCAATTGTAATGTAGTCGACATCATCTAGTACTGCGGTGAGGAAATTGACAATTGCTGTTTTGGGGAGGGGGGGGAGGTATTGTTAGGTGGTAGGTAAGTTATCTGGTCCTATGATAGGCGCACTGGCCACCTGCAAAACCCACCGACTGGCTCGAGCGTCCAAAGCCCCCAACTATCCATCTAGGGGCTTCTTCGGCTCCTTTCATAGTGCTAGAGCACCGCGTCGTCATGCGCTGGTGCAAGCACATGGCGTGCCATGAGGTTGCAGGGGAAGATACGAAGCGAGGCGGCGCCCAATCGTTTATCTAGCCTACAGATGCATACATCGTGTGCTTGGATCTCGGTCGAGTCTGTCGCCGTAAGCGTCTAGTACCGGTATATCCAACAGGTTCCAGTGCATAGTAATGTTTCATTTGCATTAGACAGCTGCAGGCGGTACGCCGCAGAGCGCATGTGACGGAATTTTAAAATTATCATATGGCGGGAGTTGTCAAAATCGGAAAACCGCAGAGATAACAACTGCCGATCACTTGGAGTTGCTGTAACCTTGGTGTACAATCGACGAAACAGGGAAGGCTGAGCAGGGCAGCTTACAAGCGACATGTACCTTTGAAGAATAATACCTTTGAAGAATACGTATCATACTACCATCTAGACACTGCCATCAACACGCGAGACCTACAGTATACAGAACCAATTAAGCAGTGTTATACTAATGTTAGCGCCCTGCTGTTACATATTGACTTATAGTAAGGGCAAAATCTAGTAGAATTTTGAGTTCCTTCGGCTGAAAGAATCTGGTTGATAATCTAGTTGGTTTAGACCCTTATAGCTTGGGCACCTATCGTTGGATAACATACCACCCGAGCCGATTGCTTTCTGTCATAAATTATTACGCTGTCCGTGATCAAAGGATTTGCCGGACGAGATTGCAGGGCCAATACTCTATTAACTTTCTGTTAATCCCGAAGGACAGTGGGTGTGACTTGTATTAGGACCTATTAGTCGTACGCATCCGATTCGATGAGCCTTCGCTAAAAGTAAGTTTGGCCTCGTCCCAGAAGCTGCCGAGCCCTCGCCAGCTGCGGCTGGCTAATCTAAAACGTCCATAGAAATCTACACGTGTACACACACTATGTGAATAGCGTAGTGCGGGCTTGTGACTGATGAGTTTCTAGAAATTAGGGGTCATCACTACCCTAGTCGCAATTGCGGATATGCGTCTGTCATGGGGAATTGGCCGTGTCTTGTCACCTTGCTGCGTGTGCGATCTATGATACTTGAATTATCTGTATACGGATGCGAGATGGTCAAGGACCTGACGGTATCCGGATAATACCCAAAGACATCGTGTTTTGTGCTTAAATATTGGGTCCGTGCCTACTTCTAACACAAAGGCAGCAGACCAAAAGTTTCCGAAGGAACTCCGTTGTTGCTTCATATTGTCTATTGAAACGAGCACCAACCCACTCTCCTTCGGCCAAGCGCCATCTGTTTATTCCCTCAATATTATTCTCATCATGGACTTGCCACGAAAGCCGGAAGCTTGGAGGAAGCTGTGTGCCACCCTTGACGTCAAGGGGTTCGGGGGGGTCTCTGGTTTAGCCGACGAGAGGCTCAGGCCGGGATCCAACATCAATTCGGAACAGTTCATAGCTCTCAGGATCCTATGTCCCAATCAGAAGAACGGATCCCAGCTGAATAGTAACCTGAAAAAGTATGTGGACCTGACGACTTTTGAAGAGATGAAAGAAAAGCTGTCCGCATCGCGAGAATGGAATCAATTTCTCGCCGCCGTGTCAGGTGAAAAAAAAATTCCTGGCGACCTCGGGCAATACGCCACCGTTTGGGAGTATCAAGTGAGAGCTCGGTGGGGAACCAGTCGGAGCGGTTTTCAAGCGCTAGTATGCTCGGACCCGGAGACGAGCGTTGCTCACCGAACTCGAAGTAAAGCTCAACCACTCCCGCAACCAGAACGTCCAAGAACCCCACCTCAAGCGACCCAAAGTATTAAAGCTGATGTTGAGGAAATCAACAAAGCCTTGGCCCAAGCCGGCTTGGGCTCGCCGATTCAACTGCATTCGCAATTGCTGTCACCGGTGAGTCCCGAGCAACATCTCTCCGGAGATCAAGGCAATGAGGTCACCGTCAATACGGCTTTGATTCACTTTTGCTCCACGTTAGACTTGTTTAATCTGGAGAGATCAGGTTTGTCGTGGTCTTACGAACAGAAAGCTTTCAAGTTTGTAATGCACAACGGGGGGAATTTTGTCGCAAGGGTTGACGGCATTTTGGAATTGGTTGATAACAAGCAGCCCTTGGCAATTGTTGAAGTCAAGGCAGGCCTGCGTGCGAGGCAGCAAAGCCGTATTGTGTGGCAGGAAGGTGCCGAGTTAGTCGCGTGGATCATGAGTTGGCTACCTTTCAATTGGGACGAGAAGGGGAACGAAAAGAAGACATTCAGGTATGAGACACGCACATTCTTCTCTTGACTCGTTACAGCTGATCATAAAAATAAACCCAGGCGCCTGTTGATAAGCCAAGATCACCACGAGATGTACTTTATCGTAGCGGAGTTCACAACAGGCTGGATCAAGCACATGCTCGGGCATAAAAATGTTGGAGACGACTTTCTCTATATGCAAGAGTACGGTCCTTTTCCAACAAACAGTCCAACCCACCTCCTATTTTCCGCCGCAATGGTGTTAACAGTTACAAAACAACGAGGTCTATTGGAGGATTAGGACATGTCTGCGTCATGTTTACTTGAAAGAATATAGATATTTCCTTTGATTTCCCAGTTTTACTATCTGTAGGAAACGCCTATAGCTGCGTATCAATTGTATCCGCTACCCCAAACTGTAATTAATCTTCCCAGTTCCCTATGTATTAATGTGTCCAGACTTTATCTGGGATGTTAAGGGGAGGTGGTCGAGGTTGCCTTTCCCAGTACTTATCACAATGGTCAGTTTTGTGAGTTGAATGCTCTTGAAATAGTCTGCTAGTATTCATTCAAAAGCAAGGGGGTGGCAAAGGCTTAGCATTGGCCTACCGTCATCACCACTGACAGACAAGAGATGATACTATGGCTTGCTTTGAAGGTCGCTCGAGCTGGTACGAGAACTTTGAATCATAGCATGCCAACCACTTTGGCTTGCGAGAATGGCCCTTGTTAGCAGAACACTGTCTGTTCGATACCTGACTAGCTCTTATATGGCATACTTGGTGCTCGTTTTCATTTACCCAACCTCAAGTACCAATGAACAGCGGGGTCGGAGAAAGGGTAGCTTGCCAGGTTCCGGTAGGCGGTCTAAGTAATTCTGGATAGAGACGAAGATCCGACCTACGAGTCCAGGCGATACGGCGTCGTCGAGGGCGGCGTGGGCGGCGGTGATCTAAGCCGGCACATTCCAAACCTCTGTTAATTCGGAATTCTCAGGCCTATCTTGATGGGTGTCGGGAAACTAATGATACGGGAGACCAAGTCGGAAAGCGGTTCTTTGAACATCTGAGACAAACTATCATTTGTATGCCAAATTCCGAGATCCATAGCTGACAATTCAGCTTCCACTTGGTTCTTCTTATTCATAACATAAGCTGATCTAGTCCTCTGAATTGTCTTTTGGATAAGATTTGCCTGCCGAATTGAATGATGCTAAATCCTGAGCGTATCACGCGACGTCTTTTCGGCGTTGTGTATCGGTTCTCGGTGTACGTTGATTGTGATTCGACAGCTTTGCACCCAGTGGGGTATCGTGGTGTTCTCACGCCAGCAAGCTTCATGAGCCCAGGTTGGTAGTTCGATTTCATTAGTCAATTTCTCATGCATTTTGGGCCATACTCACACTTTTTCGGCATGGCGTATACCGAGAATTCGTCCGTCGCCATTTTGGCGCTGTAGGCGATATGAATTAGTTGTAGGCTGTAAGCGGAAGGTAGTTGTTTATATGGTCAGGTGATGAATCGTGTGTATAAAATGTGATAGATGTTACTTGAGTATGACAGTAAGTAACAGGCCGTGTTAATTCATAACGAAGTTTTGTGAAAAATATTTGATCGTGATGTCTCGCTCGTTGTTTAGCCTGGGCCTTGCTACCACGGCTTCCCTCGTTGCTGCCACCGGTCCGTGCGATATCTACGCATCAGGAGGCACACCCTGCGTTGCGGCACACAGTACAACTCGTGCTCTGTATACTTCTTACAGCGGCTCTCTCTACCAGGTATGCACTTCGCGGCCCCCTATCATACATGTCATAAGAATCAAGGAGATTCAAATCCTATTTTAGATCACCAGAGGTTCTGACAGTACCAAAACCGACATCAAACCACTCTCAGCTGGTGGAGTCGCCAATGCCGCTGCTCAGGATACTTTCTGCAGTGGCACAACTTGTGTGATCTCAATAATCTATGACCAATCAGGCCAGGGCAACCACCTCACCCAAGCACCTCCTGGGGGTGCCGCAAATGGTCCTGAACCCAACGGCTACGACTATCTAGCAAGCGCCATCGGTGCTCCCGTGACGCTTAACGGGCAAAAGGTATATGGTGTCTTTATCCCACCTAAAACCGGCTATCGAAACAATTCTCCTCGCGGAACAGCCACTGGCGATGAGCCAGAGGGTATGTACGCCGTGTATGTATTCTCTGGAATCATCCCCCCTATTATATCAACTTGCGGAGGAGAATCTCTCCTTTTACTGTGATCAGCATGTTCCGGGATCATGCAGCTCTTGAATTTGATCTTCTGTATTTGAAATACTGAGCACTGACTCTAGCCAAATAGTTTAGATGCGACAAATTATAATGATGGATGCTGCTTCGACTATGGCAATGCCGAGCCTAGTAATCTAGACACTGGCAACGGCCACATGGAGGCCATTTTCTTTGGCGACCGTAGAGCCCACGGCTATGGCGCTGGCTCGGGCCCCTGGCTCTTAGCCGATCTCGAAAACGGCTTGTATACCTCTGGAGGCGACGATGGCTATGGCCGTAACCCCAACAACCCAAGCATCAATTTTCGATTTGTGACGGCAGTTCTTAAGGGCAATTCCGGGAATCAATGGGCGATCCGTGGAGGGAATGCTGTCTCCGGAAGCCTATCGACGTTTTATAGTGGTGTCCGCCCGACACCTAACTATCACCCCATGAGCAAAGAGGGTGCTATCGTTCTCGGCATTGGTGGTGATAACAGTAACGCTGGCCGAGGTACTTTTTACGAGGGCGTGATGACGACCGGTTATCCCTCTGATGCCACTGAAAATGCCGTCCAAGCCAACATTGTAGCCGCCAAGTATGCACCTGGTGCGCTTCAGAGTGGTCCAGAGATCACAGTTGGCTCAACCGTCTCGTTCCGCGCCACAACATCACCATGCTGCACAACTAAATACGTTACCCATGTGGGCGCGAATTTGCAACTTCAAATCGTATCCTCGTCGAGTGCTATCAGCTTGCAAAGGTCAGCGAGTTGGATCGTTCATGTTGGTCTCGGCAATAGTGGGTGTCTGTCTTTTGAATCCGTCGATAGCCCAGGGAGCTTCATACGGCACTCCAGCAACAAGCTCCAGGTCAATGCAAACGATGGTAGTAGGTTATTTGCGCAAGATGCTACATTCTGCTCACACGAAGCGCTTGGCTCGGCGGGTACCAATGCCCTGCGCTGCTGGAGCTTTCCAGCACGCTACTGGAGACATTATGGTGGCACTTTGTACATCGCCAGCAATGGTGGACCGAACACGTTCGACACGAAGACGGCATTCAATGATGATATAAGCTTCGTTGTTACCGCTGGCTTCCAGTCGTGAATGAATAATGACTTTGGTAACCGCGGTGCTGTTTGCGGGAATCTGACGGCTTGAATCGATGGATACCTGGGATACCTTGTTTTCCTGGCTCTTGTATATCATATATAATAAATGCTCATATATAAACTAGAATATGCAAGTAAATTATATCAGCTTGGTATCTTATGTCTGAATATATGCAATGTAGTACCTTTAACTACGCATCTTGGGAGTGAAATAACTACAGAATAAAAATAGGATAAGGAAGAATGAGCACAAACAATTGCAACAAGTCCTTAATACGCAATGTCGTCTCTCATCCCATATATCAGTTCACACATCAATAGATAATTCGATATAGTCGCATCACTACTACTACATTACTTGCACATGGTTGGACCATACACCGCCCCTTGAAACATGCGGTTGACTTTAGCCTCAATACGAGTCAGTCGACACCCATCCTTCCTCTAAGTCAAGAGGGTGAACTCGACATGTGTGACTCGTAGAGATGTGTCAATGTCTATATCGTATCAAAATAACTCAGAGTTGGTGACAGACACGATGATAAGTGACTGTAAACCTGCTATACTGCATACAATATTGGAATACGGCCTTCCCACAACAACCTGCCTTCACCGACAACTTTGTAGGCTCGTATTCCAAGATGCTCTGACTGAGGAGGAAATAAACAGTAAGAAAGTTAATATGCTTCAAATGCATTCAAATCTGTTCATAGAGCCGAAGCTCCGACAGCTCAGGCTCCAGTAATAATCATCACACTTCACCTCAGAGTCACCCTATAGAGCGGCGGACAATGCGGAGGGAGTCTTGACATGTACCACCATCGTCCCCCCAAGACCAAAGTTAGACAGGCGAATACAGAAAATCAAGAAGGCTAAGGACAAAATAGAGGCACCAATCATGCCTGTGCGTCAATCACTTCCTTGAGTTGGCATGACACCGAATTGCCCGATTGATCTACTCTACCCCTGGGATGTTCATAACCGGGTAATGTGAATACCACCTTAAATTAACCGTACGCATTCTTACACGATAGTTTGCCTAACAACACTACCGCGAGATACCAAGTCGGCGTCTCAAGCCCCATGTATATTCCAGACACAGATATTGTTTATGACGTGGATCGTAAGTGGAAGGGCCGAAGAATATATTTACTAGATACCCATATCAATGCGTGATTTATATATGATATTTAAAGGTGTTAGCCGTCGCGAGTGACTCAGCGTCTCGACTACCGAGTTCAGCAGTGCTCAGCTCTCTGGATCTATCACCACGCGTCGAGGGCAGACAGATTTCCAGTATGCAGCTTCAATTACAGCACGCCGTCGCCGGGCTGGCACTGCTAGTCCCTAATGTCGTGGCCCTCCTTCGGTTCTCTTGCTCTCAGCTCGTGACCGAGCGTTTGGACCCGCTGGTCAATCCAGGCGTCACCGGAAGCCCTCACCTCCATCAGGTAATTGGTGGCAATGCCTTCAGACCTTTGATGGACCTGAAGAGCCTCGACATCCCCTCGGCAGCAACTTGCACTACCTGCACCTTTGCCGATGATTTCTCAAATTACTGGGTACGATGTTCCGCTGGGCTTATGCGTTTGCGATAGCAGAGACTCGAGCGACGCTTACACAGAACAGACAGCCGTTCTATACTTCCAAGCCCGTAACGGAACGTTCAAGCGCGTGCCGCAGAAACCGAATGCTGGATTTGAGTCGGCCAAGGGTGGCATGACGGTTTACTATACGCCCGTCATCAGCGGCACAGGCAAAGTCACCGCTTTCAAGCCCGTACGCGTCCCATCGGCTCTTTTCATCACGAGCGACAGCCGCAAAGCTAATTATGTTATAGGGATTCCGCATGATCGTCGGCAACCCCAACAACCGCAACGCGAACAACGTCCCGCGACAACTCACTTTCACCTGTCTCAAAGACATTTACACACGCACTGGGGAGACGAAGGAGTTCCCGAAGCAGCCGTGTCCCGCGGGTATAATGGTGAACGTGCGCTTCCCGACGTGAGTGATGACAATAGTCCTTTATCCTGGGTTCACGATCTAACACGACACGTGCATAGCTGCTGGGACGGCGTGACGCTCGACCCTCCGGACCACGCAAGCCACGTCGCGTATCCCTCAAGCGGGACATTCGAGAGCAACGGGCCGGTAAGCTCCCCCCAACATCCAACTTCCACAGCAAAGGAAAGCAAAACACCCCAATAAAAACTGACCTTGAAATCCACACACAAACAGTGTCCCGCGACCCACCCCGTCAAGATCCCACAGCTGTTCTACGAGGTGATCTGGGACACGACGGCGTTCAACAACAAGGCGGAGTGGCCCGCGGACGGCTCGCAGCCCTTCGTGTGGAGCTTCGGGGACAAGTCCGGCTACGGCAACCACGGCGACTACGTCTTCGGGTGGAAGGGGGACGCCCTGCAGAAGGCCATGGACACCAACTGCTACATCAACTGCCCGCAGCTCAAGACGCAGTCCATCCAGCAAGGGAACCAGTGCAGCGTCAAGGATACCGTCGGTGAGCAGATCGATGGCTGTAAGTTCCAATCTACTAATTACATATTTCATCCCGCGGCCTATTCCACTTTAAAGGGGGAGGTTTCTTTTGTATTGTGGTGCTGACTGCTTCGGTTTCCTAGGGCTTACTGAACTCCCCGGTGGTATGCCTGTAGATAAATAAGGGGCTGATATGGACGTAGAGATTTGTGTGGGGTCAGCTTTAAATGTTGGTGTCCTGTCAGTAAGTTCACGGCATAGGTGCAAACACTTAGATGGGGATTAATCACAAATCATAACGATGCATTTGAGACAGTATTTTTGTACTCTTCTCACCGCGTTGTGACCATATCGTGATAGAGTCCAGATAGTAGTACCTCGATAGAGAGGCATGCGAACCATGCACTCCAGTATTTGGGCTCAAACACTCCGCATAGCTTCTCAGATGCGTGGCGAACTAAAGGCATATATTCGGAGAAAGACTTTGGTTGAACTCTTAGTAACTCATCGATTATAATCAGAACTGACTCATCGTCGAATATGGACCCATTCCCAGTGGGTAGCAGAAAAAGCTCATGATTAATCAACCATCGAGTTGCTCCCAACTTGCCATAGCTGCTAGAATGGCCGGTTGAGCCGAGGGGTACCTGTCCCATAATCATTCGTCCTCCAACTCCATGCTTATATATAACACTTTCATAACCGAAAGGAAAACCCAACGCGTCTATAAGCCTCACCTTTCCAGGACTCATATCCCAAACTTCTCTCTATGGAACTTCCTAACCTCAGAGTTCCCGCCCTTACCGACAGTGAGTCCCCTCGGGTCTCCTTCGATCTTGAGGCCGTATAAACTCGTTGCTCTCGATAGAGCGACATAAACCTGTCCCTCTTCCCAGGCTCTTGTCAGATCAACAATCACTCGGTCTAAAGTGAGACTCTGGCTTTTATGAATGGACATAGCCCACGCTGGAGCCAACGGGATCTGAGTCCTGCTCAGTAGACTGAAAGGTTCCTTATTTCCTAGCGGATGCACCGAGCATTCCGCAAAGATGGTCCGCACCTCACCGTTGTGGAACCTGACTACTGGCCAAAACTTTTTCTCCACTCCCTTCCGTTCCATGAACGTCCGGATATGATATTCGCGCATTTCCGCGTAGTCGCCGTGTATAGTGCCAGATTCTGGATTGGGATCGGTTTTAGTAGGCAGCCTTGGCAACTTTCTCGGGTCGTATTCTTCGTAATCACATATGATGCCCTGACTTCCATTGCAAAGCCTTCGACTGAGGTCTAGATTAGTAAGGAGAACGACTAGCATTCCCTTCTTAAACTCAGCCGTTGCCTCGAAGCGATGATCCTTGAGCGATTCTAAGCTCCCGTCGTAGGAACGCCTACTATGCCTCTCAAGATGTTCATGTTCGGGATTCAAGTTGAACTCATCCATGCAGGTGAAAGTATACTTCTCGGATAAGAGTTTATCGAAACGTGTTTGATTATGTCTCCGAACCTCTTCACGTCTCGCATAGAGTTTAGTGGCATTTGCAGTTCTGCATGCGTGGTTCATCAGTATGTCTGTGTCGGCGCCTGTTAGAGCCTCTCCTATTCGACACTTCTGCAGAATCTTGATGAAGGTCTCGTCATTCTGCCGGTGGATTGTTTTGAGGTGGAAATAGACGAAATTGCATAGGCCCCAAGCTTCGCTCTTGAATGCCCATTTATCTTCATCGTGAAATGTACCATGCTTCTTGCAAGAATACGACTCTTGGGATCGGTTAGGGGCAAGGTCTTCGCCGCATTGGAGACAATTCTCGAACGGCTTCACTGGAGGTAATTGGTGAAAATCGCCAGTGACCACAACTTGCACGCCGCCAAATGGCTCGTAAGAGCTGCGAGCCTCTTGCATAACGGCGTTCAGTCTTTCGAAATGGAAATTCTCCACCACTTCAACATTTGGTGTCAGTAGTTCTCACCCCGAGAGAGGCCGCCTTGGAAGAGAAGATAGTGGGCACTGAAGTGAGCATCTCGCTGACAGTTACTTACTGCTGATCTCATCAATAACCAAGACATCTGTGGATTTCAGTCGTTTCCGGACATGCTTCCCGTGTGCCCCTGCCCGGACCTTGTCCAGTGGTCTCTTGAAACTACTCAGACTCCAGCCGGCGTAAACGAAGGTCGTAGAGCCACCAACCCCCAAGGCTGAGATACCCGTCGGTGCGACGATATCGACTTGTAGCCCCCGATCACGGAAGCGTCTAGTAAATGCTTTCAAAACAGTGGATTTTCCGCATCCTGCAGAGCCAGTGTAGAAAACATTCCGCCCAGATAAGATAATGTCCACCAATTCGGCCTGCTCTGGGCACAGCGGGGGTTCTTTCATAGGAATACGCAACCGACCCTGGCCATTGCTGCTATCCTCCACGGGGTGTGACTCGGGATTGCTTGAAGAAGGCATGGTATTTGGGTTGCCGAGCGATAAGCTTGTCTTGATAGCTACTGTGTGTTGGTCTGGTTGTGCAAGCTTGTCCATCACCCTTTTGATGCCTCTAGGAGCGATGTTTTGCCTAGTTCGGAGTATGGGCATCGTATCGGAGGATTCTCCGTGTGGTCGGGGGTGAAGTGGTATGGCTTTGCCGGAACAATAGACATTGCTAAAGCCACCCAGGTCGTGGGGGCGCTGCAAGGTCGGGTGGCTCGGGAGGTGGCTGGTCTGTTGATTTGGGTCGCCGTCTTCGTCGGAATTCAACAAGCTGAGCACTTCAGGCTCAGATGGCGGTCCATTGTGGATACGAGGCCGTTTTCTTCGGGGTCGTCCATCTTCGGATTGGTTTGTGGTGCCTATGTCTGCTGCTACTTCTGCCTCAGCTCTTGCACTTGCACTTGCACTTTCGTGGCCAGAGAACAAATTGGATAGAAATCCTGCCGTAATGGCAATTGTTAATAATACCTAGGCATGTAGGTACGGTAGGTAGATGAACAAATGTCATGCTTACCTGTAAAAGCAGTAGCCATTCTTCCCGATTCCACCAGGGAAAGTAAGGAAGTAGTTACATGCACGCAGGTCGACGCTTCCCCACGCGGGTAGACGCATCTACGGATAGGCAGGATAGTGGAGTCGCGCATTGACATCGCCAAAGCAACCCCTACACCTACCTGACTAAATGATCACTTACACCAGCTGGTGAGCAGCTGCGTCTTACAAAAGCAAAAACAAAAGTTGTAATTAGGCACCAGGCACGTTTGGATTTCTATATGGAAAATTGATGATTTTGTAGTCATGGGACTTCAGCAATCAGCTCTGTTGATAGTTCCTTGTTGTTCCTTGTTAGGACGAAAGCCGAAGAACGCCGGCGGATCCAAGACGAGCTTCTGCCTCAATTTCCACCAGGTACTCTGACCCAATTAGACTGGCTACAAACAACGTATTCGAGGGCCGGACACCCTCGCACTGGAACACCCATCCATGGGCCTGACTGACTTCTTTGCAGTCGGCTTCGTTTCTGACGATGATTCGCGTGCGCACGACATCTGAGAGTGTGCCGCCTAGTGCCTTCAGTGCACGGCTGATGATATCCAAGATGGCCACTGTCTGGCTTCGGGCTGAGTGTCTTCCGAGCACCGGAAGACTCAGGCTACTTGGACTATTCGCCGTTGTCCCCGAAATGCAGACGTGATTACCCGTTCGAACTGCTCTGCAGTAGCCTGCGATAGGCTCCCACGGACTCCCTATGGAATATTCTATTCTCCTGCCCGTAGCAATAGCTTCTCTCAGCTCGTCATTCTGAACGATGTTAATGTGATGCGACAGATCTCCAGCTGCTGTCAGATAAGGTGGCCTTCGGTACTCGTCACCGCAATCGCCCGGGATATCCAGGAGAGCCTGCTGCGCCTTCTGTATTAAGGCGTGGTCGTCTTCAGTCAATCTGAATGAGAACACCTCTAGATTCCTTTCAGCGTATCTGGACGAATCTGATGTCAGGCGACAGCCAACAATAACTGTGCTCACTGTAGGTATATCAAGTACGTATCTGGTTGCAACTGCAGGAATCGAGACATTGTGTGCATGCGCAATTGTGGACAAAGCTCGCAACAAGCCCTGAAAGGGTTCCCAACCCCCAGCAACTCGGATGAATCGAAGATACTTCCGAAGGCTACCGTTCAAGGCATCTATATCTTCGGGCTCAGGCTGGCCGAGCCATTTCTCGCTAAGAAACCCGCCGAGTAGAGTGCCATAAGCAAGCACACCTACTTTGTGCTTCTCGCATACCGATGCTAATCTTCCTCGTACAAGACGCTGGTCCAATACAGAACATGGGACTTGATTTGTAGTGATTTCAAAGCCCGTGTCGATCAAGAGCTCGAGATGTGCAGCATCAATATTCGTGACTCCAATATGCTTAATCTTTCCTTGCTGTTGCATAGTGCGCAGATGTGCTAAGTTATGCCAGTACGTGTCATCTGAATAATCCCAGATGTGATCTACGCGGTATATCAGCAACTGCCCATCCTTGATAAATTGAGACTATGTATTTTCCGACAGGTAGATTGTAGTTAAATGAAGAGGATACCAACATTGCATCAGAGTAATCTGCTCCTGACCCATCCTTCGCAGCGCAAGGTCAACGGCCTGCTCGGCTGCCTCAAACGACTTGATACCATTTTCAGGCGGACACCACTTCGTGAAGGCGAGCATATGCTGAGACGAAGTAGCGCGAAACCTGCCGACAACAAGTTCTTTGTGACTCTTGTCAGCCGCGGTCCCGAGTGAACAGCTCTACTAATTAAGGCCTACCAGCATCTCCATAGTGATCAGCCATGTCAAAACAGTCGAGCCCTAGGTCCGCCAGTAGCTTCATTGCGTGAGCAGCAGCATCGAGATCGACATTCTTATCGTCCACGAGTTGCCATAGCCCCGAAATCATCCGAGGGATGGAAATCCCATCTCCAATAGTAGTGCGCTCGATGGGGGGCAACGACATCTTCTATGAGGCTCTCAGATGACAAGCAATAGTCGATTGACAAGGGGGTTTGAACTATCTAGATACGAAAATGCGCTGTCATATCTATTGATTCATTATTGCATGAGTAGTTTTTTTTCTTCCGAAAGTGTTCGCATCTACAGTCGCCCACCTAAGGTAGGTAATATCTATTTGGTTAGTATTTGCGGGGGTTACACTGTTACGTTGCAGCGAGTCCGTCATAGGTATGAAGAGAACGCATCTTCTGTCACAGCTTGAACTAAATTCTTGAGATGTCAAGGTAGTCGTAGTTTTCGTCACAGTTATGATATGAGTGATTTCCAGACTTATCCATAGTCACATCTCCCTACCTAGGTATTTGCGTGTTTGTTACCAGCCTTCCCGAGACATGTGTCTCAGCGTATACTGAAGAGCAGTAAGGCGCTATAAATTACAGTCGACAGGTAGCGTGCTTCAAGCTGATTGCTTCCCAGACACCCGGGAAACTATCGTATCTGACCTGATCATCACAGCCTTAGAAGAAGAATGGGTCACCGCCTTTATGGCCTCCGGTCACGATGACGGTGATAGTGACATGTCACTTATGATCCGTCCTCTCCCTTGTCAGTCAAGGGTAAAGGTGGCAGTAGTAGTTCGTGACGAACCCCAAGCTGCTTCGGAGAGTTTCGTCAGCGGCGCAATATTGCTGTACTCACGTAAAATAGTCTCTCTCCACAAAACACCAATGTACGGTATCGATTCAGAAGCATCCGCACCTGAAAGGGCCTTTGTCTGCGCGTGCTGTTATGGATTTTACACTAGGTACTACCAACCTAGGTGAGTGAATACATGCTATTATTGGAAACTGTGTCCTAGTTGGGCGGTGGCAGTGCGCTTGTCACTCCAGACTAACGCGCAGTAGTCCTGATTAGGCACCTACCTAGATACCCTGCCCAGCCTTTTCAATATTGCCCATCAATCATAGCAGGCGAGCCCAGGGTGCAATGGGGTGTAAGAGACTATCATCATCTTCTACCGTACTCAAGATGTAGTACCATACAGACGAGTGTTGGTACTTGGCAGAGGAGATATGATCGTTACAGGGCCCTTGCTTCAAATGCGTCAAAGAGCAGGCTATCTAGCACTCACGCACATCGCCGTCAGACCGGGAACGCCCAACAAACATGGCAGTCAGTAGATCCTGCAATGCCACGCCCAAACAGTCCCGGTTTGTGCTGTGACACGAGACATCAAACACGCAGTTCATTGCTATAAATGAAGGGACCCATGTTGAAAATGTCCGTTGCTGGTGGACAACGCCCGGCTCCCAATATTGTCAAATTCGGCGGCCCAGCGAACCATCTGCGCCACCGGATTGCAAGCCGTCCTCGAAGCCATCTCACCATAGTGGGAACTCCACTGCAAAGCACATGCAGAGCACGTAACCAACATTATCACTACATGTGTGACCACAGTTCACCACGCCTTACGCATGTAATCTTTGTTGGTTGAAAGTGCTGGCCAAGCGGATATCCCCAGCCCCCCTAGTCAACACTACGTGCGTCCAGTGCTGCTCGCCTGTCCTCCGGCCTTATGTCCTTATCTGATCTAGGTAGCAGATAACCAGCCAGGGACTTGGAGATTAAAGCGAGCTGAAGAATCGGTGCTGGGACATAGGTTGTCGAGCTGCTTGAGGTCTGCATACGAACATGGGCTCGATACGCCCCCGCAATGTTGGATACGGTGACTTGTTACCGTCGACCTTCTCTCCATGGCGAGGCGAGGGGTCAGCCGGCGTAACAAACACCGAGAAGAGTGCCACAACGTCTCAAGATGCAACACGGGCTAGTATAGAGTCTACAGCCCAGTCATTGGCACGTAGTATCTCGAGCTCTACTGTAGGACGGCGAGGCTCCTCAGCCTTCTACTCACCACAGTCTCTCAACGCAGTGCCACATGCCACGATACCAGAGCCGCCCACGTATATTGCGTCACCACAACCCGTCGCGTCTCATTCCACGAGTATAAGATCAGGCATTACGGCGCCGACGGTATCAAATATGAATCCCTCTGATACCGAAGGCCAATCAAGCCTACCCTCAGCTACAGGTGGATTGGAGCCGAATATACTAGCAGTCGCAAATGTCGATGCCATGAGAAGTGCTTCCATCATGCCGCAACATCCAGGAGCAGAATCCATCCCCATGTCGGCGATGTACAACCCAACTCCCTCACCGACCGCCATAGTCAGCGAAGATGAAGGCGATACGAATCATCCACTCTCTCAATGCGGTAAGTAGCTGTAGTGGAGACAAACCCTCAAACCTGGCCACTCTACGGATCGTTCGTTCTAACTACTATCGTAGCTATTTCACAATTAAAATGTTACTCGAGGAAAGATGTTTATGTCAAGCGCTGGAGTTGGTTATACGCGACACTCGTCGTGTTATCAATCTACTCAACCGTATTCAGCGGAATTTGGCTTGTTGTTTCCATTGTCCAACCACGATACGGAAGAGGGATTTCAACTGGAAATGGGTGGCAAGTTACACCGTCGACCGCAACTTTACTTGCCACCTTGGGCGCTAAAACCATTGAATTGTCTTTCGTCACGGTATTCGTGGCAGTTCTTGGGCAGGTCTTGACTAGGAGAGCCTTCAGCAGGCTCTCGCGAGGAGTAACACTGGCAGAGATGACAATGCGAAATTGGGTCATTGTAAGTCACATACTGTGGCCAACCCAAGTACCCTGAACTGTTGTCGCTTCATCGGCTAACTCATCAATTCTCGCATAGCAACCAGGGTCACTTCTTACTCATTGGGATGGCATCCCGTACGCTGCGACTACTTTCCTCGGCGCCTTGACCTTAACTGCTACTTTCTGCGCATTGTTCTATACCACTGCATCTGATGCAAGTAAGTTCTCATTCCCACTGATCCCTCCGTATTGAGTATCTCTATTCGGACGCCGAGAGCTCTCCCTACGCCAGGATTATATATCACAAACTTCTACCCATTCCAACGTAACTTCAATAAGCCTACGTGAATCCTATTTTAAATGGCTATTCCTAACTTGATTTTCGCAGTGGTTAGCCCGAAACTTTCTCGTCCCGGATGGGAAATACGTACTCTACAGGGCTTAGTGAAATCTCCCTACTCCAACCCATACTACATTCGTGACACCTGCGAAACTCCCCTTCGCGACCTCGATCCAAAACGCGCCCCTTTTGGATGCCTAGATGTCCTGTTCTCCGGCCAGTGTAAGTCAATGATATTGCTACGGGGTTCTTAGAAGATGCCAGTAAGCTAATAATCTCATAGCATACCACAGCCTCACTGCCTATCTGTATGTGTTAATATATGCCAGCAACCACTATCCCGCTAATCCAACTATAATACAGAGCAGAATGGGACAGCGTACGGAACAGCCAGGATTCGAATATGCGCCAACTCTCCGACAGGCCTACTGGGAAGCATAATCTCTTCGATAACACAACAATGGACTCCCAGTGGATTGAAACAGAGAGCGGGGACGTGGCAGCCAGTTTTAATTCGTACAAGAGAATTATAAATAATGTGACGCTCGCTATGCCACACGCTGGTATATACTCAGCAGCCACCGATCCTATCAATGGCATCCTACAGCCTAGCGAATTGTTGGGCATAGGAGAATATTCCATCAGGGCGAGTGTTTGGTCTCCCGTCATCAACGTCTTGTGCGCCAATATGAATGAAAATGAATTGACGCCTATCGTATATGCACAATGGCCAAAGGCGCGCAAACATGATACCGGAGTGGTTGACGATTGGGAGAATGACATACCACAACTCCCGAATAGTCCGTGGCTAAATCGCACAGATGTCGACGATATCTTCAAATGGGGTGAGAAGTATCAACGTCGGCCACCTATTTTCCCATTGGTATGTGGCCTTCAATTTCTCTTGCTCCTCCGCGCGATATGGCGAACAACTCAGCGACTGGTATATTCTATGTTGAACGACAGGTGTACTGATGATAGTTCTAGTACCCCATCGAGAATAACATGGTCACTGTCCTTCCCAACGATACTAATAGAACTGCGCTGTACATTCTCGCCAAATCCATAAACAACTACTCAGTCTGTCAATTAAGCTCGTGGATGACGAGTAAATGCTCATCAACGTTCAATCTATCAGGAACATCAGGCGGACATATGAAAGCACACTGCGAAGACCCGAACGATAAGAATGCGCGAGACCGCACGATTCCAGACGGCGCGGCTCTGACGTCCAGTCCGTCACCTGATTGGGTGAACATAGCATATGAATGGCAGTTGGCGATTAACTTGAATGGTATGTATTAAAGTTTACAAATACCCTACTTGTGTCTACCCCTCCAGTCTTCTTATACGAGAAGACTCGAAGCCGGTCATGCTAAAAGACGCCGCTGACATTTATTTCTGCGCGTAGGAGGGACCCAGAAGAACAATGCATCCAATGCGCTCATATTAACAAGCTTTGCCCTCGACAAGCCAGAGCTCAATCCACGTCTTCCATCCATGGCAGAGGCCCTCGCCGTACTCGTAAGCAACACAATGGCTACAGGCTCTATCGACAGCACATTCGGACCTGTGTGGACCCACAAAGCCGATGAAGGGGTAAACAATATCCTCTTCAATCCTGTATATGAGAACTTCAGTGCAGGGGTACAGACGCAACAATACGCCTCCGCACACACGTCCGCATGGCAAGTGATTTTCTATCCGATCTTGCTCCTCGTCTTTGTACTCAACGTCCTGTGTCTCCTGTACCTCGCCTTCGGCACAGCATTCACATCGTTTTCCACAGCAGAGCCATCCTTCAAGAAGAGGCACTTCTCATCCTCATCACCTTCTTCCCCGGCTCTTCCGTTCCCCATCTCCTTCACCCGCAGCAGCAGACAAGCCCAGTCCGAAAGCGACAGAGAGAACCTCGTCGACGACACCACCACCGACAACGCCAGAGCGGCGTCAACGTCAGAAAGAGCTAAAGCCGCAAAGGGCCTCGTGACAGATTACACGGAGCCGCAGAACCTGTTCGCGCTGGCGGTTAATTCGCCGCCGTCGCGCGCCCTCGCGGGGTCCTGCGGACACGGGCCCGAAGGCAAGGAGATGGGCGTGCCCTGGCGTGTCGGATACTCCGCCTGTGCGAACCATTATTTCTTCGAGGAAGGGGTACCCGAGAGAGGAGATCCTGGTACGGCTGCTGCTGCAATGGCGAGCGGCGCGGATCTACTGGGCGAACAGCGCGGTCCGTACGGGAAGAGCTACAAGCGGCTTAGTTCGAGACGGGCTTGGTTGTAGAGTGGGAGTGTGTATAGATAGTGCTTAAATATACATGTACATCAAAGGAATCCTATTTAGGGAATTTAACAGTGTTATGTTCATGCTAGAGCTTTTTATTATTTCCTCTCTCATCTACACCTTCTGGGTGCGGTATATGGAGTCATTAGGTGGGATCGGCGGCATGAATGAGTTAGGTAGGTAGGTAGGTAAAGGGGTGGATGTTTCACGCACTGCCTACATACCTACGTGCACACTTACACTACTACTGATGAACTATGGTCATGTTTTTCAGGGTATGAGGGGTTTGTTTGGTCGGCGTGGTATTGATGCCGTTTTTTTTTTCTTTTCTCTTCGATTGGGTGTTGCTATGCAAGGCGAGGAAGAAAAGGAAGTGCGAAATAGGGCAGGGCAGATAGGACAGGCAGGTAGGAGGAAGTGTGTACACATATGTAAGTATCTACACTAGGTGGGTTGTACTTGGAGTAAAGAATCTATGACGCGAGTTTAACTATGACCTCTTGGTATTTCATGTTGTAGTAGGATAGCTAAATTGTATAGATAATTCAATTATGAATCAATCAATCAATCAATCAATCGACTTATCATTTCATCACCCAGTCTTACTTCCTACGAATTTCAACACGTGAAGTTGCACTAGTCACAACCAAGACAAAGCGAATACTATATCCCATTAGATATACGGGACGAGAGAATGTAGTGTAGACAATATATTGATTGATAGTTGCTATGAATATGAAATATTCAAAAATACCAGGATGTTGAAGTCCATGGTTTTCCTTGCTACCGATGTTGAAAAAAGCAGGAGTACTATCGAATGAAAACATAGTGATAGGATAGTTACTTCAGATCAAGTATCATCACCAAGGCAAAACTATCAATCACCTCGTCAGTACGTCGAGCTAGTCTAGAACAACTTATGCTCGAGCGTCATGTCCGACTCCGGCTCCAGTCCGACACAAGCGCGGAAGATATTCGTCAGCGCGGCACGTTGCTTGGCAAGGGCGTTGACGACGGGGGTGCCAGGTGGTGTAAGAGGCGCCTTGAGCATGTATGATAGGATGCTCAGGACACTGTGGAAACCTTTGAAGTCGTCGTCGCTGTGCGCGCGCCATTGGATGCGCGTCATGATCTCTGTGACGAGCACGAGATCGATGATAAGGGGAGAAGCTAGGAGGGAGTCTTCGCAGACGTTGAAGAGACTAGGTGTAGATGTGTTAGTGAGGGGTTTCTGGCATAGGGATGATTGGGGAAGGAGTGTTTTGGGGGCAGGACTTACGAAATCGTCTGGTGGCCGCCGAGGAAAATCTCGGCGTAGTATTCATCGAGGGCCCGCTTGTTGTCGCCGACGGCGGGCATGTACTTAATAACGACGGTGTGATCGGGGTGTTCGCCTTTGCTGTACAGTACAGTGTTGGCCTCGACCATATCGTCGACAACATTGGATTTGGAAATCTCCTTTGAGCGGAATTGTTTCTGGGAGCTCAGGTTCTTGCCGTCGTTATTGCCGAGGTGGTTGTAGCTCGCGATGGAGGTAAGCTTGATGCCTGCGTTGATCAGGAAGTCGACTAGTGCTGATTTCATCTTGGTCTGTCCGGACTTGAAGTCGTCGCCGCCGATGAAGGCATTGTGCTTCGAGGCGAGCTCAATGGCACCTGGGACGAAGGTGTTCTGGGGGGAACCGTTGATGAATGGAGCATTTTCGAGGATGCAAGCTACGGCAAAGACAGTCGAGGGAGATACCTCCTCGTGGCCATTCTCGATAGCCTTCAGTAAGTTCTCCGCAGTATCGTTTACCCCAGGCAGGATGTCGGCATATCGTTCCGTGTTTGCAGTCCACTGGACGATAACCTTTTCAAGTTTGTTTTGCTCCTTGAAGTCACTAAATCACCCGTAAGCTCAAGTTGGCAGTAGAATCATATTTGTATTGGTCATACCGAATATCCTGGCGGATTTTTTCCACATGGGCCATGCAAGCCTTGTTTCCAGGGAGTATGTTATCAGCCCGGTCCTCTTGGTTGGCTGCAATGAAGTCAGGATAATATATGCTCGGGAGAGGGACCATTTGGCCCATTTCTTTCTTGACCAGAGACTTGAGAGTAGGTTCAAGTACGGCAGCGCGATCCATGGCTGCAGCAAGATCCATACTACTGATGTCCCATCCGCCAATAACGAGGTCATTGGGGTGAACAATGGGCAGGACATTATGGAAAGGAATATTGATGTCTTGGTTGGTTTGAGCATCGGTACCGAGCTTCACGGTAGAGCCCATGAGGACAGAGCCGTAGTAGTTGGCAGTACGAAGCCCCTCGCGAGTCTCCCAGGCCAGGCCTCTACGGTTGGCAATGATGCCGGCGGTCACAGTGGTGCCATTGTTGCCACCCCATCCGACCAACATCATTCCCGTCTTGGGAATTTTACGGTCGACTTTGAAGTCGTAGAGCGTTTCCTTGGGCGTGGCCACATACTTGCCGTCGGCGCCCTTGGTCACACTCGTGGTGCGATAAGTGTACTTGGAGCGGATCTCATCGTTAGTGTAAGTTACGTTGGGAGAGTTCACGACGAAGTCGTCGTCTCGGCTGGTAGATAGGTTGATGTTTAGGTTAGCGGCTGGTCCTTCCCCGTACGCAGTGCCGTTGTCTAGTTCTGCGTGTGGCGCCATCTTGATAGCTGGCGATTGGCTGATTGGTAACTAGCGGTAGATCCCTTTATGGGGTGTAAGGCGAGTCCGATGCACTTCCGGCTGGAGAAGAGCAACGGGCTCCTGCGTACGGGTGATGGACGCTGGTCACGAGATTTAGCAGTCTGGCCATGGTGGCAGCAAGGCGGGATGTGGGAGAGGGCGTACGAGTTGAGAAGATTAGAAAACGTCTTGACGGTGTTGAGTGACCGCGGCCCGGGAGCGCGATCGACTTGTGACTTGTGTTCTATGTTCTGTGAAGCCGACGGCGATATGGCGAAAGTCTAGACTCTACAGGTTGAGGGATGAAGTCGAGGGAAAGAGACGACTAGAGCTGGGGGAGGTTGAGACTATTTATTCAAGAAAAACAGTCCGGGGGCGGAGTCTGTCTACTATCTATCTACACTACTTATCTACCTACCTAACTGTCTTCACATGTAGCTAGGAATAGCTGGGTACATGCAACCCAGGCTCTGGCTACACGATTCATGGAGGTACTGGTCTAGTGTAAGTGTACGCACGCGCGCGCACGCACGAACACACGATAATTCAGGGTAGTGAGGGGCTATTGTTCTTATCGGGCCTGTGTTGCCGATAGTGGATGCGGTGAGTTGTTCGCCATGCCCTCTCACCATGCATACCCCGCCTTCTGTTAAACTACCTACGATGCGGTGAGAGACAAGATAGGGGCAGAAAGGTGTCACGTCAACCTGTGTCGGCCGATTCATCTGCAGACTTTCATCCAGTTCTGGTTGACATCTCTCTCGACACGACATCAAGTGTGGTTGAAAATGTTGAGTATCAGTCGGTTGTAGATGCGCCGTGAGAGTGCATATGCAGCGTGATAAGATAGATAGATCAATCATGGAGGGGTTGAGGATACGGGGTCTGATTGGCCCTCCCTTAGGTAATCACTTGACATTACCTAAGTTTTGGTGTGTCAACAGTGATAGTCATCTTACATGACATGACCTCAGTGAATATAGAATCCCTAGTTGTCTGTTTACATTTTCATCGGATCGATTGGTACGATAGGATAGGTACGAGTATGAGATATCATATACTGGGCCCATGGCACACGTTGCTGGACTAATCATATACTGCCGCGTGCTTTGCTAACCTCGGATACGTTTGCTGACCCGAAAGATGTTCGCTGACCTCGACAATCTGGAAGATCCTTCTATCTTAAGAACTATTTAACAATACGCCGACTGATGTGGGCATATATCAACTATTATGTCGGCATTTGTCTCGCTTGCGGATAGTGCCGTGCTGTAACATCACAAGAAGACCCAGTGCCGACTCTGAACTATCAAGTCTTCAAGCCAGCAAACTGCAACGTAGCTCTTTGGTCACACGCTCATTGATTAATCAGGCGCTTCTCGCCTCAACATATACAATTAATTGCCCACGACTACCACACCGCATCTCTGCGTGTGATGTGCGTTCTCCACGATAATCCCCGATCTCAGAGGGAAGCTTCACATTGTCCAGCGTCAACTGTAACCGACATCATTACCTCCTAGGTAGCATACAACATCTCCGCTGTCTAGGATTGTAAGTCTTCTTTCAAAGTCCAAGTCCTACCTACACACATCGTAATTTAATCGTTCTTGGGATAGGCAACAATCAGAGCATCGAGGCCCAAGGCACTCGGTATTTGGGTCCCACCAACCTGTCGAGAGATATATCAATATATCAACATTTGAAACTTGATTCCATAGGTAGGAAAGAAGCCTCAATATGTACGTCAACGACTCTTGGGATCCCCACAACCCACTGTAGGCATCGGAAGCTCCATATGTGTAGCTAATGGAGTACCGAACCCAGTTTGGACCCTCATTGCATCTCCCTTACGCCGTCCTTCACAGCCCTGACACTGCAATACAGCGCTGGAGGCTCTACTAGCTATGTAGTTGGACCCTTGACTAAGTGCCTACCTAGGTAGTGTGGCCTACCAGTAGATCAACACATCCCCTCACCCAAGACTCAAGAGGGAGGAGGAGCTAATTAGCATCTTGCGATGTTGACTACATATAAGTAGTCATGTACCTACTGACTCTGACCTACCTATCCTATTTAGAGAGAGGTGTAGGCTGGTTGTGCGATTAGCCGGCGATCGTCCATCGACGCTATGCTTAGACAGATCCTCCATTGCCAGTTTTGGATAAACAGTCAGCTCTCGTCATCGTCTACCCCGTCCAGCATTGCTGTAAGCAGAGTAGTGTGCTATCCTTCGGGGATTATCGGGAATTTATCTCATGAACGTGTGTGAACTTTAATTGCGATTTAATATGGCATGATCGCGGAGTAGAAAGCACGGAGCAACTCGAGATCGACAATAGATCGCCAGAGGAGAGCTTATTAGGGTCGGCAGTCGAGTCGCTTACCTAGGCTCTCCCCAGTAATCAAATGTAGTTGAGTTGATTGCGCGTGGGATAAAAAACATGTTTTGGAAAATGCCATGGCCAATTGCGAGCCGACTTATCCTATATTCCAGCGAGATATCGATTGGCTCTGGTTGCCGAGCTGCTGGGCAAGCTAAGCGAGCAGTCCTTCAATGCATTATTGATGAGGCTACGCCTTGATTATACTTATTGAGCCGAGAGAAGCCATAATGGCGACCGGGGTTATTGGTTCTTCCTTCTGAAGGAGTTTGAGCAGAAAGTGGGAGAGGCTAGCGTACGGCGTTAAGTATTTAGTGCGAGATCATTCAGGTGGAACTGGGTCAGGGGACCTGATCGACAGGGGTCTTTCGTCTTCGTCTCGCTCGGCAAACGAGTGGCCTGACGAAACGAGCTGGAGAAGCGTTAGACCAATGTCTCGCCGAGCGGAGAGAGCTTCGTGCCGCGCCGGCCTATTCAATGCACGCACATGCACGCAATTGCCAGGCGAGGCGAGCGTCGATGCCGTCATGAAACAATCTCCGCCAGCTCGGGACATGATTGGAGTATTGGGAGGCCATGGCCACGATCTCGACACGCATCCGGATCGATGGAAGAGGCTCGCTGTTTTCGAGATGCAACAGAGTGCCGACTCCGCCTCCACAGGACCACTTTCCATCATCCTCATTTTCCATTTTGCCCGCCTCTGCCCGCCAGTTGGTTGCCCATCCTGGACCGCAGATCTTACCAAATCGAACTGGAATGGTGCCCCCCATCGCTGCTTGCGGATCCATAATGCGCATCAAGTCAGATGCTATTGTTCGGCTCAATACACAAAACGAGCATACAGAAATAACGATTAATTTACCGGGGGACCTATCACAGGGACTGTGGCCCTGGAACTTTCGCGGCTATTTACCTAGTCTGGACAAGTACGACTGTTAGCGGAGTGGACCGATTCCTGCTACCATCTTGAAGTCAGTAAGTAAGTAATGTATTTGCCGTGTTAACGTTACCTACTAGGTATTGTCTGGTGTTTCGCCGTACGGGTATGAGCACGATATCAAGTTTAGAGAATGAAAGCAGGTATTGTGAAGCCCCTTCTGGAGGTGTTGGTCTCCAATTAAGTAATAGCCGCAGCATTTATTGCTAAACGATGCCGAATATACGAGGGCGGTCGTATGCATTAACCTGCATTGCCAGTTCTACATGTCCTGTCGGCGACCAGCACCAACACTAGGTACGCTACTCAGTGCATACACTCTGCTCCACTACTCAGAATACCTCTAGAATCTCTAGAATCTGTCGAATAGATTGAGGTCGAGATTGGGGAATGACGAGTCGCGTAGGTTCTTCGAAATTGAGGTTTCATGCCAGAAACGAAACGTAGTAGCCCCCATCCCTAGCCACTTGTAGCCCTTCGCAACCCGTCGCAGCCCGCCGATACAGAGCACGAGACCTTCTCTCCTTTGGTTGCCCTTTGGCCAAGGTGAATAAGAGCCCCTTTGTCTCAGCCAGGCGTCGAGCGACGTTCCATTGGCCAGCAACGCTCGGAGCTGTAAGGCACCCGTGCCAGCCCTGAGGGTTGGGAGGGTTGGATTGCGGTACGACCACACTTGACCACACAGGCGAGAACAGGGACCATTCGACAAAGGCACCTCATCTCGCAGCGCGCTAGGCCCTTAACAATTGTAGTGGCGTTCGTGTTTCATTTCACAGCGACATAAGCGGTTACTGTACCAGCATGCCGACACTTTCTCGGCGCTCCTTCACACCTCAAAAGGGGAGGTTCATGACTGGCAGCATTGGAATTATTCTCGAATTGTCGACCTTCTAGTGCACCATGACATAATAATACAGAGCCCAGTTGCCTCTTGCGGAAGCCGGCATTGCTGAATACATCACGCCTCATCTTGAGTTGTACAGTCTGGGGACACCAGCCTGGCGCCTCCAAGGCCAACCCATCACAACCAAGGACAAAGCTAGGGAACCTGAATGATTGGCTCCCTTCTGCTTGCCTTTCTTGCTGGCCGTCAGACAAGTTGACCGACAGACAATTGACACAAGGGTTTAAGAGGAGAAGACAGGAAACGAGTCTCACCACTTCTATATATATTCAAATACACGATTCCTATACCTGTTGTCTCCCCTCTCCTCCCCTCCCCTCCCCCCTCTATCCCTCTCTTGCTCCCTCTTCCCTCCGCTGACTCGAGTCTCACCTCTTTGCGTCCTTCTCCTCCATCCAAACAACGAAATATCGACAGTACATAATACTAGTGCATTCCCAGTACTACACTACGAGTGCTGTAGTGTACACTAAGGTAGTGCCTAGTCTTATCCTGCGAAAAGTGCCAAGCGAGACAAGGGTAGTGTAGTGTATACACTAAACAGCCGTGCATATCAAATCGCGACCAGGGCCCAGCGAGCGTCCAGGGGTAGTTGTGCAGGGATATTCAAGACGCACTCTTGATACAACAGGAATAACCACCCTCACCGATCTTTGTGTACACAATTCGAGTGCCCTCAGACTTGACCTCCTTTTCTACCAATGCATTATCACGTTTGTATCTAGAGTGAGCCCTCACCGGAACCCTATCTCAAACAGAGCCGCCGCGGAAGAACTCGCCGGAAACATTCTGCCAATTAGACTACCAATTGTGTTACTCTTAGAGCAGATCAATTCAGGGAGTTGTCGGCGTGGCACAACAGAGATCTTCGATCCTATATGCGACCCCCAGTCTGCTCAGATCCCCATGACCTTGTCGGCTACAGCACTTCCATCGAGCAACTGTCGAACTCCATCAACTGCCTTATCCTTACGAACATTGTGATCGCCTAACGCCTGGACGTACTAGGACGACTCACCGCGGTATAGCTTAACGAATAGCGAAAGAGTTGTCAACTATCAAGCGATCACGAACGAATGATTATATGGGCGGAAAACACGTGTATTAGGAAGCTTGGAACCAAGGACCACAATCATGACAGACTTATCACGACAGTCGGCTTTCATGCCGACAATAAAATGCTCTAATTGCGGGAACCAAGTAGAGATCTCTATGATGGGGGAGCACGTCTGTGGAGGTGATAATGAAGCCACAGCGACAGAACGTATGTTAGCTTGTCTTTGAATATGATATCTCTCTTGATTTGCCTTTGTTGACCCCGTACAGCTGTTCCACCAATGCCAGATCTGCTTGGTGGCGCCTTCACATCATTCAAACAAAATGTATTCGATAAATTTACTCGTGCACCACCGACAGTGGACACCTCTGCAGCAAGTAGGTCGACCATTTGTTACTAGTTGATGCGGATCATATCTTCTAACCTCTCTCTATCAGACCGAACATTTGCACGGGACCAGTTGACGCCGGTCAGTGCCTCTACGGGATCCCAAGCCATATCACCAAAGACACCGATGAACGGCCGTCTTGGGGCCGGATCAACCAATGACGACTATTTTGCGCCGGCTATCGCAGGATCTCCAAGACGACCTGGCGGCTATGGCGGGTTTTTGGCAGAGACAGAGCCAGAGACAGAAGAGGGAGAGGCCGCATACGGGACAAGCCCTAACAAGCAGACAACAAATCTTTTAACGAGAATGAATAGCATAGCACCGGGACCTTTCGAGGTTGCCCGAACTCGTTCAGCTAAGAAGAACGCGTTTCCCCGGACTACCAGTAGAGATGATAACGCAGACTCGAGCGATGATATTTCAAGGCTAGGATCATCGATTGATCGGCCTGGAACATCGGCCTCCAGTTCTTCGGGGAGGAGCGGAAGTATAGCAGCGCCTAAAATGCCACGGAAGAATGGGTATGGTGGATTTGGGCCACCGCAGAGAGAAGGGGAAGACGCTCGCCCACAACCTCTTCCTTTTGGCAAACGGTCGGAGACTTTCCCTGAACAGACTCGAAGATCAGGTGAAAATAATTCGCCGATAGAGGCTCCTATACGCACACCATCTGCGCCTGGTCTGCGACCAGATAGATCAAGCAGGCCGTCGACACAGAATGGGGATAGACCTATAATGACCAGTGACCGGAAACACCGGCCTTCATATGGAATCAGAGATACGTCGCGTCCGCCACCGCCACGGAAGAGCTTAATACGGCCACCAACGCGAGACGGTAGCCTTTCAATAAATCTCGCTGATGAATTTGGCGCCGGTAACCCTTACCACTCACCATCAGTCTCTCAATCCTCGAGCAATTCTGGTTATAGTCACCAGTCTAGAGCCAGCAACGTGAGCTCAAATACAAGCCCAGCTCGGTCGGTAGGATCCCGTTCCGAACCTCGGCGGCCATCTAATTCGGCGAAAATTGATGCACTCATGGATGATTTACAAAGCTCCATGAACGAGTTGCAACCAGATGTACCAACAGTACAGCCAATGTCAATGTCGAGAAACGGTAACCAGAGATTAGCCGCGCCCAGGCCAGAGCCATTACAAAACTTGCGACTAGATCCAGCTGCCCAAAGCGCCCGAGATCACCTTTCCGAATCTCCTATCTCACCCAGGAGTATCCCCAACCCAGACCGGCTCGACGCCTCTCCCTCCGAAGCCCAGAGCCGGTCGCGATCCCAGACGACCTCCACCCAGGGCTCGAGCTCGCACAACCGCCAGCCGTCGCGGAACCCGCGACCCCGCGGGAACTGCAAAGCGTGCCAGGAGCCGATAACAGGGAAATCCATCGCGTCCGCAGACGGGCGTCTGACGGGGCGGTACCACAAGGCCTGCTTCGTGTGCGCGACGTGCAAGGAGCCCTTCAGCTCCGCGACGTTCTACGTCCACGAGGACCGGCCCTACTGCGAGCAGCACTACCACAAGCTCAACGGCAGCCTGTGCGGGTCCTGCCACAAGGGCATCGAGGGCCAGTACCTGGAGGACGAGGTCCCGCAGAAGTACCACCCGGGATGCTTCCGGTGCGGCGACTGCGGCGTCGTCCTGCGCGACGGCTACTTCGACGTCAACGGCCGGTCGTATTGCGAGCGCGACGCCTGGAGGCGGATGCAGGCTGCTCACGCGCGCGCCCAGCAACAGCAGCAGATGGGCCCGCCTGCCTCGAAGAGACAAGGCTCGACGGCCGGCCCGAGTCCAATGCCCCAGGGCATACCCAGCATACGCGAGCCGCCGCGGGGCCTGCCCTCGGGCCCGTCCTCGAATCTCCACCGCCCGTTCGGCCTGCCGACGGGCCAGCGACTGATGCCCGGCCAGGCGCTCGGGCGCGGCGGGCTAGGGCCCATGCAGAAGATGGAGAAGAGGATGACGAGGCTGGGGATGATGTGAAAAACTCTTTGTAACGTATCCTTCGCATCTTGGTTATACCTGTGCCTTTATGAAGATTCCTCGGGTCCTCAACTCTTCGCACGCGAACACGCCACTCTATTCTTTTCCCCTCTCCAGCACTCTTCGTATTTCCCAATCGAAACCGTCTTGTCTTGTCTTTTTTCCCCAAGCACTCGCATCTAGCAATGGCGTTCCGCGACTACGGGGGAATACATGCATTTCTATTCCAAGATTTCGCCTTTTGCTTTTTTTTTTTTTTTTTGGCTTCTTTTGGAATTCTTTGCCCTTGTTTCGCGCGTTCGTATATACCCTATTCCATTCCGTTCCGTTCATCTATGCTATCGTCGCACCTCCCTAATTTCATTTCCATCATTTGATATGGGATTTGATACCACAAGGTCTTACCTTCGCTTTACATCATATATATGTATACCCCTGTGGGCATGCTTTGCTCCGTAGAAGTGCTGGTTTCGGTTCTATTGTTCTTGGGAACTTCCGGGCTGGGAGGAGAGGAAGTCCCTTTTTGTCTGCGCTAGGAATTTAATTTTGAGGGGAACTTGGTGGGGGTGTCTTTCTATGTTCCTTTGAGGGGTATAGGAGATAGACAGGTCTGTTGCATCTTACATGCTCATCTAGAGCCTCACGCTGTGGGAGATATCTACACAGACCGACATGACAGACAGACAGGCAGGCAGGTAGGCCTCGGCGAATTTACCGCGTGGCCGCTGATATTTCATCAGGCACTACGTGGAAAGAGTCACAATTACTCACTCACTCACTCACTCACTCACCGATGACGAGGGCGATGCGTGCTTGTCATTGAGCCCAAGCCAGTCAGTCCGTCGAAGACAAGAAAAAGAGGAGGAAAGAAAAACAACAATAACAAATAGCATAGTAAATGCAATAATACGTTAAATCACTTTTCGAGGTTTCTGCCTATATATCTGTGCCTCCTGTTTTTTAGTGCCATGCGAATGACACGGGATTACCTAGGTACCTAAGGTAGGTAGCGAAATGCATATGTCATGTAGGTAGAGTTTGATCATATTATCTCCCCTTAGGTAACCTGTTCGTCGTGTGCAACACGGGGAAGATAAGCTCGTATCTACAGTACTGTCCTGATGGATCGGATGACGGTGGTGACGCAGATGTACCGGCACACGAAAGCGTATCCGTGCCGTCTATTTAGGTAGGTAGGATACACGAATTTCTATTCATTCAGTCTTGCGTTGTGAAGCGTGCAGGCAGCCGTGGCGGCGCCTGGAGCAGGTTGCACGACGGTTCGTCAACCTGCTCGGCTGGTGTTACGGTTTTGAAACATGGTGGTGGTGGCTTGTTCGGTAGATGTTTTGTGTAGCTACCTGCCTTGCTGTATGGATACTATGAAGAAACGGATGTCATATAGTAGGTAGTTCTTGCAAGGGCCTACTTAGATCCAGTGCATCTGTTTTTTTTAGGTGTGTAAAGTCCGTAGATGCAGCAGTTGGACCTTCTGGCAGGTAGAAATGATAGCATTTCTTAGGATCTCATTTATGCCAGCCCACATACCTTTAGTACCTATTCTTCTTTTCGCCTCCCGAAAGTACAGCATGCGTTACTGAGATGAACCGGACATATATAAGTTCAAAGCCATCAAATGCTGCTCTCTAGGCAACTGTTCGAAGGAGGAGAAGAAGAATGGGCCAAACACAAAGTGTAGTAGCATTCGCTGGCATAATGGCCGGTGGTTTCGGACTTGCAAGGCCAAGGTCGATAAGGATAAGGGATCGGAATCTTGCTGGTGGACACGGGACGGCACCGCACAACTCCGTGGCACTGCCCTTCGGATGGTCGTCATCACATCACATCACGTCACGTCACATTTGCCGTAAAACCACTTCCTGAGTACATTGCACAAGTACCTGACTCAACTGGCCGAGTCGGTGATTGTACGAAGTATGGTGGTGACACTAGATGTGCTGATATGTTGTCGCGTCGCACGTGGTGTCCCCAGCAAGTGGAGTGGAGGTATTTACTTTCTTCATCCTCGGCAAGATGGGATGTTAGTGTTGTTATAACTGCCCTTTGGGATCGGTGAACTAGGTACTATGGTACATAGTATTGCTGCTGTATTCCTTTGCGTTTCACATGTTCTTAATAAGACAGAATAAGGTATACATAGAAACCGTTGGTCATGCAAGTGAGCGGCGTCGGTGCAATGGCGGAGCAGAAAGGAAGTGAGACTAAAATGACGTTATGTATGGGGGCGTGCGCATTGGACGGTCTTGGCGCCGGCGCATGCTTACTTACACACCTAGTACATATACGCCCTCCCTAGCCCCAGATGGCGACGGTTTAGTAGGTATTTGGTATTTTCGCTTACATGTTCGAGAACATGTTCTAGATGGATGGCGTTGTGTACCTTGAAATTTTGGCGAGATTGTTTTTCATCATGACTTACACGAGTTCGCAAATCCAGGGGTAACGGTGATAGGAAGAATGTAGGAGGATACCGGCAGACAGCAGCAGATGATAGGAGAAGCGCTGTTGCCCCTGGCCGTAGGTAAACTTTAATTTGGACAATCTGAAGATCATTCTTCGAATTTAGATCTGATCTACCGACGTCACTCAAACCGTTTGGTTTCGTCAGCCGCTTGGGTGGACAGGGTGGATAAGAAGGTTCGGTGTTGAGACCTAGCTTGTAACTCCCAGACGGTCTACTGCCAGTCAAGCATATTCTGCCCAAACGTGGTAAACGAAAAACTGCTGATGTTGGTATGCTGTACTCTGTTTGTTGTTATATTTACCCGCGCAGACGGCCATCAGCACCAGGCGCCATGCCATAGGTCATTCAACTCCATATTAAAAAAACCCCATGGCGATCAAGTGGCTCAGAATTAAAAGTCTGACTCAAGAATATACCTCACTATGGTGGTTAGTCTGAGAAGGAGGTTGATGATCTTAGTGAGATACCTACTTATGTTCACGAACGCATCATCAAGATGGGGACAGTTAACAACTTGAAGCCCCAACTACTGTGTGGGTACGTAGGGAGCTGCTAGTGCCGAGACATACATGCTGTAAGCCGTCGATCATGTCTACCTTACGTGTACATTATTATACTACCATGTATATCACGATTGTCTATTGAGGCTGTGTTGATGTCTGCAGATCCAGTATGGTCGCCATGAAATGAAACGAGAATACAGAATCAACATACCTACCTAGGTAACCTTAACGACGGGTTAGAGTATACAATAGCGCTTCTCGTCTTTCACAGATATGGCCGAGCTTGGGTATTCTTCTCGATACCCAAGTCGCTATATGTACGAACCTATATCCGTATATTCATACACGTAAGCCGAGTTCGACCCGTGCTCTGCCCGTGGTCTAATGAAAGATGTGATCTGATTTTTATCTCGACCTACCTCAGTTATCTACATAGGTATGATGTTGAGCGGTCAAGTACTTAGGCGGTAGATAAGCTCTGAACGAACGAGTCCTTGGCTTGTTCCTTCCAGTCTCTGCCCCAGTCCCTGCCAGAATCCCTATTCAAAGCTATCAGGAAGCTAGTAGGCGGCTATTAGGGGCGCTAGCACTTGCCAACTACCCCTGATAATCATCAACGGCTTATGAATTCTCAAACACTAGTGTAAAACTTCTCATTTTTGCCGCTACCTACTTCCATATATACCCCACGCTCTTGCTTGCTCAGACTGTACTATGTAAGTAAGTAGGTAGGTATTTACCTAATGGCCTGGATATTCAGTACGCGCGTCCACTACACCACCCTAACGGACCCCCTATCTTGTAGGTACCGCTCAGATGCCGCTCTCCTCTCCTTTCTACATCCAGCATACTGCCTACCTAGGTAAAGTATCTCCGGTATGTGAGGAAGTGCTGTAAGTACAGGAATGAGCCAAATAGGAGATATCAAGTTCAAAATCTTTCGGCCTCGCACTCCATCGCACTGTATCAAGTGCACATCTAGTAGACACTCTCTTGTACCTTGTACATAGTTTGTAAGGTGTTTCATACTCGGGTACCTTCCTGCGACCAGAATCCGCTAGTAATTTGGCATACCTAGCACGTTATCTACAGTACATTTAGCGTACAGTTGTAGCAGACTTGACGGGTATGTATGTACCCCTACCGTATTCAAGCAAAATCGAAATGTACCCCCCAAGTCCATACCCCAGTCCCAGTCGGGATCGCCAATGCTGTCATCCATGCTACCTGCAGTACGGTACCTACACTTCTCGACCATCCATCCCTTCCACGACACCTCGACACCTCGACACCTCGCTGGTATCTGCCGCAACAGCTCAGTCCGGTTTTCTGTCCTGTGGATGAAAATCCCGGGCTTGGCGATGCGCACACCATCCACTCTTTCTATCTACAAGCTGTACGTGTACTCCATTCAACATTGATGCTTCTCTCCTCCAGCTGCGTCGTTTTATATACCTATCGCGTCTACAATTCGCCCTAGAAGCCCTGGCCTATGCGACTTTCCAACTTTCCACACACTCTCTCCCTCCCTTGTACATTTCTTGCTCACTCCCTCGTACAGTACCCTATTTCTGCCGACTAACGGCCGGTCTAGTCTCTGAGGACCTCACCCTCGGCTTCTTTGCCCAATTCTTGTGCCCAGTTGTACGACCACCGGGTTCGCATTGTCCTTTTGTTTGTGGTAGTCCAGTCTTTGTCCAACCCACAGCTTCTTTACGAACGGCAACACACCTCCCCGCTCCGTGCCGCCCGCCACGTTCCCCTGATGCTGCCGCTCTGTTAATTTACGAATCGCCTGCCTTGTGGGATATCAGTTTCGACGTCCTTTGATAGGAGTCCTTACGTTCCTTACCTATCTGCACACGCCTTTTCCCAGCGCACACCGCCAAAGCAGAATTGTCTTGACATTCTCTCTGTCTTGGCATACTCTATCTGCCAGATTGACTCTGGGCGTCTCGATACGAATTCTGATTTCGACCGCCATGTTAATATCCTGCAACTTATTCTGTTAGGTCCTCGCAACACCACGCGAATTATCCGCTAGTTAGAAGGGTATACTCGGCATCTAGGTCATAATAAGCAATGTTGGCTGTACAGCCCCGGCGGTGGCTAACAAGGCCAAAAGGCCTGCTTGTCTTCGCATTCACTGTGACCACACTTTATTGGCTCATGTTACACAGTTCGAGTCATTATCGAGATGTAATTCGGGAGAACCCTGCAGCGGTTGCAAACGATGCACTCAAACAGCCGGTCATAGAAGAAATAGATGATGGGGAAAACCCGAACCACGTGCCTAGTTTTGAGGATAAGATGAAGGAGGCGCAAGATGAGCAACAAGAAGCTATACGCCAGCAATTCAGACTTGAATACGACCAGCTAGGCCGGTGAGTCGTTCAACAAATCCTGCATCAACGTGCTGGGATGGACTATTCTAACTTTACCATAGCCAATCCGGGGCAGATGCTATATATGGCAAGACCTTAAACAATCTGGACATCAGCAAATCACGGTCACGCAGCTTCGAAGCCCAGCTGACTCCCGCCGACACTCCAAGTTACTTCACTACGCACAAACCATATGTCTACAACCCTTACCCAAAGCACATGCAAAACAGCAAAGGGGGATTGTATGTTCCTTGCGACGGTCCGGGAGGAAAGGTAATCTCCGACATAAAGGTGTTCAAGGGAATTCCGAAGGATTTTCCCGAGCCTCTCATTGGTGGATACGACATTTTGGAGATGGATGGCGATCTGTGCTTTGAACGTGAGACCCGGCTTGGTATGTACGGATTCCAAAATGCCAACGATACCTCCGATCCATCGGTGGACTGGGATAAAGTACATTGGGGTGAATTACAAGAGAAGTGCGTCCAGAAGAACAAGGCTCGATTTGATTTACAGGGCCAGCCAAACCCATATGTCAATTCAGTTTATTCAGACAAGAAGACCGCCCCGTTCATTGGTGCGGACAACGAGCTAGATCTTGAGGATACACCCAAAGGTCGTGATCATAACGATGATCTCAGGAGGGGCTTTGGTGCTTCTAACAAGCGACCCACGTCGGGGACATCTCGCCCCGAGAACGCGGAGTCTCGGTCAGCAATTCTACTGCGGACATATACTGGAAAGGACTATAATGAAAACGACAAGCAAGTGATTCGTGCGCTTATCACTGAGCTATCACTGCGAACAGGTGGTCTCTATCAAGTTTTCTTACTTGTCCATGTCAAAGACAATGCCTATGCGATCTGGGATGATGAGGGGACTTATCAATATGTCCTCCAGCAAAATGTCCCTGCCGAGTTTCGAGACATAGCAGTGCTATGGAATGATGAGGCCGTACAGGCCATGTATCCGAAATTAGACCCTTCCAAAGCGAACGTGCATGTATCTCAATGGCTGTCGGTCCAGAAGTTCATACAGGAATTCCCCGAATTCGATTATGTTTGGAACTGGGAGATGGATGCTAGAATTACCGGCCAGCACTACGACTTCTTAGAGAAGTTGGCTGCCTTCGCAAAGAAGCAGCCACGGCGTGGTCTTTGGGAGCGAAATGAGCGTTACTACGTCCCCTCTGTGCACGGCGATTACGACACAAACTTCCGAAAGGAAGTAGAGGAGCTTACAGGAGAAGATACCATTTGGGGACCTCCCGATTTCCCTTTTGTTACTCCTGTCGGGCCAAAGCCTCCCGTGGCTCAGCCTGAAAAAGATGACTACCAATGGGGTGTCGGCGAAGAAGCTGATTTGATTACCGTAGCTCCGATCATTAATACCAACTTCAGTGGCTGGGTTGGTGCTAATGACGTGTGGGGATTCAACGACTCATCACACGCCACTCAGCAGCTGCCACGACGGGTGACTATTGTCACACACTCGAGAATTTCGAAGAAGTTATTAGACATCATGCATGTTGAGAATTTGCGAGGCAATGTAATTGCTTCAGAGATGACATGCCAAACCATAGCTCTCTTGCACGGCCTCAAGCCCGTTTATGCACCCATGCCGATGTTCTTCGACAGGCCGTGGAAAGGCAAGGACATTATTCGATGGTTCAACTCTGGTGAAAAGGGCGATAGTGGAGGTGATAACTCTGCCATTGGCTGGGGACGCGAGGCTAGGTATGGCGGAATCACATGGTACTACAGAGCAGGTCCGCCTCAACGACTGTACAACAACCTTATGGGGTACGAAGACACCAAGATGGGCGGTGAGGAATGGGAAGAGATACACGGCCGCCCATGTTTACCGCCAATATTGATGCATCCGATTAAAGATGTTGCTCCAACGGAAAGCGGCTACGAAAGTGAGTCCCGGCTACCGTTTGGCTAAGATGTTGGCGAGTGGAGGCTTGTTACACTCTAGACGATCGAGTCTTCGCGAAACATCCAAGCCCACATAACGAGTCGGCCTTGGTGGGAGCACAAAAACTTCATGGCATTGTTTGGCGTTCACATTCTGTAATTTTCACGTGTGCTATATTTATAGCCACGATGCATTATCTGGGCGTCCTTGACCTAGTTTCTTTTTTCTTTTTGTTTGGGAGGATATACCATATCAGGGCGCAGGGTGCACTGATGGAAAAACGACACATCATAGATTATAGATGGATGGCAGATCCAGGAAAAGACAGAAGGGTCTGATACATACGACAAATCACCTGTACGATATTTCCTATCCTTCTGTTCAACGCAGGGCATACGTTTGCCCTCACATCGCGCATTCGCATTCGATACCATGGAAACACAGGTGCATCTTGGTCCTCTGAAAGGACGGGGACACATGTATAGCATTAACCGGTGAAAATCAATACGAAATTCAATGGTGAATTTAACCCATCTTCGCCCAGACCCATACCAATGTTGATGTAATCAACGAGATATGTGCACTAGGTACCGTACCTCCTTATTTAGCTACCCCACACCACACTACCGTCGCTGTAACTCGCTGTAACTCGTACCAGTTCACTGGGATGCCGGATGTAACGTGGGGGCTGAACTTCAGCTGAACGGCTCTTCTTCAACCCATCAGCATCGTTATTTTCGGCGCCCCGATACGCCTCTGACCTTGGCGCGCAGAGGGGTGCTTACAAGTGCTCCCTTGCTGCCTGCTGCCTGCCGGGGCATCAAAGCTGAAGGTATATAGTTATGCGTTGTGAAAATTGGGTAGGGTTTGAGGATTTTTCCTCTGATTTTTTTTTTGGAATGTTTGATAAGAGAAGACTTCATGCGAATACCGATATTGGTATGATGCGCAGAGATGTCGGGTATATTATCTACGAGTCCAGATAATGGTGATGATCCGAAGTATGGAGGTGGTATGAGAAGCGCGGAGGTAAAGACTGGGGAGGAGACGGCTGGTGTACATGGGGAGTTGTATGTTGCGTGGACTTCGAGGCCGCGGCGTTTGGCGGCTCCGAGGGTAGATGGCGCTCGTCGAGAGAAGGTTGATGTTGAGTACGTTTTTTTTTTTCCCCTTTCTTAGCGGGATACGAGCTGTCGGGACTTACGTGTGTTGTATCACCTCCCCTTAGTGCTGTCGTCGTCTTCGGACTCGCTGATCGTCCGCGTGAACCGCTGGGTTGGCTCTGCGATCACCTCGATCGGAATGAGGGCGATTCTCGCATTTTGCACTTCGGGTATCATCCGAGCCAGGTCCTCACGCCGGGGCACGCGAATTTCGGTATCAATTATCTTGCGGAACGACTGCTTGGGGAGTTGGTGGAGTTACGGGCTAGTGGTGTGGTGAGTAGTGAGTGGTGCACTTTGGGCTGGAATGAGTTTGCTTATGTTTGATGGGTTAGAAACGTCCGATTATTTTCTTCGCGTTTGATGTTGGATGTGTGGTTGTGAAAAAGGTTCGTTTATGTCCTGAGTTGGGTTGAGTTGGACCATGTACTAATAATCTAGGTAGGCACTCACGATCGCGGCGAAAACGAAGAGTTTGAATGGCGAGGTTTTTGATGCGTGCCGGACACTTGTAACTCGCCATGGTCTATTCTTGGTGTTTCGGCTTTGCTGATGATTACAGGTGTTTTTTCACTGTCCGAATCGGAGTGGTAAGTAGCCCCAAGAGAAACCCCTACTGATAGAGTACCGCGCTCTCATAAAATAGAGACTCTGTTTTGGTTCGATGCAAGGTCACTAATTCGACGATATAGTAAATGCTCTTGACATGGAAGATAAGCTGGCTCGTCTTCTCTATGACTCAAGAAGTCAGGTTAGGCCTCATGTCGCTGCTCTCCCTGGCCTGGCGGCCTCGATACTGGAAATCAACGAGTCGTTCATAGCGTCGAAATTCCTGCTTCGAAGCTACATTGTTAGCATCCATGATGATGTTATGCTGGGGTTCGAGGCTTGGAGGGTGCGTAGTATTCTCTGCTTCCGCACCATCTGCTGGTGTATCTAACGGGAGATAGGAACTTGAACATCACATGTCAGCTTTGGTGTGTATTATCATCCCTATTGCCTAATTATTTAGCAAATCTATATCCCCACATTCGGCATGCTATTAGACTAACTGGAGCGTTGCCACGAGACATCATTTCTAACAAATAGATTCTAATAGGGAACGCCATTCGAATGGCGTATATTTTGTCACCGACAGACGAACGTCTTTGTGTCTCACCTTCTGCGGTGGCTCCGGGGACTCGAATCAATGCCAATACTTGGAACAGAAGCCTCCCTCGCTGCGCAGTTCCCAAAGTTGCCGTTTGACGGAGAGCGCGCTCTCCTTAGTCTAGCCACGCCTACGGAGCCGTTCATCGTGGCGGGCCATTCCGCGGCTCGCATTGAGCTGTCTGACGTATACTCGCAATGGTTCGACTACTCGGGAACTCAGGTCCTCTATGTGTATTCGGGTAAAGACAACAGAGAACTCGTTCGACGGACCTCTGAACAGGTATTCTACCATCTGGCAGACCTGCCGCCGCGGGGAAATAAATTGCTACTAGTTATGTATTATTCTTTCGAACATGTCGACGCTAGATCATGCTCCTTGTCTAGTATGCTTTGGACTTTCTTGTCACAGATTACTTCTCAATTTCCTGAGATAAGACATTTCATACCCTTCATGCTAGACCGGCTTTACGAAGAGCAAGCATGCACTGAGGCGGATTTGCTCGGTTGGCTCGAGTTCTTCATAGCTCGCTTCGACGATATCCGCCTTGTCATCAACCATTTCGATGACTGCCTGGAATCATCGCGGGACGCCTTCGTACGGTTTGTTGGACGAATCGCAATGAAGAATGACAGGCCGATAAAAGTCTTCCTAACTAGCAGAAAACCTGCTACATTACAAGCCGAGCTCTCGGAGTGGCCAAGCATTGATCTTGATAGGGGTATTAATCCGCGAGAGACAGAAAAGGGGGCAAATCTGCATCACGACGGACGACGCCAGAAACTTGAATTAGCGCCCGAGCCATCTTTTACAGTCCCAATACGACAAGTTGTGCAGTCATCCTCCACCACACCTGCTGCCACTGAAGCTGCTGACTCCTTAGCGCTATCCATTTTGTTGGAGCAACACCTTCAGCGGAACCTCACTACACAAGAAATACTGCAGGAGACTACCCGAGGTTCTTTAGAGATCTACAGCTTAGAAACAGTTCTCGATCGTATACTCCGGAGCATACCGGATCAAAAGCAGGCACGGATAGCAGTTGCTTTCCTCCTATTCGCAACGCGACCGTTGTCGACCAATGAGTTCGCGACGCTCCTGTTCCTAGGGAGCGTTGTGGACAATGGGGATCAAGCTTTCCCATTTTGGGATCTTGTTGATCGATTCGAACGGCAGAGAAGAGCTTGGTTCGCTGGTATTACTGTGAACAAGCACAGCGGGATTCAATTAGCACATCCGCGCCTAGCAGAGGTGCTTCGAAGACCTGAGACACCGGATTCTCCACGCTATTTCTGGCATGAGGTTGCGAGAACCGCGCATTATGATATGGCTCATATCTGCTTAGGCTACCTTGCTCGGGATAAAGTCAAAGAGGAGCAAAATCTATTGTCCGAGAAGCCATTCATTGTCGATAGCGACTTGGGCTTCATCAGTTATGCGGTTAGGTTCTGGCCGTACCACTTCTCACTTGCTCAACTTACCTCGACTGAAGACGAAATGAAAGACTTACGACGGAGAATGGATGAGGTTGACCTCAGCCAATGGTCAAGAACTCTTGTGAGTTTCAGTGCAAATACTGCTAAATATTTTGCTAATCTCGGATAGTGGCTGTTGTCAAACCCCTTCTGTCGAAGCAGAAATCCCTGGACGTCTCCGATCCCAGCCCTCTTTTATCTAGGTTATCATAACATTCTTCAACCGATCAGCCCTTCAGATATCGCACTGGCGATAGAGGAAGCAGCCCGAGTTGGTAACACTGAGCTTGTTAATAGTCTTCTTGGAGCAGAAGAGGACAAGTTATCTGATTCTGTTCTTCTCGAGATTATAAAAGCTGCGAGTTCAAGTGGAAACGAGTCTTTGACTTTAGAGCTAATCGATCGCCTCTCACCCGAGGGTCGCGGTCAATTATTGGAAAGCGGACAGACTCTCCTTTTCAGAGCTGCACGACTTGGTTTAAGTCACTTGGTAAAGAAACTCATTGAAATTGGCGTTTCAGTTCACCCAGAGATTCCTTACTCCAATGGCACTTTCGCGACGCCACTTTGTATAGCTGCTGTTGCGGGACATACCTCAGTCGTGGAAATCTTACTGGATCACGGAGACGGTACCGAATTTCAGTCTCATCTCCAACGCACCCCGTTATCTCTAGCAGCATCGCAAGGGAATGCCGACGTTATCGAATGTCTCACGAAGAAAGGCAAAGCGAACATTGAGCACGTAGACGGCGGTGATGACGTCCGAAAAGGAACTCCGCTCCTTATCGCGTGTGAATGGGGGAATCCTCTTGTAGTCGAGAAACTGATAGAATTAGGTGCAGATCCTAACAAAACCGACGATAATGGGTGGGCTCCGATTCTGGTAGCCGCGACATTTGGGTATCGGAGGACTGTGCGGACTCTACTAGACCACGGCGTCGACATAGAGACGCCAGGACCCAACGGGTACGGGACGGCTCTAAGATACGCACTTGCGAACGGACGTGTCGAAGTCTTCCGCATGTTGCTCAGCCGAGGTGCGAATCCTGCTAGTTCGACATTCCGCGAGCCGCTCTTGTATGAGCTCGCCAGCCACAATCTCCCAATGACCATCGGGAACCGCATCGCCCTGGCCAAGCTTCTCCTCGAGGAGCACCAAGTGGACGTGAACGCAACAGGCATTCGAGGCAGGACAGCGCTAATACGGGCTTGCGCGAGGTCGCAAACCAGATTTGCGACGTTTCTGCTAGGGTATGGCGCAGATGTAAATCTGGCTGATAAGAATGGGTACACGCCGCTCTTTGAGGCTACTGAGGCGCAGAACTTGCACCTTGTTGAAGTTCTCCTTGAGAAAGGCGCTGATGCGAATGTGCTGACTTCGACAGGGGAACTTTCACTGCATGAAGCTCGCCATTCGCCTGATTTGACGCGGTTGTTGGCTGAACGGACGAGAGATGTCGATTATCCGTGGCCGAAGGGGGTCACTCCGCTAAGTATGATTTCTTCTAGATCTTTATTCTCGTTGGTCCTCTTGTGTGCACGACAGTCTCATGACGGAATGTTTACTTCTGAATTCCTATACCCAACTACACTAGCTACCTTTAAAATTGTCCTATCCATCAGCAATTACTTACTCCCGGTCTTGAACAGTGGCTGCCGCATCAAAGGGGTGGACACAGTCTGTCAAAGTCCTACTCGAGCATAAAGCCAACATCAATGCAGTCTTTACCAGCGGAGACGTGTGGGTTGGCTGGACGGCAGTTATGTTCGCTGCTTTCTTCCACTACGCAGATATACTCCTGATCCTAGCAGAGCACGGGGCAGATCTAAAGAAGGCGGGCGCGGACGGTGCTAGCGCCCTCCATCTAATCTTCGCATCACCTGCGTCAGAAAATGGAAGAGAAATCGAACTGGAGTGTCTGGATGTCTTGCTGGAGTTCCGGACGCGCATCAATATCGACCAATTGGGTGAAAACGGCGAGACAGTTCTACATCGGTGTGCGCAGCGCGGCCATCTGCGGGCTGTGCAGAAACTCGTCAGGGCCGGCGCCAACCCCAATCTTCAAGATAAATCCGGCTCTACGCCGTTGGCTGTTGCTGTATGGGATGCTAGACACGATGTCATATCGTATCTCCTCGAACACGGCGCCGATCCGAATATCGCTGGAGACGGTCTTAATCATAAAGAGGGTCCTCTGCACCGGGCGTGTCGTGACTCTGACTTTGCTGTGGCAAAGATGCTGGTTGAGCATGGGGCGGACGTCAATCGCGACTCTGTCTCTGGTCATGGGACGCCTTTGATGGCTGTTTGTTTGCCGTATTCTAAATATCTAGATGGTACCGATAAGATCATCTACCACCTCTTAGAACTGGGTGTAGACGTTAACGTCAGGAGTCGTTACGTAGGTAATCCCCTGGCCGCAGCTGCTTTGGCTTGCCGCCCTGAAATTGTCCGCGCCTTGCTGGATAGGGGAGCAGCATACGATGGCGAAGACGAGATGAGGAGAAAGCCCATTCACTTTGCAGCCCTCAATGGCGAGGAGAATTTCCGGATCATTGAAGAGAGAGTCGGTAACGAGATTGGAGCATTTGACGTCCTTGGCCGCTCGGTACTCCATTACGCTGCGCAAGGGGGTCGGTTGCGGGTTATCAAGCGCATCTTCGAGTTATTACCAAACTTGGATGTCGACACACGCGATATTGATGGCTGGACTCCGCTGTGCTGGGTAGCCAGAGGAACGACCAGCTGGATTTCCGAAGATCGCGCGAGCGAACCGACTGATCCTGTGGGCGTAGTCAGATACCTCCTCGATCGAGGCGCTGATTGGGGTATCAGCTGCAAAGTTGGCGACAAGAACTGGACTCCGCTGGAGATAGCTAAATATACCGGAGCACCGGATGAGATCATCGCTCTTTTGAAAGAGAAGCACAAGTCTGATCCTCCAAGCAGCGGTGCAGGCGATATTGGCAAGGACGTCAACGACGTCAACACGCCGCCGAAGGGTATGGCTATAGAAGGAGTCACTTGCGATGCTTGTCTCTGGGTTAGTCCGGACCGTATATCTGTTTAAATCATAACCAACTAACAAGACGCAGGAGATCCGCGGTATCTACTATATGTGTAAAGTATGTTGCGACTTTGCGCTATGCGAGAAATGCTGGCCCCATCGCGACATCACACACATTTTTGAGTCGCCTCATGATTTTGAATACATAGATGAGGAAGCAGAACACAACGCCCATGGGATATTGAGCGAGGAGCGAACAACTGTTGACACCGGTGTTACTCCGGCTTCTTCTATTACTTAGACCTCGTAAGGATGGTGACGACAGCTTTGGTATCTGGTCTGATACAGTGATGAAAGACAATAGGTCCTCGTCCGTTCAGAATAGCGTCTGAGAGCTACTGTGATACCAGGTGTTGTGGAAAGCTTCAAAGAATACACAATCCATTCACCAGCTATACCCAGGGAGCTTTTCTTTGTCTCGAGTTACCTGTCTTTAGTTTATCTATGCCATTCATGAATTGACCTTGCCTTGGAAACACGAACACTGAAGCCTTGTTCTGAAATCTTTGTGAATCTTTACAATCCCATTATGTCTTTAACCAAATGCAAAGAGACGGGAGAGCTCACAGCGTATATAAATAGAGCGCATAAGATCGAAGACAGAAGAGGTCTTATTAGTTTTATTAGTTTTACATTTCTCAATAGCTTATCACCCTTCCTAGTACATACTGCTACGAGCCCAACATTGAGTCACCATGAGTCCGCGCTATACGCCAACGAGTCCGTCTTTCTCATATGGCTATACACCAATGAGTCCGACATACCGGCCAACGAGTCCTATTAGTTGCCAGAGCTATGCGCCAGTGAGTCTGCCCTACTTTGCCCCCTCTGATGCCCTTCCAGAGCCTCTCCCTACCCTTGAGCAAGTGCTCTCTTGCCAAGATTTTCTCGCACATCCAAATGCCTATTTATATAAGCGGGTGTCGATAGTTCGCATCGGCAAGTTCGTTGCGAAATACGGCAAGGATGTAAGGAGCGTTGAAGGTGAGACAATGTTACTTGTAAAGTCCACTACCGCGGTCCCTGTGCCAGAGGTCTACGCTATATATACGTTTGGCGAAGACGACGAGATGACCATGCTCATCACAGAGTTTGTTGAGGGGCTTCCCCTTGGGGATTATCTCGAGTCCATGACCGTGGAGCAAGTAGACAATATTCAGAAACAGCTGACTGCTCAGATGGACATTTTGCGGTGCATTCCCGCGCAGGGCTATTACGGTGCTATTGGCCGGCGACCATTTATAGACCCATATTCGTCAGAGGAGTACGGTCCCTATGACGAGTACACGGATTTTAACACGGCATGGTTTGGCATCTATTTCCCTCACAACGATACTAAGCGTTTTACTGACATTAAAAAGTTCTTCACGATAAGCTTCGAGTGCATCGCTACAGCGAAACGGCACACTTATCCGGTCTTCACCCACGGAGACCTTCATGAAGAAAACATCATTGTTCGGTCGTGTGGGACGCCGGTAATCATTGATTATGAAACCGCTGGTTTCTATCCTGCATACCACGAAAGACTTGTGATGCAGAATAATAGATGCCCGCTTGACATCCTGAGTGAAGAGTTTTCAGATGAGTGTGAGATGGAGATAGATGCTCGCAACGCATGGAACAAAGCTGAGCGAGAGCGGGAGTCCGATGATTTCATAAACTTGGATTATTAGAAGGCGAGTATCGACCGAGATAGAGCATTGCTAGTACTTAGCTTCATGTAATAGTATATATACAAAGAACCACGAATTGTCATAAGTAAATTGTTCACTTTGAAAACTATGAGTCCCTTATAACGACCGTCTTGACTTTATAGATATTGGTATTAACTTCCGGCAGTAACGAACCAAATCCCTCTAAGAGATGATTTCAACTCTCAACAGCTTCTACTTATTTATATCATCTAATATCATCTAATATCATCGCATACATTGGCAGATCGCGCTTAGATACGCAAGAAATCAATCTAAAGCATAGCACTTCTCAACACTAACCGGGTCATTCCCCCACCAATTCGGCATAGTTATGACCTTGCCACTTCCAAAGAACAAGAAAATAAGCAGCAAGTTCAAGTTGAACGCGGCATCAAACGCCGCAGCAAGGATGAAATTATATTTCGCCCAGAGTTGATAGCGATATCGATACGCCCAAAACATGACGACAAAGCCGCCGATGAAGCGAGAGAGGTAGCCCGTAGAGATGTTCCCGTAGAAGATCGCGGCACCACTGCAGAAGATCGTGGTGTTCCATAGATGGAATTTGGCGCGAGGAAAGCGACGGTGGAGTAAGTAGATGAGAGCTGGCGCACCCGCGCCGAAGAGGAACGCGTAGGGGATCGGCTTCCATTGCTGCTGCTGGAAGAGTTTCGCGGGACCCTTGTTGATGAAGGAGATTAGTATCATTCTTAACATGCGCATGGTTGACAATCCAAATCTTGCTATACTCACTATTAGGACGTATTGTACGCCAAGTGTCAGATAACCTGCTAAGTACTGGCCAGTCCAGATATGCGCTGGGTCCTCAAGCTCTCCAGTCAGATAGTCACGCTTGGTGTTCAGCACCCATCGCATAGCAGCATAATTAATCGGGACGCCGAGGGTGATGCCAAGGACCTGGGAAAAGAAGATCGCGCGCTGGGGGACGTGCATATAATGTCCTATCTTTTGGTCTTGAAGCATATACTGTGCTCTGTACCAGGCATCCCCAGCTATCGAGCCATATACCTAGGAGGTATCAGCTAAACACGGGTAGGAGAGATTTGGTGGATGACTTACACTTGCACCTATGGGATTCCTGTGATGACTAAGGTTCTGGACCATAGTCCCATATAACAACTCGTTAAAAGTGCCAATTGGTAGTTGGAAATTACTGACGGCGTAAAGCCATCCTAAGGGTATGACCACTACAGCGCCGGTCGCCAAGGCCACGAAATAAGTCCACCAAGGTATGAAGATTAAGTCTTTCGCAACGATGGTGATGATAGACCTAGAGAATCTTGGTTAGTGATCGCCATTTTCTATGCGAGGCTAGGGGAAAACTGCTTAGACATGCTACCAAAACATGACTCGATCCGTACAGCAGCCCTTATATGCTCAGGGGACAAGGCGAAGCCAAATCAGAAGCTGAGAATCACTCACACAAACGACATCGAGAAGAGAACCAAGTACCACCAAAATGGCACCTCTTTATAAGATCGCATAAGCACGTTCAACCGATCCGTATACTGATGATTGATCCCCTGGCCAGGACTATTCCTCCGCGCCCGAAACTTTCTATAGGCTTTTCTGATATTCGAAGCTCCGAAGAACGCGATCCAGGCATAGGCCGAGATGTACGAGGCGTAGTCAAAGAATATGGTCCAGAGGTTGTGCACTCCAAGATACATAGGCCCCAGCTCTTCGTAGGCGGTCTGGTTGAAAGTATTCGAGGACGTGACAAGACTGGCGACGGGGTATATCTCGCCATCAGCGGTGCAAGCTCGGTTCGTCATCAAACAATGGCTATAACCTCCTAGGCCTCCCCATTTCGCCGCTGGAAGTAGAACCCAAGCACTTAAGACGAAAGAGGCGAATAAGACGACTTGCGACCACCATGGACTCAGAAACAGAGGCACGCCGGCATTGTAATTCGATATATTAGCCCAGTCGAAGCTGAGATTGAGAAATCCCATACCGCCAAGGCCCGAGCCAATGAAATTCGCAACGGGATTGTGCGGCGCGACCCAGCATAAGAAAGCGAGGGAGCTGAGGAATGGGAATACGAACTCGGGCAGGAATTGCCAGAGCGTGATCCCGAGTAACACGAACCAGAATACTTTGAACTGCTTCCGGGCCGCAGGCGACGGGTTCTTGTTCTGCTTAGCCTGCGTCTCGAAGAGCGCGGTCTGGCACAGAGCCTGCCACCACTGGTACGAGGGCTCGTAGAGCAGCAGCTGGCGCGCGATGGCGGCGAAGGCGTACCCTGTCGCGTCGATCGACCACATGAAGAATATCGCCGCGGCGGGGTGCAGGAGCTCGTTGAAATACAATTCGCCGACGGCGATGGGCGTCGTCGCGAGATTGCTGGTCGCGCCAGAGGCCGCGGTGACTGTTACCAGGACATGTTCTTTGACAGACCATGGGCCGGGGTTCAAGTTGAACGACGATCTTGTGAGAGGGATGCGGATCTGGCGATTGGGCAATACGCGGGCGAGCCACAAGCCCACGTAGTTTGAGGCGATCTGGACGAAGAACACCGAGTACGGCGCATATGTTGTCCGAAACGTGTTTATCTGAGAGAGAAATGCACCCGGGACAACGAAGATTACGGCCAATATGAAATATCTAAAGGTGATTGTAGGCAACGTCGCTATCTCGAGGGTCAGAAGGACGCCGAGATGAGATGGGGATAGAAATGCATACTGTCGTCGTGAAGACTAACGACTCGCCTAACCTCGGCAGGGATCTGGCTGATCTCAGGGTCATCCTCAGCTTCCAAGTCAGCGTCTACCTCGACGAAGCTCTCGACCTTCTGCTGGACACCACCATTCGTCGAGCCATTCTCTTGTTGCGGCGAGGCATGGTCGTAGGTGCGTTTATGGAGAGCATCGTCCTCAACTGGCTGAGCGCTAGTTGTCTTGGCTCCAGACTCCTTGAAGCTTGGCGCACTACTGCCGGCAGACATCGTGTTAGTCGACTTGGCTGCTCAACGACGTCTTGTGTGATTGGAACTCGCAACGCCAGCAAGTTATACGGCACTCACAAAGAGAACAGGGAAGAAGTTTCCCGTTCCTTTTCCACACTTGAAGCCACGATTTTTGTCTGAGGTCACAGACGCTAGCCCGGAGGCTAAAACGACGTGCACTAGAAGTCAAATCGCGCCATCGCTCTAACGAGACAAAAGCTGTCTTACCTAGGTAGATGTTGGTTATAAACCCGGCAGCGGGATATGCGGGGTGATGAATATCCAGGTTGTTTCATTCGTTCAGGTGCAATATCAACCTCATGTAAGGTTACATGGTGTTAGGAATTTACTCCACGCTGTTTATTAGATCGGGCATATCTCTGTGGTCCGGCGGAAACCATCTATGGCGAGCCATGATCCCTAGCAGAACAGGAACATCAACCGCAATGCCATCAGTAGGTGAGAATATCGCTCATTTGGACTTCATCCAACTCTATATTAAATCCATCAAGTGCCCGTTAGATGAATCCTCTTGAAATGGGTTTAAATTAGACCATACGCAGGAAGGTAGTAAGAAACCTCATACCTATTAACCTCTCTACCCAACAGCACCCAAGCTCTACGTTTACTAAGTTTCTTACAACTTTATATGAGTTAGTTAGCCCTAGGCCTTTTACCGAAAATGACCATATGGATCCATAGTGGCCGTATAGTGGCCGAGTTGGTACGGTCTAGCGAAGTATAAAGCGTTATACACAGCGATTATCATCCTTACTCTGCAGCGCTAGGCACCGGGGGTTCGATTCCTTCGTTGGCCGAACTCTCTTTTTCCCTTTTGGTTTCACTCTTCCCCTTTCGTGATTCTTTTTCTCCTGTTACTAGGGAGCGAATAAATCGGAACTATGTACTGATTTCGGTCCTTAGGCATCGGCCCTTGTAGATATAAGAATCCAAACGGAACAGTACGAGATGCAGAGCTATCGGGGACAAGAATGTTCAGTGAATAGAGAATAGGATATGAACAATAAAACCCAGGGTCTTTGGAAATTCGTTAGCTTGCAGGTGAAATGTCAGAACGGCAACATTAATATGTACCTTAGCATGAGAAGGTATATGTTGATCACAGCTCTTACGCATAGCTCGACAGAAGCCGAAGTCCGGTGAATAACATCCACCAACGGGTCTACGAGCAGAAGATCTCTATTCCGGTATAACACACACTCTATCATCTCACCCCTTCTTCCTCAACGAATTATAATGCTCTCCAAGACCATATCCATGGCGATAATACGCAAGCCAGATCGTCCTATCCCCCTCCTTCCCATTATCCCCTCCACCGACGCCAACCCCATCACTATTCCCCGGCCGTATCGTCTCCGTCCGCCCGTTCTGCACAACCCTGATCTCAACCCGATACGCGCTCGCCAGCGCAAGCAACTCAAGCTGTCCCCCCCACTCGGCCGTGTCCCTGATCTTCGAGACGTAGCTCGCAAGCGGCTCCTCCAGGAACGGCGCGAAATCATCCGCGTGCGCCTCCATGTACGACGTCGCTACCTTTCGCACGAGTCTATACGGAGGCTGCCGCGTCTCGTCCCCGTTTCCCTCGTCATTGATCATAGAGTCAGAGGTTGTCGAGGAGATCGGGATCCCCCGCTGCCCTAGCTGGTCCGCGACCGCGGAGAACAGACAGTGCCCGTCGGGCGCGATCTCGTGCTCCGCGAGCCCGTGCGCGCTGAACGTCTGCGCGAGAGCCCGCCGCTCTATGTCCCTGTGGTCCGTCATGTTTGCCGCTTCTTGCGAGGCGGCCGAGGCGGCTAGTTCGCGCTCCGCGGCGCGCCGTGCTAGACGGTCTTTCTGGCGATTGCGCTTCTTGCCGCCGCCGCCGCCGTCTTGGTTTTGTGTGGTGGGTTCTGAGGACGGTAGGTCGAAGGATACCTTCGTATCTTTCAAGCGATCCGTGATGTGATTTACGTCTGTGGCTGTCTCGTTTGTGCTGCCTTCATTTTCTGTCGTGACGCCGTTGGGCTCTTCTCCCCCGTCTTGCTCGTCGACATCTTTGTCTCCGTTTAGCGCGTCGAGTTCGAGTTCCTGGCGCTCCTTGAGGTCTCGCTCAAGCGCCGCACACTCGTCGTTGACGCCTTTCCTCGTCTTCTTCGTTGCGTTCTTCTTTTTGCTCGTGATGCGTGATTGTAGGTCCCGCTGTTCTTTGCGATGCCGCGCCTGGATCGTTTCTAGCGTCTCCTCCATGGCGATAGCTGTTGTTTCAAAAAGAAAAGAAAAATAAGGTTCTATATCTAAGAAAATATCTAGGGCCAGAATTGCTCGTCTATCTTCTTGTCTTGTTGCACTTCTGATATTGGAAAAATAAACTACAGCTCTCGCCTAGTAGCTAGCTGAACGTGGGGTTCTGACGTGGGGTAAAAAGAACCGTGCTAGCGATGCATTACAGCAGTGGGGCCATAGGCGACTGCTGGCCCTCTACCACTTAGGTAGGTAGGTACCTGTAGGCAGTAGGCAGTAGGCAGTTACTTACTACCTTACGAAGTAGGTACTCTCAAGGCTCATGTTGAAATGCTCAACAAGAGTTTACTACAATCAACCTAAGTAGGCATGAAATAGAAATCAAAGGCCACTTGCAATACGTGGTGTGGAGAGTTTTGATTCTCTTCCCAGTGGGCTGGTCAATTTGCATAAATGCCTTATAAATAGAATACGAATGCAGGGGCTAGAAGTTGTGGGTGGAATAAATTGATCGTTCAATTGGGCCTATTAATAGCATATAAAACATTCAGTAGCTTCTCCGAACACAGTCGAAAAAGCCCAGAAGCAGCCTGTGGTCATTATGCTGCAACTGAAAGGGTTTGAAAGGTCGAGGTGTTGGCCCGCACCTGGCCACGCTCGTTCCATCTATCCAGTACAGAAAAGGGAGAAAAGCAGACAAACTTATGACGCCGGGTCCTATAGATGGTCGCCTTTTTATACACAAACTGGGATGCAAAGTGGGATGTGCCTCTGTGTGAGCACGACACCCGTCTACCGTCTTGCGAAGCAACACATGATTCCGGTCTTACCCAAGAACCACAAGCATCCGATGAAGCGGACGAGTGATAGGATGGCCGTCGCAATGAGAAGGAATTTGAAGTAGGCGGCAGTTCTGTCCGACGTTTTGCCCTAGATCGTATTAGCATAACGACATTCCAATAATGGCGCTTGTGATTTATACTTACACCAATGCCGAAGGCGGCGAGGCTGTCGCTTGTCACACCAATGATGAGTGCCAAGTTGGTGAACAACCACGTAATGACGAGTGATGTACGGAAAGACTTGTACGAATCTTCCAGGTCAGGCTTGTCATCTTCCTGGACCGACTTGAACGGCGCCAAAGCACGCTTGACAGTTTGCTCGAACTGACTGTCAATATCCTCCTGCGGTTTTTCCACTTCTTCTATAGCTGCTTCACCTTTTTCGTCTTTCACGACTTGCGCAGTCGGCAAAGCTTCCGCCTTATCCGAACCCTTGGTACCCCATGAAACATCGTGCCAGTTGTTGAAGGCGTAAACGTTCAGGATATTGATGTAAGTCGACGCGAAGATCAGATATGCGGGGAAGGAGTGGAACATGTGCCAAGGGTCCAGGTAGAGGAAAGACGCAATGTAGTACAGCCCAAAGGTAGCCAGCAAGGCAACAATGATGATACCGACTTCAGAATTCGTTGTAAACAGTGATTTCAGTGCATCGCCAGCGTCACCTTGGAGCTTGTTGGCATCGCTCGTGAAGGCGCGGACTACCAGGTAGATCGAGAGGATGATGATATAGAACTGAATCAAACCAAACACCGCAAATGAAGCCATATACTGCCATTTGGTACCTTTAGGACGATTACCCAGCGCGAGGATGAACTGAAGGATGACAAATGCGACGTAGAAATACTGAAGAATGATGTTGATAATGGGCGTGGCATCATCTCCAAAGGGCCAGCCATGTTGTCCTGTCGCTGGGTCAGGATTACCAACTAGATCCATAATAACCGTTGTAGTCAAGTAGTACGATGCCAAACTGAACCAAGTGAACAAGACGTTTGCGACGTTGTAGATAAGCTGAAGATGGAAGAAGAACATGCGAAGGATATTATGACCGCTCTTGTACATCCGACCGAAATGCATAAGTGAATAAAGCGAGGCAGCGAAAGAACCGTTGAGCCATCGACGACGCTGGCTGATGAATTCCGGAGCACCCTCAGGCACATCGGTCTCACCCTTGGCCGCCTTGATGTATGTCAAATGCCATTTAGAGCCAGCTTTAGCAACCAGCTCGAAACATAGAATTCGATCTTCAGCCAAAAACATGTTCTTTTTAAAGATGTTCATGCCTTCGATACCCTTCTTGCCCAGGATCTTGGAAAGAGTATGGTCACCGTGGAAGTATTGCTCCAGAGGGCGACCCATAATTGCTCGGAAGCGGTAGGCGGAGAAGGCACCGGGAAGCACAGAAACGTAGCCGAAGGAGCTCTCGAGGGGTTTATCCAGGATGTTAGAAATCTTATACTCAAAGTTCTGCACCGCCACTAGGGGATTGATGAGTTTCTTGCCGCCCTTACCCAACATGGCGTGAATTTCACCACAAGCACCACCGAGATCCTTATCGTTATAGAAACCTTCCCACAATGCTAGGAGTGATTTGGCTCCTGGCTTGGTACCGGCATCGAGGAGAATACAGACTTCGGGATTTAGAATACGGCCGAACGCGTTAAAGAGCCAACGGTGAGAGTTAATCTTTTTGCTGTTCTTCTGCTTCAGACAGAATATCATCTGAACTGGGGGGAGCGTCTGCGGAGTGTCCTCCGTTGGTGACGGACGAATGAGCTGTTGGTTGGGTGTTACGGACAACTGCGTGGTGTATTCGAAAACATGAGCAACAGTTTCCTTGCCATTAACCTCCTTCTTGACCACACCGTCTTGAAACACACCGATAGTTGCGAGGACATCCAAGGTTTGCTTGTCTGCTTTCTCTATACCATCAAAGACAAAGCAAACAACAATCTTCTGCCAAGCGGGACCGCCCTTGTTCCAGAAGGTAGACTTTTTCAAGTTGACGATGTCGCGAATGTTCTGCATTACACCATGCAACGTTCGAGCGAAGAGAACCTTGTCTTCGTTGTAATAAGTGATGGCAATGAGAAGCTCGGTATGTCTGTTGTACATCCTGGGGCGAAGATCGTATCCATTCTTGAGGGTGAAGTCGTTAGGATCGCAGGTAGCGGCTGTGTATCGCATGTTGACGAATTCACCGGTGCCACTCTCATTGTCTGCATACTTGGGCTGGACCGAGTTCTTGATGGCACTGGGAACAGGATAATCCACACTGAGAACGGATCCCTGAACAAGCTTGACTTTTCGCGTGGCATAGCGCTTCAGACCACCAGGTGCGCCACCTGGTTGTTGACGCCGCAGCCAGCTCTCTTCAGAGTCAACGGTAGATGCTGGTCGGGGAGTACCGAAGCCGAAACCAGTGTCTTCCAACTGCTGCCCAGCGAATCCACCTGCATACTCATTGTTATAAGGCTGTGGGGTTTGAGTCGTGGGAGGAGCGTTTGTCGCGTAAGACTCCGTGAGGCTGTATGCGGAGACAGGACGCACGGGAGGTGTGTGTGCACCTAGTCGATCCTGCTCGTAGTGGTGACCGGGCGTTTGACCGAGCAGATGATGCCGTTGCGCTTCATCGTCCTCTGCATCAGCAGGGGGTAAATGATACTGGGAGTCGCGAAGTTAGTCATGCAAACCTAAATCAAGCCGAACCCAGCATTCTGGTTAAAGTTAAGCTCTTGCACATACCGTGCTGCCTGCAGAGAGGTCTTGAAGCCGGTGCCCGTCATATTCGTTATTGTTCCCTGGGGGATTGTACGCCATGTTTGCGACAAGCTCAGCGAGCCGTTATTTCGCAGCAAAGACTAGAGATCCGTTCTTTCTTTTCCAGACCAAGTGTGTAAACCTACACCACGACGTTCGGGGGGATGGTTATGTTGATGAAAGCTGTTGGGCGGAAGCCTAATATTGCTGGATGAGAGAATGTTTAAGGGGTAGCGTAACGTAACAGCTCTCGGATCATCAGCGTTTCCCCCCACAACAAAGAGCTTCAGTGGAAAAAGCGAAGGGACTGTTTGCAGGAGATGGAATATTAGTCTGCAAAGCAACGGGCGAAAAGGAACGAAGATGTCAAGAACAGTGTGATGTGATGGATCACCCAGCCTTTGGGAGGTAGGCAGGAGGAAAATCTCTTCGGCGTGGTAAATTGTTTCAGAGGGAGAGCAGGGAGACGGTGCATGGGACAGTGACGCCTTTAGATAAAGTCGTGTATTTTCTAGGCTGGGATCTGCGCAGCAAAGCCCATTCATGGCCTGAGAGTACCTGTGGCCAAGTACCGGGCTACCGTAGTATGGCTGCGCCTTGGTACTGTATACCCGTCCTCGCAGTGAAGCGTGTACCCAACCTCCATGTACCTCGCTCTATTCAGCAGCTGGCCACAAAGACGATGGAATACACCAACCAGAAGCCTGGAGATGGACCACTCTGCACTAGTCCGTGTGGCTCAGCTCAGCGAGCAGCCCAGGAGATTGGCTATGTCGCCCCTAATGATGGTGCTAGTACCTGAGAAGCGTGTGCTGACGTGAATACATACGAGGATTCAGTAAGTACCCAGTACTTACGAAGTAAATATCTACCTACATACTTGGGTATGCTCAGTGCCTGGTCTTCGCAGTCCGATTGTAGCAATTAAGAGGCACCTCGAACCTCTCTTTTATGTGATCCCCATTGGGAGAGTTAATGCGGCGTGTTCTTTTCATTGCCATCACAAATACTTGTCAACACTCCCATAGGAGTCCGTTTAAGGCGAGAATGACACATTCTTTGGCTATCTACCTACCTTTCAAGACACGACTACTAGGTATAGAGCTGCCGTTTTGGTTGGCATCAAATCGTTCATGAATCAAGGGTTTGTCTACTTCCAGTACAATAATAGGTAGGATTGTACCACCTTGCCTGACCTCCAATGACGGATCTGAGCGGATAGCGGTACTACCGACCGGTGCTAACTAACAAACAGCGGCATGCGCATGGATGGCCTCAAATGTAACGTCTCGATGCGGCCTTCTTAGAACAGCCAACTACAGTCCACCATATACGTCACTCATGATGTGGCCATACACCCGGTGGCATTAAATCGACGGGACTAAGTGATAAATATGGTAGTATGCTCCTCCATTACACGTCAAGTGAGTGCACCTTACACAGGACGACACAACTCCTAGGTACCTATGTAATACCTAGACAAAAGGATGGCGGCTTTGTTAACCGCAGTATCCATCCATCCATTAATGGCCTGAGTCAAGCAGGAATTATTTTTACTCTAGGTACACGGTACCTAAGTACTTAGTCTAGTTTCAGCTGACAGACGCGGCTCAGCCACAGCCTTAAAATTATGTACCTACAGCTTGTGTACCTCCCTACAGTATAAAAGTATTCTCTGCATTCTACCAACATTATCTATGTATGTACGCTAATTCTGGAGACGAACCCCTGGTGCTACTGAGGAGAGGCAAACTATTCATTCGCTAAAACTCTCCAGGCAGGCGGATACTCCTCTGCTGCGCCTACGCGTATGTATTACGCGACAAACAGAAAAACCAGATCCTGCTTGCGGTCTATTAGCATCCTCACCTACTATATGTATTAGTATAGCGTGATGATAAGCAACAAGTAGAGCGGGCAGGCACAATGTTTCTACTGCGCTGTTGCAGTTCAGATGCTCCCTTGCTGTCAAGAGAGAACCTCGAATTGAATCCAATTGCGGAGAGAGCTACTTCGTAGGTACATACACACACACACACGGACACGTGTACTTGGCATCTTGCCAATGGTGCTAGAAGTTCGTATTTCAGGGGTTCAAGTCATCTCCTGAAATTTACGTACGCTGCCTACCACTTGGATGTACTTTACCTACCAGAGGTACCGGACGTTGCGGTGTACAAAGGGAAGGGGAAAAGGTTTCTTGGAGAACGGAGGTACACGATGGCAGGTAGCACGCAACCTCGTGCTACCATGAACTTTTCCACATTCTACAGTATGTAAGTACCTACCTAGTAAAGGATTTCTCGTGTACACTGTCGTGCCACTGTACAGCATACCTACCTATGTACCGATATACCTACTGCAACTATAAGGTAACAGACAAACAAAACAGCATTTTGCAGTGAATTCGGGCAGTTATTCGGGGGTGCAATGACTGGGCTGCTTTTGTCGCCATTTGTCTTTTGTTATTTGCGCTGAAACGAACTGCCCCATGTTCTGATGCCGCTACGTGTACCCTGTTCTCTGCCCTGTCCTTACCAAAATTTACCTTAGCATGCATGTGTGCCGCGCCTGTAATCTGCCTGTAATCTACCTGTCTGTTGTGTACTGTGTAGTAGGTACCTGGGTATACTTGGCAGGCAGAGAAAACAGTGACCCGCGTTCCCGGAGATCCTTCTCATGCATCTTCTTACGTGGAATGGTACCAACAGCACGTTCATCACCGAGTGCCGTTTTATTTATTTTCTATTTTGTTAGGCGTTCAATCTTCAATTAGAGAATTAGACGACTAGTAGAGGCAAAGAAACTGCCATCGTTTTACATATAGAACTAGGTAACAGCTGTGGGCTCTACCTATGGATATATATAAAGGTAGGCGAGGTAGGTACTTATTTGTGCTGTTCTGGAAAGAATCAGGACGCCTTAAGTAGATCCACTACTAGTGCACGCTGCAGGCAGGCTATGGGGATTCCGGCCGGTGGGAAAAGGGTCCGGAGGCTGGTAAAAATAGCAACTCTCAAATAATACAGTGTGCTTCTAACATATACTGTGGCTCTTCTCACTGTATAGATGAGGGAAAGGGGAAAAGTCAAAAGTCGCCTTGGACTTTTAAGCATTTCTTGACAACCCCGAGTTAAGGCTGTGTCCCTTTATCCAAAACTCGTTCATGCCGCTCTTCTACTCTGTATTGTAAGGCCAGCAGATGATCTGATATAGGTACATTGTCTGATGCAGTTGTCGACAGGTGAGCTTGTTCAGTACCATCGAATTCTGCATGCTACTAGCAAGCAGTCTACCGCCTACTACGATATCTTTGGATATCTTGTTCTATACCTACATCTTACATGGCGAGCCTTTTAAACGCAAAGGAGCCACAAGAGAGCAATCTACAAGACAAAAGCCCAACACAAGATACCTACACAACCTAGCACGGTGTATTTGCCAACATGCATGATTTTGCTGTCTCACATCAGCATCTCTCACGTGGTCCAACACAGACCGCCTAAGTGAAATCCCGTTGCTGCATTGGGTTGTATATTATAATATGAGTGGTGCTTCCCCAGGTCAGCGAGCAATCCCGTTGGCCCATCATCATAGGCTGGGGCAGAAGCTACAGTTGATGGGCTCACTTACATCTTTGCGCGTCTGTGAGTAGGGTCCTACTTAATTGGTATATCACTTCTTAATGCCAACGCGCGTTCTGCCAGGTCCTAGACTGCGGATCTGACTACGGCAAGATCCCGCGAATAAGTTAGTACGACTATATTATTGCTCCCCAGGCCGGGCTTGTATGAAACCCCGCGTCAAATATGTGAATCCTCACGCCTTCATGAAGCAGACCTGTCCAAAGTGGTCCCTGGGACTCGTTAATTACAAGGCTGGTAAAGCAAACTCATAACTCGGCCCAAAGTTACAGTTCAATGTGAGTGACGGCTTAGATGATCTCTCATTGACTGGCCTGGTATTCAAGACTCTTGTTGTAGCAAGCTACAAGGTCATTGAATCGCCAAGTCATCCATAGTGCGTTGAGGAAAAGAGAGATAGATGGCTGGCCTGAAGGCCATGGCTATCTAGGTATTCGTCCTCCCACAAGCAAAATATTGAAATGCAGATGACTACCTACACTTGAGTAAAACAGTCGACAACAAATGCCTCGTGCACTAAGATATATAGCACTCTATCCCAAACACGATACAAAGCTCTAAACCAATGATCACCGTCCCTCATGGGAGAAGATTGCCGGTCTAATAGCGGTAGAATCGTCAATTAAACGGACCGTCCCTTGCTGCTGTTTTTTTCCCCTCCGTGCCTAGTGTAGTAGCTACCTATTAGGCCATCGTCAAGGGAATACGGGGTTGCAGATCAAAGCGGAGCTGCGCTAATTTGCCTGGACTGATATCAGGCTGGCTGGTGTTCGTCGCACGAATACAACAACCCATATGAGCAACGATGTGAGCAACGATGTTCCGGGCCAGAGCTGCTAAATAAGATATGTAGCTGACGCCGAGAACGACATACCTAGATACAGTCAATCCTGTGTTCGACGGTAAGCACGCAAGATCTGCAAGCAATCTGAACGGTTTTTTTTTTTAATGTTGATCTCCTGTGGCGTCCTAACGCAGGTAAGCAGATCTTCTGGTCTGGCCGCACGCCTCACGTTCCAGAAGGCCAGCTGCAGTTAGTTAGTGCAACATTGTACCAATGCAATTGGCCTTGGATTTGGTCGCATCCAATACATAGCGTACTTAGCTAATTCATAACAAATATCTCTCACATAGGTAGCAAATATAGCCCACGGCGTCTTATTGCAGCAAATACTAGCAGCTGTAATTAATCATACCATCCAGTAAGTAAACACCACACGTCTTGCGATCTGGCGATGGTTAATAGATAAACCCTACCTATAAGTACCTAAGTAAAAAGAGTTTACTATGCAGTCGAGTAGTGTAGGTAGGTACGTATGTACAGGACCCGAGATCCTTGGAGCAGTCTATCGAGCAACAGGTGGCGAATCAGAGGTCAGAGCGTCCCTCCCTGAAGCAACCATCTCACCAGTGTGCAGGTACCTTTCGGTATTGAGTCTAGCGGCTCTCCCTGCTGCCCACCGCAGCCCCATAGCTGTGCCATAGGCAGTGTAGCGTGCAGACCAGCCCACTGCCGCCAGCGCCTGTTCGATATTAAACCGGTACCCGCCATTTGTATTTCCTTCGCTTTTAAGGATGCTGAGAAGGGTGAGCAGAAGGGTGAATAGAGGGCAGAAGAGGGTGAGTACAGGGTGAATACAGCAGGGTGAAGGGTAAAATGCTACCTAGGTAGGTAGGTAGGTACACTAAGGGCGAGAGTGCAGGCCAAGTCAGGCCCAGGTTAGTCTAGATAGGGTCAGGTCAGGCACTGAACAAGGCCCCCCCCCATCCCCATCCCCGTCCCCTTGCACCTTTCCATACCTGGCTTGTCATCATCCTCCGTCTCCATCTCCATCGTCCTCTTTGTCTCCTCCCCTTCCCCTTCCCCGTCTGCCCGTCTCTTTCGGTCGCCATCCTCTCACATCCCGCCGCAATCCCAACCACGCCCTGTCTATTGCTTCACCACCAGCGCCTCTTTCTCGCCCACCCGCCCCGACAGCGACCACCACCACCACGGCGTCGACGACGGGCCATTCTCTGTCGCTCTTCCACCACAACGGATACTTGATGTTCCTCATGTCATTCTAGATTACGCCCAGCTAGCAATCGCTATATTATTATTGTCTTACTCGTTTCGTTTCGTTTCATTGAGCTAGTCTCCAAGTCACTCGTTTGATCACATCGCCTTATCCATTGCCCGCTCTTCGCTCCCAATATTCTACCACATCTCATCCTTTATCATTGCGCATATATCATTGTCGCTCGAAACGAAGATTACTCGGCTCAAATTTATACCGTCGTCGATTTTAGCCTTCATTTTGCCAATTAAGATTTGGACAACGATCCGCCCCCCTAAATCGACAAGATCTACACAGCGCACGCCAATCTCAGCCTCAGCCAAGCTCGTGACCACATTCTTGATCTATCAATCATTGTATCGTAAACGTCGTCTTGTATATTCCAGTTTACGATCTCGAATCCTATTCTAGTATACCACAAACATGGCAGGAATACCCGGTTTCGTTGGCTTTGCAGTTGGTATGCACTATTCCCCCCCTACGCCGCAGGATGCCTCGCTTATCTTGACTTCCAGATGAAGATGTCAGTTCCTCATTAGTTAGGCGACAGCAAGGATGTGTCCTGTGCCCGGACACGCCTCCTGATTGCCCATCATGCGCTGCCGACGAGAGCTGCGTTACGATCTCCCAAACTTGTGATTCGTGCTCTCAGACCGTATGTATGCCAGATCCCAACAAAGCTTCGTCTGGCGGCAATTCGGGACCAAATGCCGGGGCCATTGCCGGTGGTGTGATCGGAGGTCTCGTCTTGATTGCGGGTTTGACGTACTTGCTGTGGAGGTTTTGCATCAAGAATAAGAGAGCAAGCTATGCGGAGCAATGGCAAGGAGAGGGAGAACGTACGAAGGAACATGTGGATACCGATTTTGCTTCGAGGCGGTCTCAGAGAGAATCGACACATACCGTCCACTCTATCGCGTCGACCGTTTTGACCCGCGCCTCGAACATCATCCAGATCGCCTACATTCCAGGCGTCACCAACAGAGCGACTCCTACATCGCCAACGCTACTGGTCCCTCCAGTTCCTCCAATTCCTATTGCACATGCCGAAAGTGCTACTTCTTCACCGTACGAGGACCAACACTTCTTTGTACTGGGTGACGCTCGTGACTCGACTTACTCTGGCATCTCCGCTTACTCGGACCGAACATCCTACGCTCGCACATCGTATGCTCCTCGTTCCAGTGTGGCATCTACCATTTATGGGAAGAACGCTGTCGTATCACCTGTGCCGGCGCAAAAAGGCAACTTCCTCAAGCCATCTCTTGTTAGCGTTAAGTCACGGGCTGCAAGCACCAATAGCGATGACTCTGCGCCACCAGTACCATCAGTCAATTACGAGAAATATGACAAATTTGACAAGCCTCCCCCATCGCCCGCTTTCAGTATTGGCTCGACATTTCTCAAGAATGCTAGCGCGTCAACGGCCACTTCAGTAAGGCCGCAAGTTGTCCGCGTTGGCACTGGCCCCAAAACTGTCGACATCAAAACATCATCCAAATCACCGTCCACCTCGGGAACCCCGACACTGGCAGAGCTCGAGAGTCCTGGGCCTCGGAGTTTCTTGTCTAGTGGGGTTACAACTCCTGCAAATGATCGCGAATCAGTTGCGGTCACTCTGATCGAGGATGACACGCCAACTAGCGATCAAGGACCGTTTTCCGATCCTCCCGTAGCGAAGAATGGGCCCAGGAGGAACAGTTCGCTCAGCGCTGTCATTGAGGAGTCAACAAGGCGTGCGTCACAAATTGACCCTTACCGGAAACCGTCAGCTGTCGCCAGGAATAGCAGCCCCTTTGGTGACGAAAACGCATTACGCGAGTAACCGGATTTATTGCAGGCCAAAATTTTTATTCTATGAATATATCTTGATGAGATATGGGGTATGCGAGGAGCTAAGGCCGAATTGGATGTCTTTCTATTTCCCTCTACCGATTTTACTGTTCATGTGTCACTCGACCAATTCAGGGGGGAAAGAGCGTTGGCCGTGTTCTGTCTATTTTATTTTGGGTTATCTCATTCCCGGTCAAACTAAATTTAACTGTTATTTTCTATATTGACCTCTTGCTCTGTGTCTCTCTCTCTTTAAGGCGTACTTAGCAGGAAATTACCCTATAGACCCGCCTGCTTGCAAATATCTGTTTCCTTCGTGCTATTGCTCAAAAACAACAGCACCACTCTAAATCAAGATCTTGATCAACTCCATCCTATCTTCTGTTTTCTTAACTTGGATGGCGTTCTTTCCGGCTTACTTCAACTTGCACATGTTCTTGGTGTGAGATGATTTATTACTATTATTATTATTATTTTGTATGTATACAGGTTTTATTTGCGGCGGCGTATTTTGTACGCTGTCGCTACCTTTTTTTTTTCATGATTGTTGGCCCCCTGGTAGAAATTTCTAAGGGCGGAATTGCGAAAGCTTGTATATACGTACGTACGAACGATTGAGCGATTATGATGTTATTGTTTGGTGCCTGATATGCTTCTTCTCGGTATTTTAGCTAGCTTTGTGTAGGAGATTTGATTAGGCGCGTCGCTGCGATCCTCGTGGGATGGGATGGGATGGGATGGATGTCCACGTGGTGGTGGTTTCGTGAGAGTTTCATGTTTTCCTGTTTTTTGGGAGGGGGGAGATTACTATGAGGTATAGGTAGATAGGTAGATAGGTAGGTATGCGTTGCGGTCACATTCGCGCTGGTGGATTGCTTTGTCTGGCTATCTATCTACCCTGAGAGATGACTTGCTTACTGGTCTTGGGTAAGTGAATGATACTGATGATGCTAGGTAGGAGTTATTTGAGATCTTTACGTGCGTATCCTGGGCACATGGATAGATGGTCATGATGTTGTTGGGAGGTATTTGAGAATTGGACGCCGCGGACGTGCATATTTGCCTTGTCTGTGTTGTTTTGTTTCCTGCCCCTTTCGATTGCCGACTAATTACATAATTTAGGAACGGCTGGGTGAGATATGTATGTAGTGATGTTCGGTGCATAGATGTATCATCTGGACGGCAAGCGGTCGATTGAATACTTGCCTAAGATGAAGGTTCGGATGGGCTCGCTCACCGATTTGCATGTGTGTGAGGTTTCAGGATAGGGAGCTTTGAGAGTAAGTTAAATGGACAGGACAATGATATCATGAGTAGGTAGACATTGTTGAGATACGACGGAAGAATAGATTGCCAGCTTAATCGCACCCAAGCCGTTAAGAATGTCTTTTGGGGGAGGAGGTCAGGGTATCGAAGTACCACGGCTCTTGAGGCGCAATAGTAGACTACATAGGACATATTAGACTATCTACAGTGAAGAGGCTCGCATTTGCATTTTATTCGAGCAAGACATAGACTAGAACCCGGATTTTGCTGGTCGAATGGGCAGGAGAGTGCTCAGTGTATCCGCCCTACTAGTTGAAGTCTCATTTTCCGCTGTAGGGGAAACCTTCCGTGACAGCACCAGGTTCACAGCCACGCGAATCTATGGAGCGTATGAATAGAAGTAGTTAAGATAATTTTCATACACACCTATGTACCTATGTCCTATGTCCTATGTGAGCTTCTCATGTGAGCTTAAATTATCGGTGTCTCCTAAGTTGTACAAGATTCACGGCGGTTGGCTATAGTCACGGTGCTAAATCTAGATCTGACTGACACAGGGACTTCAGAATATGAGATGAGCATTATCTTATTAATGACTCACTCGTCAGATCTTCTAAAGGGAGATATCGGCGCTCAAAAGCGCTTCCATACCTAGTTGCTCACCTAATAAACCTCTTGTTGACATTACTTCGTAGGTGCTGCTGTATGGTACGAAGTTACCCGCCTTAAATAAGCTTAGAAGGACCCAGCCTAGCCACGGGCGACAACGGCGCCGCTCGAGCCACTTGTTACCTATTTGAGTCATATCAGCCAGATAAAGTAGCCAGATAAAGTAGGCCCCTCAACTCACCCCACCATCGATATTCGATATTCACTTTATACTATTCTCCATCCAAGCGCCTACTCCCACTAACGACGGCGTCCACAGACTCCTGACCAGGGCAATTGCCGATCGAGACGACATCCCGCACTCGCACGACAGGCCGCCATGTCTGCCACGACCAAAAAGCCCAAGGCGAAGCCCGCTGCAGGTGCTAGCGTCGACCTCGAGTTGCGCCCCGCGCCTAGCTTCTTGGAGCACCGTCTCTCCCTCTTCGACAAGCTGTGGGCCGAGCAACAGCAGGCTTTCACTCAGAAGCCACGCGAACAGATCAACATTACCTTGCCCGACGGAAAAGTACACGTGGGAACGTCATGGGAGACCACGCCCTTCGAAATCGTACGCGGCATTAGCAAGAGCTTGGCTGAACGCACCGTCGTAGCCAAGGTCAACGACGAACTGTGGGATCTCACTCGTCCATTCGAAGCCGACTCTACCCTGGCCTTCTACGATTTCACCACTGAAGAAGGAAAGAAGGTCTTTTGGCACAGCTCTGCCCACAGTATGTAGACTCTATACATCTGCCCAATGCGCGTAGGATTGCCACTTACTCGACATCTAGTTCTTGGAGAAGCAGCTGAACGAAGATTTGGCGCACATCTGGCCGTCGGTCCCCCAACGACAAATGGTGAGTTGGTGACTGTGGGAAATGGCGCGTGGTAGAAGCTAATAAATGCGTCCAAGGCTTCTACTACGAGATGGCGCTGCCCGACAACCGTGCCGTCAGCTCTACCGAAGACGTCGATCCCTTGACTAGTTTGGCTACTTCCATTATTGGCGAGAAGCAGCCATTCCAGAGGTTAACAGTCACAAAGGAACAATTACTAGAGATGTTCAAGTCCAACAAATACAAGCAACATATCATTGGCGACAAGATTCCCGACGGCACCTCTACCACCGTCTACCGATGTGGTCCTCTGATTGATCTTTGTCGGGGTCCTCACGTCCCAGACACAGGCAAGATTAAGGCCTTCGGTATTCTCAAACTCTCGGCATCATATTTCCTGGGTGACCCTGCCAACGACTCCCTCCAACGTGTTTATGGAATATCCTTCCCCGACAAGAAGCAACTGGCTGAGCATCTCAAGTTCCTCGAAGAAGTTGCTAAGCGAGACCACCGAAGAATCGGAAAGGACCAAGAGCTGTTCTTATTCCACGACCAGTCGCCTGGCTCTGCCTTTTTTCTCCCTCACGGTACTATAATATACAACACTCTCCAGAGCTTCATCCGCAAGGAATACTGGAAACGTGGTTATCAAGAAGTCCACTCTCCCAACATGTTCAACTCTGCTTTGTGGAAGAAATCTGGCCATTGGGAACGTAAGTTACACGCGAATCCAAACCTTATCTGATAGCGAAGCTCACCATTCTCCAGATTACCATGAAGATATGTTCACCTTCGAGGTTGAGAAAGATATCTGGGCTCTGAAGCCAATGAATTGCCCAGGCCACTGCCTAATTTTCGCCTCGAAAACACGTTCGTATAAGGAGTTGCCTATTCGCATGGCCGAATTTGGCGGTAAGCGCAAACTTCCCGTGGCGTCTTCGAATATCTAGGGTGTCAGCCAGCTACTAACCTCTTATCGTTTATAGTTCTTCACAGGAACGAAGCGTCTGGTGCTTTAAGTGGATTGACTCGTGTACGACGTTTCGTACAAGACGATTCGCACATTTTCTGCACAGAAGATCAGGTAAAACCACTACATTCCGTTCATGAAAGCGATAGGTTATGTCTAACACAGAAAAGGTCGGTGAGGAGGTTTTGGCAGTATTCGATTTCCTTCGAAGTGTCTATGGCAAACTTGATTTTACTTTCAAACTGAAGCTGTCGACACGGCCCGAAAAGTTCTTGGGTAGCATAGAGACATGGGACAAGGCCGAGAAGACCTTATCAGATGCTCTCGATAAATTCTATCAAGGCACGGCGTCCTGGGAACTGAACCCCGGCGACGGTGCGTTCTATGGGCCCAAGGTCGACATTACGATTTGCGATGCACTTGGCCGTGACTTCCAGGTTCGGCGCCTTCCCATATCCCGCTTGGCAACTCCTTATGCTGATATTATCTAGTGTGCAACCATCCAACTGGACTTCCAGCTACCACAGCGGTTTGATTTATCGTACCAGGTAGCTGACGAGGCACCTGCCTCGGCCGCCGCTTCGACCGCTCTCGTTCGCCCTGTCATCATTCACCGGGCCATCTATGGCAGCTTCGAGCGCTTTATCGGCATTCTTACGGAGCACTTTGCTGGTAAATGGCCTTTCTGGCTGAGCCCTCGTCAAGTCATGGTCATCCCCGTCATGGTCAGCGCAAACGACTATGTCACGGAAGTACGGGCCTTGTTAAGAGAAAACGAGTTCCACGCCGATGTAGATCTCAGCGCCAATACATTGAACAAGAAGATTCGACAGGCCCAGCTCCTCCAGTACAACTTTATCCTTGGTAAGAATATACGATTCCCAAAGCAAGAATTGGAACAAAAACTAACCAATTTTTCTTAGTCCTCGGCGCGAAGGAAATGACTGATCGCACTGTCACTATCAGAAGCAGAGATTCTGCAGAGAAGGCGCAGAGTGCAGAACAAGTCGTGTTGCCGTTAGACGAGGCGATTGTCAAGTTCAAGGCTCTAAGGCAATCTCAGGATCTACAAAACAAGCTTGAGTAGATCCAAGTGATTGGTAGAGTTTTATATGGCTTCCATGTTAATATGCCCGTGGATTTGATCTGCCTTGATTGATTGATGTAGCCTTCGTGCTAGAACTGAATTCTGTAGATCATACAATATAAGCTATGAAAAAAGATATTCACTAGCAAGTCTTTTGTCGCGGTGCCTCTCGTAGATGTTTTGGAACTGATTATTGATGTACTTTGGGAAGTGTGAGTAGTAAGCAGGTAACGAAGTGTTTAATGTTTCGGGTCAATTTCTGGCCCTATTTATTTTATTTTTTCTCCTTGTTCGTTCATACTGCTACAGGAGGTATGTTGGTGGAGTAGACAGCATGAGAAAACAGCTGTTGTTGGTATCTAGGTACCTACGTGTCTATTGTAATTACCTGCTCCGGGCCGTAGCATCCACTTGCATTTTGGATGACTGCCTGACTGCCTGACTTGACTGCGGTGAGAACTCGAATCTGCGGTGTCGTTAAGGGGTATGCAGTGCCGATTGGAAAAGAGGGCATATGATTACTGATCTACATAACTTGGGGTTCGGAGGGCTCAGACATATCGGTAACCGACCGCTCTTTTTTGCTAAGGTATGTATGTAGGTATGTAGGTATGTAGGTATGTAGGTATGTAGGTATGTAGGTATGTAGGTATGTAGGTATGTAGGAAGGTAGGTGATGCAGCGCACATACGTAGGGCGTGCGTGCATGATCGTTGCGGTGGTCTGCCGTGACTGGTTCGGGGGGGAGATACCCGTCTGTCGATGTAAGCGATGCCTGGTTCCCCGCATCGTGTCTTTATAAATGGGGTACCTGTGCTGGATTTTGTATACATTGTATGTGCGTGGGTTTATATGTATCTGGTGTATGTATGTATGTATGAGGTACTGATTCTGCGGCTTCTTTCTTGTCGCACGGCATGTGGGCGGTTTAGGTAATGGGAAGCGAGATAGAGAGGTAGGTTGAATGGATAGTCTATGTGCAACTGCTTCGTATGCTGCCTTGCCTACGTATCTGGGGAATGCCTGCTGGAACCCTCGTGCAGAAGCTTAAGAGTTGCCTGGTTACGCTTCTATGGGCATAGGTTTATCGACGGAGATTTGGTAATCGCTTTGGTTTTTAAAACTGGCTGATGGTAATACGATAAGACAAGACAAGACTGAGGCACGCAGGTAACGCTTTGCGTGTAACGTAGGCGGACCTTGAGAAATCTACATGCGATGAAAAAGAAGACATACTATTGTAAAGTGTGAAACGGGCCGATATAATTACCTCTTTTTAAGCTTACTATAAGTTACAAAAAGCTACTTGCCAGGATATTCTGCATTTTGACACAACGTGCCAAGATAGGGGGAGGAGTTGTGCGTGAGTTCGGGTCAACCATCGAACCGCCTTACCTGATCATGGAATTTTCATCTGAGGGACGCCGCTTTTAGCCCCGAGCTTGGATAACCGGGTCACAAGATTCAAGGTTTCTATTTGATGTCAGGTGTGCGAAAACGTGAAAATGCGACGGTAATTAAACGTTATAGAATAACGGTGACCTTTTCGTCACTTGGAATCCATGGTGGTAGATTTCCTGGGGGAACATGGGGTGTGGCGTAGTAGAAGTTCCTCTCAAGCTAGATTAGCTAGGTTATATATCACGTTTTGTCTTTTCATTTTTGCCTTTTTTCTTATTAAGAAAAAGCGAACATACATTCGAGTTTATCTTGGTTCACATGCGTAGCTTTCATCCTTTTGGGAGCCTGGCATCGATGAAGTATTTGAACAGGGGCTTAGCTAGCCGTTCTTTAATATGTTTTCATGTCACCATGGCCTACATAAATATGACGAAGGGTTGTCTGCCGGCTATGGCTGGGTCCTCTTAGAGCCCTTCAGAACAGAAGGGTTAACCTGCTGTTTACCCATGTTGAGTAGAGAACTTGTTGGAGTTCTTCATAGATCCCATCAAAAGCTGTGTCTTCCTCAGGTATAACCCACATTCACAATGTATAATGATCAACCGAGAGTCATAGTATGAATGTAAATTGAAAAGAGTGTATATAGTTGGCTTATAGTGTCTCTGCCTAACTTCGGAGCCCAGCATAGTGCAAACACATAAACAAAACAGTTAAGCTAGGAAAGAACATGAAAAACAGCTAAGAGAAAACAACGCATGAAATCAACCAATCCTCCTAGAAAACCATACACCGTAACCCCTCGCTGTCGCACAATGTTCTGTGTTTAAGCCATGAACTTGACAGAACGCTTCTCGACAGGGACGCAAGTTCCATCGTTGGGATCAGCACTGAAGAAGCAACGTCGTTAGTGTATCATACTCAAATCAAGAACATAATACAGAGTTGTTTCAAATGAGTACTTACGTGAAGGTCCAATCAGCAGTAGTCGTCGAGCCACCGCTGCCGCAACCATTGACCTCATTCTTGAACCTCAGGACACAGTCCTCCTGAGCTAGGTTCAAGTAGCCCTGGCCGCCCCAGTTAACCTGGAAATCGGCTTTCTTGTTGCCCGAGAGCTGGACGCAGTCCGCCTTGGTCTGGCCCTGCTGGAAGCCGTCGTGAATGAAGCTGTTGAGCTTCGTGGGGTCGCAAAGTGCGTCGACGGCTTGTTCCGCGAGGCCCTTCTCCGCGCCCCATCCGAGGCCGCTGTAGCACTTGGCGTTGATGCTGCTGAAGGCGAAGGCAGCGGCGAGGATGAATGAAGCGGTGAACTGCATTTTGAAAAAGTTGGTGGTGTTTGGTGTAGGGTGGTGGGGTGAAAGTTGTGCTTGGTTGTTTTGAGTGAGGCTATTGGGCTGCTGAGATGCTTGTTGACGATGATATCGAGGAGATGAGTTGAGATGAGGGGACTTGCTGCCCTCTTATATAGATCATCTGGCTGATATCGAAGACATCATTTTACATACAAGCTTCTTTAACGAACTCACAAGTCTGCCTGATGAGCTGAGGCTTGGGATGCGTTGCGCAACAATGGTAACCGTCAACGTCACAGGATCCGATAATCATTCCTACACACACCCATGAAGCTTCGTCAAGTTTCAAATTTCACTTGCGATGAACTATTTTCAAAGTTCACATAATGTCTTTACGTCACCCTCGAACTTCTGGCATGAATCTCACCTCGTGCGTGGTGGCTTTGATCATCGCGTGCTTGCGCCCCGACTGCTGGCATAATGCCGATCATCAGCTGTAGTCTGGGTATGAAGCTATTCCAATTATTACGCAATTGAAAGATGCCGATTATTATTTAACAGCCTTGTGACTTCGGTAGGGCTGAGGAATAAACGACTGTCGATCATCACTGCAATTAGTCAATTTTTGTCTATTGTTCCTGCGCTGAAATAGCCTAAAATAAACGGGCTCAGTTATGTAAGCTAATAATAGACTAGGTATTAAGAATATGGGGCAGAGTCCGAGGTGGTTCAGTTAAGTGAGCGGAATGAGCCGCCTTTGGTTGTTAATCATCGTATGTTCCTCCTGTTGAGTTCATCCAGATGTGACGTCGATAACTTCGAATCAACCACTCCCTCAACCAGTGGCAACATCGATCCCACGTGCTCAGACCTGCTAGACGAATGCTCTTACAACTGAAGATCGTCAATACAAAATAGTGCTGAGACATTTTCTCCTATTCCCCAGCCAGCTCTTACTCTCGCTAGTTTCGCGCTGTTAAGAGAAGTAGGCTACAATGATACAACTATGCAACTAAGTAAACTATCTATTTGGACTAGAACCGCATGAAATGTATCTTAATTGCAAACATATCCATATAAATCCGTAACCGTATAACGAGCTGAATTCTATCGTAATGCAAGTCAGATTTATGGCATGTATGTCAAGCACAACTCGGGCCAGTACTGCCGCATATCCAGCAACCTCTTGGGTTTCCAAGAATATCCTTCGCCAAATTCGTCTACAGTTTCCTCTGGAGTCGGCATGGGCCCCATGGCCTCTATGGGAAATAGCCAGAAACCTATCGCCGGTCTAGGAGCACGCTCAAGTTCCTCCGTGCTCTCAACAGGTATCCTGCCCCCTCTTGCTAGGATCCTGTTAGCACACCTCTCCTGACCGCGAATCCAACGCTCTTCTTCTTTCTGCAGCCATTCGGCCGCACTCTCTCGGTCAGAGATAGTCTTCCCTGTCCTCCCCATGGCCCCAGTCCTCCAGCTATGAGAAATGAGGAGGCGATAGTCTGGGCCACCAGAGGCGCAGTCGATCTCCCACATTTCAAGAAGTCGACGCCACCGATAGAGCATTTGCCGAGGGTCGAAAGTGCCCGCAAAGACTCGGCTTAGATCCCTCTCCATGCTGCTACGGGGATCTCGTCCGACACGCTCGAACGTGGGAGTCGAGGACATGATGGGTCGAGAACGGTGCAGCTCATACCCAATTTGGGTAGAGATCCCGTTCAACGGACCAAGATACATGCGCCCTGCATTTTCTAACACAAGGAGATAAACTTGTCTTAGATTCGTAACAGTGTCCCTAAATGCTTTTTGCACGTGTGTCTCTGATTCAAAGATGTTGATCTTAGAGAGATTGCCAACAACATTTTTCTCTAACGCAAGGTTGAGGAGACCGACGTCTAGCGGGTCGTAAGCGCGTAGGTTGTAGACAAGGTCCACGAAGCCACGTGCATTCCGACCTAACTTGATATACAAGATGTCAAGTTCGGGATTCAAGAAGAGTGTGCCGTCTTCTTTGCCATCACCCAACTCGAAGCGGCAGGGTACGTGGACTCGATAAAATCGAAGGGTGGCATCTCTTGCTTCTCTGTTGACCCGCAGGAATTTGCTGAGTAGCTTTGACCCAACTACAGTAGGACAGCAATGTGCATCACGGACGAATCTTCCGAGATGGTTTTTTGTTTCCGCCGTGTATTCCTCTTGGCTGGTAGGCAGTTCAATGGTGATTAAGCGCTGGCGTTGCAGTGAAACCTGCCATATCTGGAGTCGAAGTTCTGTAGGGAGTTGAGGAAACAGTGGAAAGGAGTGGCACTCCTGGCTGTGCTCAGGATTGATAATTTGCAAATGCTGCTGTGCAGCCATGATTGGTGATAGTGGAAGTCGATAATGAACGCATAGTTAGGTTGTCGGTGAGGGTGTGAGCTTCTGGGTGGTCACGAAATCTTGAAGTAGTGCTATGCAAGGAGTGGTCTGGGGAAAAGCTCAATCTATCACATACCTGCCAAGTGTAAGATTACGTCACTGTAGCACGGGGGATAACCAGCTTGGATGATACGACACAAAGCTTTGGTGTTTCGCTTCTGTATGTGGCGTCGGGGAAGAGGCTAGGTGTGAGAGATGGCAAGTTCCAGAGTCCGAGCAAAATAGGGCCGATCCTTACCTATCTTAAATCGTTCTTTAATGACTAAGAGAAATAAAGTCCTAAAGGATGAGACGTAGAGCTGCCAAGAGCTCTGCTTACGGACTCATGGTAAGAGATCTTCAAACAGCCCTCTAATTCAGAACGGCTGCAAGGCTCCCTGGTATCTAGTTAGGTACCAAGTTGTTGGTTCAGCCTTGCTCACGTTGGCAGTCACAATAAGTATCGCATGAATAGGCAGGCAACAAGTTTTTCGGGGGCGGTGCTTCTATTGTTATCATCAGCGTGCTAGCAATGAACTCATCGTTCAGATTTTTACAGATCCGCATTGCATTGATCAATCCTACCCAGCAACTAGAGCGCCATATGACATCCGGGAGACATCATGGATATGGTGACTAAAACTGAGAAGAATGACGTTGTGATTACCGTTCTCCTTGCCTGACACATCATGTTACTCACCACCATAGAGGTTTCTTCATAGAAAATCTAGTCTTGAATGAAAAATATAAATCTCAGACTCCTCGCCCATTCAGCTCAACTTCATTTTGGCATCACAGCATTCAAAACACTGTAAACATCTCCATCTCAAGTTTATCACACATTCTACTCCTACCCCGGCTTCAACCACAACAACAGCTAAAATGTACTTCACCAGAAGCCTCTCTAGCATTGCCGTGAGCTCATTGCTCGCCACGACTGCCCTTGGTAGCACCATTCAACTTCCGCGGTAAGTCTCTGAATGAATGATAACTCTTTCTCTAGAGGAATGCTAACAGCCAATTTCACAGCCAAGCTGCTGCAAACGTTGTCGCTCGCGAAGAAGCCAATGTTCGCAGAGAGGCCATGCCAGAGGGAATCCGAAGGCGAGCAAGCCAGTGCTTGAGCGACATGAAGAAAAAGCGAGAACTCGTCGCCCGCACAGCTTACAATATCGGGATCGGCGAGGCCGCTTTCGGGAAGAACGATGACACGATCGATACCGCGGGTCTGGCTTCTTGCTTCGGTGTTGCCGTCGTCGGCACCTGGATGGCGGGCACCGACGGGGACTTCGACCGAGCGATGTCCCACACCTACGCCGATTCTGCTGAAGACGAGACAGTCCTCGAGGCCTTCGCAACACTAGTCGGAAATGTGCACACGGCTATCCAGGGGGGGTTATCGATCGACCGGACAGTCATGGTAGCTACTGACCCCGCTGCCTACAAACTTGAGGATGGCTGGACCCAGGCAGAAATCGACATGTACAACAAGGAATATGCGGATTACGTCGGAACCCTCACTCAGCTCACTGGTCGTGCTCCAGAAGAAAAGAAGCATCATTATGATGAAGCCTGGAGACTGAGCATCAAGTCCGACAAGGCTATTGAATGTGGCCCTGAGGGTGGTTCCAATCAGTGCTAGAGAAGCATGGTGGCGTCCATAACCATGATAGAACTAAGGGAGAGAAAGGGGGGCCGGGTAGGAAGCCTTGGCTTGTCTGAAGGCTAGTGTATAGCGATTGTAACTAGCTGTGTTTTCTCTGTCTATACCGTAGTTCTCTGTCTTTCTCAGTCGTTCGTTCCATAGCCCAGCATAGGAAAAAAAAAAAAAAAATTGAGTACTTTTACTTCAACGCAGCGCCTCTAGTAGCAAATGTGTGATCGAGAATATCGGGTAGCTACACATATTGTTTCTGAAAAAGGGGCTGCGAGACAAGGGACGTCTATCCCTCGTCCGGACGTCTGGCAGAATAAAACAGCAGTTGTTGATTCAAATGAAATGTTTTACGTATCTCACATGGCTTGAAATAACATAAGACAATATATCCTTTTCTATTCGTTACGCTCCTTAGCGGTTGCCTAGACGTCAATGAAGACGGAAAGGGGCATCAACATCCTGGGACAACAGCCGCATGTCCTCGAGATACATGACCGCCTCCCCTGATGAGCTCAAAGGTGACCAAACACCTCCCTCAAAGCATATAAATTGCCATACGCAAACAGATCATCGCCTCCGGCCGGGGTGACGTTCCCGCGGCCTTTCCTTCGGGTTTGGTGCAGTGGTAAACTAGTCGACAGGAACAATGCCCTGGGGCAGGGTGTTTTCCGGCCGAGGGATGTTGAGTTCGTCTTAAGCCCTCGGTTCTTTTTTGTAGATATATCAAGGCAACCTGTTCAACTCCAGGGCGTGGCATCTAACAATTCTTTTATTCTTTTTTTTTTTTTCACATATGCCATCACACTTCCATCTGTTCCTCCCATACTTACCTACCTGATTGGTACTTAGGTACATACGGAGTCACAGGTAGGTATATAATTACATATAGATTAATAGAGATTCAAGTAGTATTCTAGATTCTTCTAAGTATCTACTTACTCCCTTCCTCACCTCCTACGCGAACAACTTCCCCAGCGCCGAAAGACTGACATTCCCTCCACTAAACACAATCCCGATATCCCACCCATCCTCTCCCCCTTCTCTCTCAACCATACGTCTAAAGTCCTCATTGAACAACGCCACAGCAAGCGGCACAGCAGCACTAGGCTCGATGACAAGCTTAAGCCGCTCGTACACGAGCTTCAGCGCGCCTATGATCTCGTCCTCGCTGACGCTGTAGAACCCCCCTACTAGCCGCCGCTCGTAGATGATGCCCCACGGGATCTCCCCCAGCGGCGTCCGCAGTCCGTCGGCGACTGTTAGCGAGGAGACGCGCTCGACGCGTTTGCCGGATTCGTAGCCCCGTTTCGCGTCGTCGGCGCCTTCGAACGAGGGCTCGCACCCGAAGACGCGGACCCCGGTGCCTTCGCAACTGAGCGCCACGCCAGAGAGCATGCCTCCGCCGCCGCACGGCGCGAGGACGGCGTCGAGATGCGGATTCGACTTCTTGCTTGCGGGGAGCGTGCGCGTTGTCGCGGGGGCGCGGAGGGCGCGCTCAGCTGCTGGCGTGGTGCTGGATTCGACGCCGGCTGCGGCGGCGATGATATCGTGCGCGTCCGCGAGGAGTTCGAGGCCGAGCGTGCCTTGGCCAAGCACGATGTCGGGATGATCGTACGGCGGCACGAAGCGCGCGCCCGTCTTCTCTATGACCTCTGCGAGGACGGCCTCGCGCTCGACGCTCGTGCTGCCGCTGAACACGACGTTTGCGCCGTATCCTTTCGTCCCTGCGATCTTGGGGGGCGCTGAGATGGACGGCATTATGATGTGTGCTGGTATGCCGTTTGTTTGAGCCGCGAGGGCGAGGGCTTGCGCGTGATTTCCTTAGACGTGTGTCAGTTTAGATATACATGGGTAAAATAAACAATATCTCTATCTGTATCTTCATTTGGGATATATCATATAGACAATCCACTCTACAAAGCCACACATATATACCAACCCAAAAACCTCAAAGAAACAAAAAGGAGAACTCACCACTACTATGCGTAGCAACCCCCTTCTCCCTACCCCCGCCCTCCTCCCATCCGGGCTCCATCTTCAATCTCTCGATAGCGTGCATAGCGCCGCGGATCTTGAAGGCGCCGATGCGCTGCAAGTTCTCGCACTTGAAGTACAAGCGCATGGTGGGGTTCGCAGGCTTCTTCCCGCTACCCTCTCCCGTCGGCGCCGACGCGATCCTATCCAGCGTGGCATTCGTGAGCGTAGGCGTATGATGCACAAGCCCTTTAATGAGCTCGTGCGCCTCGAGCACCGAGGCTCGCGTAAGAGGGCGGCAGGTCGAGGGGTCCGCCATCTTGTTTTGCTTTTCGTGGTTGGTGGGTTGGTCGCTTCCTTCCTTGCTCGAACAACAAAGATTTCAACCTCTCTTCTCCCGAAAGCTGGGACTTGTTCTCTTCTTATTCTCCCGTGTCCCTTATCTCAGGTCCCTTCCTTCCCCTCTTTTTCCCCCGGTGTTCGATTTCCGTGGTGCAGAAATGTCGTGACTCGTATTACCTGCTCGCGACAAATACGCCCTTATACGATCTCTACGAGAAGCGCTAATAACTCTATGAGTCACCGGTAAATGTAGCCAAGTCAATAAGAGTCGTATATCTACGAAGAATAGAATGATATGGTTTAATGTAACGGCATGAGCCGGCGGTTTACAAGGGTATCTGTACACTTCATCTGCCTACTACACAAAGGGTAGGTGTAATGACTGCCATGCGTAAGTGGACCATTGAAGTGTACCGGGAACAAATACCCAACTTGTCCAACCCGTTCCCGACCCATCGGACTTGGACCGATAACGGACGGCGCATCTAATTTCAGTCAAGATAGACAAGCTCAAATTTCTGATAATCGCACTCGAGACGAACGTCAACGGTAGGTGTATGTGGGAAAATATTTTGAATAGAATAACATAGCTAGCTCGACATAACTTTTGGACTTAATCCCTTTGGTCCTCGCGAGAGATTATGATATCTGGGGAATCCTGAATACAAGTACAAACAAGTTTTGCCATCTCTAAACACCTCCGAGGTATACCCCGCCAAAGATTTTATAACCAAAACAACCAATACCCAACGCCGCTCGCTTTGTTGCCGAGTTTATTTCTGGTTCTCAGGTCGGAGGGATCTGTGAAACTAATGTCAGCGATAGTCCTTGATAAACCATGAAAAATAATAGACGGCTGTCATGTCTCTCATGCTTACCTGACGGAACGGCCAGCCTTCCAGATCTCCATGTTTCGGATCTCCTCCATCTCAGCCTCGAACTTCTGTCTGTAGTCCTTCTGGCTGTTGTACTCGAGCGATCGCTTGGTCTCAGAGCCGTCAATAACAGAGTCGTATAGCTGGTTGAAGACGGGCTTCAGGGCAGCCTTGAAGCGAGGGGTCCAGTCGATGGCACCACGGCGGGCAGTAGTCGAGCAAGCCTCGTACATCCAGTCCATACCATTGGCACCGATGAGAGGATACAAGCTCTGGGTAGCCTCCTCAACGGTCTCGTTGAAAGCCTCGCTGGGGCTGTGGCCACGCTCACGGAGAACCTCGTACTGAGCAAGGAACATACCGTGGATACCACCCATAAGGCAACCACGCTCACCGTAGAGGTCAGAGTACACCTCCTTCTCGAAGGTAGTCTTGTAAAGGTATCCACTGCCGACAGCAACACCGAGGGCCTGGGCCTTCTCCTCAGCCTTGCCAGTGACGTCTTGGAAGACGGCGTAAGAGGAGTTGATACCACGGCCCTCACGGAAGAGCGAACGGACAGTTCGGCCGGAACCCTTGGGAGCAACAAGGATGACATCAATGTCCTTGGGGACGTCAACCTTGGTCACATCCTTGAAAACGGGAGAGAAACCGTGGGAGAAGTAAAGAGTCTGTGCGAATGTGAGCTGGGTCTCCATGATAAGTATATGTAGTCTGCGTATAACGTACCTTGCCCTTGGTCAATTGGGGCTTGATGGCGGGCCAGGTCTCGCTCTGGGCAGCGTCACTGAGGAGGTTCATGACGATGGTACCCTTGGTGATGGCCTCGTCGACTTCGAAAAGGTTCTTGCCGGGAACCCAGCCGTCTTGTACCGCATCCTTCCAGGACTGGCCGTTCTTCCGGACACCGACGATGACGTTTAGTCCGTTGTCACGGAGGTTAAGACCCTGGCCGTGACCCTGGGAACCGTAGCCGATGAGAGCGAGTGTATCGTTCTTGAAGTATTCCTATGCAGAAAATTAGTTAAGTGGTTCCTTTTCCGACCCTCGCGGAGGGTGGTGCTAGGTTAGTAACCTACCAAAAGCTTCTCCTTGGGCCAGTCGGCACGCTCTGGAGACGAATATGTCAGCATTGACTAGACACATGCTTGGCCTCAGTTATTGCCAAAACTTACCGTAGACCTCCTCGGGTGTACCGGCGAAGTCAATGGTCTTGACACCACGAACCTGCTGCTGAGCAACACCGGCGACGGCAGGGCGGGCCTGAACGGCAGTAGCTCTGACGAGGTTGGCGGCAGCGACGAAAGAACGTCTCTGGACGGCGGGAGAAGCCAATTGACGGGCCAATTGGCTCCGGACAGCCTTGGACAAGCCTCTAGCAGCCATTATGATAGAAAGACGAGGAAATATTGAGCGGAGAGAAGGGATGAGGAGGGGTAGCGTTGAGATTGCTAGATATAATATTGGCCAGCAATATGGGCTACTACTTAATAAAATAGGTAGCGGCTTAGTTGAAGAAGTGTTTGGGTGTTGAAGAAATTCGAGAAACAGGAGACGAGTCAGCGCGGAACAGACCAGCGCAAAGGTTTTGTGTCGGACAGGAAATCGCAAGAGTGGATGAGCTACGGAAGCTTGGAGCGATCTCGGCGGCGGTGAGTCGAAAATTGCTACAACAATTGGTGGGATGGTGGACTGGGCCTTTTTGCCGGGCTACTGCCGGGCAGCGGCCGGGGGTTCTGGCCAGGTACGTACCTACACTTGCCCCTCTATCACCCCTCTATGGCCCCTCTACCGCCCCAACGAAGCCCCAATTACACTGCCCTGGTTGGTCACCCACAGCACTGGGCATCACCCTAGCGGCCCCCAGCAGGACCCCCAGGTAGCCATAAGCCGCGCTGGGCCAATCCCAGGGTACCTACCCGTGCGTCTGTGCAGTGCTGTGCAACCTACCTAGGTATACATACCTACTGCCCGTTGATCCGGCGCAAGCATACCTACATGCTCGTGATATTCTTAGAACCCTACTGTACTTCGTCAAGGTACTAAAGTCTGGTTCAAGATTGCTTCCAGAAGCTGGACATTCTCTTCTTCCAGCTACGGTATCGGATATAACGGACTCTCCATACCTAATAGGTGGGGGCTATCAAGTGTACTGAGATATGTGCTAATAGACGCCAGCACCTAGGTACCTAGGCGAGGTAGCTAGAAATCACCTCGATCCCGACATAAACGTCGTCTTACATAGGTATATATACTACTAGTATGTATATCAAGTTTACTAAGTAGGACAAACAAACCCGAGTATAGCAAGTCAGATCTTTAAATTTTGTGCTTCTTTTGTCTGGCGGTCAGTTCATAGTCGCACCTTGCCTGCAGTGTTAGAATGGATCGTCTTTCATAGGACCACCCGTGCTACTATCAGGACCTATTCCATTCGGGGTTCTTGGATACACAGGAGCACAAGTGTAATGTATACGTGACCACGACTTACTGCGAAAGCGGTGCGGGCATAAATGTATGGGAAGTCACTTTGTATTGGCCATCCTGTATCTATCGTGAAACGGTCTTATATGAAACATCATAGCCGCTCCCTGTATTCTCTGCGTCTTGTTTTGGCTTTTTGCAAAGATGTTCGATATCTGTCTGCCGGTTCCTGCTTGCCGCCATTCGTTGCCTGCCCCCCCTATTTGCCCTCTCTTCGATCCATGTCGCTTCCTAGCCCCAGAGAGCACTCCAGGTCTAGTATGAAAGCACCGGCGCAAGTTTATTCCTCAGCGTGAATACCATGCTCCCCTGTGAAGAACGCCGATGCTGTGATGGTGAAAACGATACGAACAAAAAAGGACCGCCAATCTGCTTATCAAAAAACAAAAACAAAAAAAGTTGAAATCTAGATATCAGTGCCGAGACATTAACCGTAGCCACCAGTGGCCGCCGTTCCGTGACAGATGCTCCTAAACCCCGGAGGTCCTAGGTAATGCAAAGTGCCCCGCCGCTAATATGTAAATGCGATGTAGTTATCTCGGGTCGTCTCGGTTCAGGATGGTGAAAAGACAAGTTGTTGCTATTTGCGCATGGCTCAATGCACAAGCATAACAGACTATGCTCAACGCCTGGACTGTGAAATCATGACATTATCATACGTGATCCCCCGTACCGAGCCGCCACCCATGGAGACCTTAACGTTCCTACGGAATGTTTCTCGACTGGCGCGCAGGTCATCTGCGGCTTCCTTGTTGAGCGGGTCGGATGCGTTCGGTTCGAGGAACAGGAATTGCATGCCAACGATGACGGCGTTGAGGTTGAGCACGGGCTTCCAGTCCTCTCGCAAAATGTTAAGGCACACCTTCCCCTCCAGATCGATGTTGGGGTGGTAGATCTTTTGTTGGCAGAGCACTTTAGGCGGCTCATGCGGGTAGCTTTGGCTCATGCTGAAGGTAAAGGTAAATTTACCGCCGGTGTAGACGCCCTCATCGGGTCTGATTTCGAGAATAAAGTTAAGGATATCGTCGGGATTGGGAAATTCGGTCTTCATCGACGTGCCTAAAGATAACTCTGAGAGATCTATGCAGAAAAAACAGGACCATGTCAGAGAGAGCAGTCTTTCAAGTAGAGAGGTTAGGGAATGTCGAGAATGGCATACCTTTTTGTACACGTAGTTGGGCGGCGGTAACCTTCTTTTTCTTCCCCCCTGCCGCATCAGCATTTTCCTGCTTCTGCTGCTCCTTTTTCTACAAGAATACTACGTTAGAGGGTATGCTATGCCGTATCAGGTGTATTGCCCTTACCATAGACCATATTTTCATCATCTTGGGCGACTATTGTAGGGGCCTCTTCGGGGTGTCGGTGGTGTTCGGGCCGGGCAGTACAAGCACGAGGGGAGAAGGGGAGGATGCAGGTTGGAGATATGGCGCAGAGAATCACGGTCTGGCGGTGGTAACTCGGATGCTGAAATTTTGGCGACAAGCTGGTTGCTACGAGTATGCCAGGTCAGAAAGGCAAGTTGTGGTGATCAAAGACAGACACGGATCACGAAGACTCTGGTTGGATGTGACGTGGGTGAACGTGGCCATGCTGGATCATGGATGCAACAGAGGCTGAGATAAGAGATTGCTCACAGGGAAGCATCGAAAGGCTGGCAGGGGTGTCTAGTGGTCTTGATGTACCTATCGCGTAGAACTTGTGAGGGAAGATACAACTGCCTGGTAGTGGGGTGCGATGACGGGATAGCGGGGTCACTCGCTCCCACCATTTGATTTTGCTATGCAAGGACCGAAGACCATGGAAACAAATAAACAAAGATGCGGTGGTGATGTTCCATCCTTCTCTATCTTCAACGAAGTCATACACAGAGCTCAGGTGGGTTGAAATCTAATCCGTACTTGTATTGGGCTTATCTCTCGGCAAGCCGGCGATATTCACGGGTACCTACACCGATAAATTTAACCATTCCAAGCCATCCCGTGTTTTAGCTCGGTATTAGACGAAAACTCGCGAGACCGAAGAGAAGAGATGGATGAGGGTAATATAATAGGCATTATATCTCATGAAACACCTGTGGTCATCACCGATAGGTTCATCGAACAATAGGCATACACAGACACAAAGACGCACTCACTCCGAAGATTTTCTATTTCATCGCCAGCCACAGTAGCTGTTCGTATTATTAAGTAACTAATACCTAGTTCTTTTCCCTCCTTTCCCTTGCCGTCCTTTCACAGCAGGATCCAGGTGACAGCAAGGTTCCTGATACTACCTAACTATATTAGGTAAAATTTCCGCGAATTTCCTTGGTTCTTTGTTTCCCTCTCCCTTTTCTCTCTCCAGATTTCGATCCTAGTCACATCGCTCGCGACACACTACCCAAAAACTCCTAATACTATATAAGCCCAAGTACAAGCAGAAGAAAGAAAGCTAGCCGGCCATGAACGATTGTGCAGAAATGGGTGGTATGATAGGCAGGACGCAATCATCAAGCGCCGCCAAACAAAAAATGATTTAAAAAACGAGGGTATCTGTCGGTTGTGCGATAAATAGGCCGTTAAGTAGATGCTCAAAAAGCGATTTTGTAGGTGGGTATGATATGCGACGAAGGAAGCAGATTAGAATCCCCGGAAGGGATCCTCGCGGAAGAAGTCTTCCTCTCCTCCCGCCCTGCTGCCCGCACGATACGACCCTCCGGCACCACGTGTACCGCGCGCCAAATAGCTATAACTATCGCGATGTCGACTTCTGCTGCGCCGGCGTCGCCGCTCTTTACTCTGTCGTCGGACCCGGTGCCGCATTTCTTCCGTCTCATCCGGGTGGTCGTCGAATTTACCGCCGAAGGAGATCGGGTTAATGAAGGCCTCCATGCGCACCGTGCCAATCGCCTCGAAGAAGTTCCCTGCGGGCCGCGAGGATGCTTCAGACGTCCGCTGTGAGCCGTTTGTGCTCACGCCCCATGTCATGTTGCTCGACTGCCCGTAGACGTCGGATGAAGACCCTGCAGTGTCGATGCTGGCGCCTGCGGTGCTGTTGGTAGACGCGTGCATCGAGCTGCCCCCTACGGGCGAAGAAAACCCGCGGAAGGACACTGGTGGTGGGACGTGGCCGCCTGTGTTGCTCCTCTTTCTACCGTGGAGCACCACCTGGCCCGCGCGCTCATGCACGCGTGCCGGGGCTCGACCGTTGAACCGCGGGATCAACGGTGGCTCGGCGGCATCTCCGGAGAGCTCGCGTTGGTGTGCAGACATTGACCTGAATGCTTCATGGTCGATGTGTGCAGGGAATGTCGGCACAGGTTCTGGTTCCTCCTGCAAGCTGGGTTGTGCAATCTGATCATGGCGCGCCATCAAATTCGGGTTCTTCCCTTTCGTTAGACGGATAGAGTCGCGGATCCCACTCCTCTTCGTCTTAAGCTTCGATAATTCTGGATCGGGTGCCGGAGCTGGCTTAGGCGGAGCGAGCGAAGGCGTTATCTCGGGCACGGCTTGCTGTGAGTGGGCTAGGAAGGACAGTGCCATGATCCATAGGTAGTGACGTTCAGCGGAAACAGCCGTGAACTTCAAGGCTCTCTGTGGTGTGAGGATGAGAATAGACCGGTTGAAAATCTGGGTTTCACCCTTTGGAATCGGGTTATCGTCCTTGACATCCAGGACTGACTGGATGGTAACTATAGTTGCGTCAGCACAATTTAGTAAAGAGATTGGCAAAGAGAGACAACTCACGTTTGCGGCCAGACTTCCCCATCAACGCGCTACCAGAAATCGGCTGCTTGCTACTCCATAGAATTGCTCGTTCATACGGGGCCAGCCATACCCATCGCTTATGGCGGTCATTGCTATTCTCCTCTCTTCCGCCACCCTCAGCCATCCCGAAAGACTTGCGTCTCCGAACATATTTGAACATCCATTCACCAACCATGGCTTGAGCGATTGCTTCTACAACCGACGCGGCATGCTGTGAGCTACCCACAGAGACAGCAGTAGTATTTTCGGTATAGGCTGTGTTAGTCGACGGTTGAGACTTGTGCGACGATTTATATCGCGCCATTGCAATATCTCTATTGCGCGGCGTTGTGATATCATTATTCGGCATAGGTGGTAACCGAGGGCTCTCAGGCGCTTCTTCAGAGGGTGTCATCGGAGGCGGCGAGCGGCTAGCATGTCTGCGGTATCGACCGCCGCCCCGGGGCAAAGCTGCAGCGGAACGGACCTTTCGAATACTATTGTTCCCGTAGATACTGCCCTTCCTACCACGTCGGTACCAGCCATGCCCATAGTGTGACGGGCTACGCGACCCATCGCTAGGAGCACTAGCTGTGACACCAGGCTGCCTCGAGCTTGCTCTCGTGGGAATGGGGAATGGCGGCTCACGGGGTTCCAAGAGGCTAGGGCTGGGTGACCGGGCCTTATGTGTGGAAATACCATTCTGAATCATAGCAGCTTTTCGCATGACGCTCGCCCGCGAGCTTGGATTCGGTGGTCGCGCCGATGATTTACGGAGCGTAACATCCCGCGAATCAGCTAGGCTAAAGCTACTATATATCTCAGGTCCTCCAGCCTGTTTCATAAAGCTCCGCGCGTCTCGTGCTGCTGTTCTGATGTTTTCCGGTGATGTTGAACCCGCCGAAGGAGTAGTTCGCTTTGATTGTCGACTGGAAACTCCATTAGGCCTAGGTGCAGAAAGAGCTGTCCGATACTCTTGATCACTGAAATCTGCATCCCCAAACTCATCTGCTTCATCAGAGCTTGCTATATCAAACCCAGCGAACAGACTGCTGATGCGAGGAGGGCGTCGCATGGGCACCTTGTCCGAGAGCGGTCCATTATCATTGTTCCCAGGATACATGTCTCGAGTTTCTGATTCAGCTATCGACGGCGATACTGGCGGCGAGTGAGCTGATTCGTTTACAAAACTACTTTTGCTTGCCAGCCGCCGAGGGTTCCGCGGTGGAAGGTGGCCAGGGACCGGCGTGAAAGGTTTCGTCTCCGTATCATTGTTAGGGGTAGGTGATGATGGTCGGGAAGTAATGGCGTCGGGATGCAGGTGTCGGGGCAATTTGGCTAGCCTCTTGTCAACTCGAATCTCATCTGTCTGGACTGAAGCAGACTGATATCCCGCGCTCATAGATTGCAAAATGGAGACTTGGCAGCCGGCATCTTTGGAATGCTGAGGTAGGCGATGGTCGTGTGGACTAGGCGAGCGGCTCGTAGGTGGGACAATGCTAATACTAGGGATCGCTAAGGGGGTAACTGGCTTGGGTTCCGGAGCACTTTCAGTTTGTGTTGCGACCGACTTTGTTTCAATACTTTCAGTATCCGGTTCCGGAGCCGGCGTATCAGTTGTTGTTGGAACCGGGGAGAGCGGTGTCCTGGGAGGGCTTAAAGGCTCGGCTGTCTGCGATGCAGATGACACCATTGAATGTGTGATGATTTTAGGCGTGACCATTGAGCCGGGTCTGTTGATACGAACTCGCTTCCGACGCTGGTTTGCTTCGATTTCCATTTCACCGCGCGGCGGACTTTCTAGATCGAACGGGCCGTCCACCTTAACTGGAATCTCGGGCGTAGAAGGTTTAGAAGGGATAATCTTGGGTGAAGGTGGCGGCGAATACTGGACAGCAGCGTCTGTGTATTCGGGCGACTTCGTAGGCGACTGAAGTTCGTCGTCTTCTTGGATATCGCCTTCAAGTCTGGCTAGTACACTGGGATTCGTATACAGCCTCCCACGAGCCACACTACCTGGTCGAGCCTGGCTATCGATACTATGATTGCGTCGATGAGTTCTGGACGCAACACTGTCGCGACTCATATTGCGACCATGTCCCGCAGTTGAAAGAACACTTTGGCGGCCATCCGGGTCCGTTTGATAATCGTCGTCGTCATCAAAGTTAAGTTCATCAGCTAGGCTCATGCCATTAACTTTTCCACCACCGAGGCCACTTATCGTTGAGAATCGGATACTATTCGTTATGCTCTGGGTACGGACACTGTTGCCGTCGTTTTCTTCGGCCTCGCTTTCCACTCCGTTCTCAACAACATTCGACTGAGCAGCCTGTAGGTTTTCAACCTCTTCGATGACAGCCTTTAATCGAGTTTCTGCGACGTGTAGTTTCCGCTCAAGCTTTCGTCGCTCTTCCTCCCAATCATCCTTCTCCTTTGCCCACAAAGCATGGACTCGCAGGGAGTCTTCTTCCTGGGTGCGGACTTTCTTTTGCGCCGTTTCAAGTCGTCTTTTCGTCTCTGCAGCAGCCTCAACAGCTTCCTCCCGCTCCCGTCCTAGTTCACCTAAAGCTGATGATGTCCCTCCTTCAAGCAAAGCTAGTTGTCGTTTAAGTGAACGTGACTCTTTCGCCGTCTCGGTAAGATTTGCTTGGATGGCGTCCTTTTCTTCATGAACAGCATGCAGTGTCGTTTCTAAACTTTCGATGATTTTCAATTTATCCTCTTGATCTCGTCGTAAGTTGAGAATCTCCGATACCAGATTTGCATGTAATGTTGGTGTAAACCGGCGTGGGTCTAAAATACCGAAATTTTCATCAACGGCAGGTTCTTTAGAAGCACGCTTATTCTTCTTCTCGATCCTATCAGCAGAATAAGCCGGCGGCGAAGAGGAAGGAACCCGTGGAGGTGTTGCTGATCGTCGAGATTTTCTCGATGTGCGCGATGGTGTCCGATATGGTGTACCTGCTGGCGTTGGCAATGCTGCAACAGCAGCGCTGTTGAGCTCGTCTTCCGTTGCTCGGGCAGCCATATCTTGGTCTGTTCACATGCACCTTCAACGTCGATAGGTTGCCTGATCCTAACACTGTGGACCACAACGGAAATTGCCAGTGGGAGAGTTGGTAGTAACGCACGAGTCCAGACTGCGGCGTTACATATATCTCCTAGTGATCACACTAGGAAATGTGGCTCTACCTCGACTCCACGAAAAGGGGACACACCCCCAGATGTAGAAGCGGAAACTTCAATTTGACAGGTCCTAGGTATCTACTCCGTCATCTGAGCATCTATATTTCGCCCCACTATTAGCACGGGCTTGCCGGATGAGAAAGAAAGGTATCAATTCTGGATCAGGGATATGCCGAGTGTGAAACAAGTCGCACGCCAACGAATAGTCCTGCAAGGGGGCTGAAGATGTTTGCGCCTCTCGTGATCCCGTGACCGCGGAGGCGGGCAAACAATTACGAAATTCCAGTGCGGCTGATTGTCAAGTGAAAATGTAGAAATCTTGATGCGTTCTCTCCTTCAAGCTTCCCGTCCGTAGCAAGCAAATCCGGGTTGAGTTCGACTCGCGCACGCGGTTCCTCGGTTGGGGCGATCTTGGGCCCCTAGCATAGCCTTAATGCAAAGTCCTTAATGGGCTATAGTAGACACCGTTAAGGTTTTGAGGTGGGATGAATTTGGTCAATGCGTCCGAGCACAATGTCAAGCGAGAACAGAGTCATAGAGCATGAAGGCCCATTCGAATAGTATAGATATCTATACTTATTATAGTCGCCTGGGTCAATGATGGCCGGTTGCGCAAAGCCCAGTCCGTGGTCGTAGAAGTTGGGGGACCTGCAGTATGTTACATTGTCAGCTGTGACCTCACCCTGTCGCTCTCCTCGGTTGACAAGTCACCTAAAGGCCCTAAAGCATCACAGTTGTATTGATCTAGAAGTAGATCACCGTTATGCCTTAGGGTTTGGCCAACGCAACAGTTCCCCAAGTAGGTAGGTATCCTGACTAACCTATACTTTCGCATGCAGCTGGGCGCAAGGTCGCGAACCTACACCCCCTTGAACGCCACGTCAGATAGAGAGAAACCGTTTATCGTATCTCCAGAGCCCGTGCTTCTCGTCGATAGTAAGCGTCTCCAGCTCGTTGCCGTTAAGTCGTATGATGCCAATCGAGAACGACAGGAAGTCTGTAAGGGTTCCGCCAAAACCACCTACGATACGTGGCAAGGCGATGAAAGCAAGTCAATGCGGGCAGGATAAAGCTTCCAGCAGCAGACGGTATAGGACGTTGATCGCAGCCAACTTCCCTTCCCCTCCGATGTCTGGTTATACACACAGTAGGTGAGTACACAAGGTTGTCGACGAGCTTCGAAGCCTACAAGGGAGAAATGGAAGCAAAAGTGAAGTAATAATCCAGGGTGCCAGAAAGCCTCCCGTAAAACTGTTATGACGAATGCCTATACTCACTCATTTAGACTCGAGATATGAGTTATCCACCCAGTGGATACAGGCCCCGGCAGTACCTACTGCCCTAGCCCAGATGAACGTATGAAGAAAAGACCGACGTACTAAGAATAATGCAGCATTACTTCTGGAGTCGAGAGCATAAACCGCAACACGCTATATATGTACAGTAGGCGTCTAGTTTATGTACCAAAAAAGCTAAGTACGCAAATGGAATCGTAGCAGCTAAAGAGATCCTTAGGCGCAATTTTCCCCGTCGTCTTGCAGCTTGGTGGGATGCCAGAGCCATACAAGGCCAGACCATGATTCGAATCATCCATCATTTCCCCAACTCAGCCATTGTATTCTCTCGGCCGTCAACTCCAACTAAGACATGCATTCAACACGAGGCGTACCCAGTCCGATGTAATTTGGGTATTGTCAGGGCCGTGTCAGTCGGGGTGAGACCATGGCCCCTGTACACTGACTAGGCGTGGTCTCAATCCGTCCCCAAACCCGTCAGAGGAACCGTGGATCAATCATCTTGACATGACCCAGCGAACTACCCAAGACCAAATAATTGCTAGCATCAGAGGGGACCCATCGACATTGCAGAAAGGGGTCGAGGACCCCTGATGATTATTTTTTTTTTCTTGGTTGGCCACTAGGCTTGCCAGGTTACGGGGGCTCATCTCCAAATGCAGCATAGCGCAGAACCCGCGGGCAACTTGACGTCGGGAAGAAAATCCGAAAAGATTGGTGAGGGCATCCCACATGCAGTTCCCAAGAGATATCACACTCCTGTCTGTCCAATCCACCTTGTCCCGAGAGCGCGGACAAATGAGATGCTGAAGCCCGTTGGTTCGTTGGTTGATTGGTGGTCAGCAACGCGATATAGTAGCCAGTCGTTTCGAGAAGCGAGAAACACATGCAGTTTATTCGAGCGCTTGTTTCCCTCGGTATGTACGTACGTACAGTAGGAGTGTACCGACAGCATAATGATGTACGCTTGTGAGCACGGTGTCTGACAGTACCTATATCGAATATCGAGCAGTCATCACGTCGAGAATTCACGGGCATACTAGGGTGCCGAGGTGCCTGGCATCCCGTACAGATACGTCTACATAGTAAGTACGCATAGTGTAATTTGGCAGGGCTGGAACCAGACACTAACTTGGACACCACGTTCTACCAACGCGCAACATACTGCTCTCACACAAATTCAGAGATATAACACAACATGCAAACGCGTTTACATATGTGTAAGTACACGGCCATGTAATGAATTCATAGAAAGGTCCAGTTAGTGGACTGGATACAGATTATAGTGTCATGCTAAAAGTAGCGTGGGGTCCAACAGAGGCAAAATGAGTGTTGAAAAGGACTAACGACTCCATACTAGCTGGGAAATTCCAGGGTTCGTTGCTCTATTGCTCTGTTGAGCTCAGTCAGCTTCCCGGCTCCTTGCCGCTTCCGGATGAGAATCCGGGTTACCCCTGTGCCGCTCATCACAGGTCCATCGCAACAATGAACCGGCCCGTCCTCCAATTAATCTCGCGCACATGAACGTCTTGAAGATGACGATAAGCTATGCTCAATACCACTCTTCATATGGCTAATCTGTCTGTTGATGAACCCATGTAAATGTAATATACTAATTAGAGGTTGCGCCTATGCAACTGTATACTACCTGCGTATGCAAAGAGAGATATGGGAGATGGGGCCATGGCACGAAGCCTAATATCCCTAAGGCTAGCAGTGCAGCTCATCGAGCATTGCATGTTAAGTACCCGTAGAGAGGCGACATCGCGCTCTTTTTGTCATTTCTTTTTTTCCAAGTAGGTAGCAACGCTGTTCGTTCAACGGTCATCACATGTGCGAATTATACATCCCTGTGCAGATAATGTCAGCTGCGCTACACCTCTACTATCAGTGTCACCAATGATACGTTCCCTAGGTATGTTTGTGTAAGTGGTACTCAGTATGTTGCCAGGTTTCAATCGGTTGATAAGTATATTCATCTCCGACTAGCAGGCAGCGATAGCCATGGTGCTCAGAGTAGCGCAGGGGATATCTAGTAGTGATCATCTGATTCGAGCTTGCAACTAACGTAAAGTAATCTCGGATGTTTGCGTTGCCCAGAGCCTTGGATTTGTTAAGATATCTCTCTCTCCTCTGAATTCAAGGTCTTTTCTATTTTCGCGATAGGTAATCCCCCTCAAAAAAAGAAACGTCGCACAGGAACGTGTCGCGCTAATAATGTAAACTAGTCTCTTATTAGGGTAATGCCGACGACGGTAGTGCGGTCTATGAGGCTTCTCTAGGTCGAGATCATCACGATATAGGTAATGAAGGCACTGAATCACGGACGCAATGTGGCGTAACCTGGCCTTGCTACTACTATCTAGTTTGAAGTTGGAGCGTTTCAGATTACTATGTGGCTTTCTGCTTACCTAGTCTCCCGGCATTTTCAAGACGGCTACCTAGCTGACGGAGATGATAGATCACTATGAAGACAGCACACGATCAACAATTCCAGCTCTCTACCAGTGCACGCGCAGTCGTAAATGACGCCACGATAGGTAACTGCGACTAGTGTAGCGTGGGGTTGTCGCATCGTCAAATCCAGTCCGCTGCCTTGGAAAGCTGAGGTCTCGTGTTTTGTGTTTCATATATGAGATTCTGTCTTAGTGAGTTGTGTACACGTGCTACGAGAACAGATTGTTTTCTCGAAGGACCTCGCCGACGCACACAGGACTTCGTGATACACAGTCATACACTCCCGGTCCTACCACATACCTAGATGCTCATACTGTTAACTACGTGTACTTAAGTATGTAATCCCTAAAAGTCTTGGTGTAGCGTAAGGCTAGACGGCAAAGTGGAGGTCCTAAGATCATCCGATGTCCAAAAGCATTCTTACTACGCTACGCTATGTTTATACTAGGACGTCGCTCGGAGCTCGACACGGTAAGCTTCCGCGAGATCCTACAGTTCCACCTGCTAAGAAAATACAAAATCGATGATGCGATACCCGAGGGAAAGCCGTACTCTCTGTCCGGGTAAGTTCCGTGTAGCATCTGGAGCCGGGCAGCTTTATCCTGCGACACTTATGCACACAGCTACACATCACTCCGGTCCCAACGGTCAAAATACATGGATTGCCCGAGGTCAAGGCAACACGTACATTGGTTGGTATGCACAAATGTGGCACAAAGGGAGCTCCCTAATACAACCTCCACCTGGGGAAGTGGGAAATCACCTCAAGTTAGCAGCACGATTCTGAGCCAAGTGATTGACCCTATGCATTACACTAACAGTAAGTATGGCACCGCATCCTTGCAGCGGCGCGCTTCTGCAGTGGCGTCGTCCGGATGTTTTATTTCCAGATACCATAGCAATGGCGTGGACCATCTAGATTGCGGCTGTTTACGCTTGAGCAGTAGCTCCCAGCGAAGTTCGGATCTACACAAGGTCAAGGCATGTCCATAGAGAAGAGTGTACGATTCTCTGGGTATTACAAGTTGCGCAGCTTCCCGCTGGCTTAGGCGGGATGTCACTGATGGCACGATTATGTTGGAGTGTACAAGGAACCCGCGCCGAGTAAAGGGCTGCCTAAGCGCACGGTCGGCCGAAACCGCGAACGGGCCACGAAAGATCGTACAATATCATTTAGCTATTATTACAAGTACGTCATCCAGGGATATCTGACTGCATATCTTGCTACAAGATAAACGCAAGTGAGCTGCAAACCCCACATTGACAACAACAATGTTTTATGTTTTATAGAAGTGAGCCGGAATATGACACGAAGGCTCTCGCTGTTACATGTAGACAAAAGCTTGTGAAAGTCGCCTAAGTCGCAAGTGGAGGGTCGTACTGCTCTTTTGTTGGCCGTGCGACCTACCACCGCACATAAAGCCGTGGTTGTGGCCGTCGTAGTAGTTGGAGTATTGATTCTGGGGTACATTCTGGCGCGCGATACCACAGTAGTAGTACAACTGGCACGATCCACGCCTCACAGCGATTAGTATCCGTCGTTATGGAATTACCTATCTCTATAATGTAACGCTGCGACTATTCGAATTGGTCATTCGCTGGAGAATGGTGTAATTGAGAATTTACGAATAGGCTAAGTTGGTGATCAGCAGAGGTAAGTAGTAATATAGCTACCTAGAAGGAGCATGTTACGAAGTCCTCAGCAGGAGCATTCACATGTCTTTGATTTATGTACCTATCCAATTTACGACATTCGCGTTACCGTCCCACAGAATGTTCAGTGGTGAGAACCGCCAATGGTATCTATGAAGAAAGTGATCGTTAACTACGAAGGAGCCTGACATTGGACTGTTTACTCAAGCAATAGTAACACCACAAAGATTGTACCTCCCCATTGGCTTCTGTCCTTCCCCGTTAAATTGCTTGATTCAATAAGTGAAGACCATCGGAGTTTAGTCTCATTATACGAGCTCGACTAGGTACCGGGCATCAAAAGGCACCTTTCACGTGTGTAATGTCTTGAAACTCGCCCTTGCGGTAGAAGACTACTCGGCTCTTAGGCCGAGAACAAGTGCTGTAACGTATACCAGCATACTTATCACAAACGCCTACGGGAGGCTTTTATTACTTCGAATCACGACGAAGGGCAGAAGTATGGTGTCAAAGATGTCTCGAATATCCCGATACACGTCACCGCGGCGAGGTTCATCAAGGGATGTAGTCCGATATAAGCTAGATATCACCATACGCCTATATGCCTAGACATAAGGATGTCTTACAATATCCAGGTGTGCTGAATTCCCGTGTCTCAGATGACGGCCTAGTAACTTGGCTACTTATAGTTATCTTGCTTCCTTTACCTTGTTACACTTTATCATGTCTTACTTTAGCGAGAAGCTGAAATATCTCAAACAGTCTGTCTTGGAACCTCATGCCGTAGGCAAGAACTGCCGTGAGACATGGGGCTGAGCGTTGATAAGGAAGCAAGGGGTCTATTTCACATGATCCTCGTGACCACGCTCATGGTAGACATAAGAGACAAAGACTTAGACACTTTCAGCCGCAAGGCCATTGCAGCAAACATCGGTTAGACTACAATATGAGATAACTTCGCATGTAGGCATAGATTGATATCGCAAGGACTTGCAAGCTGAAGCTAAAGTGCAGCTACGGCTAGGTGGTGATACGGTCTTCATCTCATCTTGGGATACCATAGCTAAAGCAGGTTTACATATATGAGGGTTGGCTTCCAAGAAGAACAAGATATAATTACTCATTCGGTCACGTATGATCTTGATTGTAGCATGTGGTATGCAACATTGGGAGGAGGCATCTATCCCTTTAGGCTAGGTTGTACGGATGTCTTCCACGAGTAAAAATCGTATACAACTAACTAGTCAACGAATTATACCTAATAGTCCGCATAGGGCTCAAGTGAGTCTCGTTAATCTTGCAGTCAGAACTGCAACCCGGGGATTTTACAAGATAGTCATTGTTTCACGAGGCTTCTTCATGATCTTCGTGCCTAGAGCCGTATAATTCCAGTTAGCTTCAATGTTGTAATATTAGTGTCTCCCTGTCTGGCTTCGTGAGACTCGCTCGCTTGGCTCATGCCTGGAACTAGATGCTCATAGTCTCCCCACGGGGGAAGCAAGCCAGAACAAGGGCTCAGTCATCTGTCTTTGGGTGACTATAGAAGGCTACATGTCACTAGCACCTGTTATTTCGCATTCCAACCATATACGGGAATGCCGCTAGTTGTGGTGAAGTGATAGGTCCAACATATAACATGTATCAATGAATCTGACAATCGACACTAGATCGCATTGAGCCTTAACACTTCTTAGGATGAGGAAGCTAGTCGGATAAAACGGCCAATTCTCTCGTGAATTCCCTCCAGCCTTCTTCAGACTCATCGTGGCGGTAAGGACGATGTTGGAATCGTAGCACTAGTGAAATCTTGTGTAGGCCATACCCAGAATATCAACATTGTGGGAATAGGAGATCACCGGGACGAAAAGGATAAGTACATACGTAGTATAGGTATACGGGAAATCGGCACATAAATATATGGTGTGACTTAGCTAGACCCTATGCTCTATGGTTGCTCATCTGAAAGGCTCAACGCAAACATGAACATCACATTAAGTTATAGCTGCATTATGTTCAATTTATAAACAAGAAACAGTCTTCCTAGACTAGAGTGGTGATTTTCAGATCATTAAATCTCCAAAGTATCAAGACTTTAAAACACTTTCTCGTTAAATGCAAGAAATTGTAGTGTCCGACCTTGGGACGCTTTGCCGATAGGTAGAAATTTCAGCTTTATTGCGGAACATTATATCTCGGGAATCTATTATAATACTGCAGGTACCTATACACCTATATTAGGATTACAATTCTAACTCTATAAAGTTAAAAATTTAGCATGAGTGTTTTTACTGTTCACTACCAGCATCATAACGCTATAACCATCGAAGGACTAGGTCATAAAAAGGCACAAAAAACCCATAGCTGAGGTATGATTAATGCTTGGTCAATGTATGACTACACAAGAAGACTACTTAAAAGAAAATGGGAAGTAGTAAGCTATCGGTTGCATTGAAGACCCCGAATCTGCTCAGAGGAGGTGTGATTAAGTGCTAAACGTAGTCATGTAAATACATCAATTTTGTGCAAAGTATGAGCGCCTGTACATACGTCCTTGGTCTGGGAACAGCCTATGAAATTTCGATACACCAAGGCATGGCTAAAGACGCTCGCTCGGCATTATTGATACACCTATGATAAGTCACCAGTTGGGAGTCTCGTTTCTCACACACATGTGTAGCCAGAGAGACTACCTAGCAGATACCCTGGGAAGACTGGGCCACGTTGGCTGCGATCTAGATTGTGACCTATCAATCGAACGAGTGGCATGAACGCGGGGTTTACAAGATGTCGATGGTTTGCGTATACCTAGCCAGGCGCGTTGCGCGTGGCACTGTCGGTAGGGGAGCCGTTTCATTCTCTTAGTCACCTATAGGAAAAGGTTGTTGGCCTCGCCCGTAGCATGACTCACAGCATTGACCGCTGAAGCAAAGGCAAAAACAATAGGTAATCTCCCTTCAACATATCACTCACTGTGCTAGAAGGGAGGCTTCTAAGACGCAATTACATCACACAAGAATAAGCAATAGCATTGGATGAGCCCTCATCCGATCTGGAAATGACCTGTCAAAAAGATGGCCCATAAGTTCGATGATTCAGAGTCGTGACATAGCCATTGGTCTGCATCATCGACACCTACAGCTTGATTTAAACATCCGAGAGGTCGATACCGGCAAGACCGGCTAATCAAGATCTAGACGTGCGAATAATATTGGATGGCGAACATATCAAGCTGGTCGAGCCAATCGAATTCTCTGTTCAGCTTTGCTTTTACATATTATACCCGTTATTGAGGCGGTGGCTTCACTAGTCGGCTCGTTCCGAATGCCCTGGGCAGTCATGACTAGTGATGAGACTTTGTTTGCGTGTAGTGGTCGCTTTCCATGTATGTCATGGAGAACTCATTCACGCCACCGCCGACCTACCAGTGCTGATGTTTCAATGTGTTCATGGACAAGTCATAAGTGTACGCAGTGTTGACGCTGAAACGTGTTACAGCCATGTTTCTACAGCTTCTGAAACTTGTAGCGAGTCACAAAATCGAGGTATACTCGACCTCAGGCTATTACGACCTGACGTATGGAGTATGAGAATATGATATTAATATGGTGCTAAGTGACGGGCTCAGATAAGCTAACGCGAAGATATCTGTGGCATACAGCAGATTTTCTTTGTCTGCATAAGGGGTGATGGAGCCACAACTTGCTTGTGGGAGGTACGAAGGCGGGTCGTGATTCTGCTCTCGCATTCGCCAGAGAACCCATTCAACTTTAGAGACAACAGGACGCCTAATTCACGTGCATCAAAAGGCACGGTGTGATAATTGCAACCATAGGGTTCCGTAAGACAAGCGTTGTTGCACCGTGGTCTTGGAGCCTTCGCAGCTAGGCTAGTGCTATGTACAGCGAGTGTCTTTATCTGTAGCCCGAAGGTCTTGATACACGGGTCTGATTTGTGACGAAGAACGCAAGCAACTGCAATTCATACCTACTATGATCTGCAATGCGGACACGTGTTATGGGCGGCTCAAACCTCTGTGCTTGCAACCAAGGATCCACAATATTATTGTGTTACATACCCGTTGGAAAGGCGAGCTTCAGTGGCTTTGATTTATCAGAGACTGCGGTTCTATCAATATGACTTCTCTCGTAGGCCTTCAAACTACTTGCGAAAAATCGAGATGTATCTCTCTTGGTTTTCAAGTAGCATGTAAGGCTTTGAAGGATGCCCTCCGACCAACTTTACTTGCGTAAATTACACTCTAGATGACTTTGTGAAAGGGATATGTTTATCATATATTGATGTCTCTGCCATCCTTCAACAAGTTGTCACTGGTAAGAGGCCATGCCAGAGTGCCGGCACAGCCCAGCCAGAAGTGATCAACTTGGCTAATAGTAGATAGAAGTCAAGATGAAAAATAATCACGACCTCTGTGCCGCAAATATGAATGAGTTATATAGCTGATATTCACTTTGTTCTCTCGTTGCTTCGCTTTAGGCGATAAAAGGTTCTACGCTTGAAAACGTTACATTGCCATAGAACGACATACATGTTGAATTTAGCATAATAGTTGCATGAAGAAACTCATCATAAGTAGCGGTGGAACTTTGTTTGCCACAACAGCGACCCTGCGTGCGCGATATTACAACCCTATAATGACTTGGTTTTCAAGATACGCAACCTTGGGTCCTTGGACGGCTAACATGTAGTAAAGTTCATGGTTGCGAATGAGCATGAGGAATTTTGAAGACCATCACGCTTTATGAAACTTATTACGTGGGTCTCTATGCTTCTTTGATTTGAAAGGTCGGTGTGTACTATGGGCTGCTGCAATATACAACTGTTGCCCAATTCAAGTCGACTAATTATGCATTGTGTTCGGTTGACGGCTGTCAATCTCTCGATGACGAAGTTGGTAGCAGAATATTGGAATGATTCACTGGACGGGTATCTCTGGCTAATCTAATATATTTACCCTATAAACAATGATCCTTACAATATGCTTTAATGATTTAGTCCATGCCCAGGAATGTTGGCATACAGATAGTAAGTTTTACTATACAAACGAAATAAAGTGTATTGATAATCTAATAATAAGCACAGAAGGTATTGTCATAGCTCCTGATAGCTCAGTTGGTAGAGCGATGGACTGTAATTGTAAATGATAATCCACAGGTCGCGTGTTCGACTCACGCTCGGGAGACTGCAACATATTTCTTTTTGGCCATTTTTAAAACCTTTAGTTTTTAATATTTTTCACTTATGATAAGCTAGGCAATGGGATTGTTCGCCGAGGAGAACTAATTTTTGTTGCGCTTTTTATCTTTCAAGCTGCTTTAATCGCAGGCCTATCTACAGAGCATGGTGCGTGCTATCTTATGCCTCCCGATATACCAATTGGCTTTCAAGTAGTAAAAGTCACGTATCAGATTATCAACTGAGCTCCTTGAATTCAATTGCAAAGATCTAGTAGTCAATCTACCCCCCGGGTGCGTAAGGGTACTTAGCCATGAAGTGATACCTAAACCCGACGACTATGCAGCTCATAGTAGGACTACATGATAGCATGTGTTAGCCATCTACTCGTTCTGAATCGCTGCATGCCATTTATTCCTTCTCTTAACTGACAGTACTTACACCTTCTCTAAAAATAATCCAAGTCCTCCCCTTTTCTTCTGCCTCTTGAACAGTCCAAGTCAACTCCTTCCAGCGTCAATGAGATCATAATGAAGGAGCAAAATGCATTCATTCGTATCGGGGGAGTTTCTGTTATGGGCATTATCAAATCGAGGCAATTGCATCCAGTTCTGTTTCAGTCCAGTGAGAAATAAACATAGAGCAGAAGACTGAACACCGGCCATAAACGGGCAGAGAAGGTCCATCTTCACCCACCACAGGCTGCCATCTCCTGAAGGGCGTCGGTGATGGGTGGCTGCTGCCTCGCCATGTCGTTCTCCCGAGCCAATCTGCCGAGACCTTACGGGTCCTACGGAATCAGGACGAGATACTGAAACCAAGAGCCGCTCCAATTCCGTGATCCAACTCGATAAAACGACGCACCTGAGAGGAAGCGATAGGACGAGACTTATAGATATACGATGGGTAGCATCGTGCGTTCGATAGGATCAGAGCAACCCTAACCGAGTAGCCAACCAACTGCAACAGACAGACGTCGCTTAAATCCCACCAGATATCAAGCGAAGGCGTACCCGCTTGTCTTCCAAACCGTTTTATGTGCCGCGTTTTCGCCTCATCCGGAAGGATCCGACGGAATGCGCCCATTCTCCCAGAGCCTCAGCTCGCAAGGAACTAGATATCGTGGACAGCGGCCCCCAAGATTCCCCAAATTGAGATGTGATATGATGTAGGTGTATTCGGGCTTTCATGCGAAGCAACATTGGCAGCGCTGCGGCTGACCTGAGACATACATAAAGTACATAATACCAAACCTACCATGCATGCGTGCATGCAATGCACGGATCTGCAACGACAAAGGAACAAATACCACATCCCACCAGGTTTAAGGAATCAGCTGTTTTGGCGCCTGCTGTAGAGGATAGCCCTGGGCTAGACATACCTTTTTTTTTTTTTTTCTTTAAAGGCCAAGGTGCAAGCTGAGGTTAAGCGAGGCTACTTCCTACCCAGCCTTATGCTAGGAGGCTGTCATCTGGGTCGATACGGAGCGTGAGGTTCCGAGAAAGATCCTGGCCGTTGTGCTAGGTTACCTCGGGCATCGGAAATGAGTACCTAGGTAGGTAGGGCAGAAGGAAGAAAGTTACGCTGGTCTTGTTGATCCATTGTAGTGTAGTACAAGTGTCTCCTCGATAGCGTGTGTGTGTATAGGTATATCGAGGGAGAACAAACGCACAACGTGCTGATGGATGTTTCGTTTCATGAAGGAGGCGCGCACTTGGTGATACGATACATGGGTCATCGAGCTCGAAGTACACGTGGTGATACATTATAGTATTGTTGATAAGTACGCTCTTACTCCATTATGCAAGTTGCGCAAGGGCGTTTCCGTTCATCAAGTTCTCATCGGCGATAACAGGGTTGACTCTAGTTAGATGGTGTAGATACCTAAGTTGAGTATCCATAGAGAAGGAAACATGGTGAAACATGAAGTTACGAAGCCGACAATGCATGAATCTTCTACACGTACCTAGAACAAGCACAAATCTGCGGATTGCGTAGTACTCGAGCAGGGATGCTCGATCGTCTCCTGCTGTTTTAGGAGTAGTCCCTTGGAAATGTAAGAAGCATATCGGGCGCGGAGCGTGAAGTCGTGCTCGCAATTCCGCGGGCCGGAAAACGCATCGGCAAGAAGATGTAAAGTATGTGCATAACATCCAGGTCTGTCAGTATGTAAATGCGCCGTCCTAGGTTTGGGTTTAAGGTCACGCTAACTGTTGAAACAACGTGGTTGTGGACTTGCGCGAGCTGCAAGAAGACGCATCCCCGGGCCTTGGATCCCCTGACAAAACTGCACTTCGCTCGCGGGCCCCGAAAACGGTCGCGGTTTGTTAGCTGCGTGTCAACACTCGGCCGTGCATACCGCCTCGTAGACCGGATGCCTGATCTGGCCAATTGCAGAGACCCCAAGTTCCCTGGATTCGGGATAAGACCGTTAGGAAGCAGAGAGATTGCTCTTTGTTTATGCGTTATGGTTATTCCTTTCCGCTTCCAGAATTGGGATATCCGTTACTCCATTCCTACTGTATGTACGGATTTCGCTGTTTCGCATGATTCCGATGACCGGGCAGGGCCATTGGACTTTGTTTCCGCGCCGCACATAGGATCTTCACCCCTGAGTCCTGTCACACATGGTTTGGTGACGATGAAAATGCTGACATGCTGCACTCCTTCTGCAAGTATAGAATGGGACTTTCGACGGAACGGGCCGGCCTAGTTAGGAAGGAGAGCAGAAAAGAACGAAGATTTTCCCGCTTCTCTTGCTCTAGGTATTCTGGTCTTACCTTTCCTCTTCTCCGTTCCTTGTTCTTACGGTATTTAGTCAGCTCCCCTGCTCTTTATGCCTTCGGGGAGTCTTCACGGATTTTACAGATTTCCATATCCAGGAATCCACCCGTCCACGAAAAGTCACATATCCGAAATATCCCTTTACTTACAACCCCCTTGCTCTGACACGGCCCGGGCGTTGGTTCAATCTAGAATTTTCTCGGCCCGTTCGGGTCATCGTAGACCTAAGCGGTGAGAGCCTGATGACCTGCACATAGGTAGGTCAGGCTGGGTTGTTGACGTACCTAGCATACTGCAGCTGTACCTGTGAAAAGTTCGTGGCATTATCCTGCTTGCCTGTCTTGACTTCACCCCGGAAAGCCCGCGCGCATAGATGTAGTGTAGGTGTCAGCTCCACGTGCCTGCGTCATGATGCTGGTTCGCTGGCCACGGCAATCCCGCGCATGAGCGAAACCCTCTTCTTCACATACCACGCTAGATGTTCGGTCGGTCTTCACCGACGTGCGTCTGCCTCGCAGTTCGAGAGGCCGCGACTTGGCGACGTACGTTTATGCAGCTCACCGGACCAGGTCAGGCACGAAGCTGTGCTCGTGGTGCAGTACGTACATCTCAGTGTACAGTAGAGAGAACGTGGCTTGGAGGATCGTGTTATGAGCACCATTCTCATTATTAAGAATCCATTAGTACGAAGCTAAATACACCCGTTATAAGAGATCAACTTCTGGTTAAGGTAGTTCAGACGGAGGTACCGTCCTTGGCAGTAATCCTCTGACTGAAAGCAGTTCGGGGTAGAGTGGGAATTAGGAAACTGAAGTAGGTAAAGAAGGGTGAATATTGAGTAATCCAGCCCCCACTGGATATGCCTGCTTTCCAGGTACTGTGTACCTTTCTGATGCTTCACAAAGCTCCATACCCGTGGCCCTGGAACAGCAGGAACTTTGTGGGGATTGGGGTAGAGACGTATGTAGTGTTCGTGAGGCGAGCTTGGGCCTGTAGCTCGTGGGGGTGTACATTGAGATAAGCCGATGGGATCGTGGACGAAACCACGGGATCTTAATCTAGCTACTTAGATAGATCTGCTATGCCGTGCTAAGCATCATCATCACGACAGCTTATGATTCATGGTCAGCCAAGGCGCCCTCTCTTCTGCTGAGTATGTTTGAAAGTTACTATCGGCGCTTGGATTTGATACCTTGTCAGTATCATACAAGATAGCACCGTTAAACAGCCCATTTCTCATATCTCTTGGTACCAAGATGAGTGTTTTAGGGGGAAATTGAGGTTGTTAATACGCTACGAGTCTGGTCGGTTCCGGCCGTTAAAAAATGTTTCGAAACTCCTTATTAATCGTCGTGTTATTGACAAGGGTCGTCGGTAGTGTTCATGTTATGCCCGAAATAGGTAGACCTGAAAGAGGCCAGAGCCACTCTGTCCCAAGTGTTTTGATTGGGGATTGTACATAATTGGTTGCCGAAATTGAAACATCGATTGTTATTAAGAAGACTTTCCTGATTTAGAGTTTGCTCGTCTCATCAGCAATAAATTTTGAAGTTGTTCAGTGATGAAATGGTATGTGGATCAACATACTGTCAAGAGATGCTAAAGGCTTGGCGGTGAACAGGGAAAGGGAGGATATACGATATCCATTTGTGAACAAGGCTTGGATTCCGCACCGCCGAGCTGCAACTACAATGCCGGTAAATAGACGCGGCAATGGTATTGACGGAGAACACTGATCACGATGACGGAACTGTCGATATGCTTCTTTATTTTCTATGGGTGCTACTGTAGAAGTTAGCCTGACAGCTAGGTGCTGGCGATGTTTTCACCTCTACCAGAGTTCGCAAACTCACGATGGTGTCCTCCCATCCGTACAGGAATAGCATTCTTTCCCCTTCTTTCGACATCCGAACGTTCATGCTAACGCAGCTTCGTGTGTCTACATATACGCTATCTTCGAGCTACTGTACTACTGTAAGTAAGTTATATCTTTCACCAATAGTAAATGTACGTTAAGAGAACCTGCCAATGGGGAGCTCGTAGTCGGCGAGTCGGAGACCGGCGGAGGGGCAGTTTGACTGAACCTGCACTCCACCTGAGCTACCCACTCCGCCATTGTAGATATGCTCCATACACCATCTACTGGTTTCGTTTGCGACCGAACCATGCCGCCAGAACTAGCTTCGCAAGCTCGAGTGGCCCAAGTCGTGCCCTATGGGCCACTTTCTAGAGCCCCGGGTCAGCGAATCCGAGTTCCGACCGGAACGTAAACGCATACTTGAAGTAGTGTGCCTACCCACATAACCTAACCTACATGTACAGTAGTTTGAGAAATAAAAACAGCTTTCCTCTTGGTCTTGGTCCAAGGATCTAGCTTCATCGGTAGTTATCAATGTAGGTAGTGTACATGTATCTTACCTAAGTATCTACAGTATGCCATAAAGCATACTAAGTATCTGCCTAACTAAACATGGGCGTACTTGGAGATACCGAAGGCCTATCTTGGTAGTCCGAGGCGGGTTCTGCTTCTCGCTTTCGTATACTTCTGCTTCTGCTCGCCCGCCACTTACACGTGCTCCAAGTTGGTTCGCTAGGACGAGAGACTTCGAGGCAAAAACGGGCGGTGATTACCTGAGGGGCGACAGAATGGAGAAACCGCAAGACCCCAAAAGAGAAAGCAACGAAGAAGCGGGATCGCCAGTACGGTTTTTTGAAGGTCGGTCAGGCCGATGAGGTGAGCTGAGATAAGATCTTAGGTTCGTTCGTTCTTCGGTTGATTAGGTTCTTCATTTTCATTGCCCTGGTAAGCCTCTCTGTATGCCTATTTGCGCGCGCGAACGCGCGGATGTATATACGGTATGTATGTGCCTCGGGTTACATTTGTGTATTACGATGATGTCAATGCCACTTAAAGAAGAGTTGCAGCATCAAACTATCTAGGTTAGGTAGCAGAGTTGCTGTAATAACTCCCAAGTAACAATCACGTTTCCCAATGCTAACAATGGCGGGTTACGGCATACCTAAATGCATACATTAGTAAGTAGTGGACTTTATTACACTGACTACAAGCGACATAACTCGCATGTTGAAAAGCAATTAATTCATCATTCATTCAGCGTTACCTGCTTTATCTACTGTAACTCAAAAGAAAGCCCCCCCACATATCCTCGCAACGCAAAACGACAGTACTCAGTACACGCTACCTATTAAGATCCCTGTTCTAACCCCGCGACCACATCTACAGTACTATGTAAAGAGTAGATCTACACTTCAATAGAAGCCAGCTCCGTATATTATATTTGCTTTGGAGAAGAAGCAGCAGCAGCAGCAGCAGCAAAAGTGGTGCTGTCGAGAACTGACGGTAGGCAGAATATATGCTAAGGCATTGATCAAAGTGCAGCGGGTATCTGCATGGCATGAATCGCCGAGTAGCGAAGTTACGGACTCCGAGGTATTGTTGTTCAAGCTGGACAAGCGCTGGCTGCATTGCATATAATGCAAGTCTTCTTGAGCGCCAGCATATATGCGTACATTTGGCATATGGAAATACTCCAATAGATAAAGAATTAGGTATACTGATGGCAGGTTAGTTACCATCTTAGCTAGGAGATAACAGGTATGTAATAGGTAACCATGACCTCAGTAACTCTCACATCAGAGAAGAGAGGTGCAGCGATATGTGCACGTGCAAGATATCACCACTTTGTCATGGCCGAATCTAAACACATACATACTTGCTGCAGCTGCGCAAGACCTCAGTTATGCCTCCCCTACCTCATATTCCTTCATCGACCTACCTACCTCCTTACTTGGATGTAATAAGAATATTCGCATACTATGTAGAAAATAGACCAAGAAGAGAGAAAATAGAAGTGCTCGTAATGTGGGGGAACCACAACCAAGAAATGTAAAAAAAAAAAAAAAAAAAAAAAAAAAAGATCCCTAAAACTAAATGCACCATGAAAATTGTTGGTAATGCCTTGCATATATTTCGATAAGTATTTTCTTTTCTTTTCTTTTCTTCCTGTCCATCCATAACCGCACACACTCACTTCGTTACCTGATGCCACGGTTTGCGAACAAGGGGCTCAGAGCTGTGTACAGTAGGTAGGTAGATACTTCGCCCATCACATCTACATACACGGTAAGTTGGCCCCCCGCCCTCCATATATAAAGTACATACATACCTAGGTACTTGCACATGTAACCCAGTTAGTACCGTGCATGAGCGAAGGGAGCACAAAAGGGGGCGGACGGGCGGGCGGGCAGGCAGGCAGGCGGGCGAGAATTGTTACATGCAGCGTGGGCTACAACATAACATAACAACTCACTGCATTATATACTTACCCTAACTACGTACCAGGTATGGAGGCAGTCAAGTCAAGCCAAGTACCTACTTACATATATAGGTATGTATGTATGTATGTATGTATGTATGTATGCATTCGCTCACTGCAACGTGGGGTAGAGTAGGTAGGTAGGTTAAGCACGTACGTACATCGGGGGTCGGGGTTGGGGTCTGGGTTCAGTGCTTACTTACATACATTTCTGTTTCTGGCATCTCGAGGTCGTAATGCGGGTTCAACGCAACATAGTATCTCAATACTACACTACCCTTCGCTTCATCATCATCATCTTCTTCTTCCTGCTGTTACGATCCCGTGCGCGTGACAGCCCTTCTTGGTAGGCAGCCAGATAAACCTGTACCGTGAGAAAAAAATGCCTTGCACAGCTCGCATCCTAACAACACAGGCGTACATACACTTGGCTACCTAGTCCAGCCAGCAATGCGCGAGAAAAAAAAAATCGAGATATGATGTAACCGTTATTTCCCACCTCCTATTACCTACCTATGATCCAAGCCTGTATATAGCAAGTTCAAATGGAAAGTTTGGGGGCCAAGAATACGTAACTTTACCTACCTACCTACCTACTCTCCTAGTATAGTAGGTAGGTGTACATATGTAAGCAAGGGTATAGGGCAAAGGCTTGGGGAAGGAGAGCGACAAAAAAAAAAAAAGAGAGAGAGAGTGGGAAAAGCCCGAGATGATATTCACATGCAATTTTCCCCCCTTGCCTATCTACATCCACGCTACACCCTCGCGCCCTCGGTACTTAGCCCACGGCAAGAGTGTTTGAACAGTTAGAGCGACGAAAGAGACAAACAGAAAAGCAAAGAAAAAAAAAGGAATAAACAATTAAAATTCGCGCAATCAACAAACAGACATACACAGATGTATGGAGAGTTTCATGCTGCTGACAACCTAGCTGCGGGACATGTCTTAACTAGATAGGCTAGTTGTCGCAAAAGGGTTACAGTACTAAGCGGTTTCGCTTGTTATGCGGAACCCAATATTGACAGCATGATATACCTTCACTTGCCATGATGCGCAAGGCTAATGCGTGTACTTACCAACGGATCGTGTCACTGTAATACTGGCGTACAGGTGTTGAAAAAATAAGAGAAAAGCATATGATATAAGAGTCGACTAGATTGATGAGTGAATATAGTGTGTTCTAACCATAGCCGAGTAGATTGGACTATATAGCTCAATATGCAGTATATCGAAGAGGTCCTGGCGGGTGTTCTTCCCGCGCGGCTCCACAATCCTTTTTCCGACCAAGGGGACAATGAATATTCATGCGTGGCTAAGTTGAAAATATGGACATTGCAATGGAGAAAAATTGTGCAGAAGATGACTTGAAGAACTGGAAACTCTTGTGGCGTAAAATGGCAGCCCCCCTCCGAGACTCCAGAACACCGCCGGCTGCCCGACCCATCTCTTTCACAGTAATGTGTCTTCTTGGTATACGGAAAATCCAAGTGGTCTTGCGCCCTAGATGCCGCTTTTTTATTTTTCATTCGTACGCCGTTCGCCAGGTGGGAAACTGGTTCATGTCCAAAAAAAAGCAATACAGAGAGATGAGACGGAATCGAGTACGTATGGACACGGCCTACCCTGTCTTGAACAGCATATGGGCTTCGGCCCTCGAGCGGTATGCACCGCCCAAGGTGGTCGCAATCAGTCGGTAGTGCTTCGATACGGTACATATGAATCGGATATAAATGAAGTGCTGTCGTGGTATCGTTTCAGTTATGCGCAAGCTCGCAACATCCGTCACTGCCTCACTATACTAGGCTCTCATAAAATGATGCATTTGCTTCCATTTCCCCGGCCCCGAGGCCTCCTATATCGTTCGTTATCACGGGCTGGTGGAAACGTGTCTCCGTTAGGAGGGCGGTTGCGCTGCGCCGGTGGGCGTGATGCCGCCTCTCGTTGCCGGCGTAGTATTCTAACGACGTCGTAAAAAGCTTTCTCTACGTTGATGCAGTTCTTCGCTGACGCCTCCACAAATTCGCAGCCTAGCTCCCTCGCTAAGGCGTGGCCCTCTTGTGTAGATACTTCTCTTTCTGTTACGCGGTCGCTCTTGTTGCCGACAAGCATGATAGGCACGGAGCTCGCAGGGACGGCAGCTGATATTGGCGAGCCTCCATATGTTGGTGATGATTGGCATGATTCCTTGACACGTTGAATCTGGTGGTGGAACCGCTTGATTCTGGAAAACGACGACCGGGAGGAGATGCTGTAGACCAGGACAAATCCCTCACCATCGCGGATCCACTGGTCTCTCAACGCCGTGTATTCTTCTTGTCCAGCTGTGTCTAGTACTTCAAGCATGCACGCGGAACCATCTATCACAACCTGTTTGCGGTAAGAGTCCTCGATTGTGGGGTCATACTAGTGTAAGGTGTCAGCGCCTTGCTAGTCTATTGTAGAGGGACAAGATGCGGAATAGACCAGTGTGAGAAGGGGGAAAGTCATGGCAATAGTTGGCAATGGTTTCAACGGGGGATGTAGACGTACAGTTTCGACAAAGTGCTGTAAACATAATTGAATTGTCAAGGCTGTCTTGCCCACACCACCATCACCAAGCACCACCAGCCTGTATAGCACCATTCGCGGCGTCATCGTGAAATTAGGAGTGGCCAACAATGGACCGAAGGGTGGGCGAGAGGTACGCGAATCAAAAGAGTATTAACTAATAGTTGTATGTAGTGTAATCCAACAAGGTAGGATGGATGAGGATATTGGAGTGCGTTGTAGTAGGTCAAGTTTCGCAAAGGTCTAGGTAATGTGAGAGGAAAATGATGTAAGCGGCCTATTGTATTTGGTTCGTATCGATATAAATAGGCAGGGGAAGGTGACAGTAGCGGAACGTCGTGGCTGGCGGGGACGAGATATAATAAAATATAAAATAAATACTAGCAACGGAAGTAGTAGCAGTAGTAGTAGGAGCAGCAGGAGCAGCGGCGACGACGATGGCGAGGACAACGACGATACTAGTGGTAACGAGATGCAGTAGCAACGACGGCAGAAGCAACGGCACCAACACCAGCAGCAGCAGCAACAACGGCAACGGCAGCACCAGCAAGCGGCGGCGGCGGCGGCAGCGGCAATAGCAGCAGCAGCAGCACAAGCTATATAGCGAGTGTCTCGGGGCACGGCGTGGGTGTTTGGAGAGAGGAAGCGGAAGCAATTGAGTGGTTGAGTGGTGTGAAATGAGGAGGAGAAAGAGGCGGGAGGGTCAAGGCTTCAAGGTCTGGTCTACCAAGTGAGCGAGCGAGTGAGTGAGTGAGTGTAAGGTTGTTTTGTGGATTGTGGAGAATTGATCGAATGCGAATTGTCCTGGGTGTCCTGGGTGTCCTGGGTGTCCTGGGTGTCCTGGGTGTCCTGGGCTGCTACCTAGGTACCTACTGGAGGTAGGTACCTGTCCTGGGTCCGTCCTTTTCCTTCCTGCCTTGGGGCGGGTGGTACTTGGATACTCTCGACTCTGTACTTCGTACTTCGTAGGCAGGCGAGGCAAGGTTTAGTAGGTCCTCGCAAGGTCTGACTCTGGTTTGTGTCTGGTCTGGTCTTGTCTGGTCTTGTCTGACTGGTCCTGACTGGACTGGGTGAGGGTTGAGAGAGAGGTGTTGCGGGAAAAGAAATGTGGAAGGCTCCAAGATCAGTGTAAATTCATCAGTTCTCAGCGCCTATGGTGGAGGCTAGAGCCTGTAACAGCGCCTTATCCACCATTCAACCAACAACTACCTACCTACCAGATGTACATGACATCTACTTATATAGGTAGGTCCCTAGGTAGGTAGGAATTTGGGCGAGTAGGGAGATGTTTAGGTAGGCAGTAGGTAGCTAATGAAACACCTTGAAGGTACCGTCATGTACTGCTCAAGTACAGTGGCTCCAGTATTTGTAGGCTGGGCTGGTAGATGCTCAAGTACTAACTAGCAGGTGTGTAGCAATAATAGGGAGGGGCGGCTCGGGGGTTATCTACCTAGAAGGTGGGCACTGACACTACTTCATAGGTACATACAATACCTACCTACATACTTACATCCTTAGCGTGCGCTAGATAGCTCCTAAGTACATAGCTCTACCTTTTCCACATACCTAGTGTACATGTACTTACTGAGGCAAGTAGATATTCGTAGACCGATCGATGATAGGTAGAGATTACACGTACTACTTAAGTACTGTATGATTACCTAGTGTGAAGTGCTGTGGTGTAGAGACCTACCCAGATATAGACCTACTTACCTAAGCTTAGTGTTGGCTATGGTAAGTTAGGATCATTAGGGATGATTTATACCAGCAGGTTTATGTAAGTAAGTACGGTAGTAGAGAAGTACGTATAGACTAGCAGGTAAGCAGATCATAAATGCTTACACTACATACCCATCAAGTAGGTACATACGGAGCGGTAGATAGGTGTATGTAGGTGAGTTCGGCGAACGATTTCTTTATGGGTAATATGTGGGATGTCTGCCGGTGGATATTGCACATGTATCCAAGTCAAGTCTTGGAGGACACATGGATGCATGCCAAAGACAGCCCGAATACCTACGAAGAGGTAGAGAGACCGCGCACTCCCTGCTCTGATTGTGCACGCGGCCGAGACTAGCAGGGCTGACACCCACGAGGTACAATGTTTTTCCTCACGGTCAATCATCTCTACCTACCTACTGTCTACGTACTTACGTGTGTGTATGTATGTTTGTATGTACTCGGCGGGTAGGTAGGTATTGTGCGTTGGGACCGGTACATGTAGAACGAACGCTTCACTGACCTACTTAATAGTGTAAGCAAGCAAGCAAGCTGTTGTCGGGAAAGAGACGGTAGCACACTGCTACACTACTGTAACTAAGTGGGATGGCCAAGGTTGCTGCTCTCGAGACTACACTACCGCAACAATCCGAGTGGTAGTCGACGCGCTCACGACTGGGACGGTGGCGTACGGGGACGGAAACAAGAACAGGAGGTGGAAGTAGAATCAAGCACTCCAAGCCCGAAAGATAGATAGGCGGTGCATTCAGAGGCACTACACGTACACTACCTACCTACCTAGAGTACACTGCACACTACCACGGGGGTGGGAGGAGCTAGGATAGTGACAAGGCGGAGGTGGAGGAGCCGAAGGATTAGAAGAAATTTTCTCCCGCTGCTTTCATATGCGTTACCGACGCTACAGTACACATGAGCGGTATACTATGTAAGTACCTGAGGGGGGATTTCGGTGTCTGTGATATGCAGAGAGACAGAAGAGAGAGAGAGAGACGAAACGGCGGACACACTGGCCAGGGAGGAGGCAAAGATGACAACGGCTTTTGCACCCAGATGTAACCCACGCAGGGTGAGAATGGCTCGCTAGATGTCAGCAAGATCCAGCTGCCTACAGTGAGCCCCGTAGGAATGTATGGACGTACAGATATGTGCACATATACATACATATAGATATACATATACAGTTGTATGCGGAAATTCCGTGGTGGAGTTCATACATTGATTGATTCACGTTCACAATGCTATAAAACGGAGATGCACCGATGCCAAGATTCTCAGTGTTCTTGGCAATAACTGGCGTATCGATTAGCTTGGGAGTTACTATGTACAGACAGACACAGCAAATTCTGTATGATATCTTCTTTACTATCCACGGAGTCGGACCAAGTTTCTGCCTGACGGGAACACACGAAAGAAAACGGATATAAGATACACTGTAAGTAGAGACATTGGTGGATTCACAGTAACACGCTTGCAACCGAAAACATCGACTTCCGAGGAAGCTCGCGAGAGAAAGGAGGGAATACTACCTAGGCGAGCTAGGTATGTTAAAAAAAAAAAATCAAAAAAAAAATCTCGACGTTCCTGTCATCAGCTCATTTTTCGTACCTACACTACTTAGTGCTGTACTATGTAGACCTTCTCCTGGCAGCAGTTGATATCTGAAATAGCTCGTTACCGGGTTCGGTAACACGGCCGAGTGATTGTTTCTCGCCTACCCACTTCAGCGCCGTGTAAGCGCTTCATACACTGTAAAGGATTGAATCCAAAGATTCTCACAAGGTCTACAGGTACATCTAGAATAGTACAACCCACATATTACTTTCACTTTGTACAGCACTCTACTGTATGTTGTATGTTTCGAAGGCGACGCTTATCCTCGAGCTCTTGACTGGAGATTGGTGCACACATACGGAGTATAAGCACTAATGTCAGGTTATTTAGCATTCGGGTATCTGTGGGTAACTCTAAACTGAGAACCGCCCAGGCTGAAAATGAGCGAGGCCATTGGCATGATGCTTACCATACGGTCCATGCCGGCGCGGGTGGGTAAGTAATAAATCATCAGGATCAGGTCAAGTCAAGGCTCGACCGGTAACAGAACTAGCGGTATTCTGTAACACGCCATACAGAGTATAAGTAAAATATCACCACCAGTCGCTGCAAAGCTGTCGAGGGACGTCGAGGTATCTAGTATAGTGTCGGTGGTGTCTTTTGTAAGTCAGTGAGTAGGTAGTGAAGTTGATCCTTCAAGTCTGTGCTGACAATTTTTCTTCTCTGCGATTCTGCACAGTAATCAAACCCATAGCTTCACACCAATGGATAGACTGCGCTACTTGTCTCCCTACCCTCTTTTCTCTCGCTCCGTCTCTCCTGGTCTTCTCTAGACAGCAGTAAGTCTATACCCCATCGCCACACCAGTGTTGCATACTGGAGACGAGGGGGCGGCCGGTGTAAAAGCATTGGAGAGAACAGACATCTACGACTACTTATTTCATCAATACAACTTGGCTGACGCCGCCATGATACTCTGAGCACTAGATAAACAACTGTCATATCTTGCAGTCCATCAATGCGTACACGGGTCTATGCTACCGTAGTCTCTGTTTCTAGATCTTCATCTATTCGATATACTTATGTAGATGATCATCAATGCTCACGTAACCCAACGTCTTCTCCTCGCTAATGCTCACTCGTTTCAGTTTGTATGTATGCTGGCCACGCGCGATATAGTAGCCTCCCCCGGCACTCCTTACAAGACCCTAATATAGGCGCAAATCAGATCGATCCTTCGTGCCTCCACTATGTGCCTTGCCTATTAGATCCCATCTCCCGACGGATTGGTAATTCGCTTTTTCTACAGCAACGAGAGCAGGGGCTCACCTTGCTTCAACCTCAACCAACCCCATCCGTCACCCACTTAGTAGGATGAACTGGAAGAATAACGTACGTTTTTGAACCCCACGCATGAAATCCAGAACAGAGCAAACAAACACGATCCTTTCCACCTTGAGATTGGCTCGCTGGTGTCGACCTACAGTTCCTCATGGCTTGATGGGCTCTAACCTGGGCTTGCGGCTGACTCGGCAGCTGCTTCAGGTCAACGTACTTCTCGTAAAAAAAAATTTGTTCGCGAACAGACCCAAACCCCTCCTACACGTCTACACCGCATAGAGATTTGGCAATCCCATGCGAGAGCCCAGCATACCATGTAGACGCTGTGACCACGGCGCTTGGATGAATCCCTGCCGTGTATATATGATGGCAGGCGGGGTACACAGCCTCATCGAGGCCGTATTCTTGTCAGATGGCGATGAGCCATGCAGGTGCCTGCCAGGTTACTTTATGGTGCATACCTTCAACCACTTCGACAGCTAATATCATCGTAACTTTGCCGCTGTATTGAAGCATTGTACTATACAATGACTTTAGCCTTGAGTGTACGACCTACCAAAGTACGGGCTTGGCATAGTCATCACAAGTAAAATTGACAGCAACTATGCAAGTATAGGCTAGGCATACTCTTGTTCAAGAATGCGAAGAGCCTCATAGTGAGCTTAGACTCAAAGCTGAGTGGCAAAGGGTACCTCTAGCTTGCGCCCACGGATCCCCGCTCCTTCATATGATAGTAACATATTGATAATGCGCTGGTAGCTTGTGGAGGACGAAGCACGTCGAACCGAAGAGCCCCTGAACCTACCAGATCAGGCCCAAGACTGTCACACGGCATTCTTTCTGATATTACATCTGTCTAGATCTGTCTAGGTGATGCCGGTACTGTCACCATGCTCTATTCACCCCTTACTACTGTGGATGATGGTTGCCGCAGGTGGCTTATAATATCGAGTATGTGCCCCTCTAGCCTACATCGCAGCTCACCTGCATCCCATATATTGCTTTTATTACCCTTTCCCTCCAACAGTGCCCACGCCGCATTTACCACGAAGCTGAACTTTGCTAGATATTCGGGTAGTAGTGAAGTCACGTCCCGGCTTCAGGGTATACCCAGTCGCCTTGCCAGTTCGACAAATCCTTCGTCTTCTCGCGAAATCCACTTGCAAAATAAGCATCAGTCCTCGGCTATGGGGTTACGAAAGGGGATATGGCGCGAAACGGAGGCTGGGGGATTTCCAGGAGCCGGGCTAGAATTGCTCCAGATGACAGACTGCAGGGGAACACAATCAACTTACCAAGTCCACCCAGTCTCGTGCATCCTGCCACCGGCTATCGTTACTGCGAAAACCCAGTCAGGACACGGCCCTTGGACCAATCTTGGCACACAAGCGGGCCTATCAGAGTTTTGAGTTTTTGACTCACTGCGACTCCTCGCCAGCTCGCTCGACGTAAATCGTCCGAAGCCCATTTGCCCTGGCTGCATCAAGATCTCCAAGGTGCGCGGCTACCATCGCTACTTCATTGGGCGCACAGTCGAGGGCGTCAACCGCGCCCCGATATGTAGACGGATGCGGCTATCCGCAGCGGACCTAATCAGTCATGCTTCGTAAGGCTGGATGGGCATTGGGGGTATCCGTAACAAAAAAAAATGTCTTCACTTTACTTTACCTTATAGGCACCGAAGTCCGCAGTCGATATGATCTGTTTGAAGCCAAGGGCCCCGTGCTCGTTGAGATCCTCCAGCAAGGATCGATTCCCATTCGACAATGTCGCCGTGACGTATCGTGTCCCGAGTTTCTGGATGCCTACGGCCGAATCGTCCCACGGTCTCAGGTAGTGCCATGTGCGACTTAGCGAGCGAGTCTCTTCCCCCGTGTACATACCTGCCACGCCCCATTTGTGTAGCAATGCCTCGAGGCTATCGTAATGATGCGCGTCGATGTCCTTCCACTCTGTCTTCCCCGGCACAAAAGAATGAGTGAACTCGACATACGTATCTCGCCATTCCTGTGCGAAAGTGTCCCAGTCTTCGTCCGAGATACTCTTCAAACGCTCTTGGAGCGGTTCGGAAAGTTCGTGAAAGGCTGACGATGCAATCTTTTCTCGGGCTCTTCTGATGAGTTCTCCGTGCACTGTTGAGCGCCAGTCTACGACGGTCCCGAAGACGTCGAACGTGAGCGCTTTGACGTTCTCGAGCGCCTCTGTAAGTTGCGACATATTGGCCAAGATCGGCACATCTAAAGATTCGTAATAAATCTAATCGCCGAAGGTGACAGTCGCTTTAGCGGTGGGCACTATCAATCCTAAACGAACATTGTATTCTATATGTAGGTTGATGATGGCCGCAATGGCCCAAACTCAATGATGCAACCATCCATTTCCCCGCAATGGTACAATGGGCCTCCATTTACTAGCGGTAACTTGTGTCACGGCAGCTTACTTCGTAGATAGCAGTGGAGAATCACTGGAGATCGAATAGATTATGAATACCGTATCTATATGTTTCGTTACTCCTGGTGATGTGCCATTTGCCACAGATATACTCACGGCGCACACTAATCAGATAACCCCTTTACCTTCGTTAGAGGTCCCGACTCTCAGCCTATGTAACCGTGGGAGTCTATCGTTGGATAGTACCAGCACGTTATCTCTCGAGGTTCTAGTGAAACAGTGCATATTCCCGAATTATCAGTGCACGACCTGGATACACGACGCCTACATAGTCGTGTATGTAAGAGGGTCTTACCGACGGGCCAATCGCAATCAGCCCCTGAGACTCCCAGATCCGATCCCAGATCCAGATGACCAGATGCCAGCACTTTATGGAATCTGATGGTGGGAGGCTGTCAAAGATGTGTACTGTAGGCTCTTCTCTGACCCCCGTCTGGCCAAACGTGGGGGTTTTCCTTAACCTACGGAACCTACTTCGGATGGCCACCTAATAATTCTTCACCCAAAGGCGCAACAAGCAGAAAACCCTAGCAGAGAGAATCAAAAACAGATATCAATCTCGAAGATTAATACTAGCCTAGAAGAAGAAGAAGAGAAAAAAAAAAGAAAAAAAAAAAACAAGAAAAAGAAAGAAAGTAGAAGTTTGCTATGTGTTTGCTTCCTCCCCTCTTCTCTCTCCTCGGCATCAAATCTACCTTGGTAGGTTTAGCGCAGTCGCCGCTTTCATTCCCTTCAGCTCAGGTAACCGAGAATCGGTCTGTTCAAGAAACAATTACGAAGTATGCAAGAAGGAAACGGTTTACCCCTCCGTGGCTTGAAACGGTCGGGTTGGGTTTTGGGGTTCAGTTTGAACCGTAAGCCAAGCGCAAAGCGAGGAGCGTGGGGGCGGGGGATAACGGTAGGCTACGAGTTATTACTGGGTATATGATGATGTATGATATTATTATGAGCTACCGTATGATCTTCCATCCCTATCCTATCCTCAGCTCATCTTCTCGTTCATTTCCCTTCGCCATTTCTGACTGTTACGTCTAATAAGAAACAAAGCTATACTGCCTCCGATCCAGGCGATGAGTGCCACGGCAGTAGTCAACCACCCAAAGCCAATAGCCTCGACCAGGGGCCGCGTGACGACCGTGCCTGTCGCGCTGAGAATGTTTCGCACGAAGTTATTGAGGGCCACGCCAGAACTTGCCCGTTTCGGCATGAATTCTGTAAGCATGGTGGTGGCCATGCTAAAGACAAGCATGCTGCCGACGCCAAAGAAGAAATTCGCGACGCTTGGCACAATCCAGTGTTGCTGAGTCTGAAGAGTCCAGCCGAACCAGATGAGCGCGCCGGGGTACAGCGTTGAGGAAATCCATGCATTTTCGCGCACACGGTCTTCGGGGTAATAGATGAGACGCCCGCGTGCATCGTACCGGCCGGCCTTACGCGCCGACCGCTCCATGATGCGATCTAGCCACGGCCCGCCTAGAAGTGATGCAATGACGTACCCAACCGAACTCGGAATATACAGAAGGCCGGTGATCAGGGCCGAGAAGTTATACGGCGGTGCCGAGAAGCCGGATTCGACGCAGATGTTGAGCACGAACAATGAACCAAACGTGATAGCGGCATACCCAACGGTAAGCGCGACGGCTGGGAAACGCATGAGCTTCAGGATAGATAGCGGATCGACGAACACCCGCTTCATCCACAATCCTACTGTCTTCGTGCGAGCGTGAACGGCGGATCGCCGAGTCGAGACGCGAGAGAGGGTCGTGTTCGCATCTTCCGAGGTCGCCGCTGCGGCCGCCGCAGCTTTTTGCTCTTGTAAATGGCGCGGCAGCGTCTCTGGAATGCCGAATAAGATCAATGCGAAGATTACAGCGCCATACACGGCGAGGAAGTACATCGTGCTTCGCCAGCCGTAACTAGAAGTGAGGGCGCCGCCTATAATGGGCGCAAGGAGAGGACCGCAAAGAGGGCCGAGATAGAACAGCCCCATGGCCCTACCGCGCTCGCGCGACTCCCAGAGGTCGGCGATGGTGCCTGCGCCCACAGCTTGCACGGATGCCGCTGCACCACCTGCGAAAGTGCGGAAGACGATCAGTTGCGCGATGTTCTGGCTCACGCCACTCGCCGCCGTGAAGATAACGTTCAGCGCGAACGAAACTAGGTAGATGCTCCGACGGCCCAGCGTCTCGGAGAACGAAGACCACCATAGCGGGAACACGGACATGGATATCAGATATACGGCTACTGACAAGTTCACCACTGTTGCTGAGACGTGGAACTCTCCCGCGATCTCCTCGAGGGAAGCTATTGCCATATTAGTGTCGAGGATAATGCGAACAAGCAACACAGCTGCGGCGAGAAGATAGTTGAAAACCGGGGAAACCTACGGTAAAGTATTGATGAACCCATCGGCGCAGCTGAGGCAGCGATGGCGACGAACAGCGTCAACACCCATTTCAGGCTGTTGTTGTAGTGAGTAGGGTTGTCGACCTCCGGGGTGAGCGAGAGCCACGGCAATAGACCTCTACGGCTTTCTTTCGGAACGGGGTTCGCGTGCCGGGACCGCATGGATGAGGTTACGGACCGCACAGCATCTAGAGCGCCGCCATCTTGCACCTCTTTCTCATCCCTTGCGTCGACTGGGGGCGGGGACTCGGCTGCGGGCGATATGGGCTCATCTATCGATTCCTTCTCTGTCGTCGTCGTGTTTCCGCCACTCGACAACCTCCGCTGCTCTGATCCTAGAGTAGATGAGGAGAGTTCCTCTGCTTTGTCCGACTCTCTGGACATCTCGCAGCATCGAGTCTCCAGCCCTCTACGCTTTCCTGACCTAGTCGATCGAATAACCGAAAATATCGGATCACGGCAAGTCAGAAAAGTAAGTCTTCACGTTCTGAGCGGCGTAGTTTTATGACGTAAGTGGTAATAGCGATATCCGCTCTCTGTGAATACTATAGACACAATAGCTCAAGATTCAACGGGGAGTTGCAATAGCTCAATGTCCATAGCGCCAAGACTGATCATTTATATTGAAAAAATTAAGCTTTTCCACCACGATTTACTAATCCACAATTGCGGTCAACAGACAGGTGCACTATCGGAGGTAGGTTCTATCTGGTAATAATTATGAGACAGAAAAATTACTATACACGGTGAGAGTCGGAAATAAGACGAAAATACCATCGTCCCTCCTGTTCCGAGGATAGACTCGGTGGAACCGCTCTTTTTCATGCAGTTCAATGGCATTAGCGCCGGCACACCTGCGATAGGTTGTGGGGGAAGGCAGATGAGGGCGCAAGGTGTCCTGCAGGTTTGGCTCACCGGCACCGGCCACTGACGTGGACTATCTTGGAGTAGATACCATCTCGGCATTTCGGCTTCGGTGGGAGAGACATCTTACTTCCGCCCGGAAGCTAGGTATCCATTACTCTCGGCTTGACTGGTTGCGTTGCCTGCCTAGTTCTTCCACTCGTTGCATATCCCACGTCGTACTAAAATTGCTTTGGCTAACTTAGTGTTCCGCACTAGATTCCGGCCCGCTGTAACAGGTCATGAGCCTCAAGGCCGTCATGATGACAAGGACGTCTCTATTTAGGGGGCTAGTATTCCGTAGCTCGGTCAATCGTTGCTTGCGCGTTTGTAAACATTCGGCTATTCCCGCAAGTAAGTATTAACTGAATAGTGAAGATAAATATATTGTCAGGTTGAGACCCTTGCTGTCATATTCTACATTTGTCCAGTGTGATCTGTTAATTTGTATTTACTTACATAAGCATCGCATCGCTCTATACGAGGTTTGGCCGTTCATTGCCTTGTCAGCTGCCTCGCGCTCGCAGTTGCAGAACAGAGTGCTTAAAAGCGTCAACAGACTAGATGAACTACTATCAAAGCGCCCGCGCAGATAGCCATATGGTACTAGACGCTGAGACGCTTGACCAAGTCTACGAACCAAACAGTCGAAGTTGCAGTTGAGTGAAAGATGATGAAACGATACTCATATTGTTAGCGAGATCCCCCACAGTTTCGTACTCAGTTGGGGTTGCGATGCTTATCTTCACCCGTACTTACGCACGTGATAGAGATTACCCCCATGTATGATAGGTATCTAGGTACCGGTAGTCTGATAATGCGATCAGGCAAGCCACTCAAGTGTGTGGCATTGAGGGGTGATGGAGGACAAACCATTTCTCATCCATGTTCTTCACCTCTACATCACGGTAATAACTTCCAGTTCGAAACAATCATCTTAAATGCCGCTAACCATGGTGACGATGAGAGTACTACCGCCACCATGGATGACTAGAGCTGCTGTTAAAAGGGCAGATACGCTCAACAAGATCCGTCCCGAATGGAGACTCAGTTCTCAAGATCTTGCTAGAGCCGAAAATCAGAGAGACCTCACAGGGTCCTTCATTCAACAATTACTCGAGGCCGATGAGATTTCGATCATCATGACAGACAGTACCCAACTGGTCGAGGGCATTAGAGAGGCTAGGTTGACAGCTGTCCAGGTCACAAGAGCTTTCTGTAAGACTGCTGCTATTGCCCACCAGATCGTGAGTCCTTATCACAAATATTTTGTTTGCCTCGGGTACAGCATTTCCTTAAAAGAATTCTAGAATAACTGCCTCCATGAAATATTCTTCGATGAAGCGCTCGAACGAGCAGCTTGGCTCGATGCACATTTCGTCAAGAATCAGTCCACTGTTGGGCCACTACATGGACTACCGATCAGCTTGAAAGACCAGTTTCATGTCAAAGGTGTTGACACTACAATGGGCTATATTGGCTGGATTGGTAGTAACTTAGGCATCTCTGATCCGAAGCAAGTCCATCAAATCGAGAGCCAGATTACCACTGAACTCTTATCTCTTGGCGCAGTCTTATACTGCAAAACTAGTCTGCCACAGACGCTGCTACTCGGCGAGACCAAAAACAATCTGATCGGCGAGACGCTGAATCCAAACAACCGGCACCTATCGTGCGGTGGCTCTTCAGGCGGTGAGGGTGCATTGCAGGCACTTCGAGGCAGCAGTCTCGGTCTCGGCACAGATATAGGAGGCTCTGTGCGAATACCCGCTGCTTTCAACGGAATATACTCCTTAAAACCCACTCCAGAGAGACTTTCATATCGCTGTGTCGCGAATAACAACCCCGGGGAGAATACGTATCGCTCCACAGTAGGCATTTTGAGTACTTCCCTAGGGGGTCTGGATCTGTTACTACGCGCAAACCTCTCTACCAAACCATGGCTCAGGGACCCAGCGGTAGTCCCCATACCATTTCGGAATGAAATAGTGAGAGAGTACGAACTACGTGCCAACCCTGACGGCACTGCTAACAGTGCTATGCCATTGAAATTGGGCGTGTTATGGACAGATGGTGCTGCTCAGCCTCATCCACCTATAACCCGTGGATTGAAGATTGTCGTGGAAGCGATGCGAAGTGCCGGACATAAGGTGTGTGATGAATTAGTTAGCATGATTATAAAATCATTCTTGAGCTTTGCCATTAACTAATTGATTAAACAGGTTGTAGACTGGAACCCGCCGGACCAGACCATAGGAATAGGAATTCATGTAAGCTATCTAGTGAAGCTTGATAGTTGATCGCCTCGTAAATACACTGTATGAAAGCTAATCTAGGTCAATAGTTGGCTTTCTTGCATGCTGATGGAGCGCACGATATTCGTAAGCACCTCTCATAGCCACTGGCTTACGGCGCGGTTTTCAGGGGCTAGGAACTGGGCGACACAGCCCTACATAAAACTTTCAAACAATGATGGGTCTGATTCAAGGCGCAGCCTATTGACAAAGATTTATCACAGATGAACAGCTCGCCCTCTCGGGTGAACCACTTATCCCAGACTTGCAGGAGTCTTTTAAGCTTAAAAGGCCGATGGATCTACTGCGGTATCAAGACCTAACACTAAAAGGCCTTCAGTACGAGACAGAATACTCTGATTACTGGAATTCTACAGCTGAGGAAGATGGTAAAACTACTCATGCCTGCAACATTCTCTAACACGATTGCTAACTCCTTCAAAGGCCAAATCGTCGACGCTGTCATCATGCCTGTGGCACCTCATGCCGCTGTCATCCCTGGAAAGTATTATCATACCGGTAAGTCGGAGTTGCACATTTTATAACTTTCATCTCTACTGATCAAGTTGTAAGGTTACACGGAAGTCATCAATCTACTGAATTATAGCGCTGTTGTTATCCCCGTGACTAGAGCAGATAAACATATCGACATCCTCGATGATTCATACCAACCTTCAAACGAGTTAGACCAAAAGAACTGGGAAGCTTGTAAGCTTATTCATATCCTGTTTTCTCTTTTACTCGCGCTGACTTGTCAGATGACCCAGAGATATACGATGGTGGGCCAGTTGGCTTACAGATCGTGGCACGCAAATTCGAGGAGGAGAAAGTTCTTTCGATCGCTAGGATCATTGTCTCCGCAATGGAAACATGGAAAGCGATGAAGAGGGCTACATTCTCAGCTGATGACAGGACTGGCGAAGCTTAATAAATGCCACACTTTTCTGTATGTCTATATACAATGCCCACGTACCTAGAGTTAAACCATGCGTTTTTTCAAGACTAACTCCGCGGAGATGCCGACATGATTCAAATATGCAGGTTACGAACTTGGTGAAAAGGTCGCTATAACGTACAGCATATTCAGACTACCTTTAACGTAATTATTATTGTTTAACAATGGCATATTTGGATTATTCCTTGCCGGTCGCCGAGCAAGTGTTCCCTTACATTCGCTTATCGGCAATGTTCGCCTAGGCGTTAGCCCCAATTACTCGCACACCATGGGCAGCTATAATTGGTAATATTGACATTGCTAGGCGAGGCTGTCCGTTGTTGGAACTAGGCGACTTGGCGGGAACTCGATAGTAGGACGGCGATGCTGAACTAAACGAGCCTCGATGGAATGGACCTCCACCTTCGTGGACCTATATGTTAAAACCATATATAGGATTCGCTTTTTTGCATCGTGTGTGCCTGGGTCTGGTCCCTGGTAATTAAAGGCTAATCTCTACTAGTTATATATCGCGTCGCTCTGGGTGCTCCTTTTTCTCCAACTTGTGACACGATGGCACACAATTCGGATACCAAATGTGAAGACTCCAATGTATGATTCGGGAGAGAGATTGTAGAATTGCGCCGCTCGGCGTGCTAAGAATGCCTCACACAGTCACTTTTATAAGGCGCCTTAGCTTGGATATTTTATCGTTCGTACATCGCCAAATTATTCCTACGTCTTGATGTCAGTTTTTCTGTTTTAACTCGTATGTTTTGGACATCACTTATTATTATAAGCACGACATCGCCCTAGACCATGATGGATATTGATGCATGATGGCGTGATCAGTGGACTTGTGCCAATAACGGTCCAAAGCCCTTGGCGTTGATAAGTGCAATGTCGCAATCCTTAGGCTAGCTAGAGTAATCCAACTGCTTGGGTCCCCAATAAATGCATATATAATTGTCGAAATACCGAGATGATCATTTGCTGTGTAGCAATTTCAAGGTGATACACCAAGACCGTGTCGTACAGTCGTGGCATCATGTCTACCCAGCAACGGGCTGAGTTCCGGTCACCTGACGATTCCGATTCGGCTTCAGAACCAAGAAAGTCGGCCCAGGAAAGCGTCGACGGTAAAAATGTTGACGGTTCCGTCCCTCCTCTTGCGCCGGCTCTGGCGGCTGAAGGCACTGCGAGGGCGGAATCAGCACTGGGCGACTATCTATTGCGCCTGTTAAGAATTCGAAAGGGACGAAAAAATGATGGTATGGATCTCGACTCAGTAGGTATTTTGTTTAGGTTAGGTCAACTCGTCTTTGGCTGACTTGGATCAAGATTGCAACGCAACGCAGCATATGGGATTCCGAGAACTTGGAAGACTACAAAGCTCTGTACATACATCCCCAATGGGAGAATCTATCCGCTTTCGACCCTTTATTCCGTTGGACGCACAGAGAGGAGAACGCAGTACGGCACAAGGTTGACTTGAAAGTCATGGTAAGCACACGAATGTGAAAACAAGCGAAAAGCAGCAGTTGATTTGATTCTCTTTTACATAGGTCTGGGTCTGTATAATGTTTGCCGCTCTGAACATCGATAGAAACAATATTACCAACGCGGTTTCGGACAATATGCTCGATGACCTGGGAATCACTACCGGCGATTATGTAAGTGACAATCACTACTCTTTCTCACTTTTCTAGAACGGCTGGCCAAGTTACATACGTGCTGATTGGGGTTTAGAACATCGGCCAAACGCTTGCCAAAATTGGCTTTTTAGTGGCCGAGCTCCCGTCACAACTGATCTCGAAACGGTGAGTTCCTCCTACTACACACACCAATAAAGAATACAGTCTCATGGAGTATTTAGTATCGGCCCAGATTTATGGATCCCGATCCAGATTTGCATATTTAGCTTCATATCAGCAGCCCAGTTCTTCCTTTCAGGCCGAGCTTCGTTCTTCGCCACTAGGTTTCTAGTGTGAGTTCGATCACGGATAACTATCTCAACTCTTACTGACTGAAACCTATCAGTGCGGTATTCCAAGGCGGATTTATCCCGTAAGTCTTGGTGATCTCAGGGGCTGACGCCTTCTAACTATTCAATGCATAATAGCGACATGATTCTATACCTCAGCTACTGGTACACTGGGAAAAGGGTAAGCTTACCCATCTTGATATGCATCTCTTTATCGCTAAACTCAGTTTAATAGCTTCCCATTAGGCTGGCTTGGTTTTGGACAGCTTCTCAAATAGGTGAGATCAATGTTAAGTGTAGCGAATCGCGACAGCGGCTGACTGGTATGCGCATTTCAAGTCGATATTGGAGTCGGCTTCGCTGCTGTCGGTCTCCTATCATTACGTGGTGTTCTAGGGTATGCAGGCTGGCGATGGTTGTTCCTTGTCGAGTAAGTTAGATCCTCTATGAACGAGCTGACAATCACTAACATGTTCAGGGGTCTTTTCACCTGTATGTATAAACAGGACTCTGAACGGAGTAGATGCTAAAACTCTTGACAGTCTTGATTGGGATTGCTTCTTTTTTCCTCATGCCAACATCTCCAGCTAAAACAAAGAGCTGGTGGAACCCCAAAGGCTACTTTACCGAGAAGGAAGAGAAGATTATCGTCAACTCCGGTAAGTCTGCAGTTTTGAATAAATCCGACTATTAATTAATTTATTGACTGTACGTCTAGTTATACGTGATGACCCAGGAAAAGCGGGAATGCACAACAGACAAGGTCTTACCGTTGGGCAAATATGGAAGTGCGCAAAAGACTACGATATGTGGCCCCTATATGCTTTAGGGTTACTGTTCGGCATTCCGAAGTATCCGGTCTCTAATTACCTGTCACTGTCGTTCCGTGGCCTCGGGTTCGACGTGATTGAGACTAACTTGCTTTCAATTCCATATATTGTTGCTTCCTCCATCACTATGTTGCTCATCACTGCTGTGAGCGAATTGGTTTCGAATAGGAGTCTAGTGGCGATGGCAGAAGATCTTTGGCTCCTCCCCAACTTCGCGGCTTTGATCGCCCTGCCTGATCCCATATCTCCCTGGTCGTATTTTGCTATTGCGACTGTCCTGCTGTCGTTTCCATAGTAAGTGATGGAAGCTAGAGTATCGGCTTAACATCGAGACATAAGCTCACACTCATCGTAGTACTCACCCAATACAAGTTGCTTGGACAAGTCGAAACGCGGGCTCAGTGCAAAACAGAACGGTTTCTGCCGCGTTAGTAAACCCCATCCTTTATGTTTATTGTTGCGCTAACTTTGGTTTAGAATCTATAATATCTGGGTTCAAGTCAGTGCAATCATTGGCGCAAATGGTTAGCTCCCCTTTTCTCTCTAGTAAATCATTGTTATCTAATTATAATAGTCTACCAACCTGGAGATGCACCGCGATACTTTAAAGCAAACACTGGGTTATTAGTCATCTGCATTTGGATGGTGGTAAGTTTAGATCTTCTTTGCCCCTGAATGATCCAGATACTTACGCCAAGCGTAGGTAGTGCAGTACCCAGGTACCTTCCTTTATTACCGCTGGCGAAATCAGCAGAAGGCAAAGAAATGGGACGCCATGACTCCCGAGGAGCAACACGAATATAGGAAGACGACGGTTGACGTCGGTAATAAGCGGTAAGGTCACCTCTCTCCTTTACTGTCAATCAAGCACTTACACTACATTTAGTCTCGACTTCCGTTTCGCGACGTAATTTCCAGTGTATTATTCGAAGTCGAATCTATGCATGGCTTACTCAAGCATTAATAACCAAGTCTATTGGTCTATGCAGCTATATATCCAGAGCTAGGTCCAGCGTCATAAACCTCCTCTATGAAGGCTGTATAGAAAATAAAGCAAGAGATCAAGTTACTTATGTAAATGATACGTATGTACATGTATACGTAGCACAGTCTCCCATCTTCATAGCTCTCATAGGTATGTAACATGTCATAATCTTATACTGCCGAGGCACAGTTACAGGTGTCACCCCGGCGTCTTCTCTTTATAATCCATGCCTAATGATACGGATCCTCTTGACTTTGATACCGGTTTTCTCACAGATAAGGGACTCGATCTCCTAAAGCATTGTTGGGCATACAAAAAACAGCGAGAGATCGGGCAAAGGATGTCAGTATTCAGGGGCGAGCTGCAAGCTGGACACCCGTTATTTCCAGAGGGTTCCAAAGCGGCCATTACTGAATGGGAGACAGCTTGGTCGAGGATGTACAAAGATATCGAGTATTCTGCTGAAGATTATGCCCTTATTGACACATGGATACGTGATAAGGTAGGTTTGGCCTGGCATTCATCGGGCACGTGTAAGATGGCACCGCGTGACCAGAACGGCGTTGTGGACCAGTATCTCAATGTTTATGGTATTGAAGGTCTGAAGATCGTAGACCGGAGCATCGTCCCGAAGAGTGTTGCCGCAAATATGAACAACACGGCCCTAGCTATCGGTGAAAAAGCTGCAGATATTATCATCAATGAACTCGGGCTCAGTCGGGAGTAGACAGCCGCCCCCAATCATATGATCAGTCTAGTCTGCGATTCAGAAGGGAGTTCAAACGTGTATTTTGACTGCCTAAGTTATATGATAATCCGGAAGATATTTTAGCCGCTTCAATGAAATATCAGATCTAGCTGAATGTAACATTTAGGCGGAGAAGTTGGAGAAGAGTAGTAATTGCCTGTTAGAGTGACGTAAGCTGATACAACGCCACCTTCGGCCTTACTACTCTTGGTTTGCATTTCTCTTTTTGCGGCAGGTTCGTAGCTTGGCCTTCATAAGATGCCAGCATAGAAGATTCACGAACTCGTAGATTGGCTTGCTTGACTTTCGCACATCGGATGCCCACGGGTCATCCTAGAACACGAACGTGACGCTAGGCCGTGGAACCTGACACGCCTTGATCCCAGTAATGCAGCCTGGTTCTAGCCATGCCACGATTTTCGAAACCCTCTTCTTTATCTTGGATACGAAGGAGATTTCATTCGCAACCACAGAGTCCAGATTCATTGAGCCAGGGTCATAGTGCCTCAACACCAGGGGCTTCTGAAGCTGACTCGGGTGTCCCAGCGTCAACGGAATGTTCAAATTCGGTGTGTACCAATGTAGCAAGCAGCTCAAACCCTTCGGAAGGCGCTTTTTTGAATAACGCACAATTAAACTCACAAAAAGAGTCCCCAAATCTCTGGGCAATTGCATTGGACCAGCTCTCTAAAGGCTCACCAGATGAACAGGCGTGCATACAACAGCTACATAAGGCAGAGCTTCTACCAACAGAGGATGACAAGCAATCAGTTATTGACAAACATTTCATCGATAGCGTTCATGACCTCGTTAAAAGAAAACTATTAGAATCCGATGAAAAGGCTCTCGAAGTTACCTTTCGGCAGAAAGCGTATCGTATCCGCGATGTCCTAGATAAAACGATAAGTTGCCTAAACAGCTTTAAAGAGGTCGGCGACATTGCTGTGAACTTTGACCCTGTACATGCGGCCCTACCATGGGCTGCTTTTCGGTTTCTGTTACAGGTGCGTTTCTGCTCACGCAGGAGCCAATGCTATCTCGAGTGGCATCACAACATCATCCCATATTTGGAGTCTAACCATAATGCAGACAATGTCAATTGGAGTGCAACAGATGGCGGAGATGGTGATAGGGCTCGAAAGATCAGTTCAGTTCAGCCTTCGTGGTAGCATATACGAGCAGATGTATCTCGATGGCACTGATGCTGAGCCTCAGCTTATCTTGCAAGCGGCCCTGCTCGATCTATATCGAACGTTAATAATTTGCATGTCTGACTCAGTGAAGTATCAAGAGTCAAGCTCGTTACAGAAAGCTATGACTGGAACACTTCAACCACAGCAATTCGCGAGCACATTAGACACGCTTGACGCTAAATCAGCCTGGGTCGAGACAGCCGTAAATATTTGTCATCGCCAAAAGATCATAGGACACCTAAATCAGACAGACATAAGGCTACGAGCACTCCTGGAGCGACAGCTGAGTGGAATTGATACCAAACTAACCGATGTATGGGCTGCGATCCAAGACCGTGAACGAATTGAGGCAATGCAGTGGATATCGCATGTCCCTTATGAGTCTGACTTCAACAATGTCAAGGCCACCCGGTTGAAAGGCACCTGTGACTGGCTGCTCACTCATCCAAGGTACGTCCAATGGACACAAAGTGCCTGTTCCAAAACCTTGTGGCTTCATGGTATACGTGAGTGAATATCTCTGTCGCAGTCACTGCACTTGTAACTGAGTATCTTTAGCTGGGGCCGGAAAGACACGATTAACATGCAGGGTAGTGGAATTATTAATGAAGGACCCATTGATCACTTCTGGCTGGGAGTCGCTAGCATACTTTTTCTGTGACCGTAATCGACCAGATCGTCAGGATCCAACTGCTGTGCTACGCAGCTTAGTACGACAAATGTCCTTCCAACCGCGAACTCAAGATATAATGGCCTGCACACACGACCTTTTTATGAGTAAGAAATCGAGGGGATTCGCCTCATCAGAGCTTACCATGGATGAGTGTCAGTCTTTGATGACTCAGCTCAGTCGAAGTCGTCCAAAGTCTACTATCATCATCGACGGGCTAGATGAATGTAATCCCAAGAGTCGACATGCTCTGTTAGAAGCCTTAGATTCCATTAGGACCACATCGGACCCAGGGATTGTGAGAATTTTCATTGCCAGTCGCGATGACAATGATATCAAAGATCAGTTCGGAGGTGGAGAGCACCTGAAAATACAGGCTGGAGACAACCAGGGAGATATTGAAAAGTACATTAACAACAAGATGCAATCATCGCGATGGTGCCGGGAGCGTATGTCTGAATCTACGCGTATCAACGTGCTCAATACTTTCAAACAGAAGAGTCAAGGAATGTAAGTCCTGGATGGGCTCTCCCTGGACCAAATAATGGGCCTTAATCTAACAAACTGCGAACGCAGGTTCCAATGGGCAGCAGTCCACATTGTTGAACTCCTTGAGCTGAAGTCCGACAGTTTAGTGTTGGAGTATTTGAATAAACTGCCAATTGGTCTCGAGCAAACATACCGACAGGTATACAAAAGCATTAACATACGCAAAAAGCATCTTACGGATCGAGCTTTCCAGTGGGTGATGTGTTCATGGAAACCACTAAGCCCCCAAGAGCTAGTAGTTGCTATTTCACAGGATTCTTCAAAGCCGTTTAACGCCGAGGTTGACATCGACATAGATATGCTTATGGACGCGTGTAAAAACTTTCTAGTCGTAGAAGATGGCGGAGATCGCAAGTTTTGCAGATTTTCTCACTTGTCAATCCAAGAATATCTAGAGCTGCACCATTTCACAAACACGGAGGCAGTCAGCTTTGTCCTAGATATTCACATCAACTACCTTGAAGTGGAGTTAAATGAAAGTATAGCCCCGACTGAGTGGCACAAGAGAATGAACCTGTGGCACCGGCAAGTAGAGATGGTGGATGGTAAGGTTTTACCAGCCACACGGGATTCAATGAAGAGGTTCTTAGGGCATCCAACTGAGAGCTCCCCAGCATATCGGCGCTGGATTCAAGAAATACTACGAAACAACGCCAATGCTGATGATAAGTTTGATGTCATATTACGCAATAGAAACGAAAGCGGAGAGGATCATGGCATCTCATGGGTCTGCTGCGTCGCATATTGCATGTACGATGTCCTACAAGATTGGCTACACACAGGAGTCTTGAAACCAGAGGATAATTATGACATATGGAGAATATTCCGCTCTAGGATTTGCAAGCCTTTGCGCTCAGTCACGAATTTGGGATCTTCTGGTCACATCAGGTGTGGGCATCAACTAGTTGCTGGAGGTGATTCTCGTCTTTCAAAGGTGGAAGCACTTCTTCAGCATGGAGCAGATGTCAATGCAAAACACCCGTACTTTGGCACGGCTCTGCAAATGGCTGCGAGCTTCGGCTCAACTGGCCTAGTGAGTTTACTCATTGGTCGTGGTGCTGATATCAATATAGCTGCTGGGAATTATAGTACCGCTATTCAGGCTGCAGCAGCTCATAGCAATAAGCAGATATGCGAGATTCTTTTAGAAAAAGGTGCTAATGTGAATACCTTCGGTGGGTTCTACTATACCCCATTGTGGGCCGCGGTCTACCAAGGCAACCCCGTTATAGCGAAAATCTTACTGCAAAGGGGAGCGGATGTCAATATGGGGAATGATCAGAACACGAAACCTATTCACGGGGCTGTTCTCTGGGGCCATGCCTCTGTGGTAAAATTTCTCATAGACTACGGAGCTGAGATCAACGCTGTTTCGTCTCGGTATGGAACCCCATTATATGAGAGTTTTACCGCGGTGAGAAATCCATCTTCGGAAGTTGTAAGTCTCCTTCTTGGCTCTGGGGCTCACTTAGGTGAATGCAATGACGCAGTGGCAATAGCTCAGCTACATTCTTTTGAGCGAGGGGAGCTCACGTGGCCAAATCCGCATGAGGACTTCGATTCTGGGTCCAACTGTACGGTCAACTTTGGTACCCCATGGTAGATTATAGCTTGAATAATGATGTTAGGCATATTGTTATATATTAGATAGAAGTAGGATGCTGGCAGGATTACTAGCAGTGTTGGAATTATAAATGGAGGCACCTCTTCTCTATTACTATATTCAACCTCTCCCTTGAAGCAATAAACTATATTATATATTAACTATAATCTTATAGTTGTAATAGATAAATATGAATAAATATTAATAAATTAAATAATAATATTAAAGTTAAATAAGGTTAATAAATGGAAGTAAAACTATAAAAGTTTATTAAATAATTTAATTATTTTAAGATTGAAAGACATTTATAGCTAGTTATTTAATGTGATTTTAATGGATATAGTCACGGCTCCTAGCCTTTGGGCTAGCCGTACGGGTGATAGTTCTATTCCGTAGCTTAGTCAGTAGCCCTACCGTAGCGTATATAGCCTAGTTGACGAAGGTCATGACCTGGCAGTCATCCTTTACTTCGTCACCATACAATTAACAGTGTTTCCAGTATTCACCGACGACACTGCACATTGCGCCCGTCGTGACAGATATTGTGATTAAATTATTTGAAAATCCTACTTTTTAGGAGTTCTATTGCTAGACTTCCCATCATTTATAAAAAATTAAATTATATATTACGTAAGGACTGCTAGGTAGCTAATATAATAATAAATCAATAAATCTACTCTCCTTAGATATTAATTAAATAAACGATATATAGAAAGACTTGATCAATGAATGTAGAAGGCAAAGCGATGTGTATTCTCTATGGTGCGTCCGTGTCTGGCGGTCTTCTGTCTCTCTGCCTCCGGGGCAGTCTGTGTCTTATATACATGAAGGAGAAAAGAAAAGAAAAGAAAAAAAATAATCATCACGTTTCTTTGCTGCATCGATTCTGCCCCTATCCCAGACCTGACACAACATCTATGCAATTAACGTTGTGCTTCTTCTCCAACTCTGGCCTGAGAGCCGAACTGACTCATTAAACTTACGCCTAGTCATTTTTCAATCAAGGCATTCGGAAGCATATAGCTCAGTAACAATCTTTCTTTTTTTCTGAGGATAAAGCTAGTACTCTGTATTCTAGTTTAGCAAAGAAGCAGTTATGTGTGACAAGCAACAATAAAGAAACAACGAAAGAATCTTACCATATAAGAAACAATCGCGACAGTTCCTCGGCAAGGTCCATATCAATAAAGATATCCATTCCTTTTGCGTCCTTGACGACGCAGAAGAAGTCGCACCTGCCGAGTCGGCAGACGTAGTGTAAACGCCCTGCCGCCCTATTGGAACCCCCGGTAACTTGACATTTGCTCGAATATCCACAGTGACACTCGGGGTTCATAGAATCGTTCCCACGGGAGTCATCAAAGACCAGGAATTTATCACAGTGCAGGCATTTATAGTACGGCCGTCCTGCGTTTCCGTTGCGATTGGGCGATCCTGTAATAAAACGCTCGCTGACTTGACCACAGCGGATGCACACGGGTGGCTGTGTTGGAGGTGACGCTAGTGTCATTCTCCTTATGCTAGACAAGTCGAATGAGATCTACTCATAAAATGTCAGTAGTAATACACTAGGAGTATCGTCATTGGAATAAATTACCAGCATGCTATCGGGATGGGGTTGTCAGGAGTTGGTATTCCTTGACTAAAACTGGGTTGCAGGTAGGCAGCACCTAGGTAGTAGGTAGATAGGACGTGGGGTTAAGGGCTCATTGATATGATTCCTGCCTTCTCTCACACTAGAAGGGGGGTTTTTCCTCCCTATATATTGGGCTATTTGAACTATCTCCACTCCTTCGGTGTAACCTCAGAGGGCGATCGATGATGAACTTAGGGTGCGGTTACGATCCCCCGTCAGATATCTTTTGTTGTATTTAATCCACCGTATTTACACCGAACACTCTCGCAACAGACACAGTTGTTCCTATAGTGTTTGATTTGATTTTGCCTCCAGGGGGTTCGTGTTTCTTTGTTGTGAGCTGCCTTTGTTGTGAGCTGCCTTTGTTGTGAGCTGCCTTTGTTGTGAGCTGCCTTTGTTGTGAGCTGCCTTTGTTGTGAGCTGCCTTTGTTGTGAGCGTCTTTGTTGTGAGCGTCTTTGTTGTGGCGTCTGTCACACGGTCAAGTCCGCCAAGACTCCAGAACCGAACATAACCGATACTACCCCTGACGAAGAATAAGGCTACAAGTGATTGGATAAGGTCAATCTGTTAGCGGCGAAGGAAAGGCCCAACGGGCAGAAGGGAGTCACAGATTGTATGAGGCCTGAATGAGCATAAATAGCCCAAGGAATCTCCTACTTCAAGGAAGAGAGAAACCAAGGCCCTAGAGACCCCTAGTAGATTATTATTGAATATGACTAAGTTCCAAGCCCTCTATAAGAGCCCTTGTCACAGCGTCTTTGTTGTGAGCTGCCTTTGTTGTGAGCTGTCCTTGTCTGAGATTTGTAAGCTTCGTAAGTGCGACACTAGTTCGTTGGCGGCTTGGGATACTAAATGGCTAAATGGTCTGCTAGGAATAGTTTCTTTGTTTTGAGGTTGTAAAAAGGCGAGGAAATACTTTAAGGAGTGGTTATGCTGGCTAACGAGACGACCGTGCGAAGCGTACAATTGGAACCGATACTTATAGGTCCTGTATGGGGACCCGAAACGCTTCAAAGCCTGTGTATAAATTATACGGGTATTTGGGAACCTTCGGTCCCTTTACCAAAGGGGGGAGGATGGAAGAAGGACGAGGGATGAGGATGGGCGGAGGAGGGGGATTATTAAGGAGATGGAGGGGATCTTAGGGGGAGAGAAAGGGTTTTAGGAATATAAAGTGAAGGTAGAGGAGGAATAAGCTAACTCCCCCCCATCACGGGCCACCTCATCACAGGCCGGCTACACTGTACAGTGTTTACGTACAAACTTAAAAAGGATAGTTATATAATTCTTATTATTAATAAAATTTGAATAAATAAAAGCTTTAAAATAAATATTAAATAACTACTATTTTAAATAATTAAATAGTTAGTTAAATTAAATTAAATATAGTTTTATATGTTTGATTAAAATATTAGTTGAATTACCCCACACCTAACTTGAATTTTTGTTTTTCGCACTTTGAACTAACAGACCACCCTAATCGTTACCTGCGGTACTCACATTTAAGCCCCCGCGCTGCACCACCATCGGTCTGTAACTCCTGCGAGTGCGGCCATGCCTAAATCTGTATTTCCTTACGAAGTAGGTACCTAATGCTTAGGAAACATCGCCGTATGTGCTGTTGGCTAAGGCCGGCGACCAGTAGTATGAACCAATACTAGAACTTCTACCCTTGTGCTGCATTGTTCCTTGACAGCGATATTGGCGTAGTGCCACCATAATCGGCAATTGTATCGTCAGTCGTCCGTGCCGTTGAACCTATTTCGTTGGCATGTAACTGTGACTAGAATACTAGCAAGAAAGGAGGAGTTCTAGGATGCATGGGCCAGTCTGTAGATTTGGTACCTAGATGGCAACTATGCGAATATTCTGCTAAATCAACTTTCTAGGTTTCGGCCTTGAGATGCTGGTTTCATGTTGACTCGTAATGTGACTGTTATGATATTTACGGCTGTTCATCACACCTGTTACTTGTTGTTCCTCCTGCCCCCTATTTCCGTCTTCGCTTTACCATAGCCCTCGTTCCGGCAAACAACCCCTCTAGGAGAGTTGCTAAGCCAATGATGAAAGGGACCAGCTGAACAAAGGAGAATAGAGTAGCGGAGGAGTTGGCAGCATCAAACCCGTTCCATTGAATGCTGCACTCAATAGCTACAATACTATATATCACCTGAATCAGACATGTCACGATGGCTTCAACGGCCATCGCGGATTCCCAGGGTTGATGCCGATCACGTGACAAAGTCTCAGCTTCGTCATTCTGTGCTGAGCTTTCATCTCTGCGTGAAATAGGCGCTCGTCCATTTTCGTTCGAAGTGGATTCGGAGATGCTTGAAAGCATTTATTCTTAACAGAAATGTTAGACGCTTTGAAGTCATTGGAGCGAGAACATAAATGGGATGCATACTAAAGATTATGAACCCAAGGCCCAAAGACCATAGCACCTCAAATATATTCGTGAATATTTCGAATTTCTTAAACCAGCCGTGTAAATCCTGATTACTAAAGAAAAAGGACGAGGTTGGATCTGCAGTAGGTCCCATACTGGATCTGCAGTATACAGGTGCCTGCAGCTATAACGGCCTGCAACGCGCCATTAGTACCGTTTTCCCTATACTATCTACACCTTCCTACACTTACCCCTTTTGCCAACTACTAACCTTTAACAACTTTTACAATCCTTTAATTCCATTACTTTTATAACTATTCGTTACTCTTAATACTTTACGCGTACCTTTTTATTAACTATCATAGGTTCTTTATCAATTAAATCACTTACTTTTAAAATATATAGTTGAAAAAAGGTACTGGTTAATAACCCCTGACAACTTTATACCTTACAACCCTTGATTTTGGTGCGTTTTCGAAGTATACAGTGTGTAAATATCTTAGCCAGCTGAAGTCGGACTGCTACCACCTGTATACTGCAGATCTAGTGTGGGACCTACTGCAGATCCAACCTCGTCCAAGAAAAAGGCCCTGTCGCCACATGGACCAGCTGGTAAAACATTGATGCCACGCCACCAGAACCAGGTTACTGCCAGGTCAACCAGAAGACTTTGCATCATGAATAAACAAGTCATAGTTACTATAGGGATCGAAGTGCGTAAGGGATATTCTTCCAACTCAGGGGCATAAGCCCCAACTATTCTAGGCCTTAGATTATTACATATATAAAGATAAATCTATGTTAATTACATTTTAAAGATGCACCAATATAAAACTCAAACTAGAACAAAATGTAGAGAAGGTGGGCTGCAATAAAAACTTCCCCGGGAGAAATGCTACACTTGCTTGTACTATATAGCACTGCCACGAGAAGTGCAAGGTGAAACCATAATGTAGCCGTAGGAATAAGTGTCGATGTTCTGCCTTTGGTACTCATTTTGATGAACGAACCGAATGTCTGGGCATAAAATCCAATGCGGACGCCGAGTCCATAAAGGTCATTGTTAATCCGGTCGCTTTCGGCTCTGCATCTTGTATCTCTTCCAATCAAAACTGAGCGTCCGGATGGAGATTTTGGAGAAAAGCATCCCGTCTGATAGAGGGTAAGTAATGCCAAAGCAATACTCACACATGTGCATCGGACAAGGAAGACGACGCGCTTGTTATTAACTAGCTGTGTGTCGGCAATAAGGGCTGAGAGGTTAGTGAGGTGTAGTGTGATCGACATGATAATCTGCCGATTGGAAATGTCCCAGTTCTAGCTTTTCTGTCTGAACCAGGCGGAAATTGGAAACATATCGAGGGACAAAAATGGTCAAGGAGCGTTTTTAAATGCCAGCAAGCGTCTCTCAATAATGTACTATCATTGAAAGAGGCCGCCAACTCAACGTGCAAGGTATAAGATGACAGAATAGGTACTGCCAACAACAAGTAAACTTGCTTTTCCAACGCCCCGGCAAGCCATAGTTCTAGCACAGCCATTCGGGTCACCCACCAACCAATATAATACCACTGACTTCAACAGACTTACTGCCAGACTGTGAGCTCCTGTTTCAAAGCGCCTTGAATTTTTGTAAGGCTGTAATTGATAATTATCATCATTATATGGTATGTGCAAGTCGTTCACCAAAGACGCCACATCAAACGCACCAGCTGGTGCGAGACTGTAGTCGTAAAACAAATCGACACACCGTCATCCTCCTTCCCATGCCGCGGAGTCTCATACTCTACGCCCGGGATTTCAGCCGCATTTCAGCCGAAGCTATCTCATTGCTTTTATTCACCTACAACCTTGTGCGGTGCGGAGACCGTCACTGCTACCCCGTAGATGTTAGCGAGGAAATGGAACTGCTTCCAGCCACTGCAAAGGAGGTTTCCGATTACACTTAGAATGCTTCTATCATTAACCTGTGTCTCTTACTATCGTGAGAAGAATCATTTTAATGTAAATCTCGCCGTTAGGTTGACATACTTCATAGTCCACAGGTGGCCCTAGCCGTGTTCCTCACCTTTGATATTCCTCATACTATCCTATCTAGCCCTTGCAACGAGATCATTGGATCTCACTCCTACTAGCCCTCCACGCTGCATGATGCATCAGTGAGTGGCAGTGCATACTCTTTATCACGGAACTGAATAGGAGGGCAGAGTAATACGCTACACCATGAAAAGATAGAAATGACGTTATCAGGTCAAGATCTTGCGCGTCCACTCTCAATTATATGGTACTGTGACAATCTTCAGGCACAGCCGAATTGAAACGCTTGGAGCCATTAATTTACTTAATATAGCTCATATATGAAAGTAGAGAAAAATAAATATTCATCTATACTTCAGATAAAACGGAGGCTAAGCAGCTACGAGGAGAAGCCTGCCGCACTGTCATCATGGGTTAGCAAACCCCTCTGTACAGAGTACTGAATGTTCCATTTGCGGAGGGCCCATATGTTTACTTTGACGGGGATAGCAATACAATAGAATCATTTCTTGCAAAAGATATTAACATTTTTGCAAGGTAAGGTTCATCATTTGGGATGTTACAGAGCTTGTAGGCCAAGTGGCATTTTTCAGGGCTGGGAGCCACCTGCCTTGCTCTTGTAGCATCGCATCCATGATTTTTATGGAATCGTAGCGTTCCCGTTCCATTTTGGCGAGATGAAGTACTACTAGATGGTGGAATGCATGTAGAAAATGAGCGTAATACGTTGTCATGACCCTAGTGCTATAGACGAAGAAACTTGCTGTGTAGAGGCTTAGCCTAGGCACGAAGGTCACCCCCCAATAGTTACACTTCTCACATTTTCAAAGACAAGAGTAGAATAAAAAATTCCGTGTTACAACGATATCATCCCCCTCTCGTAATGTTGTAGCTGCCATAGTATTCATCAGGCGTAGACCGCCAATTGATTGCTGGAGCTACAGAGCTTATTCCTGAGAAAAGTAAAAGGGTGTCAAGGGGGAAGCGCCGCATGTCGACCATAGTGTGCGTACACTGAATTTGGCTGGAATTTGATTTGTGTGCCTCTACTGTTTAGCTTTCCCATCGATTCCGCGTTCAATCGCCTCGAAACCCGATTTTTGATTATGGTCAAATAACGTCTCGTAAAAGATCATCGTTATCGACCGTGTCTCTTGAAGGATGGTATTGATATGGATCTACTCTTCTAGAAGGGGTGGCGCTTGTCGAGGGCTTATCAGTCATACGACTCTTTATTTGACCAGACTGGACAATGAGAAGCCGACCTCGTGACTGGCAGATTGATCCCAGGGGCTCTGATGCCAGCCTGCGAGTCGAAGACTCTATCCGAATCTGACCGGAGGCTCGAACAGGAATGAAAGCCAGCGACATCGTCGCAACTAACATAGCCACCGCATCGATTACCAAGAATAATCGTTCAACTTGTGTGACAGGTCTTCGATATCCCTCTACTATCTGTATAAGCCGGTACGCCGTTCGCAGGGTGATCGAAGCAGATGCACTGATTATTGCTGATATTTGAATTGTCAATTGAGCTCAGGGTATACCATAAAGGTATGTTGTCACATACCGGCTTTGAGCCATTTCGCCCGCGTGTTCGTGTAAGAAACGACGTATCTCGGGTCAAATTCGTGTCGCCTATTCCGCAGAGTGGCTACAAAAAGTGTTGCGCAAAGAACAAATGTGATAAGGGTAAGAAGTTGAACTCCCAATCCTGTTGCAGGGGCCCGAGCACCTGCTACAGCCTTGATTCACATCAGTAAACCGGCGAGGTAGATAGGTACAGGGGTATACACACAGGAGCAGAGGCATAGTCAACCGTTGACAGCATAGAACCAGTGAACTCTAAAGTGAGAGATATTATGGCCGTCATGGAGAGGATGAGTATGGGTCTCCAAGAATGGTACTCGGTCCTGAGGAATTGGATGAAATGAGGTACGGTCAAAATCATAGCGCCACAAATACAAGGTTGACCGAGGGTTATTCCAATGAGCAAAATGGTCAAATTGGTCCGGTTAATAAGATGGCTGTGTAATAACAACCTGAGGACGTAGCCAGCGACCTCCAAAGCAAGTCCGACGGCAATAACAATAGCGAAGCCCAAAGGTACCTAGCACCGATTGCTAGGGATATGGGGAGAAGGCTCGCAAAAAGCGCGAGGAGGATTGAGTGATTGAGAGGGTAATAATCGGGAGCAGTCAGGAAAGGTACACCTCGTCGAATCAGCCGCAGTCATAGCCACTACCAGCCAGCTCGTGATGTCTGATCAATCTAGGCTAGAGCGCGCTCAACACCAGATAGATAGACAAAGGTTTGACCGTGGAAATAGATAGTCATAGGTGGTACTTGGGGAAGTTGAGAGACTCAGCAAGAACATATAACAATGCACACAGAATTCCAAAGTAGCGGCGCCCTGTGCTCGCATCTACCTGGCCGGAATAATAAAGGGCTTGTGGTAGAAGGACCACGAAGTTGCTTATGACGGTCCATCGGTTGCATTGGTAGGACAGTTTGCTCAGATCACCTACCTCAATGTGATACAGCGTGTTTCATCATGCTATCTTATCGAGTCGATCCACCAACAGGTCAGCACGTATACCAAGTAAAGCACCGAGGCCAAAGGAAAACCGGTGGAAACATCTCGTCAATGCGTGGGAGCGTAGAGATACTGGGCGAGGTACCTGGCTAGATGATAATTTTCCAAATGGTGTCCTCAGCCAGGAGGCTGAGAATAGGTAGAGTAGATACAGGGCTGGCCCAACAATATGTTTCAAGCCGAAGTAGCCCCTGGTGCTCTGCCCAGCTTGTCTAGACGGGCCGCGACGTATAGCAAAATTGACTTAAGGCAGACAATAACATCACATGCTAGTGACTGTAACACGAGAGGCTCACTTGGAAGCGAGCAAGTTCGATCATATTCAGACATTCAGTTAGTTTCTCAAACCTCAAGCCCCGTCGCCAGCAGCGGAGCAACGCCTGTGGAAACTTGTCGCGGTAAGAGGGAGGCTCTCATCAGACTGAGGGCTTTAGTGGTCATATCGCCAAAGCGACTAGGTTCAGGAGCAGAGCCCTTTGAGATAGAACGCCTACTGAAGTAGTACGCATTACCTTATTTCAAAGATTATCAGGTATCACCACATTGAACAAACCAAGTTCCCGGCTTAGTGGGCTGACTAGCGGTAGCTTCACAGAAGAAACACTGGTAATCGCATATACATCTCAAAATTGCGCTTGGCGTGCCTAATCTGAGTAGAGGGGTGCTAGGCTTTTCTCTACATCATCACATGTGAGACCCGGACAGTGATGTCAGTCGCTGATTCTTGACAGACTAAGAACCCTTACCTATACTCTTTCACCTACGAGCATCTACGTGATGGATTGCAGGTGATATCTACCCCGATCGCTGGCTACGGCATACATTCATTTACCCAGTCTCTCATTTGCTCATTTCGAGTGTGGCGTTTCGCCAGCCACGGCCGCAAGGTGTTGAAGTAATTACGGCCGTAGAGAGGACCGACGTATAACCGTCGAAGTCGTAAAGCATTCGGGATCTGAATGCTTCTAACGTAAAGAGCGACAGTACTGGTGAAACCCATTATGTACCCCGTCTGCCGTATTGTCCCACGGAGTTCCCGCCTCTCGCTACATCTGCGCCTCCGACGATGTGTGCCCAGTCGCTACTTGTCCACCGCAAGACAAGGTGGTAGTGCCGAGACTGACCCGAGACTGGGAAAGTCTATACACGATGATTACGCCCGCATAAGGGATCATTACGGTATGCCCTGTGCTCTCCCATTTTTGGCCGTTCGCGACTCCTCACTTGTCCCATGCCAAGCTGAGATGACATTCTAGAGACCCCCAAGCTCCCCATCGTTCTAGCACATGGGTTACTAGGCTTTGCCGAACTTCACCTTGCGCCTGGTCGCTGGCTACCACCCGTCCACTACTGGCGGGGAATCGCCGAGGCTCTCAGGGCAAACGGTGTTCATGTCATCACTACAACTGTACCACCGTCTGGGAGCCTCGAGAAGCGTGCTGAGAAGCTCGCACATGGAATTGCCGATGCCGCCGGTGGTCGAGAAGTCAATATAGTAAGTTTACTCTGATAAATTCATATCAATAGAGAGTGTGTTGACTCTCTCCCCTTTTGTCAATCATACCAGTTTCGAAATCACTCACAGATTTTTTCAAGCAAAGATGATGATGTCGACTAATCTCAAACGCGATAGATTGCGCATAGTATGGGTGGACTTGATGCTAGATACATGATATCCCACCTACGCCCAACTAACGTGAAAGTTCGATCGCTTGTCACTGTTGCGTCGCCTCATCACGGGAGCTCCTTCGCCGATTTCTTGTTTGAAGAGATTGGACATGAACGTCTGCCTGACCTATACAAGTTCCTCGGCAGCCTGGGTGTGGAAACCGGCGCTTTCGAACAACTAACATCCCATTATATGATAAACAACTTCAATCCGCGGACTCCTGACGACCCAGATGTCAGTTACTTCTCCTATGGTGCTAGTAAGTCATAATTGCCATGTCCACATTCGATCTTCTGCATTTCTCGATCATAGAACAGTGCTTTTTCATGCTGCATTTGTGTCGAAGATTTGGATAATAGGGCAACTGACGGTGTTGAGTTTTCAAGTGATGGACCGCCCTCCGCTCCTTAGTCCTTTTCGGCAGTCGCACGGCGTGATATCACGCGTCGAGGGGCCGAACGATGGTCTTGTCAGCGTCGCAAGCGCTCAATGGGGCTCGTACAAAGGAACTTTAGTCAACGTGAGCCATCTTGACCTCATCAATTGGACGAACCGGTGGAGGTGGATGCTACGAAGCCTTATCGGGATAAAACCAGGGTATGTAGAGCACCATCTCTTCCTTGACAGCGTCGCTAATGGGCAGGTAGCTTCAATGCTATCGCATTCTATCTCGGTATTGCCGACATGCTCGCGAAAGAGGGCTGTTAAGTAATACGATCAGCATTATCCGCATTACTCGTAGTTTGACAAGGAGCTCCGCGGGTGATTTGCTAGTACTCACATATGTTCGTTATCTAATAGGCCTATAGGACACAATATTAGGAACTTGGTTCGAAAGTCTATGCGAATTTATTATACGGGTCGTAGCGGTACGGTCCACCTCGTAGCTGCCGGGCCTTCGTTTTATTATCGGCAGGTTGATTTCACTAATGTACTATATTAAAAAAAAAAAAAACGGAACCCATTACATATGCCCTGAAGTGCTGTAGATCTAGTACACGTTCGTCACACCTGTCAGGATGACAGGGGCCCCCATACGTTTCTACCAACAAGACGCGGTCACTACAAGAGGACACATACCTACATAAACAGATCAATCAAGACAATAAATTTTCAACCCAATTGCATGCCATCGCTTATATCTGACAATATCTACGGATCGTACGAACTATAGCGCAACCACTTTCGTCTTCTTATGGCCACGACGTTTTCTTTTAACCGCGTCTCGTCTTCTTCTGACCAATTTAGGGACTCCTTTAATAAACCCGCCGCTGTATAATGACGTTCTTTGAGTGCGAACGCTACTGCGCTGGCGGCACGACTTCGCCAACTCCCCGTTGTGCAAGCCCCGTTAGACAGTAAAAGTTCCAACATATCCAGTCTTCCCCACTCTGCAGCTCCTTCAAGGGCAGTCCTTCCATCGTACTGCGAACCGGGGGCATTAACTTCGGCACCAAGATCGAGTAGATACTTGGCTATTCCAAGGTGGCCTCCTATCGCAGCCATCTGCAATGCTGTCGCCCCTGACTCGTCAGCGGGTGGAGAATTCACATCTGCGTTGGCTTTGATAAGAAAGCGTACAAATTCGAAATTGCCCATTTCCACAGCTAGTTGTAGAGGCGATATGCTATACCTTATCGAGGTCCGATGGTCGTTGACGTCTACTCCGGCCTCTAGCAGTAGCGCAGCTAACTTTGTATTGTTATGCCTAATAGCTCCAAGCAAGGGATTTCGGTTTGAAGGGTGATAGTCATCGGGTCCGCTGTATTCCTCATATCGTTGACTGTTGTTCAAAAGAAATTGAACAAAGGCAATATTATTCGAATCAGCAGCTATTGCCCAAGTAAGCCTATCCGGCTTAAAACCATTCCTGAGAAGCATAGAACATGCCTCAAACGTTTCGTTGTTATTTTCGGTTGCCATTGGAGCTAGAGGGCTCCCACATAGATGATCCTGATCACGAAATGATTCGTGTTCGGTAACTATTTTGAATGTATCTGTGATAAGATCCCCTGAATAAACCTGCACATAAAGTATTGGCATTGGTCCAGTTTTCTCTAACGGCGGATACTGAAGAAGACTGCGCAGCAGATCGATGTGTCCTCGTTTTGCGGCTATACCAATAGCCGTTACTTCTAATTCGTCCATTGCTGGTTGGGCGCGGCGATTGAGTAAAAGTCTATGAACTATTGAGTGTTGCTGAATTTCGATGGCGGCACATAGCGAACCTGCGTCGTACACGGTCGGCATAATATCAAACAATCGTGTTATACCAGTGATGTCTCGTGATCGAATGGCTGCTTCAAGTGCTGTTCCAAATTGATCAGCGCTTGAAAGGTCTCCGCCGTATTCGAGAATAAGAGTAACAACATCCCAGTTTTTGGTACGAATTGCCCATATAATTTCATCGCCAGATAATGTTGCGCCATTCTCCAGGAGTAATTTGACGGAATCATAGAGGGTTACGCCAATGACAACTGGACTTCTCTTCGAAAGTTGCCGTTTGCGCTCCTCTCGCAACACCTGTTGTAACGGGGTGTGACCTTCAAAATTCCTTTCATTTGGATTGATCCCCGCACCGAAGAGCGTCGAGAGGAAGGCAACATCAAAATTCATGGCAGCCGAGGTGACTGCCTTGGCTGCATTCTTATCTGGCTTGGCACCGGCATCTATCAACAGAATGGCACTCTGTGCAGCGTCTTGCAATTGAAAATTTAGAAGGCTAAAAGGCTAAAAGGCGTAGCATCGTGTGTGTGATCTAGGGCTTCGAGTATCCGCGTGGATCTTTGCTTTTCGTGAGAAGGCCTATATTTGGCAACAGCATTGACATCAGCCCCCTTTGTGATAAGGAAACGTACTACCTCCAGATTGGCATGAAAGCAGGCAAAGTGCAAAGGGGAGAATGTCGACGTAACATCTAGACCAGCATTCTCGTATGAAGGAAAGAAGATTTCGCAAATATCAAGATAGTCAACATACGCAGCAGCATGTAATGGCCATATGCCGAAGTCGTTAGGACCAACACTGCCAGATCTATCGTACAGAAAACGTATAGTATCAAAGTCTTTCGAAATAACAGCGGAAATCAATACGTCGGCCGTGATAAAGTCGGTGATTGACTTGTGTGGATTTCCATGTTTTAGCAAATTGAGAACATATTGTGTTTGCGATAGCCCAGCAATGGCGGCTACGCTTAAGGCAGTGTGTGAATACACAAGGTCTTGTGCGTCGTGCCATTTCCATTCATCCTCATTTTCCGAGGACCGTATACCGATAAATTCCCGAGTAAAGTCTAGTTCCGCCAGGAGGTTCCCTCCATACTGAATGATTATCCCAATCAGCGCTGGGTCCATATGCCTTCTTTTAATGGCCGCATGAAGTGCATAATCCAATCTAACCGAAGCGCCATGTTCCAGAAGAAGTTTAGCAATGCAAAATACCAGGCTATTACTCGTAGACTGTTGCTGAATAATATGTTCCAATATTGTTTGGGTGCATATGTTAGATACTGTCCAAGTGTCTGGATCAGCACCAGCTTTTAAAAGACGACTGACCAATTCCAGCCCAATCGGTCCCCCAACTGGCCCATGGGGGCGCCAAAAAATATCTTTGTGGGGCAGAGTCGGGCTCTGGCCTACAGCGAGGAGCCATTCCAGCAAAGCCATAGTCTCTCTATCGTCGGCAGCTCCTTTCGTAAGACTCATTCTCCAAATCGCCGCGTTGTACAGATTCTCCATGAATCCATTAATCGTGTGACTTTTTAGCGCCTTCAGGTTGACCTGCATCTTAAATAGGCCAGACATCTTGAGTATAGTCATGATCTTTCTCCATTCATCTCCCTGATGAATGTCGAGGACATCATTCGATAGCACGTACGCGACCATTGATACAGCTTCAAATAGAAATTCTTTTTGTGATCCGTTCATAAGAGATTGAGCGCGTTGAAGGCTTTCTTGAGGATAGGATTCAGGCATCAATGCTCCTATAACAGCAGCCAGTTTAGAAACATTGAATTGAACAGTGTTCATCGCCCCTATAATTCCTTGGTCGAAAATTGCTGGTACAAGGGCTTCACGCTGGATCTTTTCTGGTATTCTCATGTACTTATTGAGCATGACTGTGTGCATGACTATTAGTATTTATAAGATGCTCTTTTCATGTTGAAAACCTACTTTTGATCTCGCTCTCTGGGAATTGTAACCATGGCAAGGTTCTTGGCCATTCAAATTCCACTGAAAAGGATGGCGGAGTGGAAACCGAAACATGACTATTAGTTATAATCACGGTCGAGCCATTCGGTTCTGCAAAACAAAATCAGCAAGAACGAGGGATGAAGAAGTGAATAACATACGCGACTTGAATCGGGCAAATATGCTCCTATCACGATAGCGGTCCGTTTCTTTTTCAATAGTCTCTGGTTTCAGTCGCTTGCCGCAAAGTATCACTTCGCTGTCTTTCCCCTCCCTCTTCCTTTTGCCGATACAATGGTCGATTTCAACCCAAGTTTCCTTGCTGATGTTCCTTTGAAAATTCCATTTCTTCACTTTATATTCCAATTGGGAGGGACTGTGCACTGTTAATAGCTGGGTTCTGTCACGAAGCTTCATACGGACTGCTTACGTGACGACTAAGCCGCGATCTCTTAACTGATCTATAATTTGGCGCAGTGGTTGGGCTTCCACAATATACAAACGACGAATGAAAGCTTGGTGACGAAGCCACTGCTCTTCACTGGGCTTGGAGCTGCCTGAGCTCATCTTGTGCATGGTACAAAGAGTAACAGGAGGGTTGAATGTATGAATAGGAAGTGTTGAATGTGTTGTATAGGTGGATGAGATGGAAGGACTCTTATATGCAGGAGTCAACAAGATCTTGGCATGATGATTGCCGAATAAGTAAGAAAAAGTATGCCCATCCGCTTCGTCCTCAGCTTATTCACCACCACTGCCTTTGAATGGTCAAACCCAGAATCTGAAGAGCTTACGAAGTACATTCACTTATGTAGGATAGCGCTTAATGGGATAGTTCGTTATCCCCTCTGATTGGCTGCCGTCAAAATCGGACACTGTACAGCGCTGGAATGAACTCGTGGCTGAATACTACGTATAGTCTGCTGATGATACGTCCAGGGGTATTATCGGGGCTGTACACCAGCCCGAGATCACCCTCCATCGTTCTCATTTGGGGTCCCCAGAATCTGAAGGCATAGACCATGATGACGTGGTAATAAGAGTAAGTGCACTCTACATGCAGGGCTGGAGGCTGTACTGTAAAAGGTTTACCATTAGCTTCTGCCAAAATCTGAAGGCGTTGGCGCGACACTTCGCAACCGTATGCTACAAAAAGGGCCTTTGAGGATCATGCAAATATATAAGAGCATAAGAGATTCATTCAGTGCACTCACAACAAGATGCTTCCTATGTGGTCATTACCATCTTTTCGGTGCTCAATACCGAGTTCAGAGTCAACGCTACCAAATTAATATTTTGTTACCGATAGGAGCATCATGGGTCTCACAGATGGGCTCTTGGGGCCTGTTCTAGGTGGCTTGCTTAGTTTCTTGGGGGCTATCGCAGCTGCAGTCATTGCTTTTTCTCTTAGCCGGCGAAACAGGAACAGAGAAAGGTTGACGGATGAGGAGCATACTAGTAAGTGGCCCTCCATATCCTCCTTGCAATAATTCCACTTCGTCATCGGCTTTCAGTGATTCCATTCCGATGGTTAGATACTCACCCGAGGTACAGATCCCAATAACCATGAATTGGGATTTCATCGGAATTCCAACCGCTTCTGCCACCAAGGTATCATCAACGGTACGGACCAAATGCAGCACGGCACACCTCAATTCGTTGAGCACCGGTACTTCAGAGCTTTGGAAGGTGAGCTTAGGATTTGGAATGTTACCACCCAGCAAAGCCTGACTGGAGCCTGCAGAAAGTGCACATTGCCAGACCCCACGCACCATGACAACCATACACCGAACACTCACCCTATCAACGGCAATTATGGCGACAAGCTGATAAGCGCGTACCTATTAGCAATGTTTTATTGTGCGTTTGAGGGGGGATGAGGGGTCTAGATCTGTTTGAATTAGCCAATGCAGGATCAAGCGCAGACAATGGGTGGCATTATGTAATAATTAATGCTTGTGGCATTTGAAGATACTTGGAGAGTATTGCTGAACGATGGGACATACTAGTGATTCCTCTTGTAAGGAAGCCTTACATGTCCTGCAGTCCGCGGTCTTATACATTCGTTCCTTGAAACCAGACATGCGCTGCACCTGAGCGGATGCAGGGTGTAGCCTATGAGTCCATTAGTATCAATCCGAAAGTTAGTAACCTTCGTGGCCGCTGTATATAATAGAGTCAAGGAGCTAGTCAAGACCTAGAAGATTATTGTAATATGAAGCTTTTCCCAAGCCCCAAGTCAAGCCCTTATCATAATAGCTACGGAACTATAAGAAAGCGACTAGATACAGTAGAAATGTAGAGGTCCGGGCGAGCATGGGATATTGCACGAGGTGTCGAACCAACCAATATTCGCGTCGCTTACACGCACGACATAGAAACTTCGTTCCACGTCCCCTTTCGGCATTCATCTCGCTTTCATCTCCCTGCCCGTAAGGATCACTGCTATGACTATCTTTGGAATCCCTCTTATGCGATCTGTTCTCACGTGATATGTCCTGCATTCGGTACAACTTCATACTTTATAACCCTTGATTTTGGTGCGTTTTTTTATGTATACAGTGTGCAGATGCCGTAGCCAGCTGAAAACCCCTACCAACAGTTGCGTACTGCACGTTTAGAATGGGCCCTACTGCACATCCAGACCTGTCCATTAAAAATAAGTGTTCTTGGACACCCTCATCATATATTATTATTAATACGGCTAATGAATTATGGCCAAGTGCTTTATAACTTCGGCCTCTTCAAATGATACCTTTCTCAGTATCTGAAAGTTTTATCGCCTCGTCTCAATTCTGTCGAAGCTACCTAGAGGAATAATGCATTTGTACACGCTTCCTTCGGCAGCTCTGAACCCTGTTGATGGTCTCTGTCTCAACCAACTGCTTATAGCACTTTTCTGCTTACGCGTAGTACGGGCGCGCGAAGCATCGATATTCGATAGGGGCCCCGAAACTTCTGTACCTTAGGCCAAACTGACTGTCTCTAAATAAAGAACCCATTTTCAACCAATTGCGTTACAAGGCTAAAGGAGACACAGAAAGGACCTCACTTACCTGTCTAGTGAATACGCGCTGTGAGCGCGCGCGAATCATTCCCATTGGGCAGGGGAAGTTCTAGTTTCGCCCCTTACTCCCTTGTTTGGCTTTATATACAGTAGTTATTCCTTGGTCCGTGCTTTATATCGGAAATTAAGCCTCGTTAATTCCGTGGCATGTGCAAGTAACGGCGGACATATAATTGGACTTTGAATTGAAGCTACCCAAAATATGATCGGTTGGGGCTGTTAAGGTCTTTGAGGGTGGTTGAGTTCATCTTAGCCTCCCTGCTATTAGTCCTTAATTCTTAACGAGGAGTTGATCGTCAACACTACGTAGAAGTGTGAACTCATCGTCGACGTTAGCCGATCCAATCAAGGAATCGTCAACCATCGGGCCTCAAGACCTAGACCGCCTCGGAGGTTATGTACGTTTTCCTTCGCGTAAGCTCATTAATTTTATTCCTTCGTCACCAGTTCTTGAAGTTCTGCCATAAAAGAAATGACAGAAAGACAAAGAGTAACTACCGTACCGAGTAGCACAGCGGCATACCCTCTGAACTCGACTACATTGAACCACGCCTTGTGCGCATGTTCTCCGTGCTTTCAGAAGAAATCCAAGTCCTCGTATCTATACAAGAGCTCTGGATGACTGAGAATCGCTTCTCGTGTCGCGAAATGTCTAGATTTTTGTTAGAAGCCAACTTCTAAATTAGTTGATTTTAAGCACTTACATCTCAGCCCGCCACGCCGCCTCTTCCGCACAATCGGCCAAGAAGTCTACAGCTTTTGAACCGTGTGACCCTGTAGGAAGCCGATCCACTAGCCACCGCTAGTGGTCCTTGGGATCGCTCAGGAAACGGTCTCGTACTGGATTCTTCGTTAAGATCCTCCAGTCCATATTCCTGTAGTACTTCCAGCTTTCATTAAAAGCGTCACGGTGCGAAGAGCAGTCGGCGTCCATCTGATCAAATAAGACCTTGCGAGGTGCCCCCTCCTCAAGAAAGGCCAACTCCACTCGGTTCAGCTCATGGAGCTCGAAATCGAACCAATCGCCAAGCCAGCGGGTGTTTGGTCCGATCTCTCGTGTCGAGCCAGCAGGCACAGGCGCAGCTTGGATATCCATGTGTCAGACGTTGGTGGAGTCAAGGAGCAGGTAAACTAGGGTCCGAAGATCGCATATATATTCTGCACGCCGCTTAATCGTTCCTCAGATAGAACCTAGCTAGCTAGAGCACTCAATACTACCCCGATTCCATCCCTCGTGCGCACTGCAGGGGCCGTGAGGCCCACCTACGTCCGAGATCATGTTCGGGTTATTCATCTTGAATAACAAAGCTTCGAAACTAAAACTTCGCTACGAGTAACAAGACTGGCAGAATGACTGACGAAAAAGATATAAGCTTGGAAGGATACAATGATTTTTTATGCTTCGCTGATATATGTTGAGTCGATGGGCCAAGAAATAAGCTCTGGGTTGATACGACAATGTCGTCATCTGAAATGACGAATATGCCATGATATTAAATGCGTCGGGCCGTAGGAGGAACGCATACCATACCCTTTATCCTATTTGGAGCAGACAAGATATTGCCAAATTTTTTATTGGCTTGTATATGGTATTGACGATCATCCGTTGATGGCTTGTATGACTCGTGTGCCGCACGGTCATATATACTACGTGACGGCAAGTGAGTCCGTAAATAGTCGAATTGTCGACTCCTAGCTTCACAGCAAGCTAACCGTTCCTTGCCCCGGTCGATCTCATAGGTATGCAATAGGATGTGTTATAGATTAAATCAAAGAATCTTAGGCCCAAATAGAATCGTTCTCGACGCGTACAAGCCGGAGAAGAGAATTAAGTCTCAATATACCGATGAACATCGCTAGATGCTGGGTTGACGCGAGGGGATTCTTTCTCGAACGTTAAAAATGGCGCCGTTAGACGTTCGAACAGTCTAACGGTTATTATATAGCCCCACCTACGTACAACATTCTTTTACTGTTAGCTACTAGTCATATGGGGTTTCATTGGTGTAACATACCTGATTCCACGACCACCATCGTCGTCATCTAGGAGCTTGGGAAATGCAAAATGTAGACCGCTGAGATGTCTTAGCCCCCCATCCCAATAGATATCTTGCGGAGTTGTGTGCGTCGAAGCTTGTGGATGATCGTCTCGTAATGCCGTTACCTCCAGAAGATTCGGTACATTAGCCAGAGCTGCGAGAGCCGCGAGCATACGAGTTCTGTATGAAACTCCGTCCTCTCCTCTTCCTTTTTTCCCCTTTCTTTTTCTTTTACTTTTTCTTTTCAATTTTTTAATTTGTTAGCGCAATTGCTTCCAACAAGCCTCAATGCCTCAGCTGAATCTATCAACAACAAATCTCTTTTTGTCTGTAACCCTAGGATCATGACCGAAGCATCGTCAAATGGTCGACTCAGGGGGATATTTGATACCGGCATCGTAAAGTCAAGCGCATGTGGTCCATGATGTCTTGACTGCTCCATCGCTGCCATGGGATCGGAAACTCCATGCCGCTTTTCTCATAAAGCCCACGGTGAACTCATATATGAGATGTGAACAGGCGTTTATAGCGGGACTAGCTATTGGGTATAGACTCAGCTCGGCAACAACTGCGTTAGCAATTAGTTGTCGGCCGGAGATAGCACAAATAAAGCCTATTTAGACGTCTGAATAACTTACTCTTCCTTGTAGATTTGATAGATTGTGACAGCAGGCGTTCAGCCCCCCATCCTAACTCTTTACAAGCCGCCTGCGCTTGGTTGAAGAGCAATTGGCGAGCGTCGCCGTGTACTGCTCGAAGGCGATCGAAGTTGTCTTCCTTGCCAATTATGGCTCGCAGGATATCTTCACATTCATCATTCCGTTTCAGCTTTTCAGCTCGGACAGCTGCAGCTCGGTCTGCAAGCACAGCCAGAGCCCTCGCAGTGCTCTTTGTGAGCTTTCCGGCCATGATCTGGTCTATCAACCACGGCCAGTGGTCGTCTTACTGATCCTTATTGATGTGATATGCGCTGAGCGTATCAGCCAGTCTGTCTCAAAAAGTAGTGATCGTGGGGTCATGGTTGGCCCATTCATTGGTCCCTTCGAACGGATATATTGGTTCGAGGGATTTGGGCTGGCTCCCTGGATCACTCTGGACCCTATTGGAAAGCTGCCTAACATCGCTGGCAAACCGTTGATCGCCAAAATTGTTCAGAAACTCATCGGCATTGATGCCTCGCTCAAATCGTCTTGGAGGTTGTCTTCTCGGTGGTATAAGGAGTGGAGGGGTGGCTGCTAGACGCATTGGAAGTTCGAGGGCTCTTCTCGACATCTCGCTTTGAGTTCTCCTTATCTTTCTTAGATGCCAATTTTAGTCTTTGGTAAGCCGTGCAGTAAAATTTAGAGTATAGTATAGTATATAGGGAGGGCGCTAGAACTTCAGGTCAATTGAAATTGAAAGCTGAGGCTTGAAGAAGGAGAAAATAAAAAACCTAAGAATAGTCAGGAGCTGGTACAGTTCCAGGGATTAACGCTTGAGATCATTACGTACAGTCTCGTCCGAGTGCAGGCCTCGAAGATGTCCGTAGGTTTCAAACCATTTTGGCGCGATGTACTTGAAAGCTGTTACACGTGTAACCTCTGTACCGGTTGAAGAATGCAGTTCGCCTTGCACTTCGGCCGTACGAAGGACCATTGCAGGCTGTTCATGACCTTCCAAGACATGCAGGCAATATTGGAAAGTGAGGTTATACAGACTTCGCTTCTTGAAACAGACCCTAGAGACCCAGGCGGTCTGGGCTGGCAGATCATTTGTATATAGAATCTCCTCAAGCCACCAACAGCCGAGAAGGAGTTGGTTGGTCAAGGACTAATGCAGCCCTAGTTGATCATTGTAATCAGAATCCTCAGTTCCAAGCCCAGTTCAACTGCCCTTGTTATAAAAGCCCCGGCAGAGTGACCAGACGGCGAGTTGGAGAGGTCGTACGTCGTCGTCTCCCACCTCCATGTTGTCCTCCATGCCGCTCGTTACACTATCCGCTATACTGACGATGTGACTAATTGCTTTCTTGGCCGTCAAGCAAGTAGCTGTTCAACTAGTAATCCATCAGTAATCAGGACTTCAGATAGGGAATTCTCCATAAAAGAACATACTCTATGTGAGGCTCTCCAGGTCCGGTAGTTTCCGCACATATGTCGAGTTGCAGTGAGTGAGAACGAGTTGCATTAACTCTATAATAATCTAGAATGTATCGATGACATCGAAACTCTTGCTGGCCTCCGTATGTCCTAAAGAAGGATACAAGGTCTTCGGCATGGGGGTTGATAGCAGGGGCTAGAATTGAGTTAGCTGACTGTGATCAGTCTAATATATATATATGCCAAACTGCGAAGAAAACCAACCTTCGTACAGAAGTACTTTGAAATAACAATAACCATAATGTAATGGCCAGACTAGGCGATAGAAAACCAGTGCTAGATTGCCAAATGATTAGGGGATCAAGGCCCTGCTATCGCCGACGGCTTCAAATGCTGAGTCGAGTGGACGTGTTCGTGGAGACTGAAGAGTTATAACCAGCATTGTGTTAGTAAACGCTTGCCCAGTAAATCCACAAAGAGCACTATTAGTTCGGTTAGCATATGATCGTCTCTCGAGGGGAAAAGGGGGGGATAATCACTGTGTCAAGGTCTTCCTGGGGTATATCGACTCCATTCCATCTGCTGGAAGATATAATACCTAACCCCATAAGGCATCATGAGGAGAACTATCTTCTCTCCGTTGTATCAGAAGCAAAGAATGGGGGACGGGATTGGGCCTAAAGATGCGTCAACCAACAATCACTAGAATATCGTGTTCTGGTTCTTCGATAGCTATTCAGGAGTATCAAAGGAATGCTTATTTAGGGGATGAAGACTTACCGCTGTGATGATTGAATCAAATACACCGCGATATGTTGAAACAGCGAAGGACAGGTTCAGATTTCGACAGTGTTGTGTGCAAGGCAAGATAATCTCCTTGGAACAATACAATGATAGTAGTGGTATTGTGAATCCCGTCATCCTCAAACAGGCATATAAGACAAGAAAGTAAGAAGCGAATGGAAAAAGAAGAAGACGCGAGTAACGCCAGCAAGATACCGTAGATGCATAGCTCTCCGCTGTATCAATAGTATCATGAGATAATAATCAAAGCCGATACTGTCTATCAACTGTACAACAAGTAAATGAACGATATCAAAAGAACAATGAATGATGATACTCTCAAAAAGTAATAATAGTATAGCTGCTACTGTTGATACTAATGCAGAAAATAATGTAGAAGAGAAGAACCCAAGAAGTAAACAAACAATCCGAGAGGGGGCACATATATTTACAAACACGGGACTAAGTTCAGTCAACCCTACCTGGTGTGGTCGTAAGTTTGCCTCCTTGTAACGCGACGGCAGGAAAAGGGGGTAGCTAGGCAGGCATGACGCATGCTCTGATATAGAAGGCAGAGCCTACGAACAGCCCTACTTTTAAAGTTCTCAGAATCCGAGATACAGAGCGCGACCATTTGCAAACAGACGTGTCGATGTTTCTCTATTCATCGAATTTACGTTCACATGTGAATTCCTAGGGCGTAAACTCAGTAACTTTACCAGTGCTACTGCTATACGTCGCCATGTATACTCGAAGTTCGAAAAAAGACAGCAAGATCAAGGAGCCATGGATTGAATAGTAGGATGTACCGTCAGTAGAACTCGCATGGTGCTCAGCAACATGCGTGATTTGAAATCGAGCCTTTGAGGTTATTCTCTCGTCTACTTAGTATTTGTTTCTCATGTGTTTGCGCATGTCCTAAGAGCACACAATAGAATAGACATTCTCGCCCTCCGATCTGTCTTCTCACACACATACTTGTTCAAGGAATAGAAAAACCCAAAAGTAAGAGTGAATAGGAGAGGAAGTTGATTAAAAGTAGATAGCATTATTCATAAACTCATCATCATATCATGAAGAACCACCTATGCTCTCTAATGCCAAGCCCGCCCCATAAACACAAAAGACAAGGAAATGCAGCTATAAATCTCAAAAATAAAACCAGACAGAGAAATCAAAGAATCCTAGACTTGCAAATACCACTATACTATCTTGCACCAAGCTTAAGAAACTTCATAAAATAAACGAACAGAGAAATAATAGAGCATCACTCAATCCTACCGCTTCAACTCATGTTCTATCAAATGGCCCAAGGTCCCAAGAAAACCTCCCTGCCCCTGAAGCAAGCCGCCGATTGTCTGCGCAAGTTGCGCCGCGTCTAGATGCTCGTTTGACGGCAACGTGGCCCAATTGCCTCGCATGTGTAAGTCCCCGGGATGTTGTGGTCGATATTCAAATGAACCATAACTTGGACGGCGCGATTGGCGTAGAGATCGGTTGCGTGGATCCAGAGGTCTGCCGGAAGAATCGAAGCGCTCAGGCAAGTCTACTACGTCATCATCATCTGACGAGTCTGATGAGACATTCCGCGCTCTGCGGTCCCGGTGATCCAAAGCTAGGCGACTTGAGGAGGGGTCTGAGGATGAACGTTTACTCGGAGGCGGGTCATCCTTGGAATCTTGATGTCGTGAGCGATCCGCATCGTCAGCTACATCCGACGTTGTCTCTCTAATCGTTTTATGGTGTTTCTGCAGTACTCGTGATGATTCGGGCGAGAGAGGCCGGAAATGGACCTTCGGAGCTGTTCGTTTGTGGCCGGCGACGGAGCTCGCCGATGACGACGATGACGAAGATGACGAAGACCGCCTGGACTTAGCCTTTATACCATCTTCGAATTGTTAGTATTACGAATTTAAATAATTGCAGCCAGTTGTCGTATGTGGTCACGCGAATGGCGGCACATTAAGGAGACGCACCCTGCTTAGTAGTCGTGCTCCCAGAACCATCAGGATGAACTTCACTCACGTTTTCTGGACCGGGGTGGTGACCCGGACCTCCTGGTGGTGGGAAATATTGTGTTGTCGGAGGTGGCCCTGGAGGCGGAGGGGGTAGATTGGCGTAGTCTTGAGGGTTATAAGGAGGGTATGGGTTATTCAGATTCGCGGTCGACTGATTCGAGTGACTGGTGAAGCCACCGGGACCGGCTGGTGGCGGTGGCGGCGCTTGATTCGTAGGTGGGAAACCTCCAGAGGCATGAGGAGGAGATGGGGGTGGCGCTTCGACATCGTAACCGGGGTAAAATGCACCCGCGGCTGCTTCCTCCTCGTAACCTAGACATCGTTAGCTGATTCTATGCCATTTCTAAATTCAAGGGGTCATTCCCCTACGTCTTCGCTCACGATCCCGTGATCGCCGGTCACGAGCCCTATCGCTCCTATCTCGTGACCTAGAATGCCCTATGCTGTCTGGGCTCGATTTCTCGCCTCTGTCTTTGTTCTTTTGGTGATCCGAATACTTCTTGATTCCTATCGCGGCGGCGGCAGTCCCCAACCCTGCTGCTGCTACATCGCGCAATGTGCTCTTGCTTCGTTTCTTTCGAACTTCTCCATCAGAGCCCGATGCTGATCGATGCCTCTGTCGGTGCTTACGTCGACGTCTCCTAGGTTCTTCGGACGCTGACTCGTAGGGTGAGAGGGGCTCACTTCCATACTCCACGTCAGGAACGTGAACCAGGCCTAATTCTCTATCAGCCGTGGTGTCTCGGGGGTGGTGGTGGCGTCCAAGAGACCTGGATCTAGATCGGCTCCTTGAAATGCTGCGATCTTTATTATAGTACTCATCGTCAGATGCTTCGTGATTCTCACGGTCTTTCTTGTTCTTATGACGCTCATAAAGCTTGGTCGCGGCAGCGCCAGTCAAACCAGCGGCAGCAATTTCAGCACCTATTATCGAGATTAGAGCCTTGTAACTTCAGAGGACCCATTTGGTGACTTGCCTGTCCTCAAGCGAGACTTCGAACGTGATTTGCTACGAGACTTAGACCTATAATGGTGGACCAAGCCGGCAAGAGCACTGTATTGAGTTGTCAATATCGGAGAACCATAGATGGACATGTAGATGAGAGTTGAAGATAATGCATATAGCTAGAAAGTCAATGGAGGCAAAGTGTACACTTACGCAGTTGCTGCACCCGCTTTAGCTACGTTGGACTTGCTACGAGTGCGACCGCGGCGTGAACGGCTTCGCGACACGGAATAACTGTCATTGGAATAGCGACGTCGTGCACGGCCACGGTGTGCTTCTTCCTTCTCAGCCTTACTGTTCTGCATGTATTTCAGACCCCCAGCAACAGCGAGGGCGGCGGCACCCTTTTCAGAATTAGTCAGGTTGCATTAATTAGTCAGAGGGTGTACTCACGATCGCTAGGCCGGTAGCAAGACGACTACGTGACTTGCTTCTACTTCGACTCCGACTCCGGCTTCGATGACGGTGTCGGCCATAATCGTCATACTCGTATTCGTCACGCCTGTCATCGTAGGCGCTTCTGGCACGACGAATGACTTCGGTTCCGAGTGCACCTAGAGCAGCGCCCGCGAGGACCTTGCGTCCTTTGTGATCCTGAGGCTCACCATCTTTGCCCCGACGACTGCCAACAAGGGCGCCAAGGCCAGCTCCAGCAAGCGCGCCTTCGGCAATATGGCGCTTTTTATGATGATCAGAGCTAGAGCTTCGATCACGACGGATAACAGTCCTCTTAATGTAATAATCCTCGTCATACGCGTCTCTTTCATAGCGTCTATCATCTTCTCGCCGATAATAGTCATCATCCCGTCTTGGCTCGCGATGTTCGTCGCGTAGGACAATGAATGTTGGATCGGCGCGGGGAACAATGACGGGTGCAGGGGGGGGCGCCTCATTCACAATGACCTTTTGTTCGGGCATCTTTTGGCGAAGCACCAAAGGCGCCGGGGGAGGGTCTGGGGCTGTATAGTATTCAACCTCTCTACGATAACGCTCAACCTCAGGCTCCCGAGGTTCTCTTTCTTCGACATATCGGCGTTCAATCTTGACGTCCCGCTCCTTGAAATCATGGTGATCATCATGGTGATGAGGGTGATGATGATCTTTATGGATGTCTAAAGTCTTCTCCTTCACCTTCAAATCGCCATCCGAGTCTCGGCGAACGATACGTTTCTCAAGACGTACATCAGTGTCATGATGATCATCCCAGGGTCGGCGCTCCCAGTAGTGGTCTCGAGTAGGCGAGAGTGTCTCCTGGACAACGCGAGTGCGAGATTGGCGCTCGGGGATATAGTAGTCACGGTCTCTTTCGACCTCGCGCTCATATTCTACGGTTCGATAAGAATCAGACCCTCGGGCGTCAATGGCAGAGCGTGGGCGATCAGGGTATATGGTCTCTTTGGTGCGACGATCGTACTCGAACACTTCGGGGCCGGCGCGACCGGCATGAGAGTGAGAGTACCTAGAACGGCGGTCGTCGTCGTCATCGTATCGTTCGACACGCTCCAAACGAGTGGTGGTCCCGCGGGGGCCTCCAACTTTGTAATGAGAGACAGTCTTGTACCGGCTCTCGTCGCCAGAAGAGGAGCGGCTACGGTCTCGAGTGACGCGAATGTCGCGCTCCCGATAGACTTGGGCCATCCTGGGCGCAACACCGCTCACACCAGGGATTGAGTTTGAGGAAGCGCTGGGGACTTGGCTACGTGACGTCACTGACAGGTGTTAGTTGTAACGGCGCTTGAGCTTATTGCGAGACTTGTTAATCGAGATGAAGTTGGATAACGTCAGTAAACCGAAACGTGTTACACGGGGTGTATGATTTATGGGAAACGACGGTTGTGTTATGGAAATACGGATCGAAAATATAGAAACAAGAGGAAGAAACAGATCTGGGAGTTGGGAGATGAGGAAGAGCGGGAGAGACGGGGGCCCAGAACCCGCAGTCGATGAGCGACGAGGGGCGCCTTCTAGGTACTGTAAGTACGAAGTAGGCAGGGTGCCTGTTCCAGGAGGGAGGAACCTGTTGGCGCCGACATGTACCTACCGGGGTCAACCTGCTAGGGTCAGATGGCGTGGAGGGAGTAGCAGGTACCTACCTAGCCTACATATGTACATATGTACATACCTAGGGTTAGGTAATGGCGCCATGTAATGATGTCTTCCAGTGAAGTACTGAACGCTGTTGGAGCAGCCTGTTACGTTACCCTACTACCTAGGCTAGGTAGGTACTACGGCATAGATCATGAGAGAGGTACATGGTGCGGGGTAGTCAGAGTACCCGAGACTTCGTAGTAGCAAGTGATAGAGGGGCAGATGAGTCTACGTTAGGTCAGCAGTAAAGTAGCGAATACCTTGGCGAAGACCAATGATGACTTGGACCTGCTAGGTTTTGCATGCAAGACTTCATATTAAGCCCCTCTCTGCCTTAAAGTGCAGTTTCCAAGTTGTCAAGCAAGCAACGGTAGATACCTATCTAGATAGTATCGTCGTATTCAAGCCTAAACCTGACCTCGAACCCGAACCTGAACCCGAACTTGAGTCTGCAACAAGACTGACTAGGTGAACTGTTGTCGTCATTCCAAGTCTCTTGACAGGGGAGGGGCAGAGGAGGGTCAGTGAAACATACATCAAAAGAGGTTGTCATGGTATGCACGAGGTAGCCAAGTCATCATTGGTGTCTCTTTTTTTTCTGCGCTGCTTGGTTGTGTCATCACCGTCATACCCCAGCCTCGCCAGCCCCAGTGCCTAATCTAGTCTAATCTAAATACATACCATGCCGAATCACAATGCCCATGCATCTAGGAAGTACTGTAAGTAGGTATCTCTCAGTGAAATGGCATTACTACTACCATTACCAAAAAGCTGCGGGTTGATGGGCTCTCTCTGCGCACCGCCCCCCAGCATCAGCATCAGGCAGACAGACAGGTGGTGGATCACCTGGTTTTGCACACGCCAAAGACTTATTGCGGCCAGCTGACCCACGATTCGGCAGTGTCTCTCGCATTTTTGGGGGCGGTGCTGTTCTGCAGCCGTACTAGTCCTGTTGGGCCGTCGGCGAAGAGCGAAAGCGCGGCGACCACGAGATTGCCCGAATAAGGTCAAGAAGCGGCCGCAGTGTGGGCTCTTTCTCAACACAGTCACCAACTCGCTGTTCGCCTCGAGGCACACGAGCAGAAGTTCCGAAAAGATAACATACAGTCAATAGCCATCTCGGCGCTTAAAGGAAACGTGAGGATGCAAAAGACGAAGCGTCGTTATGGCGCAGTTGGATCCTCGGACCAACATCAGCGACCGGCATTGCGGAAAGCTGATATCCACTTTCGAAAACCGGGCTTGGCTCTTCTAGAAACAGAGAGCTTCCAATAGATGCTGATTGATCCACAGACATTCTTGGCCACAAACTTGCCTGTCCACGATACTGGAACACGGCACGTGTCGGCACGGTAAGGCCGGCACGCTCTAGGAAATACGGATGATTAGTATTGTCCTTGTTAGTCTCCTTATGTATCTACAGTAGGACCCATCCCCGAGCCAACCGTCCCGTGGTGGATGAACGGGTGTTCTTCACCAGGTCACTAATATCCGGCGTGCTCACGATAACCAACGGAGGGCGCAAACAGCAGACCAGTATCCTCACCTCGTGAGGTATCACGTGGTTGCTTGAAAGTCTCGAGCTCATCTCACCGCCAAGCAGCCGCAGCCAAATAGGTAGCCCAAGTTGAATTTGCGTCAGTACAGTAGGTATGATCTCGATACTTTTACGTTATTGATGATTCAGCCTGTGACTCAACCGTGGAAATCTCTGCTACAGAGGGCCACAATGCCTTGTTGACCTGCATCGCGCTTACTCAGCCCTGGTGTCCCATCCCATTGCAAGCCAGGGTAGTTAATTTCAGCCTCAAGTCTTCGCTCCACGACGGCTGCTGCACAGTACTGATATATACGGAGCCTTCTGTTTGTTCGTAAAAGGTGGGATGAAGGCTCTGCTCAAGTTGCCACCAAGTTCTATTTGTGTCATCCTCAATTTTGTAGAATCTGACGATAGCCTCCGTATCGCATCCTATAACTTGACTGTGCCACTTTAAGTGGCATATTCCACCTGTCAAAGTTGTCTGTACCTAGAATGTGTATTGTTGACAGTGTTGAGTAGATGAACAATCGAAACTGGAGCCGAATCCTATTACCTGGTATCGAGGCCAGTTCCCTAGTTCAGGTGTTAGATATCTTTTACGAAGATCTTGAATCAAATTAGCATTGAGTTTCAAGACTGGCTGATCTGTCGAGCCTGTTGGAACGAAAGGATATTCCGCTCAAGCCAGAGCAGATATTTACAGCACTTTCAACATCGCCGTATCATCACTGAATCATATAGTAACCCAAGACACTACATGTGATGCAAAGACCGTGAATGCGTTTCAATTCATAAACTCGTTATCCGATACACGTAACTCGTGTTCGCAATGAATTCGTACGGCGCGTAAAGTAACAGAAAACCCCCAAACCCAACACATAAATTCGTAGTATTCATTTCCCTCATACAATCAAGAAGAGAAGGCAGACAAAGGCCGCAAGTAAACACTCAAGAAATAGAACATGAAGAAGTGAAATGAAACGAATACCCCAGCATTGAAGCGACAAAATGTACCAAAAGTAATCAGAACAGCAATACACACGCATACACGCCCTATCGTAGCGAACCCCCCTCGATCAAATTACCCAGCCATTACAATCCCTGATTTTTTGTATCGCTCTAGGCGAAAAGTTTCTTGAACACAGCCTTGAGACCGCTCTGTGGTGTCTCCCTCTTCTTCCTTTCTGCATCGCGCTCTCTCTGGCGCTCCTCGCGTCTAGATGAGTGTCGATGGCGTTCCTCTTTGGCATCGGTCGAATGAGAATGAGGCTTATGAGATGACGAAGAGGGCCGTGAGGAGGGCTTCCCATCACTATCATTGCCTCGAGACCGCGTGGATTTTCGCGCATCGCTGTCAGCCCTCGAGCGTGTGGAGATCCGGCCTTCGCTTTCGGGCATCGAACGTGCTGAGAACTTCGGGTCTTCTTCCACCTTGGCCCGCGAGGATCGCTCTCGGTGTCTGCTTGGCGAATCCGGTATCTCGTCGTGGTGTCTCGAGCTCCGAGGCCGAGGCACATCGCCGGATACCCGGTGTTCTCGATGCTCTCGGTGTTCTCTATGTTCTTTGTGTTGGCGGTGTTCACGGTGTTCGCGCAGCTCACGCGAATCTCGATTCTCTCGTGACTCTCGGGGCTCTCGCTGAGCCCGCGGCGAATCGCCCGACTCTCGGTGCGACCGGAAGTGAGATCTCATGCTATTACGATTTGGCGGCGCTTCTTCGATCTCGGCCTCTGGCGACACGCGAGCCGCATCTAAGATGCTTTCGCCGCCTCTAAAATTGAAGAATTTCTTGCTTGATACTGGCGAGGGTTCTTCCTTTATCGACACACGGCGCTCCGAGTGAGAATGACCTGGCCGTAGATCGGATTGGCCCGACCTTCTCGAACTACGCGGGGAGTGTCTTATGCTTGAGGGAGGGGTTGTCTCGGCTTCTTTACCTTTCTGCTCTCGTGATAGTTCTAGTTCTCTTTCCCTTTCGCGTTGGGCCCGACGCTCTTCTTTCCGTTTGTCGTGGGCAGCCTGTTCTTCTGGGGTTCGATGTCGACGTTGTGAGGAGCTTTGATGACCACCTTCATGGCGCCGGTACTCTTCTTTGCTTCGTCGCAAGGGTTCTTCTTTTCTATGTCTCGAGGACATAGACCGATCCGAGCTCGCCTTAACCGACTGCTCACCCTCGTCCCTGCTCTTATTTTCACGGTGACGATGACGACGATATTCGTCTCCGCTTACGGTCTCTCTGGGTCGCGACGGGTGGTGGTGGGATCGGTGAGATCGGTGGCGGTGCCGTTCATCATCTGTCGAAAGGTCAGCAACACTCGATGAAAAGTCACTCTCGTCAAAGCTGTGTTGTGCTGAGATCTCCGATGATACAGCGTCTGGAGACGCCTGAACTGGTCCCTGGCCAACACCCAATGTCTCTGTAATGTTTCTGTTAATCTGGCCGTAGCCGCGAGAGGGACTTGCTGGAGGACTAAGCTCCTGCGCTGTAGCGTAGATAACCACTGCTGCTGCCACATTTTCCTCTACTTCCCGAAAGTGTTGACGGTGTTTCTTTTTAAGACTTTTTGCTCTTGCTAAAGCTTCGATTTTAGGATCGCCGAGATCAGGCAAGACGATAGCCGGGGTGGGAGACCGCGGCTCCTCCATCCCTCTGTCCTTTGAGGGAGAGTTGTGTGCAAACTCTTCATGTGTTTGAATATCTGAATGCACTAAACTCGGACGGTGTTGGCCTCTAATGTCCATAGACGTGGTAGACCTGTCTTGATCATATGTATAATCTTCGAATGAATCTACACCCGAACTCATAGGACTGGGGGACTCGAGATGGCTCGACGGACTGAACTTGGTCCGGAAATATGTGACACTATGATCTTCATCGGTTGATGTTTCAGCGTATGGCGACCTGTGGAGGTCGAGACCAAGCCCAGTTGTCTCAGCTTCACTCGGGCTAATGGGTCTGAGTCTAAGGTCTGATATACTGGTATCTTCCACAGCACGGTCTTGGATTTCCTCATCAGTGATAGCTGTGATAGGGGCAAAGGCAGCATCGATGGTATTCAGGCGTTCGTCGTTCAAGAAGGTTTCGACGCTCATGTCGTGGGATTCGTCTATAGAGTTTGAACGAGTAGATAACCACGAGAATTCGCCTCGAGAGTGTTGATTTAACTCATCTCCACTCTGAGTTATCCCGAGCCTTTGTTCCAAGTGGCCATTACCATCCTCCCAGGTCTTGGTTGGTGCTGTCAATTCTTCTAGAGACTTCTCGTCAAAAGAGAGATGCTCAGGTCGGCGCAAATGCGAGACAACCGATGCTTCTGAAACAAATCTATCGTAATCAAATACATGGCGAAGCCGTTGAGTTTCTATGACGCTTTGGTCTTCTTCTTCGTCCGCCTCAGGATCTGACCATTCTCGCTCATTATTTCTAAGAATGATTTCATCTGGGACTGCTTTCTGGGTTGGTTGCCATGCAGATGGACTGGCTTGAGCTTCATCCAGGGAGCTCACTGGCTCTGCAAACTGTTTTATAGCTATCTCGCGTGAAGAGCTTTCAAATGGAGCTTCGTTGATTGATGTTGTTGTGGTCTTATCGAGAGTGGAAGAATGGAGCCGCTCAATATCATCAGCAGAGGCAGTAACTCCCAACTTCTTAACGACGAATTCATCATCAGAATCCTCAGATATGGTATCTAGATAGTGTGGCTGAAATTCTAAGTTTTCTGGCAAAGTACCACCAGCAATTTCTGATTCACACCATGTCGTCCAGTCTTGAACCTCAAACTGCTGTGCAGGTCCCTCACTGTCAGAGTATTGGGGCTGTAGTGCAGTATGGGATATATCTATTCCAGATACTCTTGGATCGACATAGTGAACATCGGGGTTGGGGGGATTAGACGAGAGGGCCGTATACGCGGGAAAGTCAAGAGTAGCTTCTCGTGGACTCTGTGTCGCAACGTTTCCAGGACCCTCACCTAGCTCTTGAGGTACTTCGGCGATGTCGCTTAGTGTGTCTCTAGAGTGTCGAAAATCACCAACGGACCTCTCCACCGTCTCGTCATCGTCAGTTGTCTCCCAAACTTGCTCCGACGTCTCATCTTCGTCAACCGTATCCCAAGGAGATGACTCGACAGGCATATCGGAAGATTTGATCATCGTAGGCCCACGGCCGGCATTGGTTAATATGGATGGCGGATTTTCATGAATTGTCCGCCTAGTACGCTCCATCGCCTCTTCATTCGCCGTACCCTGGTTGCGATACAGTTTATGTGTAGATGGAGGAGCTCGCATGTTCCAGCGCTCCCGGCCAAATGTGGGGTTTTGCAATAAGGCGCCAGCCACAGCAATATAGTTCAGCGTGCTTAGCTGTAAATCGGGTTCCTCTGGCGGAGAGGGAGGCAGAGCAATATCAGCTGCGTCATCTCTTGAAGAGCGATCAATGAGAGAAGCTTCAGTTTCGCATGCAGTTTCTGTCATCTTTCTTGTCAAAGATTCTTGCAAGGTTTCAGGCGGGATGGGATTGGCTGCCATTATCCCTGCTGCACATGTGCGAGGTTCTAAGTTAGGTTCCCAGTCTCGTTGAATAGGTGCATGGCTGACATTTTCGGCAGTATTCGTACCATTTGCCTGCGAATCCTCGCATGATCCAGATATTGAAGCTGTTGTCAAAGAGATATCTTTTGCAATCGTGTCTGTTGTCTTTACCGAATTTTCTTCGAGCTGCGCAGAAACAGAGTCGTCTGTTTCATCGATCCCTAATTTGTTCAGGTTGTCATACAATATAGACGGCCTCGTGTTCTCCGAAGCCACAAGGTCTTCAGCTCCTAGCAGAAATCCGGCCTCAGCCTTGTCGCGTGCATCATTTGAATTCGGCGTCACAGATTGAGTCCCAGTGTTACTGTCGATAGACGATAGAGGCAGTGTAATGCTCGGAGCAAAGCGCTCAGCATCCTCGACTAATTCGTCTTGAGTTCCTGGGTCTAATTGTATCGTAAATTGGTTCTCGAACCCCGTCTTCTGAGCAACCATATCTGTGGCATAGCCGCCTAATTCTTCCAAGGGGTATTTGTTCGCTAGCGCCTCATCATTTGGCACTTCCTCGGGAGTATGATCTTCCGTTGTAAATTTCTCCTCAGCCGTGTCCAGATTTTCATGGTCCCGTTCGCCCCATGAAACACCGTTCGGGGCCAGTTCAGACTCATCTCCGCCGGTGTCACCAGCCACAGCTCCTAGGGTATCTTCAAAACATAAGGAAATGGGGGTTTTCTTACCTCGTGAGTGTCTTCTAGACGCCTTCTCCTCGCCTCTTAACCGGCCAACGACATCCATACCCTCCTCGGCTTCCCGCATCCTGACCTCTCTGACTCCGTCTTGTGATCTCTCAGCGGCATCGAGCTATAATTCTTGTCAGTAACTACATTCAATCACCAATCATGTAGACTCGCCAGGATCTAGAACCCAGTTTCTACAGCTTATGGATAAGTATTAAAGGAGACATACTGAACGCCTTCCAGTGAAATCTGTTAATTTTGTGAGGCTGCCAGAAATATTCCCTTACCTGAGGTTTTGGTGCATCAGGCTCCGCGGCCACAGGGGGGACTTCCCTTGAGACATTTTCTTGGGTCTCAATAGCAACTACAGCCGGTTCCGCAGCCGGCAGTTCTCTCTCGGGCATGTCGACAGGTTCAGTACTACGCGCCTCGACAATGGGCGCTTCTTCCGCCACAGGGGCAGCTTCTTGGACGTGAACAACTTCTTCGACGGGGATAGCTTCTTCGACGGGGATAGCTTCTTCGACGGGGATAGCTTCTTCGACGGGGATAGCTTCTTCAATGGGAACAGCAGCTTCATCAGCGGGAATAGTGACTTCATCCACGGGGCTGGTTTCATCGAGAGTGACGGCCTCTGTAGTGGGGACAGCTTCGGTGACGGGAATTTCCTCAACAGGCGGCGTGTCTTCAGGAGCAGTAGGAGCTTCGGTCACAGGAACTTCTTCTGCAGGAGGCATCTGCTCCATAGCAGGTATTTCTTCGGCAGCCGGTTCTTCTATAGCACGCGCTACCTCGACAGGCAGATCATATTGCGCAGCAGGGGTTTCTTCAGCGGTCGCTACTGCTTCGATGGGCGGTTCTTTGTCAACTGGAGCTGTGTCCATGGGAGGTTCCTCAACGGCGGGCGCTGCTTCCTCGGCGGGTGCTGCTTCGACAGGAGAGTCGCCTTCTATGGCAGGCACCGCTTCTGTGGCCTCTATCGTAGCAGGTGCCTCTGTAACAGCGGGTACATCTTCAACAGCCGGCGTCTCCTCTACGGCTGGCATCTCGTCAACAACAGGTGTCTCATCAACGACCGCTGTCTCTTCTATGGCTGGACTCTTCTCAATAGCGGGCGTCTCATCAACGGCAAGTGTCTCGTCAGCAGTAGGCTTATCGTCAACAGCTGGGGTCTCTTTGGTAGCGTGCGCTTCCTCGACTGTAGTAGTTTCTTCACCGCCATGACTCTCTTCTACAGAAGGGGCTTCCTTTTCAAGTGGCCTCTCGACGACGGGGACTTCATCGTGGGCTTCATCGGAAGTGGCGGTCTCTTCAAGAGCTGGTGCAGCAGCCGGGGTCTCTTCAGCAACAGTCTCAGAGGGCGCAGTCTCGTCCGCAACAGCAGCAGGCGTAGCTTTCACAGTGGGCTCCGTAGCTGATCCATCTCCTTCTGTCGCTTGCTCGGTCACTTCTTCGACATCAGCTTCTTTGTCAGCTTCTGCAGGGGCTGCAGGCTCTTCCACTACAGACTCAACCACCGGAGTTTGATCAGTAGGTACTTCCTCGTGAATTTCCTTAGCAGACTCGTCATCATGGTCATCTTCAACGGGGTCGTCTTGGACCGTAATTTCATCGACAGAGGATTCTTTAACAGGAATATCCTCGACAGTTGCTTCCTCAACAGTCTGTTCGGCGGCTTTTTGTTCGGTAGTGGGCTGCGCGTCAGCGGACCCCTCAACCACGAGTTCCTTGGCTACAGGTTCCTCGACGACATGTTCAATAGGGTCTTGTTCACCAGTGGGCTCCTCGATACTGTGTTGTTCGACATCGGATTCCTCGACAACAGATTCTTTGGCAGCGGGCTCGTCGACAGTAGGTTCCTCGGTAGCAGGCTCTTTGGCCTCAGAATCAGCAGCTGGAGCTTCTTTCTCGACAGTCTCTGCAGTCGGCGTAGATTCAGCAAGTGTCTCGGAAACGGCTTCGACCTCAGCTGCTACGGGCTCTGCTGAAGTATCGGTGTTCTCTGTCGCAGTGGGCGCAGTTATCGCTTCAGTATTCTCCGAGACCACTGATACAGAAGTTTCTTCCGCAGGACTATCTTCAGTGGTGACCGCAGCTTCAACGGCTTCTTCCTTTGCAGCAGGTTCCTCGTCTTGAGAAGCTTCAGCAGTGGCCTCTTGAGCAACTGGTAATTCCTCGACTACAGATTTTTCGTGCACTTCAGGCACTTCTGTTGCAATAACTTCTTCCTTGGCTGCGGATTCCACCTCGGCAGCTGGCTCATTGGTTGCACCAGATTCCTCGGGTCCCTCAGGAGCTGTAGAAGCTTCCTCGGTAACAATAGGCGTATCCTCAACCTTGACCGTAGTCGTTGGCGCATTGTCGGCGGCGGTTGTCTCGTCCGGGTCAATCTCAGCTGGGGCAGCCTCTTCAGCAGCTACCATATCAACAGCAGTATCCTTAGCAGCAACGTCGACTTCTGGAGTTTCGGTTGACGGCTCTTCAAGCGCCTCAGGCGCATCAGTCTTTTCGAGAGCACTCTCTTCCACTTTGTCAGGCACATCCGCTACTAATGATGTCTCAACGACTGTGGTTTCATTGGCGGCCTCTTCTTCTTTTTCCTGCGCTACAGGGGTTTCTACAGCTTCAGAGGTAGGCTCATCGACAGGAACTGCCTCGGCCGCTGGGGTTGGAGATTCATCAGCGGATTTTGTCTCTGGCGCTTTTTCAGGCTCGTCAGCTGTAGCCTTCGTTTGTTCTGCGGTTTCATCAGCGGTTTTCTCTGTAGGTTCATCTACAACCTCTGTTGGCTCTGCTGCAATGGCATCTTCCGTCGAACTTGATTCAGCCAAAGCGGGTTCCGAGTCTTTGACTTCGGCGTCTTCCTGTGCTGGCACCTCTACCACCGGAGTAGCTTCGACCGTCTCTGTAACAGGAGTTGCTTCAGCGCCTTCTTCAGTAGCTTGTGCAGCCGCTTTTTCCGCTTCGCGTTCGATCATCTTTTCGAAAGCGAGATGGTCGTCTATTACAACCTCGTTGTCCGGCTTCTCGGTCTTCTCTTCGGACGAGGAGGCAGTTGCATCCGCGGAAGATGCTATTACTGCGTCTTTGGCTGCATTTGATGTCTCTTCAGTCTCAACCTGGCCCTGCTTAGCATCGTCTTCGGCAACAACGGTATCGCCAGCGGTAGTGGCTTCGTTTGCTTCTGTTGAGCTTGGGAGCGATGTTTCGGCAATTGGTTCAGTAGTTGAACTCGTTTCTTGGTCTTCATTGTGTTTCATAGGCTCTTCAGCCACCTCCACTTTCGCACTTTCAGGAGTGGTCTCGGACTTTTCAATCACATCCTCTGTCACTGTGCCAGCCTCTTCAGGTTGTGATTTGGCTTCGCTAGTTTGCATATCTCCGGCATCCGCCGACTTAGCCTCATTTTCTACAACTGCTGTCTCTGTTGGCGCATCGCCATCATCGGAGTTCAAGGGTGTGGCGGCACTAGGTGAAATGAAATTAGCATGACGATGTCGTCACAGAACAAGACTGGAATAAGACTTACACTTCCGGGGCTTCATCAACATGAGCTTCCTTTTCAGCTGCTGCTTCTGGCTCCCCTGAGTCTTTCGTATCTGTGATCTCCTCATGCGTGTCCTGTACGCTTTCGGCCTCGGTTGCCTCAGGCTCTGGCTTTAACCCCTCCGGTTCGTCGGCTAAGTCAGCCGGAGCTGCGGCTGGAATGTCCTTGCTGTGGTCGGACTCTGTGCTTTCAGCAGGTTCCTCAGGCTTCGTCTCTTCTGTCTCAACAGGATCAGTTGAAGGGGCATCCTCAGAAGCTGCGGCTGCAGCTATTTCTGTGGGTGTGCTATCCGCCTCGGGAACCTCGACAGTCGATCTTTCCTCCTCAGCTGGATTATCGTCAGCCTTCGAAGTGGTGCTTTCTTTTGTCTCATCCGCAGTTTTCAGTTCCGCAACCGTTTCCTCGACCTTTTCACCAGCGTCTGTTTCCTGCACATCTGCTTCCTGAATCGGTTTATCATCAGGCTCAACTTGATCTTTCGAAGCATCCGGCCCCGAAGCAATAGTGTCAGTCACCGGCGCCTCTTCTTCGTCCTTAGCTTTGAAACTTGGAGTCTCCTCAGCGGATTCTTTCTCGAGAGGGGCAGCTTCAGGCGCGGCTTTTTCTTCAGGTGCAGCTTTTTCTTCAGGTGCAGTTTCATCGTGTAGTGCTTCAGTTGAAACCTCCACAGCAGCCACCGCTTCACTGCTAGGTTCCTCCTTCGGCCCATCTCCTACATTTTCGGAGCTGCTATCCGCTGCTTTTGTCTCGCTAACCTCAGCAGCTGGTTCTTCGACCTCGGCTGGATTGGCGACCTTGGTTGACTCGGCAGGCTGATCTTGTGGATCTGGTTCAGTCTCCTTGCTAACAGGAGTGTCATCGGGTTCAGCGGGAGGGTCGGCTTTTTCCTCTGTGCCTTCCGGCTGAGTATCTTCGGCGACTGCTGGTGAAGCCTCTTCCACGGTATCAACGGCCTTTTCTGAAGTTTCGGCCTGAATATTGTCAGCAGCATTTGTTGAAGCTTCCTCTACAGCTTTAGGCTCCACAGTACCCTCCTCAGGGAGAGGTGTTTCTTCGGACGGCTTGACATCCTTCCCCTCATCCTTTGGAGCTACTGTCGTCTCTTCAGAAGATTCAGCATCTCTCTCATCATCTTTTGATGCTACTACTGGCTCAGCCCCAGATTCAACCTCGGTCACAGGTTTAACCACAGCCTCGGGTTCAGCCGTGGTTTCGTTAGTTTCCTTGGCGGTTTTCGATTCAGTTTCCGGATCCTTGGGAGAGTCTACATCAGCAGATTTATCCGTCGTCGGATTCGGTATCTCTTGTGGTGTCTCTGAAGCAACATCCGCAGCAGGAGCCTCTTCGGGTTGGTCTGCAGCCGGCTCTTTTGAAGCTTCTGGTGTAGACTCGGCCTCTTCCTTGACAGCCTCTTGTGCAGATTCACCCGCCTCAACTAGCTCGGCTTTCTGCTCTGCGGGTTCATCCTTAGAGTCACCAGGAGGTGAACTTTCTGTCTCAACAGATTTAGCTACAGGCTCTACCTCATCTGATTTATCCGCTGACTCGTCATCTGCTTTGGCTGTAGCCTCAGCTGAAGCGGGACCATCTGACTCTTGTGTCTTTTCCGGGGCTGATTCTGCTGTCACTTCCGGTGTTGCCTCTGGTGTTGCCTCTGGTGCTGCCTCTGGTGCTGCCTCTGGTGCTGCCTCTGGTGCTGCCTCTGGTGCTGCCTCTGGTGCTGCCTCTGGTGCTGCCTCTGGTGCTGCCTCGGGAGCTACCTCAGATGTCGTTTCCTCGCTATCTTGATCCGGTGCACTTCCTTTCGAGGGGTCGACAACTTCACCGGCACCTATAGCTTGCTCCTCGGCCTTCTCTTCTTTAATTTTGCCCTCTGGTCCCGCTTCGGAACTCGCCGCCGGCTCGGCTTCAGCCAGTGCTTTCATTTCTTCCACTGGCGCGGCTTCGGCAGCGGCAGATTTGCTTTCTTCAGTCGGAGAGTCGTCGGATTTTTTATCTGAATCGGGATTAGGCGACTCTTCTGTTGCTTCTGGCAGTGATCGAGAACTCTCGGGCTTTGACTTCCCATTCTTGCCCTTCTTTGCAGCTGTATCGACCTGTTTACTTGAGGTTTTCTCTGCCGCCTTTTCTGCCGCTTTCTTCTTCTTCTTTTCCTTCTTTTTCGCGTTTTTACCTTTTTTGGCGGAATCTGGCTTGTCCTCCTCTACCTCGGCTTTAGGTTCTGTATCCGGCTCGCCTTCTGGTTCCGGCTCTGCTGCAGGTTTAAGCTCTGGGTCTGGGTCTTTCTCCGGCTCCTTCTGGGACTCCTTCTCGGGTTCAGGCTCAGCGTTAGGTGTAGCTTCTGGCTTAACTTCTGGCTCTGGTTCTGGTTCTGGCTTTGGCTGTTCAGGATCTGCTTGGTCTTTTCCACTCTTTTTCTTCTTCTTTTTCTTCTTCTTTGCTTCGGCTTTCGTTAACGGCCACTCTGAGTCTTCTTGTAATGCAGGTTCAGAAGAGCCGACGTTCTCATTCCTTTCTTCTACTTCAGAGTTTTCGTTTCCTTCTGGGATTAGCCTAGTGTAAGAACAGAAGACTCAAAGGCTTACCAATTTGCTCTGCGTCTATCGTTTGGTACTGAACTTTGGAGAAATCGGCGAACTGCATGCTCTCCAAGGGATTTAACCGAGCAGAGGAGTATACAACTCCCGACCGCTCAGTCATTTTGCCCCCGTGGTTTGGCAGATGGTGGTAATATGAAGAAAAGGTGTGAATGACAAAATATGCAGTGTAAGTCCAGAAACAGAATAACGATTAAAGACACGGTCGTGTGCAGCAATTACGTCAATGTCGTTGGGTATTGAGACGCTATTCCTGCAGTCGGGTATTCAAACGCCACTGCTATGAAACAATGACAACGTGGTTACGGTAAAACAGATCAAATGCAAGTCCTGCCTATGGGATACGGCGGTGATAACTGGGGGGGAAGATAAAAAGGGAAACAATTCATCGAGCAGCCAACGGCAGCGTAGAGTCGAGAAAACGCACACATGCGATCTCGGGACGTCGAGTGATACTAAAGGGATTGATGAGAGCACCCCACACGAGAGGTCAGAAATCCAGATAGGTAGTCATATTTGACACTAATACGGGCCACCATGCATGGTACATGCTACATGCAGCATTGAGCTAGGAGAGGCAAATATTTTTCTACCCCACGACTCGAAGAACGACGCAGCAGTGGAGAAGAGCCTGAAGCTGAGGTGATCAATATCGTGCCCAAGATTGATTGGCGAGCCGGAACCAATTGGCGCCACGTCGCATCGCGGACACTGTGGATTATGGACAAACACCGGAGGTACTTTCAACTGGAGTGGGCTGGTGTGGCCTCATGCCTTTGGGCAAGCCGAACGGTGCTGATGGCTGGGTGAGCACATGAGAAACCGTCTGGCACCCTACGCTACAACACTCCCTTACCTTACGGTGATAGTGTGCGCCAATTTACGGCAGACCCGGACAAGACCGCCGTGGGCCGGTCTGTCATCGAAGGCAGGTTGACGTTTTGAGGTTCACCAATACTTTGCTGCAAAGATACCTATCACAGTCCAATCAGCGTCTAACGGGCGGTGTCGCTTCGGCTTGCTAGCCCCCCTTCCACATCCGGCTGCAGTCATTGGGCGTCAAGCTGCCCTACTGTACCCCTTGGGCTGTCGGACAAGATCTGTCATATCAATCAAAAGCAAACCGAGAGCGTCCCAAACGGTTCCCGAATTGGCCAAGGAGGGGTTGAGAAAGGCACCCAACCGGCAAGTAGACAGGGTGGGCTGCAGATATGCATGGGAGACACTAGTACGTGGTCGGCTTCGTTGGCACCGCTGAAGGACGATACTGAATGAGAACCTACGACAGCCAACCAATCTCAGCGGGGCGGAATAGACGTGGTTGGTCCTCGGCGGGCCGGCCGGGTCAGGGGTGAGGAGGTTCCTGATCGGGATTGATATCCCTGTGAGCTCGTTGCGAAGACGTAGGACCTATCTATTTGTCGATATGTAGTGCTCGATAAGACATATATTCACGGGCTCCCTGTCCCCTCCCGTTCAGTACCACTGCAAGATCTCCTGGGTATTCGGGAGATGCGTGTCCTTTCTTCTTCAGGAATTTCGTATATATTGATTGACATGTGAAAAGATAAGTCAGCATGGTATACTCTGTGCATAGTAGCATTTCAATGAAGGATTTTTAATTTTAGTTTAATGTATTATTGAGATGACAGACAGCCCCAGGGCGGGGGATGAGGGGCAGAAAGCCTCAGTTCATTGTTCCCGACTAACGACTTCAACCTTAGTCTTGGAGATCCATTGGGCATTATCCTCAATTAGCACGCCTTGTTTCCGAAAATTGCATTAATACACAGTAGCCTCGCATTCGCCAACCTCCTAATGAGTAGACGATGCGCCAAGGAAGCTGTTGAAATTGAACCAACCCCCCACATACTATACAATACCTACTCCGTAAAGAGGTTGGTTATGCGCAGGATTTTAACCACCAAGGGAGACGTTGCCATATTATTCTTAGTGGGACCGCCACGACCGCTTTCTCGTGAACTTTGAGCCTAGTACGCCTTGGATTGGGACATGAGAGAGAAAAATTTTTGAGGGTATAGTACGCATAAGTTATTTGCTTGCTCATTAATGAGACAATGGACTCTGCCAAAGATAGTCGGATCAAAGCACCACTTACATGTGAATACGCCTTATCTACACGATATTGTAGAGAGCTATAGTGACGCAGCGAGCTATTCATCATGAGATGGATTACTTACTCCATACATAATCTCGAATGACCCGTCTCATTTTGACCTTCAGGGTGTCTTAGACTCATGCATTATGCTTGAGGTAGTGAAGAAAAAGCCAATACCTTGAAGTTTCTCCGCGTCGAGTATCACAGTGTTGGTGTAGTCTAGTTCATCTCATATACTAGAGAGTGTGAAGAGGGTGAGGCGGATTGTCAAAGGATTTACTGTTCTTGAAGATGTGAATAGCCTAACTTATGCTGTAGATAGTTACATATGGCCCCCCAAGGTCTGGCCAGGAATCCGACAGCGATAAGATGGTGAAGTGGTTCGGCATCTTATTCATGCAAGAGAAAGTGAAAGTCAAGAGATTTTATTATCTTTTACTGAAACGATTTACTTCGTGTATGTTGGTTCATAAAATACTATACCCGCGGCGACAACAAGATTTTATGACATACACCTGAGCGAGGCGGCAGATAAGACAGAATCATGAGAATATATCTAGTTAGAAGATGTCGAAAGACATACCTATAAAACACAGAAGTGTGAAATCCATTCATCCCATGAGTACCTGAGAACTCCCAGATCTCAATCAATCCCGTCGGAAATGTTTGGAGCGCATAGGTTACAGAATCAAAATCGTTTAACGAATGGCATATCGCCCAAGCCTATTGACAAAGAAATCCCTTCTCGATCCCTCTTAACTGATCACGCATGTAGCTCCTTACTGCCATCTCATGCCTGATGAGTTTACAGCTTCGGCAGACTGAGATTGTCCCAGATGACGTAATGTAGGATGACGACAGGCTCAGAACCGCATCTTTTATCGCGGATTGTGGATGACTGAAGTAACAGATACACATATCAGAATAAACCGTCAAGATCGCTCAGCTACAAGGTCGAGTAGCAATCTTGGAGTCGAGTCTCCGGGCAATAGCTTGCTATGAACAAGTGCACAATCATCATTTCATCAACAAGGTAATATCCTCCATTTCGATAGGCGATAGGTAATAGGAACGTCGGTGGAATGAATACAGGGGTTTGCTCGACGAGGAGTAATTTGCAACGAGAGCTTAGACGTAAGACCTACGGGGACAAACGCGACCTGTCCTGGATTCCGCTAATTTAGTCTATAGACGGTCCGAATGGAATTACAACGCACTTCAATTGAAAAGCGACGTGGCTTCGTACTTCGCTGATATGAGCCATGGGCGGCCTCTGACCACAACTACGTCCGTGACGGCTTTTTGCACGTCTGGGGTCTCTGAATAATGATGTATAGGATTGTTGCCTACAAGAATGTCGGCACCGAGATTAGATGTGAACATGGGAATGGGTATTTCTGAAATCAACCTTTCTTGCTTAGCTATCATCATAGCAAGACAGTGCGCAGTCTAGGGACCTTTAGTCGTGTCACCATGCAAAAGTTCCCGGGAACGAAGCCCGCGCGACACATATTACACAGACAGGCGATATTAACTTCAACATATAACCGTATATCCATCTCGATAACTAGTGATGACGTGGCTCTCTAGCTAGGTAAGTAACGTAGTGCTGGCTCGAAGGAAGAGTAGTAGCCCAGGAAAAACAAGAGTGTATCACCGTTGGCCACACAACGCCGACGCCCGAATTAATAACAAGTAAAAGACCAAGTAGTCTAACGAGGGAAATGGTGTGGGTGTATCCTGTCAATAACAGACCACGGCTTGCCTGTGCCATGTCACCTTGTCTGTCATCTGACCCAAACCTTCCCTTGTAACAGCTGGTATTCCCCCTCCGCATGCGATTCTATGCTCGACCAAGACACCAAAATATCGGTATATTGCCAATTTATACTTCTCACATCGCCATTTCCTCCTGCAGCTTCCGGAGCTCCTTTTCCTCGTCGTCCTCGGAATCCTCGAGTTGTGGTTGGCTCTTGACTGTTAAAGCATGTTAGCTTGTTAAGAGGTATGTAAAATCGGAGTGGAAGACCCGTACTATCTGAATTCGCCACGCTAGGGAGTTTATGGACATCCGACACGGGTACTGTGCCAGACTCAAGCATTTTCTTGTCTAGTGCTTCTTGCTGTAGGGCCTCGAGCTCGTCCTCTAGTTCGTCCTCATCCAAGGGCTCGCCAATGTGGCTGCTCGTAATAGCCGACACAATCTCTTCGCTGAGTTCGTTCTGCTCCTTCAATTGATCCCTAAATCAACAGTGGTTAGTAGTCTGACGGTGGCAGCAACAGCGCACAATGAGACTTGTAGATGGTGGAGTGTGGCATACATTGTTTCCTCGACCTTCTCTACCGTCAGCTTGCCATGGATCTGTTTCATAGCATCGCCTGCTCTCTGCATAGCGGCGAGAGTCTCTTTGTTGATGTTGGCTGATTCGATGGCATTGATCTGAGCCTCCAAGGTTCCTATTTGGGCACTGGTCTGTTCTAAGCTGTGTTCATGTGTTTTCTTCCTCCGTAGAGCAGCCTTGGCAGCTATTCAGGGCCCAAGGTGGTCAGACAATGTGATGCGACGTGTTATGTGGTATGAAGGGAGATACGAACCATTTTTATTCGTGTTTACGTTCTTTCGAGCAATAGCATCCTGCTCAGCCATCTGGTTCTTGAGATGGTTCTCGCGCTTCTGTAGCATTTCCAGCTGAGTGCGCAAGCCCAGGATGGCATTCTTGGGAGTATCCTTCTTCTTGGCGGCACCACCGCCGCCAAACCATCCCCAAACTCCCGACATGATGACGTTGGGTAAGGACGGGGCCGAGCACTTGTATTATAGGGGAGACGGGAGAGGGCGGTGATTAAAACGGTCAGCTAGAGACGGCAAGCAGAACGGATCTCGCTATCAAGGCGGTTGTTCGAGGGCCGCGATGGTGAAGCCGATGGTGATGGCGGGGTATATGATCGTTGGGCGATAGCTCGGAGCCTGGACGGGGACGGGCGGATCCGGTGTGACGACAAGTAACGGCCCGACAACGGACAGAGTCGACAGTCGGTGGAGAGGTGAGTATCGACTCGTAGTCGGTAGGCGCCGCGAAGAAGAAGGCGATTCGATGGGACGAGGTAATAATGGAAGCCTGACGAAGGACGTTGAAGGGGTAGAAGGAGATAGAGAGTTGCACGTTATCGGTCCCTAGGTAGGATTAAGGTAGGTAGGTAGCCTGGCCCGCCGGAAGATGGACGATGATGCAAGCCGTGCTAATAATACTACTGACCTAAGTACCTGGTACTGAGATCTGCCTGCTGTAACAAGGCATCAGCGGCGCCCTATCAGGTAGACAGTTAAAAGTACCTTCAGGTACTGCAGGACATTCCATGTGCATGTTTTATGTGCAATCTTACACTGCCGTTACCACTTGGGTACCTATAGAAATACTAAGGTGCCGAGGATGCCTAGGTATGTAGATTTTAGGCACTCTCCTAGGTCCTCTTCTAGGCACCTTCTAGGCACCTACCCAGCTGAATGACCACTGGCCATCGGTCAGCTGGCTCACCTACAGCACTAACAGGATTTATCCGGTGATTAGCCGGTCGAGACTGGCATCATGAGGCCAAACTGGTAGAAAGGCACCAGTATCATGAGATCCATATACCTGTAACTGAGGTACTAAAAACCACATTGCAGTCTCCTTTTTTTTCATTTCTTCTCTGTCGTTCCGCTTCTATATCATGCTTGTGTTTACAAGTCCGGGTTCGTGACCCTTTAGTCACGATGTGTAGCTCGTACCGCGAAGTGACAGAACTGTAAATCGATAGCTAATTCCTCTCACTTTCGAAAGCTACCTCATACGAGATGTGTTGATAATACGCTCAGCCAACTAGCTTATATAAAGTGGTTTCTCCAACAGCATCATGTCGAATGGGCCCCTCCCGTCAGAGCGGACTCTCCTATCTGCACTCTGCAAGAAGCAAGTCGGTGATAAGGTCAGGTTTTTAGGATGGTAAGGTCACGTTGTCTCTCACATACGGCGTTTCCCTGCATTACCTAGTACCTCTTCCCTACGATATTCAATGTCCTTATTTAAGATTCCCGCGTCTGCCGTCTCGCTACCTTGAAACCCGAAAACCCGATGGCTCGTCCTGGCTCGTCGTTGAATCTACCGATGCTTTTTGTAGATCCCCGCTTATGGTTCTGCTGACTGGGTTTCTCAAGTGTCACAGAATATTCTACTCGCTTCGGACAAATCACCCTCAAACACCATTGCCCCAAAGAGGACGGCGATATCGAGGCGCTTGTCGATGTAAATCTTCTCCTCAAATCACTCAAGTCTGAGCAAACCGACCTCGGGCAATGGATACACGTGATTGGATATATTACCTTCCTCAACAGGACTTCTTCGAGCAACAAGACCACGCCGCGCGTTGGAGTACAGGCCTTGGTGGTCTGGATTGCGCAAGATCTTGACCTGGGAGTATACGAGAAGTCAATGCTAGCTGGTGCTAATGAGAGTGCCGGAAATTCGGCGTCAATAAACCCAGCTTCGAAATGAAGCCCGTTGTGCTCAAAGAGTTGATTCGGCGAGCCATCAGAATCTGGTTATTCGCAAACCCCATTCAAAGTCACGTGTCGCTAAAGTCGTGCTTTGACATGCGATATAGGGGCCTTGACCTTGGTGCATTCCGCTTTTCAAGATTTCCATCCAAGTAGAGGGCATGTTCCAATCCTGCACAGCGAGAACCTATCGCACAACATGAAAACGAAATGATACAGGAAATTCGAAGAGAGCTAGCTCTGCCAACGCACACGACACCTGAGAACAAATATAGCTAGGCGATATATGTCATCCATCTCGCGCTATCATGTTGTGAAAGGAGCCTGATGATAAGGGTAACATTCACCCCAGTAAGTCTGGGCTGTCGTGCTAATTAAGAAGGAAAGAAAATGAGCAACTTCTTGTCAGCCTATGAGCTGCAGGCCATTTCTCGAGCTTCCGACAAGGTACGAACCCTTGTCATAAGGAGGGATGAACTCCTTAACCGCGGCTCTGGTTGATGCTGCAGGCCACCGCCGAAATGCATTGCTTTTACGTGGCATCCAGCAGCTAAGAGCCAATCGAAACCGGTGACAGACGGATTCGCCGCAATTGTTTGTTGATATACCACGCACCACATTATGCAGCACATATCAATTAGCTAAGATGCAGCTACCCTCTCTTGCCAGGTTCCAGTCTAGGTATCCACAAGGAAGATCAGCATTCTGCCAGATGGCACGCCCTTCTTGGACGGCGACCCTCTTTATCCCAGACTCCCATCTCAGGTTCCATTCTCGGCCAACTTTCGATACACCGAACCCGCTCGGCCTTCGCCAAATGGGCGCTTAGCCTTCCGTTTATGTAACATCAACTACAGCAAAGAGTAACGTACCACGCCATTCTCCGTCGCGGCCAGATGCAATCCTGTAGCCTCCTACGGTTTCGTCGAATCCATGTCTGCTTAAGTGTCAATTTCGGGGTATTTCACACCCTCTTCTATCGGTATACGCTCGCTTCGAAACAGCACCTCGTCGGTTGTTGCGACGTTTTGACGCCTCCCCTAACCCCGATCCCGCTCCCGCTCCCGATCCTTTCGAAATGAGAATCGGCTGGTGCAGTGGGCGTTTGAGCGGTTTCTCGAGATTCTGTTGGGTTTTTGCTGCAGCTTGCCTTTCCCACATTTCCTTCGACTTGAGACAAATGTCATCGATTTGCTCCTGGGCGAGGATTAATATAATTATAATAGCCGCACACTGAGGAGAGGCCTCAGCTCACATCCGTCAAGCACGCCCCCGGTGTAGTGATCAGAAACCCATCCTCGCCCTGCAAGGATGTGTAAGTGTTGTACTTGATGAGCTCGTCGTTTCTCGTACTTGTCGAGTATACGGCCTCACTGTGGCCTCTGGGCCAAGGTAACACTGAAGTTCCTGCGTGATGACCTTTTTGTTGATGTCGAGATGGGGGATCCAATATCTATTCATGGATACCGATGACATGGTTGTGGAGTTGTCGAGTTGGATGGGGGTTAGGTCTTCCTATCATCAAGGCACCTCAGGTGTCCCTTCTTGATCCTGATCGAGGGGTGCTAGCCTATTTATACTGGGATTCGTTGAATCAGCCTCGTCACTCCGGACGCTCGACCGACTCCGCAGTGGAACTCAAGTGTCCGGCAGTATTACACTGCATTGTTTCATTCACCGCCTAGAGCGAATACTAAGGGTGAATGCTGCTAGCACGCAGAAGGACATGCATTGCATCTGTCTCTGCTTGATCACACATCTGTGGCAAGCGCCGAGTCCGCTTCCGGCAATTCTGTCCGCCTCACTTGTACGCCCCGTTTTTCTCTGAACAGACGAATTATACCATCGAGTTGGGAGAGTCTCGAACACCCTCACAACAAAAGGGTGATCATCTGCTTGTGTGCTCCTATATGGTTGGAACATTAGATTCCCGTAGTGCTACCACATTCTAACCCATGCATGGACCTTAACATACAGGCTTTATTACTGTTGCCGCGGTAGCTTGTCTTAGTTGTCTTCCTTCTCGGACAAGGAAGCTCTTACAAGTCTCCGCTTATGTCATTTATCTCCAACGCCACCACTACCGTGCGAGCTGTTGTACGATATCCTTCGGTCTCTTAAATCGAAGAACGTACAATTCGTTCCTCATGTAGGTCGTAAAGTATGCAGTTGGAGGCGGTCAGAGGCACTACTCGTCAACGAATGAATCAGATCGCACCGGAGTTCATGGTGAACTTTAGTCTGTCATTAGATGGGCAAGCAAAAAATGATTGGCTTATATCATGATTAATGGAGGTGCATCATGTAGCCAAACAAGTCTCGAGAATGCTATTGAAGAAACATCACTGACACGGCATATGTGTTTCTCCTGGAAGCCGATGAGTGGACCTCGAGGCAGCCTTGGAATTGGCTATTGTCAGGGACACTCAAATGACGTTCAACCCAGTCTACTTCGCGTCTCAATGCCGTATCGAGTGAAGCCATGGTTGACTGGAAGGATGTGAGTTGGCAATCAGGCCATCCGAGCACAGCACGGGATTTTCTTATTAAGGGTGCGTGCTTGAAGCTAGTCTGATGGCCACTGAGCCTTAACGCTCCTGCCGCCAAGAAAATAAAAAGAAAATGCAAAAAGGCGATGAACGACGCAAGAGAGGAAGGCAAACGCACCCACGACATTTAAATAAATGAATACACAAGAGGGGAGAAAAGACGGTGACTGACTGCGCAACACTAATGGTGTCATAATACCAAGAAGCAGACCGCTCAATAAGGTATCCCAGTGCGACGCGAATGATGGGATCTGGCACATTGAAATGAGATGGAATAGGAACGATTCGCCATTCTCGCTAAGAGGGGTGCCGTCCGGCGATTTGTCTCGATGCTGAAAGGAGATAAGGTGGTTGTCACGTGTGCCAGCTATTTAACAGACAGAGTAATCACATACTTTACAGAAGAGGAATTCCATCTGCCTGCACTTTCTATTCGTATCTACTCTTATCTCGGATTCTGCATGGTGTAGGCTCGGTCCTCTGCGTACCGGAGTTGTCTGTTTCAGAATCTGCCTGTAGTGACGGGAGCTTGCTGAGTTGTCGGATGTAGCTACTGACCCTCCCTACAAAACTCGACACTGCGCGAATGCTTGTTCTGTCTTCTGCTCATTACCAAGTCCATCAGTTTTCCGGGCTTTTATCATGCTCCAAAAAGCCACAGCTGTTTCATTTGACGCACACAGTAGACGCCGTGGTGGGTATCGTCACGAGTCTGGTCAACCATGCAAAGAAGGCGATTATAAGGTTGCCTGCTAGATAGCCACCTCGGACTCTTTCGACGTGGCCCTAGAATATGCCCAGACGGCGAGTCTCTAGAACAGCCAGTATCACCATGATTAATATCACGGTGCATATCAACATGTGGCGTCATCTGCATCTGTGACTGGCCGCAAGCCATCTCTGCTGGCGCATTGATCACTGGTGCGTCTTGTAAATTACCACCTGCTTTGTATTTAGCATTCTAGGGCTCATGTGCACGACCTTTGGCGAACCCTGCAAGAGGATACGCACCCGACATTTTGCACCTTGCTCTATGCTTCAAGATGGCTAGATACCGGATGACTAAGCCAGATCAAGCCACACATGGCTGTAGTGGCGGTGTCATGAACATCTGTGGCTGGAGCTTAGGTATCTGTCTGCGCTACCTACCTGGTGATATACCTCGTGATATCACGCATTAAGACCAGGCACCACCTTAGCAGCCTTGCTCACCTCACGCCGTCCACGTGGCTGCGGGCGGAGTCCCAACCTCAACTCATCGTCCCCCATCCATCGCCCATCTGGAAGAGGGAGGACGACGGTCGCTCTGGTCGCTCTGTTCTCAACTCTAGACGCTTCGGATGACGTAGGCAGCAAAATGACTGGCGAAACAACCAGAAAAGGGATATGAGACGGAGACAACCTTATCAACCCCGCCTGATCGATTAAAGAACCTACTCTAGAGGAAGTAGATGTCTAACAATCCGTCCGTTCATCCAATACGACCTTTCCGTCAAAAATAAGGCAGGGGCGGAAAAATCGCAAATGAGTACCAACGCTTCTGTTCCTCAGACCCTCTGGGATCTGCAGGTCCCGTTATACATCACGCATGCGAGCGCCCCCAACATGCCTTTTGTGACAGCTGTGCCCCGGTTCAGTTATCTTGCGTTATTGTTGCCCCGCTTATCGACCTACTTCGGGCTACCGTGCTCGAGCTTTCACCATGAGGATGTGTTGCTGCGGAACTTGGCCGTCGGACTGCTTGTCGACCTATACCAGCCGACCTTACCGTGGCGGTTGGTTGTTGGAGATGGCATTAGTTGGGATATCGGAGATACTTTTCTGAATAGTGCAAAGGAGGTTAGTCAGTCAGTTGATTTGCTCGAAGTCGCTGTTGGTGGGATGTTATTTTCGTACAAGAGAAAACACCCAATTTCAGGGTTACAAACTACTGACGCTTTTACCTAAGGCGGACTTCGTAAGAAATGGCAATGCGCAACAGATTATGTCCTTATCAAAGGAGAATACTACAGCGCTCTGGAACGCGGTTCAAGACAGTGAGTCCCATAAGTCACTCTGCTCTGCTAACTGATCAGCCATCTAATCTGATAACAATCTAGATGACTACACAGCCTTTAACAAGGTGAACTCACGGCTACTGAACACCTCACGTGAGCTCAGAAATGTGCCCCTGCGTATTTACATCCCATCTTCCCCTAGCGACGTGGCTGGCGGTAGCAACAACGCAGCAGGCGCATTCAAGGTCATGCAATCCCTTGTATCGCCCAAGATCAACGATCGTAGGTTCCATCATACCACAGGCCTGCACGGTCTTTGACCGAGATAATGTACAAGCTAACAAACGTCCTACATCCAGGTACTCCACAGACTCTGGGCGTAGCATTGCGTACTTTACTGCCCAAGCTGTTCCCAAGTAGTAGAGATCCGGTGCTTGCGGCGGCGATCTTGCATGGCGTGCGTGTCCCGTTCCACGCACCTCTCGAGGAGCTGATGCGTGAGGCAGCCTACCCAGATGGGTGGCTATGCCTTGTGGTTGTGCCGTTGGATATATGATTGTCCTCTTGTCAGTACGATCATGATCCTGCGACACTGAATATAACGGCAGCGGTTACACGGATTCGGGACAATAATTACCTTCCGTCATCGGAAGATTGTATCAGGGATGAACTTGAAAATTAAACACAAAATAAGTCTCGTGTACATGGCCACCCCTGAAAAAGGCTAGCTGGCACATATCGCTTCTCTACACTTTGGCCGAACTAATACAAATGAATCTCATCGAGAAGGCACAATCTATCGGTGTCCTGACATGCAGGTAACTAGCCCACATGGTTACCCCGAATCATTAGGCTTGCCTATGGAGATGTCCTATCTATTTATGGCGGAGCCGCTGGATGGATTCTTCCGGAACCCCTGCAGTAGGACCCGGAGCATGCCACGTGGGGAAGTCGGGTATCGGCATGGTTATCAACCCCCCAAGTTCCTGTAATCCTTTCGGCTGATCCGAGATCCCGGGACCAGCAACAGAGATTTATCACCGGGTATGAAGTTGATTCACTTGTACTACGCTCGTATCCCGTACTTCAGGAGGTACTTGTATGGTACTTGCGAAATACATCATCTACACTCCACATTACATCGATTATCTCGTCATGGTGCATTAGAGGGAACATGGCCCTTGAGGGTTAATTGCGAGGTGTGGTCGTTGTCTGGTTACTGCCGATGAGAAAGTAGTGAGCCAGGGTGCTTGGGAGTGTTTTAAGACTTAAACTTCTCATGAAAATGGATATTGTAGTATGGTTTTCGCAGACGACTCGTGGTGACGAACATTAGACGTATCTGGTCTCGGATACTCTTCAGTAGACTGAATGATAAGCAACTAGCTGTGCAGACTTAATAACATACACTATGTTGTGAGCCTAGATACTTACGGCTCGCATAGTTCGTAGTCATCGAGTGCGATGTCTTCCCAATTTCTCTATCCGCCTAGCCATACGGTGAATTCGACACCGTAAAGTAGAAACGGCACTGAATATACCGTAACACACATCTCGTCATCTCGATATCCTTGCTCGCCAACTTTCTTGACAACATCATCTCCGAAGTACATCCGCTCTAAACTATATGTCATGCATGCCGACAGAACTCGAAACCATCTGCCGAATGCCCACGAGACCGAGACAACCCTGGCCCCATACGCTTTCGAGCCCAAGAGGCCAAGTACACACTTCGCCGTAATCAGTAGCAATCACCGCTGAAGAGAATTACAAATTCTCTTTGGAAACATTAGTGTGCGTGCCTAGAATAATGAGTGTGTGTGGATTATGTATGTATGTATGTACATTATGTTCGACCGTCTTTCACCGACTCTCCGTCCATCCTATTACGCATAAATGCATGCACCAGAGTGTGTATAAGTGCGTACACTAGACATGCAGTTCGCTCGATTCTCTCCGCCCACGTGGTCCAGCACGCGCATCTACTAGGTAAGATTACTCACCTCTAGAACCACACCAGAACAAGTCTTTTTTTTTTTCTTCCTAACTCCATCTGTTCGTCCTCGCTGAAGACCTGGATGGAGCGTAGTGTTGGTGTGTTCCTGTCCTCCTAGCGCGCTGTTAGTGTATGTAGTGTAGAGATCTAGTGGGCCCCCTCGAAGGAAGGAAATAAGCGACCTATAGTACAGTAAGTAGAAGAACAAGGAGAAGAGAAAAAACTTCGGTTCCGTTTCGAGTAACATTAGGCGTAACTTCTGGCAAATGGGAACTATATCGCGGGTCAGAGTGTGGTGGTCTCTTGGCGATATCTCAGCTTTCGAGGCTTGTAGACGTAAGAGCAAATTACCACTACTACTAGTTTTTTTTGGGGGTGTTATTTACATACTGTTTTGTACATACAATAGGCCCGAGGGGTACTAGCTAGCAACATCCTCGCTTTGATGTGGAAAACAGGGTAATGCGTGATTGGTAAGGTGTTATACTACATCGCGGACTTCGTCTACGGACTATGAGCTAGCTAGCCAATATGCCAAGTTTCCTGCACTCGTAATCCGATGATGTTCTAAGTAGATATCCCCTGGGAGCTTTGTCTCTCTCCAAGAGCACGGATACATAGAAAACCGAGACGAAAAGATGATGGCCAAGAGATAAAGTTGCATGGCAAGGGGGCAAAAACGTATTACCGGACCTATCGCTCTCCAAAGAAAGGAACGTGCAGTTCACACTAATGTACTCTCAGCATATATATGTTATGACAATGACGTAGATGAGCACAGACAGCAAGCACTCAGTTACCCAGAATGAAGTTGATTGTGTAGTGGTATGAAGAAAATAGAACAAGTTGATATGCTTAGTCAGTGTATACATAAGTAGGTAGGCAGCACTTTATCTTGCATACATAAGTACCGTATCCAGTATACTGTACCCGAGATCTGGCCGCCTCCATAGCACGTACTATGTAAAATGCCCAGGAGCCAAGCACCAACCAAACCAGGGGCCGAGATGCATGAACCGTTTGGGTAGAGCGAGCGAGCGAGCGCTAGATATTGCGTCACACTACCTACATGTATATTCTATATGGGAAGTATTCAAGATAGCTTCACGTAAATACAATACCTAAGTCCATCTAGGTTCCGGTACCTGCGTTGGAATCCGCACGGGTACCTGGACATCTACCTGCTGTACAGTAGCCAGGCCGGGCCCATATCATCTAAGTAATATTAACAGACCACATAGAGCAACCAACTAAGTCCATAGCGTGATGTCTAGAGTGTTTTAGCTTTCTTCCTCCCAGGGCGGCGGTATCTCGGCACGAGGTTAGCGCGGGAATGACGTCCTCGCTGATCGCGCCCGTACTGTGTTGGTAAGTAAGTAAAGTCGAGATTCGCGTACCAGCTGAAAAGTATCGCGGGCAACGCGACGATACCTATGCCAGATAGAGATCTGACAGATCATCTTACGTGGTGAGGAAGGGCAAATAGGTACTGTATTACACACATCCAGTTCGATTACACGCAGATACCTATGTAACCATGCCAAGTTATCGGCATGCCAACCAAGGTCCATCACGTCACTTCGGCAGGGTTGATTGATTGGGTTCCCTCGCGCTGGTTTTGTCTCACCTATCTTGCTCCCGTTCCCACGTTTTTTTTTTTTCTCCTTTGGCGCCCTGGAACCACGTTGTCTTTTGTCTCGGGTGCGCCAAGCTGTCAAACACGGCGGAACGGGCGAGACATACATCCGCGGAATGTACTACCATAGGCTAGTCCGGGCTAGTGTACATGGGAAGTGCGAGCTCCAGACCTATAATATGTTGATGATATAGTCTGAATTGCTCGGTATGACATGCAGGAACCAGCTGCAGCGCCGGATCGTCATGAAAGGGGTTTGTTTTCTTCTAACTCCTCTGATGAGGACGTCATATAGAAGCACATCGATATCACGATTGTCGTCGGCGTAGATTGGTGAGACACGCCTTATACAGTTCATTCCATTTGTGGCATATGCTGATCAACCGGAGCGACACTGATGATGAATCAATTGGTCTATACACACATTTTTATCTTTCCCTCTTCAACTTGGTTTTTGGTGTCTTTTGACCGTGAATGAGCCAGGCCTGATAAACTGGATAAGGTGTTCAACTTCTTAAGTTTGGAGTTTTTCGAAAAGGTCCCATGTAGATTTCTCTCGCGGGAGCTTTCTCCAAGCTGCTTGCATGTTTCCAAACCCTATTTACTTACTCCCTCCCCTTGTCCCCTTAACCACCCACCCAACTGATGAGCTGTTCCTCATTCATCTGATTATACCTAAGTGGCTTTTTCTTTTGTCTACTCACTGGATAGACGAACGTCATGTACAAGTTAGATATACCAAATACACGGGGAAAAACAAGAACAATAAAATTCACAGATGTTGCCTCCCACCAATACAGCGCCGCATAGTTGTGTCAATCACCGTATGCTGTTGTGTTACCCAGATCGAAACCCGCCTTCCTCCCCGGATAATTCGACGACAATAGCACGGAATAGCAACGCAAGTGTATGCTAATGCTGAAGTGACGACGTAGGTAGTAGTAGTTGTAGTAGCAGTAGTAGAAATGAGAAAAAGGTGGTATCTCCTCCGCGGCCTCTGGAATGCAAAGAACCGGCATTAATAAAAAACTGGTGAATTCGAGAAGGCCACACCAATCCAAGCTCCGTTGATATAAAAAACGCCTGATGAACGTCCCCGTTGTGAAAGGGGGGTTCTCAAAATGAATGCTTGCCGCTCCAATTTGCTGCCCTTCGTCTAGAGATCCCGCGTCACACACACACACACCACACACACACAATCGCCTCCCACTACGTTACTGCTGAACTGAGATTTGTAAATGATCGATCGCTAATGCCGGATTAGGTTAAGAATGAGCGCGCCGGTTATGCTAAATTGTGAACGTGGGGGCTGACAAAGCTGTCGTCCATGTTCGTCTTGTTGTTTGTTCACTTGCTTTGGTTGTTTTTGGATGTTTATACAGACATCGTAGATATTTGGTGGGGCTTGTTCTGCTCCAGTCGAGACTGAAAAAAGTTCAGTTTATTATGTACGCAAATAGTCGCTAAAGAGTAATGCTTCGCACAAGGGGTATCATCCGCATTGATGAATATACTGCAGAAAAACAGTTTTGTGTTGTTTCGTCTCCTTGTTGGTAGTAGTGCCTCATTGGCGAAAGAGCATCCGGCAAGATTAAGCCCAGAGCTAACCGATCTTTCCCACCAATGCTCAAGTAGAGTTTCCACATACAATTGCAAGATATCGTCGAATTCCAATCAGTGTGACCTCATAATGGAAGGCGAAGAGGGCCCACGATAGTAGCTGTTCGAGTAGATGGGCGGTAGCACAGCGTTACTGGTCGCACTCGAAAAGCTAGAGTCCGCTCTTATATCCATCTCGTCGTGCGAGAAACCCAGCTCCACTGCTAGACTGATTAGTATGTTCAGATCCTTTTGGAGAGCACTGGATGGTTGAGCAATCTCCTTGAAGAACGCGATGGTGCGCGCAAAGAGCCCGCTCAAGACCTCCGATTCAATGAAAGAGCGGAGCGCATCATCTCTGTAGCACGCCGCTAGCGTCAACAGATTTCCCCATTGACTGTATGAGAAGTTAGTGAGCTCAATATAATGTATAGACAGCGTGTTGCACTTACGCATGCGCTGTCCCGAAGACATTGGTGATGATGATGCGCTTCTCCCTATGTATGCCGTGAAACGCGCGCGTACTCTCGATGAGGGCGTGAATTGCCAAGCCCGCGTACTCGATTGTCCTAGGGTCGTGCCTGGGTTTTGCGTTATTGCCGGAGGGGGTCATGGCATCAGGCGAACCGTGGTCATTCTGATAAGCGGGGGGGGTCTCCGCCTCACCGTCCAAGATCATTCGCAAAAACGGTCTGTAAAGAATTACTTGTGAACCCCAGTACTTGGCGCGAAGCCTTGCCGCAAGGATGTCGTCCGGGAGAGGGTCATTGTCGTTCCATTGGTATACCGGAGGCACCCACATATTCCTGGCGCTTTTGAGGACGGCCTGGATCTCATTGATCTGGTGCTCCATTGCCTGGTAATGGTTGCTGCTGGGCTTGTCCTTTGCCGGGTCGTATAATAGATTGTGCACCCTGTTCAGCTGCTTCCGCAGATACAATTGCGCCAAGTACCCTTCCGTTACGTACTGAGGAAACCCGTGTTCAAGGGCAAATTCCGTGTTTGGGTAAGGCATTTGGGATTCATAGGCTAATATGCCCGATTGTGGAAGTGGTAATTCTGCCAATATGTCGCTGTAAAAGGGTCAGTCAACAGTTACTGTTTGTATTAGTAAGGAACTAGCTGTTTTACCTCTCCAGCTGCAGGCATGTCCAGAAAGCGAAGGACAGTTGGTTGTCTCTTCGAGAATGCGGGTTGCACTTGTTTAGATTTGAAAGGCGACCGAGGCTCCTAGTCGTTCAGGTCAGCGTCAAGTAGCATAAGACGGCTACTAGAACTCAGAGGTTAGACTTACGGTCGTAGTACGACTTGGAGTTTCCGGCTGGCAGTAGAAATGTGTTCCCAGCTCTCCAACACACGGCCCAGTTGCCCCTGATACAATCCAGCCAAAATATGTACATAAACTTGCTTCAGGCAAAAGCCACCGTAGCCCGCACCCATAATATCAGATGCAAGCGCATAGTATTCGAGCCCTGGAATCACGTCGAGGTTGCGCTTGTGCGATGCTGATGCTCTGCTGAAGGGCATATTGTTACCTTGTAAAGACGATCTGCGGCTCATCATGATACCCCGATCGTTCTCCTTAGGCGAGGGTATGCCAGAAGACTGCGAAGGGGGCAATATACCAGGTGAGCCTTGACTAGGCGACGCTAGGACTCCGTTGCGCACTAAAGGCGAATTACTCGAGAAGCCGTCAGGTTCGTGGACAACATCGGGAATCTTGCCTTTGTGAAGACATATTTTTCCCAGAGCGAAGACTAGGAGAACAAGGGCACTTTGCACATTCCTGTATGGGCGACCTGGTTTCCTAAAGTTCGTGAACAGGCCCTGCTCATCACCGGCTGGGGATCGCTTGCGCTTATTTCCGACCTCAGGCATGGCCGCAGACGAATTCATGGACGGAATTATAAAGCCCGCCGAATGGTTGCCTGACTTATTGCCGCTAGCGGTATTTGAGGACTTGGGCAACTGGTCGAGAAACACCCTGACCATGGCGTCCAGCTCCTTGGGGATAATAATTGGGTGCATGTTGAGAATATTCTCCTTGAAACTCTTTACGTACTTCAAGATTTTGGTTTGGTCCCAATCAGGGTTCGAGTCAGGATTCAGCACACCTCCCTTGTAATCGCCAGGCCAGCCCGGTGCTGGGCTCCCAACTTGACCCCATAGCTCTGGGCCAGGTGTAGGGGCTATTACATCAGAAGCGTCTTCTCCATCGGTCGTGCTGAAGTCTTGTGGTGTGCCTTTATCTGAGGTCCGATTGTCGGACTCATTCCCTTCACCTCTACCAAATATCCGAAGTACACCTCTCTGTTGTTCTTCCCGAATTGGGTATTCCTCTACATAACGAATTTGCTGGTCTTGTAATATGCGATTGAGCATCTTATTGATGGAGGGCCATTTTAATAGCAAACTGGCGAGTGTGGTATGGTTCGGAGGCATAGCGGGTCGGCCCGGGAGCACCATCGGCCCAGGCTCGGCTTCAATATCGTCGTGGTCTCCTTGCCGCAGCGTCTCGTGCGCCTCATTTAGACTCAGTGGCGGTTCCATAACACTGGTCAGCCCTGGTGTTGATGTCTCGGTTGTCTCTTCTTCGACTATATCCTTATTATCATCTAACGGTGGGGTATGATGAAGGATGTGTTGGTCGTCCTCTTCAATAGACTCTACTTTCATTCTGGCGGCTCCCGGGTTTCCATGCACCATGTTTTCCAGCATTGACATCCGAGCCTCCATCTTATCAAACTTGTCAAATTTGGCGCTCATTGAAGACATCTCTTCCTTAAGGAAACTGAGTATCTCTAGTATATCTGTTGTTGCTTTATCTGGTCTAATGTTGCTGTCAACATTTGAGACACCTAAGTCCGGATTTAGTGAACTTACTGTTTTGCGGGAGGATCCCTGTATTTACATTCGACATTCTTTTCACGACAGTTTTTGCATGGTTTCGTCTCGTCGCATTTAGCTTTTAGCTGCCTACAATTATCGCAGGCCTATAACACTAGCATTAGCGATCACCGAACACACACACACATATATATATATAAAGAAACTCAGGTATGGACATACTTGCGACGCCCGCTGCGGTTTCCGCTTAGTGCCGGCATTTTGAATTTCTACGGCGGCATACATCTGCGGTGGGGGCCCATAATGAGGGCCATCATAGTGCGGCGGTTGCTGGGCCGGTGGAGGAGCATGGAAGTTTTGAGGCAACCCTGGCGGCCGATAGAGCGCCGGCGAGTGCGGCATCGAGCCTCCGTTGTCGAAGCTCATGTGGCGGCGAGGGTCCTCTGGAGGATGTTGATTCGGGTGGGGAGGACCATGTGGTGCAGGAGGGAGTCCGTCGACGGGGTGACCAGTCGAACTAGGACGGCGCAGCTGGGGAAGAGCCTGCTCCTCGATGTCGCGCTTCACTATAGGGTCGCGCTGAGGATATGAGGGATAAGGTGGGTGCGCTGGAGAGGGAGGAAGCTGTCGAGGCGTGTCCTGGATCGGAGGATAAAGCTCGTGTTCATGGTGGTGGTGACGGCGCTCGTCGTGAGGTGGGTGGTGAGCATGAGCGGGTGGAAGAGTAGGTTCTGCCGGACGAGAGAACGACGGCGGCGGCGGCGGTTGGTATTGAGCCGGCGGTGGTGGATGATGAGGACCTCCTGTGGCGGGTGGGTGGTGTGGAGGGTTTGGCTGCGGAAGAGATACGCCTTGGCCGTGGAGTTTACTCGACCATGAGGGCGTAGTCGTCAGACGAGGTCGCTTGCTCGGGTGCGCGCCAGGTTCCATGCTTGGGAGACTGGCGGTTATATTTGCAAGTACACCGGTCATAGGGTTGGCCAAACAGAAGCACGGGTCAGCTCGACAACGACGTAACTATGATCAGGGGAGGTGGCCATGGAAAAGAGGACCTAGAAGAAGACGCGTGCGAGGGTCCTCCCGGCCGGCCGAGCGAGAGAGAGCGAACGATACTGAGTAGTGTGTGTAGTTGGCCACTCCTCAATTTAGGAAGTGGAGGTTATGATTTGCGTATGAAGCCCACTGCGGGCAAGCAAGTACTGGCGTAGTATCTGCGGCAGTACAGGAGTACCGTAGACGGTACTGGAGTACGTGAGAGGTAGGACGTCAGTACGCAGGTGTTACTGGCGGAGAACGAGGAGGGCCGCGGCGGCGATATGGTGATGGGCCGGCAGCCAACGTATAGTGCGTCGTCGTACGTTATACGTTACGGTAGCGGTTGCGATGGTAATAGCAGTGATGACGATGGGATGGGCAAGCAGTGGGAATACTTGTTGCTGGATCCCAAGCACGGACGAAGACGGGGACTGAGACTGGACACAATTCGACGACGATGTTGCCGGCTTGTCACTCCTCTGTGCTGTTAGTACTCGGCTCGGTACTCTAGTCCACTCGTTACGTACCCAGGTATCGCAGGTCCCCTGTCCAGGCGCGTTGAATGAACACCCTCTAGTCCGCCACACTACGGTATGACCGTAGCTTGGCGGCGATGTATCCCAGGTAGCACCACCGTCGTGCTATTGGATGGAGCAGAGCCCTACTACTGTGCAGAACAAGCTTGTGATATGATATGTACCAGAATTGTGCCTGAGCCCAAGCCGAAAGGTGTAGCGCGAAGATCAGCGCACGCGCAGTTGGGCAGAGACAGGTCCACGAGAAGCTCGGCAGCTGAGGTGGATTATACAGTCGCCGCTTGCATGCTAGTACAGATATCAGTAGATCGCAGAGGTCCCAGCAAGCACCTATGTCATCCGGATGGCGCCGTAGCTGTGCTCGCACTTGCACACGCAAAGACGTCGAAGAACTGCTCCTCTCCGCCCAAAGCTATCTAGGTATGGCGAACGGAGGGTTGTGCGTAGGTACGGACGGTACTGTATATATGCATGCATGCAGGCAGGACAGGACAGGTCTATTAAGCTAGGTAGGGCCAGCGATATCGTGGCAGATGTGGCGGAGCCAAAGCAGCAACAACAACGACAACTGTAACAGCAGCCTAGCAGGCGAGGAAGAAAAAAGAAAGCACTGTTAGTGATGGAGCAGATCTATGCAACGATGGGAGACGACAGTTGTACCGCACCGCGACCCTCTCTGTACTACTCACAGTAACGGTATTATAGCACAGAATAGCAGAAATCCCTTGTCTAGCTGGTCTACTTCGTAAGTAGTACCTATGCTGTCGGGTACCTGGCTGCTGGCGACGAGAATGACTCGGCCCTCCCCATTGCTTCTGGGAATTGCCTTTTGGCTGATCCACCCGGAGACCCTGGAGACCCTAGAGCCTGGAATGGAATGATGGGATAGAATGGCTCTTCGTTAGCAGTACCTACCTACTTACTGTAGAGTGTACTCGGTCGAGGGCAGGACAGGACTGTGTGGTCTACCGCAGAGCAGGTTCGCTTCGCTTCGCCTCGCCTTCGCTGGGCCTGGCAGAGACTGGCAAGAGAGGGAACGAAGGGGTATGGAGCATCGCAAGTATCATGAACAGGGTAAGCTTCAGTCCTTGGCTTGGAGCTACTCTGGCTACCACCCTAAAGAAAAGGCGGCAGGGATCACGCAGGACTGACCGACCAGGATAGCTGGTAGGGTCTGGAGCAGGGATTGACGGTCAAGGATAAGAACGGCGGCATGAGGGGAGGGGAGGGGGGGGGGGTTCGGCGGCCATCTCATCGGTACCTACACTACCTACTGTACCTGTACCTGTACCTGTATCTGTACTATGTACCTCTGTCGTCGAGCCCCCCAGGTACTACCTACCGTACTACTATTCTATACACGGACACGCAGACACACAGACACGCAGACACACAGACACACAGACACACAGACACTGATCTGAGAACGGGCGGAGGGACTGTGTGACTGCATATACTGTGGGAAACCGAGGTTAGACGGACAGAGACGGATATAGACGGTAAACTACCTACACAGTTAGCCCGGGCCCAGCGGTGGTTATTAACCAGGTACCCAAGCTGATCAAAGAAACGGTTTCGTCACCACCTTATCCATGTTAAGCTCTTGTTATAGTTATACAGACAGGACTGACTGGTGGTGTAGAGTAGAGGCAAGCAGCATTACCTGTACTGTAAGCAGATAGATAGATCCATAGATCAGCATACAATGTACATACTTACATACATACATAGTAGATACTATGAATTAGTTGGCGGTGCTCTTCTCAAATTGAAGCCAAGCTCTATCCCGCCCCATCTCGCATGCTACCTACCTACTCAGCACACACTAGTGCCAGTCGCCAGTACTTGGACACGTGAAAGCAGCAGCAGCAGTAGCAGCAGCATGGCATATCTATCGTTGCTTCTTGACTCGCTGCTTTCGCCAGTGGAATGAGAAGCGGTGAGTCCAGGTTGAACAGGACAGGAACCCAGCGGCGGTCGAGCGACGGCGACCACAGTCGTCTCGGCCGTGGGTACAGCGATGGGCATACGTCCTGGTAATTGGGCACCTACACAATCTAACAGGCCTATTATTGACTTGACTTGACCAACCTACCTACCTACCTACCTACCTACATCACACATATACAGTACATACGTAGGTATGGATGGTACCGTACCTACCGACATGAATGTCTTGTCTACCTACACTATTCAGCATGTCGGATCGTGGGTGGGACTGCCGTCATATCTCCCGTCTAATGCCGCCGAATAAGTAGGTAAGGAACCTACTATAGGTGCTTGGCCAGCTTGTGGGAGTTTCCCCACGATGACAGATCCGCATAACGTGATTATCTGACAACAGCCTCTGTATGTTAGCAGTACACTGCGATCGAATCCCGTACGTACAGGAGCAGAGTAGCACTGCTGACGACAACTGTCGAGTTCGGCAGATATGAACGTTGTTTACTGGGGCCGGTCAGCGCAGCTTGCACTTTAACGACTACCTATTCGGGCGGTTAGGGTCTTCTTTCATCTAGGTAGGTCAACGGCCAAATTACCAAAGGAGTCGAGTTGGTATGCTTGGGCAGGAGTTCTGAAACAGACATGCAATGCCGCTCAACAGGCTGTTAACTTGCATATAGGTAGTACATGGAGACTCTCTACTTTACTTAAGTCCAGTTTGCTTGTGTAGGTGTGGAGGTAGGTACGTAGGTTGGCCTGTTGGCAAAGCTGAATAGATCATGCTCCGTTTATCGTGTGGAGCTCTTTTACCTTACTTTGTAGTTTCGGGATATAAGCTGCACGTGAATAACCATCCCTCGTAATCTCAGGCGAACACTGGCTGTATACGCAATAGTTTCCGCAAAGGGTGTCTTGTCATCTGCAGCATCGTTGTTATGGGAATAGCACTTATCCAAAGCATCAACCAGAATGGTGGAAATTCCCAGAGACTTGGCGTTGGATCCCCAAATCGATAAGCCGCTGCTTATCCAAACTCTGGGATGTTGCCGGCCAAGTGGATTTACCTCTTCCGCTATTCATACTTGCAAGCGTCCTCCATGTATGTACAAGAGATAGATATACCAGTGGGCTGCCAAAACATAAGCCTTTCATATGGCAAAAGATTTGCATTCTGGGTTTTGGACAAGGCTAGAACAACCGCTGCCGCTCCCTCCTGGGCGGCACTTATACATGTGAAAATATGCGTTGCAACAGTGCCTTTTGTTTGGTACGGTATGGCCAGGTAGTAGTTGGTGGGGGGGAAGAGGGGGATCTGACATATGAGGTCTGCAGAGGCCCGTGGTATTGTACGGTAGTTAGCTGCAAAGGAGCAACGTCTGTTACTACTACCCACCAACAACAGATATCCCATCATGTAGGTTGGTGTTAGTGTAGTGTATGTACACCGTTCCAACTTGTCGCAATAGCTGGCACAAAAGCCGATGAAGACGGGAGCCAGAAGTGGAGGTGAGTAAGTGACTTGAGGGAAAACTTGGCGAGAAGGCCCTGAGGGCCCGTCACTCACGCTTGGTCCCCTTTTATTGTCGTTGGAGACACAGGCATTTCTCCAATTTGGATGCGAATAGGTAGATAGATACACCACCAACATCGAAGGTTATCACAGTGCTAGCTTCAGGGTCCTCTTGGAGATAAGCTATGGATAACATCACTCACTATAAAGCACCACATTTGCTGTACTACTCCACTGGTTGGACGATAGAGGGGGCATTTGCACCAACAACTTTGCTTGGGCGGCATATCTATTGCAACCCCAAGGTCCTTCGAATTCGACAACATCAGACCACCTGCATGATCCCAGATATGAGGCATTTCAAAGTAAATCTTTAGCTCGTAAGGTGGTTGTTGTGTCTATGTAAGTATGGTCATAAAGAGACGCTGAAATGTCAAAACGCTTTGATCTAGGTACTGTACCTACAGTATCTCGGCATAACTCGGTGAGCAGAGTCACAGTCCTTCTCCCCACATACTAAGTATGCCAATGTCTCTGCGGGTAGGGAAAAGCCAGGGAAGAAGATCGAGTTTTGTTTCGAAACTCCGCTTTGAGAAGTAGGGGTGACGATGTTACGTGGAGCGGACGATTGTCTCCGAATACCGGTGCTACCTCTCGTTTGTGTAGACGTATATACACAGCTAAGCAGGCGTCAGTGTGCATTATGAAAGAAAGAAAACCCTACGATCACAAGGATATCGCTTGTAAAATCTATATACTAGTTCTCAAATATATTCAACGTGATCGCGCAACAACGGCATGGCCAAGAAAGAATCTGTAACGATCGATCGCAGCACAGCCCACGAGCGATGGGCAGTAGAGCTTCACCGGTCGCCCTAAAACGCTTGATTCTTCGAGAACAGCCAAGGCGAGGAGAAAATTTCTGCCCTGTGCTGTTCTATTATTTTCTTTTTCCTTCCTCGCTGTCCTTTGCTTTTTGCGTCTGGTGTTGCGATTCTGATCGGGCTTTACGAAAGGAGCTGGAGAGAAAATCTGATTGATCATCTCTCACCACCACCACTAGCTCCGAGATCCAAAAGAGAGGCTCCATCGAAGCGCAGGAAGTACATACCTACTTACACTTTACATGTACTAGGTATATATGCAGCCTGAGGTCTTCAGTCCATACGAAGAAAGCCGGCATCAAGGATCAATGCGGTTGTGCAACTCGAACGAATCAAAAGCATCAGCCCAGGTTACAACACC